TCAGTCATGAAATACATGCAATCAGTTTATAGTCATGCAATATGCAATCAGTCATGAAATACATGCAATCAGTTTATAGTCATGTAATTTGCAATCAGTTTATAGTCACACAATATGCAATCAGTTTATAGTCATGTAATTTGCAATCAGTTTATAGTCACGCAATATGCAATCAGTTTATAGTCATGTAATTTGCAATCAGTTTATAGTCACGCAATATGCAATCAGTCATGAAATACATGCAATCAGTTTATAGTCATGCAATATGCAATCAGTCATGAAATACATGCAATCAGTTTATAGTCATGTAATTTGCAATCAGTTTATAGTCACACAATATGCAATCAGTTTATAGTCACGCAATATGCATTAGTATAGTCACTCAATATACAATCAGCTTTTAGTCATGAAAGAGTTTAAATTGTCCTTTTGTATTTGACCTAATTATGACCCATGTAAAATAAAGAGTTTATTTATTATTTATTTATGGTCACCAAATACAAGTAGGACAAGTGGAGTAGAATAACAGTATGTTATTACATGTTACATTGAACTGGGCATATCGCTCGTTCAATCCGTGTATGTCTAAAAATGTCGCTATAAATGCAATCATACGCAATGACATATCAAGTGAGCTAGTAATACCATACCTTTAAAACATTATTATGACACGTTATATAATAATTGCCATTGATTGACCAAAGTCTGGTCACGAAATGTTGATATAAATGTTAGTATTAGCTACGACATGCTGCGCAAATTAATAACGCTGAATGATAAATACAGTTATTATATCATTAGGTAATTCTTAACATACATATCGACCTGCAGTATATTTCATCAATTGGGAATTTTTGCAGCTGGGTTTGTAAAATCGATCTACCTTTCGCAGAGTCCACATAGATAAAAAAGAAAATGTGAAGATGGTATTTGTAAACTGATATCCGAGTTTGTCGACAAGACATCTATTACCAAAGGTCCATAGAAGTAAACATGTTCAATAGGTAATCTATGTTTGTTAACTAACTTTCCAAAATATATAAGCCAAAATCCGAAACGTCGGCAACACCTCAATTCGTGTAGTTTATAAGAATCGGCAAAAAAAGTATACGTCTTGGAATTTGGTTTTAAAACGAATTCAATCTTTTAATTTAAAAAACAATGCTATTCCACTTACTTTAAATGATTTGATCCTTATCAATCCATGATGAATTCAAACTCTAAAAAATTCGGAAATTGACCGATCCCCTTTTCAGATTCGTGTATTTCTAATTTTTAATCCTTTCAAGTCAACTAAGCACTCTTTGAAGCACTAGGCTTATGTCCGACACGGCTTATATGTAATGCTCTTAAGCAAAAATTATATAAAGTAAGGAAAAACGAGGAACAACGCCCTGTGTTCAATGTTTACGCGTGCCAATCAGAACTAGCCAATATTTGATAAAAAAAAATGTAGAAAGAGTTACTATAGTGACGGGTAAAGATAATATATAATATAGAAATATATGATCATTCCAAGACAAAAAGTTGACCAATGGAAATTGGGAAGACTTCAAATAATACTAAATTATTTGGTCATTATCCGGAATATTAGCACCTGTTAGTAGTTAATTGTTGTTTTTATTTATTAGCTAGAACTCATTGACTGAAGCATTCAACAGTAATTTCATGCTAAGAAGTAACAAGATTTTAACGTGCCTTGGGGCATCTTCAGAATGTCAAGCTAATAGGAACATCGTCTTATACCTTGACTGCAATAGCCACCTTTCTTGTGCCACAGAAGTTTGCAAATACAGCGATTAGATTGGAAAACAGAACAGTGTATCAGAGGCCTCAACAGAAAGTCTGTAAATAATAAGTCTTGATAATACAAGAAAGGTGGCTATTGTAGTCAAGGTATAAGACGAAGATTAAATAGCTTGACATTATGAAGATGGTCGTGCGAACACTTAAGAGTTTCTCTAGCACAAGTCCGAATCATCGTTGTCTGATGTCTTCAGTTTGCAATTTCATAAACTTTCAACCCCATTTTTTGTTATATCGCTTATTCATTACCTGAACGATTTTGGTGTCAAATGGACATCTTCAGTAATTACAGAAACCAAAGACATCGGGCATAAAAAAGATATATTGTAACCCTTTAGTTACGTTATCCCATTGTTCTAGCCGAATTTATAAGTCTTAGTTTACTTTAATGTAAATTCCCAAGAATTTCATCTTAATGCTCCTATAGAGAATGATGCCAAATTGACAACGAGAGAACAGTGTTTTTTAAGCGTAAGAATAATCTGCATGCGAGAGACGATGATGCACCCGTTATTAATGATAAAAAAAACTTGTAAGATTACATTCAGACTGAAAATATCCGCAAGAAAGAAACGAAATTGTAATCGTATAGATTGTCATAATACATAAACAATAATTCAAAACATGTCAATCAAATATGTCAAAACCTTTCTACCATATAAGTCAAAATATGTCAATCAAATGGGTCAAAATATATCAATGTAAATGTCTGTCAAATAAGTCATAACATGTCTATCACAGGGTCAAAATATGCAAAACATCACAATAAGTCAATCATAACTCACGTCCATCAAATATATTATCAACAGATGCTTAAGACGATTCTGGACGGAGTTATCGGACTTGGGTGTAGGATACAAGATTTCTACGCGACCAGCAATGTTAACCCAATCTCTGTGTAGATTCTATATGGTATATTCGAGATGCACGAAGTGGAGGTACAAATCGTTCTAGGGGCTAAATGAACCTCACTTGCGCCACCACTGCTATTGCATCACAATCCGGAGGGAAGTCTGATTTGAGGAAGTGGGTTACTTATGATATCATATGAGCGTAAATGTGTGATATACTTTTCTAATAATCACTATGCTTACTTCAAAAATCTTTTGTAAATACACTAGACTACATGGGCAACTAACCGTATAATTTCGAATTCATAGCGTAGGCATATATAATGCGCACCACTTCTTACCCTCCAGTAAATAATGCGGACAGCTTATTAGAATAAAATTTCAGTATGTTAAATAAATAGTACATTACATTTGATAAAAAAAATATATAGCGTAACGATTTAATAAATTAAGCATTGCAATGTTTACATGTACGGTAGCTCAACTCAACTAAAGTACCAGTATATATAACAAATAACAGAAAAAATGTAAATAATATGTCATCAGATATTTAGCCAAGATAGGCCTTCGTTTATGCTTTGGTGCTCTACACTCTAAAATTACAACATTCTTTGCATAATTATTGACAGTTTAAAATCGAAAGAAATTAGGATTATGTCATTTTCCTTGCAAAGTTTCCAATTCACACGCTACAAATTCTCTGTCTGTCATTGGCAAATTCATGAGAAGAAGAATACAACGAAAAATTTCATTTCATCTGATTTCGACGGGAACGCAAAACTGAGCTATCGTAATTTACGATGACCATTATCAGTCATTCTACTAAGGTCCAATATTAGAAATTAAATGGTTTCTTTGTTTACATCCATTTGTTTAATAAGTATCTAAATAATTCAGCATTTATAACAATGTTTAAAGGACAGCTTTGTGTTTGAAATAACATTTCCAATTAGTTTAGATCAATATTAGATCAGATTAGAGAACACAACTAAGCTTAAAGCCGCATATACGGATACGGTATCCGGTGCGGTGCACTATGTACGGTATCCGATGCCGTGTACGATGCGGGATTGTCGATACAGTAGAAAATAGTATAAGTAAAATCGGACATATTTTGACACCGTACCTTGTCTACGAGGTTTAATACTGCTTGCTAATTGGACAAAGAGAGGCGTTCTCAGATGATCGATCACCCTGGGTACAAATTGATGGTACCCCTACAAGAGAATGATCCTATCAACATTAGTGGACTATGAATCGTCAATTAGACCTCATATAACTAAACATCAAGGGAAATATTTCTCCAGAATTCTATAGGAGACATATTATAAAAACAACAAAATTTATATTCCGTAATTATAACAAATCAAATTAAATAAAAAAAAATCAAACATTAAACATCAAATAGACTAGTAATATAATACATTTTATAAAAGAAATTTGAATGGATAGCTTTATATTCAATTATTCTAATATCTGAAACTAATATCTTATAGTAAACTTAAGATGGTGAAATGTCAAGGGCAATAACTCAGGTACCCTGATAAACTTAAAAGAAAAATCAATCACCAAAAACAAAAAACAAATAAACGTTCATACAGCCACGAGTTGGAAAAGCACTTTCAACCACGAAAAACACAAAAGACTCTAAAAAATAACAACAAATAATTTTCTTCAGGCACATTAGATATATTGATCAAGGGCAATAACTCATCTTGAAATGTCAGTTAAGCCCTATTATGTCTGTTTCAAACCACAATAGTTGAAAGTAATATCGAAATGTTACAAATTTCACAATGTCAGCCTTATTAAAAAATCAAAATATATTCTGTCGCATTCATGTAAACCCTTTTTTGGTTTTAAATTCATAGAAATGATTATATACTGTATATTTGCGAATATAATGCGCACCTCTTCTTACCTTCCAGTATATCTGGGAAAATCTGTCACCGTCAATAATACGCACCACGTGCCGACGAACAATTCAATAAGCTGCCATAACGCAGATACCAAAATTGTGAGCGGTAATATACGACTTTCACTTATTAACGGCCCCCTGTTCTTCATCTCAAAAGAATACATATGTCTGTATACCATATACCCAGGGACACAGCAACGATGAAAATGAAGTACTACTATCAAAAGAAAGTGTAAAAGTCTCACAAAAGAATTCCAAAACCAACACAAATAATGGATTCTGTTTCAATAACATGAACATGAAAAATTGCGTTCCAATACCAGATGAAATATTAAGCACATTTAATAATGATCAGCAAATCCTTGGCCATTAAAATAGGATGAAAGACTAGTAACAAGTAAATGGAGGGATATACTGCCAATGATTCACGTTTCTGTAGTCGCTTCTGAGGGTATTTCTGTGAATGTTTTTGTTGGAGTTTCTGTGGGCGTTTCAGGTTCCTCCTGTTCACTCAGTGGAAAATGCACCCTTCTCTCTTCCTTACCCAGTTTTCTGAAATGTTTAACAGAGCAAATATGGTAGGATATATATTCATTTCAGTAAACGGCAAGATGGAGTATCGCCAGCTTGATGTCCGATCTTCAAGCAAATCAATTCATCTTAGTTTAAGCTGTTTGATTGGCCCTCATCCCCTTGAATCAAATCAAACCATACCAAAATGACTAGAGTTGATCTAGATTTACAGAGATGCCTATACACGTAGTCATAACAGTATTGTTTGTGTGTAGGTAGGGGTGTTTCAAGGTAGAGAATTTCTACGAGAATGATCTCTTGTGTGAGAGTCACTTCAATAGATTAATTTAAAATTCTGGTGATTTTTCGCACATCATTAATCGAAATTCCCCGTAAAACTAGATTTACATGCTAAACTAATCAAAACTAAAGCTTTTAAAGTAAAATTCCTAGTCAGCAGTCGTTGGGATTTCTTGCTATTATATATGTAATGAGGAATACAACCCGATGCCAGAACATAATCATAGCATTATCATCTCGGGAGATAATAACTCTCAACTAAATATAGATTAGATCAAATATCACACTGAATCTATATAATATATATAATATTACTGTATATTTCATTTTGGAATTTAATACTGATTATATATTATTATTTCAGGATGTTGACTTCATGCGAATATCTGAAACCTTATATTTCAAACATGTTTCATAAATACATTAAAGGGATCGTAAAGAGGTGTTCTAGCTTTTTATGGGTATCATTAAAGTTTCTGTTTGCAGCAATTTTCAAACAGATGTCGATGGTTCCTGTAATTTTAGAAGTGCTTAAAAACGCCCTGATCGCAAAATCAGCTCATAATATCCTCTTTTCCTTTATTACGATAGCTATATCATAAAACTCTTAGTTTTAGTGAAAATGTAGGAACTACAGACGTCTGACTGAAAATCATAATGGACCAATTTGATACTCTCAGTGTCCCTGATACACACAAACCTCTTTACAATCCCTTTTACAGTCAACAGTGATTCAGCTCTTACCCTTCACTAGAGCTACAGGACTGGTCTGATTCTGTACCACTGGTAACTTGATCACATTCAGCTAGAGATATCTGATTAGAAATTGGAGACATTGCCACGAAAGATGAATCTCTTTTCTTCTCTCTGAAAAGAAAACAATTAGTAGTTCATAAATAAGTTTACAAAAAGGATAACAACTTAGGCTCACGGGAATCCTCAGTACTAGCTAGTCCTTGGCCAAACCTCTTGGCATTAGTCTTTCGATTGATCTTTCGACACTGAAATAAAAAGGAAAGCATTCGGCAACCTTTGACAGTTTCCGAATCTGTAAGAGAGCGATATTGTACTTTCACTTTAAGTCGATTGTGAGGAAAGATGACTTTTTCAAGGTTACAAAATTTTCCCATGCTGACCTAGATTAGAACAAACAGCCATCATTTGTTCAACGTGACCACGCAAATAACGACATGTACAGACAGTATAAAATCAAAGGTTTACTTTAATTCCTTGGTAAGTATTTCTACTTGACTTTTATAAAGTTGTATTTCATCATGTAGAATATCTATCTCTTCAGTTTTCTCATCTAGTTCTCTCCGTAACACATAAATAGTTTCTTCTAAATTCTCACATAGAGCCTGCAAATAGACATACAGGGTGTTTTAAAGTGGGATAGACTTTACAAATAGACGTACATGATATCTTAAAATGGGATAGAGTCTACAAATAGACGTACAGGATGTCTTAAAATGGGATAGAGTCTATAAATAGACGTACAGAATGTCTTCAAGTGGATAGAGTCTACAAATAGATATACAGGGTGTTTTAAAGTGGGATAGAGGCTATAAATAGACATACAGGGTGTTTTAAAGTGGGATAGACTTTACAAATAGACGTACATGATATCTTAAAATGGGAAAGAGTCTACAAATAGACGTACAGGATGTCTTAAAATGGGATAGAGTCTATAAATAGACGTACAGAATGTCTTCAAGTGGATAGAGTCTACAAATAGAAATACAGGGTGTTTTAAAGTGGGATAGAGGCTACAAATAGACATACAGAATGTTTTAAAGTGGGATAGACTTTACAAATAGACATACAGGATGACTAAAGTGGGATAGAGCGTACAAATAGATATACAGGATGTCTTAAAGTGGGATAGAGTCTACAAATAGACATACAGGGTTCATCAACGTGGGATATAGCGTACAAATAGACATACAGGATGTCTTAAAGTGGGATAGAGCGTACAAATAGATATACAGGATGTCTTAAAGTGGGATAGAGCCTCCAAATAGACATACTGGATGTCTTAAAGTGGGATAGAGTCTACAAATAGACGTACGGGATGTCTTAAAGTGGATAGAGTCTACAAATAGATATACAGGATGTCTTTGAGAAGGAACCTTATTAACACGAGTTTAATATACACGATCCTCATAAGAACAACATGGCTTGTAATTTTTAAAAAAAATTGAATTGGACGTTGGAAATATCAGCAAAGGAAAAAACTATAATATCTATAATATATGTGGATTGTCTAAAAGGGATATTTTTTTAATGGCAATACGCATTATGACTACATCACAATCTTTTAGATATTTGTAAACTAATTAAGTGATCATGATAAACTTGTTAATTGCAATTTCTATTACTATCAGTAAAAATACAAAAAAAATATTATCCTTAACAATTACCATTAATTTATGATAATAACAAGGACTATGTGACTAAGAAGTTGAAGAGAAAAAAAGATAATTTGTTATTGATATAAAAATGTAAATAAAATCATTATTAACAATTCAATAACTGTAGAGGTTATGAAAATAATAAACTGGTATTGAAGATAACAAAAGAGACTGTTTTTTTTAGAGTCATTAAGTGTTTATAGTGGTAATACTGCCAGTTTGCAGTTGGATGAAAACAAGGAGGACATAAAAATAATTGATTTCAAATTGTCACAATAATGTAGACGTATTTGTATGGAGTTGGAATGGAATCTGCTTTCCAAGGCGAAATCAATCAAAAGACTCAAAAGAAAACAATGTTTCCTCGAGAGCCACATCAGATTTTAGGATAAAATTAACATATCACTAACCATACAGCTTGTCCATCACATACATTTGCTAGAAAAATGGTTTGCACCTCCTATAAAATTGCACCCTACTTATTTCCAATAAGATTCTCATACGTTTTTGCCTCAAAATATGTGCCAGAATGCACCAAATCACTTCAATTCTTCGAAAATTTCCTTTGGCAGAACCCTTATACACGCTTAGTGAGACCTGAGAATAAGACGCCTCATTGAGTTGCCGTATTTTGAATTCAGCCTCAACAAGTGTCCCCACATTGAGTCAGTCTGCCCCCTATTTGTAACCCAGTCTGGTGAGGCTGCAGGCACCGCCTAGTTACAGGCTGCTAAGACTGTAAAAACAAGTCAATTAACAGCACTGATTCATTAGTTTATCATGATCAAGACAATAGGCAATAATTATCATCTAATACAGTTTACAATCTATTTTCGCTGTGATTAGCTGACAGTAATAATCAATACATGCCCGATGATCAATATCTCAAAATTATGAAACCATATTACTTCGGGGCCCAGTGTTCTGAAAATTTTTACGGTCAATTTAGCTGAAAGTATGATATTCCTCAATGTAAAATGACCAATCTTATGGAGAGAATTTTGGGGGAAAGGGGCCCAAGCTTAGAACTTTTTGGGGTTTGAGGGACACAAAACTTGGGTTAGTTTTCATCAAGGCTCTAGACTGTTGTTTTCAACTAGTTTATCTTGTCACTATCTGCTCATGGAAACTTCCTTTGATATGATTATCTAAGTTTTTTTTTTCAAAGTGAATAATTAGTCTTCTTCAGCTTAATCAATAAAAACTTAAAATCAATATTTTAGTCTGAACTCAAGAAAACAGGAAGGGTGTGGCAGCATGAGGAGAAATCGGTAATCTTAAAATAGACTAAGATAAAGTGTGCCTGTTAACAGTTATAATATACGATATTTCAAAAGTAACAGTTAGAAATTGCACCTTATATAATAACTGAGGTATGGGCAATACATTCATGGCGTCACATGAGTTTAAAACTGGCCAATCAACATGCTGCTGCAAATGGTTTCTTTTGTAACTACAATCATATGCAGGAAACTTGTGAATAAGTACAGGCAACTCCCCTTGTATGAAAAGGGTTATTTTAGATTGGTTAAAATATACTGCTTCACACTAAGCTATTTGGATAAAATAAGCTACAGTCCAATCTGTTTATTGATAATGAGGCGTAATTTTAAGGAAGATGGCGAATAGAAGAAAATTAAAAGAAGAAGACTATCATGAAGACCTAGTGGATCAAATTACCCTACTTTCTTCTGGACTATCATGAGGACCTGGTGGATCATCTTACCCTACTTTCTTCTAGACTATCACGAGGACCTGTCGGATCATCTTACCCTACTTTCTTCTGGACTATAATGAGGTCCTAGTGGATCAACTTACCTACTTTCTTCTAGACTATCACGAGGACCTGGTGGATCAACTTACCTACTTTCTTCTAGATTACCATGAAGACCTGGTGGATCAACTTACCTACTTTCTTCTAGACTATCATAAGGACCTGGTGGATCAACTTACCCTACTTTCTTCTAGACTATCATAAGGACCTGGTGGATCAACTTACCTACTTTCTTCTAGACTATCATGAGGACCTGGTGGATCAACTTACCTACTTTCTTCTAGACTATCATGAGGTCCTAGTGGATCAACTTACCCTACTTTCTTCTAGACTATCATGAAGACCTGGTGGATCAACTTACCCTACTTTCTTCTAGACTATCATGAGGACCTGGTGGATCAACTTACCTACTTTCTTCTAGATTACCATGAAGACCTGGTGGATCAACTTACCTACTTTCTTCTAGATTATCATGAGGACCTGGTGGATCAACTTACCTACTTTCTTCTAGACTATCATGAGGACCTGGTGGATCAACTTACCCTACTTTCTTCTAGACTATCATGAGGACCTGGCGGATCAACTTACCTACTTTCTTCTAGACTATCATGAGGACCTGGTGGATCAACTTACCTACTTTCTTCTAGACTATCATGAGGACCTGGTGGATCAACTTACCTACTTTCTTCTAGATTACCATGAAGACCTGGTGGATCAACTTACCCTACTTTCTTCTAGACTATCATGAAGACCTGGTGGATCAACTTACCCTACTTTCTTCTAGACTATCATGAAGACCTAGTGGATCATCTTACCTACTTTCTTCTAGACTATCACGAGGACCTGGTGGATCAACTTACCCTACTTTCTTCTAGACTATCATGAGGACCTGGTGGATCATCGAAACAGAAGAATTCGCGTACTTCTTTACTGCAAATACACAAAAGTTCAATAAAATGTAGAAAAAATCAATGGACATTTAAGAAAAAACAAAGGGAGGACAAGAGGTTTCTTCAAGGACCAGCAGGTACAAAGGATCCTGAACTGTGAACCTAGTTTGTTATCCTTTTAAAATGTAGCTGTTTCTTTCTTCTCTTTCTTTCTAAGACTTACCAGTTACAAATATCTTTGTGTCCAGTAATATTATTTAGAAAGGCCTGTAAACCCAGTGTTCTCTCTTCTAGAAACTCTCTGTCATAATTACTTCTAAACCATCTTCTGGGTGGTAGAGACAGACGGAAGTTCGGGAAGATTTTCTTTAACTGGAAAATTAAGCATGTAAGTTATTTTATAATTGTCAAAAATACTGCATTCAACCTTGGACAGTTTCAAATACTACCTCCTGAGCAAATAATCCGCATGTATATCACGCAAGCTTTCTTATAAAAATCTGGTTGATGCAGACTGGTACTACACATCTGATGAGTCAAATATTAATGAAGACACAACAAATGATTGATGAAATTTGTATGGTAATCAGACAGTGTTTGTGTACTCACCTTATCATTCAGCTGGTAAAAATCATTATATCTTCTGAACACAAACCAACGATCAAAACCACTTCTCTCAATTTCTATTTTATACACCTGATATAACAAAATAATGAGATTATTTACATTGTTATAATGATAGAAATCTGAACATACTCAGGAATTATTGATACTTTTGAATCTTTTTATAACTATAAGCAGACTACTTTATTTTCAGGTATCATATTAATAAAAATTCTAATATCAGTGCTCTAGTTTACAGTATAATAAAAAAAATAGTGCTCATACAACATATTGTAAAACATTCAAAAGGAAATTTTATGCATCTAAGAGCATGGAGGTTAAAAATATGAGAAGTATGCATGCATGTAGGAGCATTTGGTCAACATGCTGGAAAAAAGCATATAAATAATCAATAAATAGATAATCAAATGGTTAAAGATTATGCAATTGTGGAAAGGAAAGGTATTCTATTGATAAATATTGCATGAATCTTCTGTAAAGTGACAGTAATGTCACAATGGACCTTTGAAAAGCAACTTCAAAATGTATGTGTAATATTTCGAAAAATATTTCTTAAAAGGATAACTCCTTGAGGAACATGTCAACCTTTTTGGATTATCCATACCTATTTACAATTGAGCTTCATTCAAACTCAAACTTAGCCAATTAATCTGAAACTATGTACGTATCTGATGGACAATTGACACCTGGTGAATCGTGACCTTGGATTATGGATTATGATAGGTATATGTTGGTTTCCTCCTTGTGATTTGGAATCAATAGCCTGGGCTGGGTTATCAGCTGGAATCAATCAGGAATGCCAGCAGGGATCACAGCAATTTAAACTTACAATAGTTCTCTCCCTTTGTTCCATAATTTCATACCCAACAATAGGAACTTTTATACCAGCAATGTCTACTAGGGAAGATCTTTCTGGATGCTCGGTAGGCATGGATTGCTTACTCTTACTACCCTTTGTTTTATAGATTTTCTGTTAGAAAAGTAGTTTAAGGATTTGTAAATGCTTTTAAAAAGTAACCAATGAAGTAGTGAAATCTATGAATCTTTTAGAAATATCAAAAAAAACTTTAAAATTAAAAAAAAAAAGAATCTACAATCATGCTTCTGGGCAAAAATCCATGAAATGTGGTGTACCAAAATTAATTGATTTTACAAATTATGTCCAGTAGCATAGAATGCAAATAAAAGCCACATACTAATCAATTTCTGAGGGTAAAGCTAAAAAGCAGGAAAATTTATGTTCACAGTGAAGGTTTAAGAATGAGGTAAAAAAAAAAAAACATGAAATTTTGTTTGTGCTTTGTTTATTTTTGAATGGAATAAATCTTTACTGCACTTATATTTGGAGAAGAGGACCAAGAAATGATAATATAGAACACTGGCATTTCAATTTATCATAAGCTTTGAGTTTTGGTCTAAAAATTGCCTAGTATGCAGCTTTTAAATCAGAAGATGAAAATGCAACAGATGCAATAGAAAATAACATAAACTGTGAGTGATCTAATTCTACAGATTCACAGGGTATTCCAAATCTACAGCACTATATATCAATCTACAACGACATTCTGTATCTACAGAGGTTATCTAAAATCTACAGAGGCCATCTAAAATCAACAGAGGTTATCTAAAATCTACAGAGGTTATCTAAAATCTACAGAGGCCATCTAAAATCTACAGAGGTTATCTAAAATCTACAGAGGTTATCAAAAGTCTACAGAGGCTATCTAAAATCTACAGAGGCTATCTAAAATCTACAGAGGTTATCTGTAGTCTAGAGAGGTTATCCTGCAAAAACTTACAGTAAATTTAGACCTTGCTTCCATAACATCATATCCTAATATAGGAACTTTCACATCTTCAGGTTCAATGGGATCAGCTTCTGAGGTAATCAGAATGGAAGGAATCTCGGCACCAGTACTAGACTGACTTAATATTTCATCTTCTTCTACATCAATTTCTGGAACCTCTATATGCTGAAAGAAAAGATGGAAATGGTGACTTTACTAAATTTCATTTTATTTTTGTTCTCAGTGTTGCAATAGAAGTTCATATGTTTCCCACAAAAAATCTCTGAGATGTTCAAATTTTATTCTGCTTTAAATATTGAGGTTCATCTATAGAACTTTAGAAACTGTGTAATGTAATCACGAATTTTCCTGGAAACTACATTTTTGTGGTTTTTTGTGGTTCAGTCAATGGTGGCAAATATAAATAATTTACAGTTTGTCCATTTCAATAGATGAAATTAAAACAGTACTTACCAAAATGGGGGCATCATCACTTTTTATAGGGGTAGAAGTCAGGGTGGTTTCTTGAGTTAAACTTTGGGTGCTTCCACGATTACTGAGATTATCTGTGTTCTCCATCTTACCCAGGGCAATATGAGCTTCAATTAATTTTGTATAAAAATCTCTAGTTTCTAACAGATTTTCATTTGAAGTCATCACAGTCTTCTTCCCTCATTCTTCTTTCTGAAAATGATTTAAGTTTTTCAAAATAACTAACAATCCAAATTGCAAAACGAAACATCACATCCAAAGCAACTTATCTGATGAAAAGTGCAGTTTAGATGTTTTTGTGTTTATCTACTGGGTACTACATTTGTAATATTGGTATTGTGTTCAGTCTGAATTTTGAATTTTGACCCAAAAACACCATAAGAATATCTGGCCTATTTATATTCATTCAACAAATTCAATGAGTTACCAAAAAAATGATAAATGTGAAGTTTTTGTGTTAAATTGCTGGTCGAAAAAAAACACAAAAACGAAACAGAAACAGAAATTTCGCGACCAATAATAAATATCTTAATATCAGAATACCTATTAATTAATCGTGTTTATAAATCTTCCAATTCTATTTCTAACAATCATGTGATAATCTAAAATAAATTCTGGCATCACCCTCAAAAAAACACAACAGGACACAACAATATATATCCATAAAATAAAATATATGTGTAGCTATTAAATACCAGTTAATAGGCATACCATTTCTATTACTAACAGTATATCATGTGATACTTAAAATAGATCTGTATACTGGTTTACCACTATATACATATAAATCAATACTGATATATTCAAATAACCATATTACTGCTTAGTGATACGCCTTGTATATGACATGTACATATGTACACATGTTACACATTGACATAGTCGGATCTGGGGTTTGCCCTATTAAACAAATATTAAAGGGAGACAGTCATCTGGAATTGTAGACAAACTATGTGTCAGATTTTCATTCTAAAAAGTGTTAAGAATAATCAAAAAAAAATTGAAATGTTGACATATGTGCTTGCCAAAAAATAGACCTTTGAAAGAATATCAGTCAATTTTTACTTGGTTTTTATTTTAATACTGAAATATTTAGACTTTTTAGGCTATCAAGTTATTAGTAAACACCCATATGACCCCTCCCCCCCTCCTTTTCCTTTCACCTATCAATGTGAAACTCGACAGAAAGGTACTTTAATGTGTTCTTATTATTCCTTGCAAATTTAAGACAATTCTAATGTTTCTTTCCATCTTAAATTAATTTTCAAAGTGTTGACCTTACAGAATTTTGCCCACACTTTTTCTATGCCAGTATTGCTAGCTTTACAGGCTATATATATATACATATACCAATACTTGACTTACATCTATATGTAAATTAGGAAGCCCAAGGGCAATAAACCTAGACCTACTACATGATTTATAATAACTGGACTAAATTGACTTGATCTAATCAATTAATAGGTGATATTATAATAAAATAATCCTATAAAAGGCTAGAGAGGTTTTCTAGTGCTTGATTGCCCATGACCCAGGCCTAGAGTAGGATATAAGAGTCCTACACCCTACACAATAGTACCTAGAAGCAATCCTACAGAACAGTAGTAGCCTACCTAGAAGCACCACTCATATTCTCCAATTCTCCCTTAATTTCCTTAAACCATGTTATACAGAAACATCGTATTTGAGTCAGCAATTGGAGGAACAGGGCCTCATATTCAATGCTAAAGAAAAGGGGTCCCATATGTGATGATTCTCACTATTTCGGATTATAGCCTAAAGTAGAAGTAGAGCTATATGAGTCCAAATCAAACCCCTCTCTTAATCAACGGCGTCTATATATTTGACAATGTCTTCTACCTTAAGGCTGGGCAATATAAAATTTGTTGTTTTAATTTCAACTCACCGATTCATGAAGATCAATGGAAAAAGCAACGAAAAAATCAATCAATTCGCTGGTTTGTTTTTATCGAGTAGGTCATGATCACGTGGGTAAACACAGATGGTGTACACTCGATCTTCCAGCTACTTCATTCAATATCAATAGTAAAGAAAATACCCGATAATCATGCCTTTACTTCCATGACTGACTAATACTACAGACTACAGTTATTTTCTACTGTGACTCATGCATGATAAGCAGAAAAGTTCTGACTATTGCTTTGTCGGCTTGGTACCATTTAGGAGACTTTACTAGTTCCCTACTCCCATTCCCAATTTTGGCCATAAGTCTTAAACGAAGTTTTGCGCAGCCATTTCAGGACCTCTTGAAACTAATTTCAGAATGGGGGCGATACTAAACTCATTAACTCAGAAATGGACAATACAAATAAACTCTATTTCACGTGTCCTTTACATGTTCTTTTACTTTATCAGTCTAAACGTGAATTAAGCCGTATTATCTCTAACCTGTACAGCCGACGACTGATGTATAATGATAATATTATTACATGATCTATTTTTGATATTTCGATATTTATTCAAAATCCTGTTAGCCAATAAAAACCATCACAACGATTGTCGTCTGTTGTTTTTGTATGTATATGTACAATGAATAAAAATATATTATTTCTATATAGTTCCATTCACAAAGTCATTCCAGCAGTACTCGACGCAACTGCAACGTTCGAAATGAAATTGCAAGCGCAAGGTAAAATCTTTGTTACATCATTTGTCGAAAAGTAGCCTATTTTAGCCAGAATTTTGAAAGAATGAATTCAAGAACTCGACTTTTTCAAAACATAAAAAAAATTCCAATAATATTGGCGTATCGCCAATTGATATTTTGAAGGATTTAAAGTAGATTTCAGTCAAGTATTTTGAGCAAAGAAGAGTTATAGTGCAATCAACTACGGTATACAACAGCACCCTTGCAACTCGATTATGATAGCCAGATTGGAGACCGGCTTTCGAAAATCAAACCACATAATCGTTTGGAAACACACAGATCTCTCGTGGTACATTATAGGCATAAAAACCATTCTGCAGAGAATATATATTTTGAATGTTATTTATCACTACTTCCATACTAAAAGGGTGCTATCATGCAATGTACAACGAACAGTCGTATGTTTATAACAAAGTTTATTCTTTCATCTTGTTATTTCACACTTCTTCCTCCATTTCTTATTTCCGCTGCGGTGTCTCCCTAATCATCAACAGATGGTAACAATAACAAACAAGGCCAAGCAAGATTCTTTGTAGTCTGGAAATGATCTCCTTTTAGTCTTCTATTATCTCTTCAAATTATCTCCCTTTAGTCTTCAAATTATCTCCCTTTAGTCTTCAAATTATCTCCCTTTAGTCTTCAAATTATCTCCCTTTAGTCTTCAATTTATCCCGCTTTAGTCTACATATTATCCCGCTTTAGTCTACATATTATCTCCCTCAACACACACAGACTTCAGTTCCTGTCTAATCTGAAACTCAGTCGTTTGACCTGAACGAATGTATTTGTTTTTGTATATAGGTAGGTAACAAGAAAACACTAGAACTGTGAACAGCTCTGAGCATGGCAACAAGACCTTCTCCCTTACTTTACTTCCGGCATGTTAGCTTTCAACAAGAAATTAAAAACAGAAAAATTTAACTTGATTTATTTTAATAATAACAATTATTCTGTATTAAAAAACAATAATTATAATACTAGTCATAAATATAACAAAATATTGTAACATTTATCTATCAAAATTATGTAGAATCACAATTTTTGACGAATTTATGGTGAATGTAAGATGTTTATATTAAAATATGGCTTTTCCACATGGTTATTGAGGTCTTTTATATCAAAATATGGCTTTCCACATGGTTATTGAGGTCTTTTATATTAAAATATGGCTTTCCACATGGTTATTGAGGTCTTTTTTATATTAAAATATGGCTGTCCAATTTGTTATTGAGGTCTTTTATATTAAAATATGGCTTTTCATTATAATTAAAGAATTTTATATCAAAATATGTCTTCACCAGACTTTTATATTCAAAAATCTTAAAGCAATAGACCTGACTAAAAATTGATATATATATATAAATAATAATTCAAAAAAAGAACAAATATAATATAAAACTGAGGCTGTATTCTTGAAACTATCAAAATAATTTTGGCTGAATTTTGTAATCTGATTACTCACTAAAGTTAAAATCTAAAAATGTTTAATTTCTCTATCAGTTGAACATAATTTATAAATAAAATAACCTGGTAGAAGATTAAATGCCATTGTGGGAATCTGCCTCAAATAAAAAAAATTAATGGTATGTACAGACACTGGCCTTATGTTGCTTTCCACCTAAAATTGTCTTAGGGTTTCAAGAATAAGGCCCTTGAATAAATTCAGGTAATATGGCACATGACAAGCATTAATTTAACTAAACAATAAAATATAATAAATAATACAAATTCTAAAATATCACTTGGTCAAAAACAGTTTTTTTAGGCAAAAAAGTCATAAAAAATTGGTTTAAAAATACAATCAAAATCATGAATGGGATTAGAAGTTTGTTTTTTTTAGCAAAAAATGCACAATTCAAAGTATTTTCTGTAAAAATATAAATATTGGAATAGCCTGACTACATGTATATATACTTCATAAATCATTACTGTTCTAGTTAACATTAATAATTACACTGGAAACTTCAATTAAGTAAAATAATTATAACAAAAAATACAAGGAAATAGATTATGGTATAACACTTCTTTAATAACAAACAACTAACGTTTCAACACAATTTCCACAATGTCGTCATCAGATGAAATAAGAGGGGGTAAAAAATGAAACAAGTAGCAGAAGGGAAGCAATGCCAATAAGGTAGGTAATTAACAGAGAACAACAATAAAGATAATTAGATAACAATAAATGAAACAATACATTTTGAAATCCTTTAAAGGGGTTGTAAAGAGGTCAGCTAAATTTTGTATGTGTATATGTGTATCGGGGACACTGATAGCATCAATTTGCACCATTCTAATTGTTTATGTGATAAAGCAAATTTTGCAATTAGTGATGTCATGAAACACTTAGTTCAAGTGGATTTGTAGGAACCACAGATATCTGATTGAAAATTGGAATGGTGCAAAATGAACCTATCAATGTCCCCGATACACATAAAAAAATTAGAAAAATCCCTTGAAGTATCAAACAAATACAAATATATGAGAGGTATAGTCATTTAAGTATTTACTTTACTAAGCGAAAACTAAATTCCATCAGTTGACTATAATTAATTCAAATATTCTCAAATTAAATAAAAATATAATTTATTAAAATCAATAAATTAGATAATAATTTATTTGAACATTGAGCACATGGTATGTTAATGCTGAATCAAGAAACTAAAAAATATCCTGTCCCACCTGATCCTTAATCAGTCAACCCACAACACTTTTCGAAAACTATAGATGTGCCATGTTTCAGCCTACAGGATTGGGATGAAGAGACTGAAAAAGTCTAGTTTCATTATATTCACTAGGGGAAGTAAAAGTATCTCCATTAGGACAATATAAATATGAAGAATTTCTAAAATGGTTAACTTCAAAATAATATGTCTGGTTCAACATTGTTATTTGTGACCTTGTTAAATTATGTCCTTCGGGATCAGATAAAAGATCTTGGAGAAACGTTAAATTGAATTTGTTTCCATCTATTGTGTAACAGGAAGACGGCTCGTGTAAAAACAAGTGTAAAAGTAGTCCCACAATGAACACCAAGACACAACAGGTTACAGGAATGAGGCGTAGTAATATGAGATGTTTTTTGTGTTGTTTTTCTAACACTAGTGACTGGGTATCGGAGCTGTTCAAACTGTCTGATACACTATCTGTAAGTAATAATTGATCCGTCTCTATCAGGCCTTCCTCATCTGAAAACATTTCATCTGGAATAAAAAGAAATAAGCCAGGGTAACACCAGAAAGAAAGGAAGAAAGAAAAATTACAATTTTACAAGGATAACAACAGTGTAAAATTAATGGGGCAACTAAAACGCATGGTAGTTATAAATCAAATCTAAAACTCAGTAAATGATTTCGGATGTAACAGAATCTTAGTAAAAAAAAAGATAAGCATACCTGAAACACCCTGGGTCTTTGATTTAGAGATGCCAGCTCTCATAGAGGCCTAGAAAATATAAAATCTCAAACATTATATAGCTAATATAAATGGATAAAAATGAATATAAGAATCCGCAAAACCAATTTCCAAAGAAAGAAAGATATTTTTAAAACAACTTAACAACTTAGGTTCATAACAGATTCTTTCTACCAGCTTGTCCTTGGCCAAACCTTCTGAAGTGACTTACCAATTGAGCTTCTTCTACCCAGTTTAGTCTTGAGATTCTGATGAAAAAGGCCACGCACTGGAAAAAGGAACCACAACATATTCCCCACCAAGCACCTGTTAATAAATTACATCAATTGGTTATTGAATAGCAGATGCCCCGCCAAGGATACTGTTATATTAATATTAAATTTACCAGGGGATGCAGCTTACTTTTGTTTACCAATGTTGAAAATCTAAAGTCTGGTTTTGGATGGGTTTGTGTTCTCTGTGGCCATCTTAGTGTTTACCTTCAATCCTATCAAGGTATCTTATCATTCAGCAATGGAAACTTTATGTGTTTTAAGTGTCAGTCTAGTGTTGGCTCCCAATTATCAATTATATCCTCTCTTTTCTTACCTGCTACATCTATAGTAGTTAAAAACATCAGACAGAAAGCAGCTGGTATTCCTATTATATAATAAGCTATAAGATTTATCACTGCTCCAAACTTCTGTCTTCCTACACCTCTTAATACACCACCAACTACTCCCTGAACATTTTAAAAACAGTCATTTTTTTAGCTAAGCCAATCAGTAATAGTGTTCACAGCTCACCATCCAAATTTGAGTCTTCAAATCTACATGTGTCCAGAATTATCCGCATTTGTTCTTTCTTAAGACACTGCCATATATTGAAAAGACATATATAGAAATAAGAAAATAAATTCTTAGTTAGAGATATTTTTGAAGGAATTATGCAATATTTAGTATTTTGAAGACACATATTCAAGTCCCAAATTGTTCCCTGAAAATGAAAAAATGTCTAAAAAAGACATACCTCTGCAGCATCTATAAAATGGAACACAGATAAAATCAACAACAAACTGGAGGTAAGTTTTATAACATCACTGAAAGGAAATGAAAGAGTATTTACAGTAGAATTGTGATTATAATGCCCACCTAGCTTATATTGCTCAATAAAAACTAAGAGGATTCTTAAATACAATAAAAAGACCTTTCCTGATGATGATTGTATATCTGAGAAACTTATCAAGGCAAGAGCTTGTGTCAACCAGAAAATTAAACCAAAGCATTTGATTCAAGCATACATGCAGTTTCCTATCCTATACAACATATTCTAAATGTTTATTAATTCTGCTTAATACAAATGTGGAGATGGAAGAGGCCTATCCTGATGATGATTGTATATCTGAAACACTTATCAAATATTTGATCTAAGTCAAACACTTACATATCAGAAGTAAATGCTAAAGGAATATAGTTTCTAAAACTACAAATAATCACAGCATCAAATATAGCTACTCCAACTGTAAAACAAAATATTTCAATATTTAAAACCTTGTGCGAAAAACCAAAGTGTAGTGGAAGATATGAAGGAATTTAAAATTAACCAGTAACATTTACATTTGGACAAAAAATGATCAATCTAGAACACATTGCTATGAAATAGGTTAGAAAAAAGTCTGATGCCACAGTTAACCCATCAACTAAACATTACAAAGAAGAATCTTTTCCTATATTACCATAATCTGAAATACTATCTAGGAACAATTAGCTATAGAGCTCTTGACTCTTGTCATCTGATACGTGTTTATCTATCTCTTTCTGATACTTACATGTACATGTAATGACAACATGTGCTGAGGTCAAGGCCAACTGATGTTGACCTTCACCTAGTAAATTACCCACTCGAACACATCCTGCTTGAGCTAGACCCATTGGTGCCTGGAAATAATATGAAAAATAACACAGTTTAATACATGCTAGTGATTTACCAATCAGATGATTGGAACAATGAAATCATGATAGGCTTGATAAAGACAAGACTTGGCCTACCATTGTTGTTTGCTAAACAAATTTGCAAATTGTGTTGTATCTAATTTTATAGTCAGTTTTAGAGAATAAAATCAAAGGCCCTGGTCATATGAGTCAGAGCACGTTGTCTACTATGAGCAGATTTTGTATATACTGTAATTCACTTCACTTGTAAATCAAATGAAATTAAATGGAGTTTTGTCTTCTACTATGCCAAATAAGATATAAATTCTTCAAATCTTACCATGAATGCCATGGCTGCCATCTGATAAATGATAGAATGAGCTGCTAGAGAGGTTGCTCCTAACATTCCTACAAAATAACAGTTAAATCTTTCATATGGTGATCGGAAAAAGACATTGTGTAAGATAACTTTGATGCTGTGGTAATACTGTAAATTTGTGAGTATAATGCGCATTATTTACCCCTAATCTTTACTCTGTACATTTGTGAAAACACGACACAAAATCAATGGGCTTGTAGAATGCAGAAACAAGGATGAAATACAGATTTTCTGTAAATGATTGTAGTCAGGAAAGCGAGCATGACAGATTTGTACACTGAATCAGGCTGCTATCAGCTGGTTTGTTTTACTCTATACTAAGTGCCAGTCTAAATAAAATACCTGCGAAGAAAACTAACACTTCAAAACTCCACCATTCTAGACACAACATCAGCATTCCTGGAAAAGCTAGACTCATATAGAGTTTCCAGTCTTCTAAACAGTGCCATGATATGCCTTAATAGATAATACAATAGATTCAAGATAGCAGGCAACATATTCAACAAGAGTGAACAACAAATTGGGTGCGCCGTTAAGACAAATTCAGTCACAGAGAGGCTTTCAGAAAGGATCAGCTCTCTTTGCCTTGTACAGAGATTACTGCAATCAGGAGGAGAATACCAAAGTTATGCAACAATTTACTTAACTTGACTCACAGTTACATTTCTTTTTTGCAATTTTGATATTGAACAACCAATAATAAATCTCTATTTGAAGATATGAGTTACTCACCAGGCCAAGTTGTTTTATATAATTTAGTTACTTTAATGTATAAGATATGTAATAAACCATTGGTCCAGAATCCTAGACTTAATCCCAGACCTGCACCACTGTAAATAAAATAGAATTAAGCACCTTTATAAAGAGATAGTTGGCAGTGGCTCTTTTACAGGTAGGGGGTGGTGGGCATTTTACATAGCGAAAGAATCACTTGTGAATCCCTTGATAATTCTGACTGATTGTTAGAACAGAAAAATAACTGTTTGGCAATAGAATGGTACCAGCAAATGAACTTTTCATAAGAGCAAGTAAATCAATCATAAATGAGTATTTCATGCTGAAAAATGGTATCAGGTGTCTAGAAACTTACCGAATACCTAGTTGCCACCAATATACCAATATACCATGATATACTGCTGTCATTATAGTCGATAGAAAACTACATACAAAACTTGGTATAACTATACTCTGAAAATAACAAAAGACTTCCAGGATAGAATGAAGAGCAGAATTGGGCAGACACACTACAGTGCTTACACGAAAGTTAGCTTTTACCAGCTAAAGCAAGAACATTTTCCCCAAGCTCAAATTACGCCTACCAATATCATGTTTTCATTTTTTGTGATTTGTGAAATTTTCATTTCAAACATTGACCCTAGGATAGGCATAAGATTCTTATAAAAAGGGGTACACTGTACCTGAGCTCTTAAATATCTGGTAAGAATCATACACAGAGCATAACCCTGAAATATAGTAAAACATATCAAATAAATCAGAAAATCACATCAAGTTCGAGTGGTCTGTATGGTTTTTAATGAAAATACAAGTCTTGTATATACCAACTGCACCAATTTTCAAGGATATGCACGTGAACAACCGCCACCGGTCTGTAAGTAGCACCATCTTACAAGTAAATCATATTATCTTAGTTATCTAAATGAGAGATAAAGATTTACTTACAGGGATGCCTGGGATAAACCACATCGCATACTGGAGAGCATTTCTGAAATAAAATAATCCAAAAAATTACCAAAAGTTCATCAATCATAATTACCAGGTAATTTAAGTCACTATGATAAACGCTTGTTGATGGGCTAGCCCACTGTAGTTATTTTCAACATTAGACCAGAAGTTGCTTAAACATTGTTAATTTGGCAATTATATTGAACAAATACAGGCTACTAACATGCATTAATTTGGGCGAAAGTTTTCAATATTGTAATAGGCCATTATTGATGGAGTTATAAAAGTTTCAGTGAAGTAAATAATGTTTATAGCTCACCGAGAAACATCTTCCAACTGCCCTACTGATATTAAAATATGATCTACATTGAGTAGAAACGCCCAACATGGGAAACAAACTATTCCTAAAATTAATATACCTGCAAAATAAATAATATATCGAAATTACATTCTAACTAAGTGAACACTGTGAACACTCTGAAAGAGATGACAAAGCTATTTTCAGAGCACAGAAATCTTTTGAAGAGTAAGCATTACATCACTTCACGGTTCAATAAAATACATAATTTGATTTGATTCGCAGATTGTTCCGATAATAAGTATTCAGAAGATTATGGATTTGCATTTCAAATATTCTATATTATTATTCAAACTAAGGTCAAAAACATTGCTCTTTCACTAGAGGTTACGCCTACATGCCTTTGCCTGTGCTTTCGTAACATTGCTTAACTGCAAAGTGGAAATGCCAAAATACTTACTTTGTTGTAAAATAATGCCAACTTTCATCTTGTTTTTACTTCCGAAAGTCTAAAAATATAAATCAAATGTAAATTTTATTTAAAAAAAACCCCAAAACCCAAGTAGATAGAAACAATCCTAGCAATAAAATGAAACTCCAAATCCAAAATAAGAGTTCAGCAATACATACAGTACATTGATAGTAGATAATGTACTTTTCACATGATAAGTATATCATCATCAGTGCTGACATATTTCATTATAAAGACTGTTATCAGATGTCTAGAAGAGTAAGCAATTGTTCATTCAAGTAGATAACTTTCATTTTCATCTATCCATCTATTTGATCACATGGAAAATAACAGAAATAGAAACAGAAATAAGGCAGTAAAATAGAAACATGAATATAATAATATTATGAGATGTTAAGTTGACAAATTCCATCATAATGAAGTTTCCTGGTAATAATCAGAGTGAAATGTTGGGAAAAAATCAAAAAATCAAGTAATATCTGAACATATGTCAGGATCAAACTTTATATGGAAGACCGAAAAGCCCAATATTAAGATGTCTCGATCCTTATTCCTTAGTCTGTAAAGCTTATTTCCTACTCCTTCATTTGTTCGTCTTAATATTGGACTGTTTGGTCTTCCATAACTTTAGAGCTATCATTTGTCAAATTTCTGATCCACCAATCTCTTAATGATGAAATGGTAAAATCACTGATAAAGATCAATGAAAAGTTCTAACTCTTTAAGCTGAAGGAGTTCGTGTCCTACTTGATGTAAATTAAATGAAAAAGTGGGGATTTTACCTGAGAAAATAGAGTCTCACAACCAGCAGCTAGACCTTGTAATATAGAACATCCTGCTACATTGATTAACTGAAATTACCATTAATACCAAGTCTGATTATAATCATGGCAGTGTCAGCCTTCGGAGAATGGGGGTACACAAATAGGGGGCCAATTGTCAATGTTGATATTACCAAAGTGGCAGCCCTGTGAAAGTGCCATACACACAACACCATACTACGTATGAAAGAGTTCTTCCAAGAAAATTTTTATAAAATAGAATTAATTTGGTGCATTCTGACACCTGTTTCGGGGCAAAAATGGATAAAAATGAAGTGGGGTACAAACCATATTTCTAGGTAGACAAATGTCCCCTGTACCCCCACTACCACTGCTGATTACAAAGTTTAAATCAGATTCAGTTTGCTGCCTCTAATACCTACCACGCTGACCACATACTGCCTAGATATATTCTATTGTAATTCTACAAATTTCATGAACAACGATGAAAGCTCGTAGAATAAAATACTTCAGTCAGTCTTAAAAGGTGTCTTCTTACTTCTTTTATTATACAACAACATAGAATGATACAGTATTATATTCAATTAGAATTCTTGGATTAAGAAAAACTTACAGTGAGAGCTAGAGCCACACCATCCAGTTGTTGTTTACCAAGATGACCACAAAACATTAAACTGATGATAAATAATGCCTGTTCAAACAGCTGAACTAATACCTGCAAAAAATACATTTCTTTTATCATTCACATTTTCAACAAAATGTAGTACTCCTTCCATTGAGGGAGAGTCATTTATTCACTACTAACAATAATGTTAGTAAAAATAACAATAATAAATTCTTTATTTTACATGGGTCAGAATTAGGTCCAGTACACAAGGACATAGTTCTATCTAACATTCAGCCCATTGGGAAAATATAATGCATGAATGAATCAAGGAAAATATCAATAGGTAAAAAAAACTTACGGTAGGCCAGGACAATTTAAAAAGAATTTTGAACTCTGATTTGTATCCCCTTGGAAATACATGACGGTATAATCTCAAAAAACAGTTGGTTTTCATATCTAAAATATATAGAAATAGAAATATCAAAACAGAACCTAAAAAAACATTTTGTTACTCAGAGTTTCACATCTTCAGACAACTAAAAATATATATACATTGTCTCGAAGTTTAGACATGAGAATAAGTTCTAAGTAGAGATGCAGGATGAATTATAAAGGTCAGTTGTCTGAAGATCGTATAGTGTGAAACTCTGAGTAACAACATGTTTTTATAGGTTCTGTATTGCTCTACAAGTGTTGTATTGAGCACTACTTTAACAATTGAAATATTTTATTATTTAATTACCTTTTTTCAACAAAAATACCTTACTAACAATATCATTCACTCCTTTCGACAGTATTTGAATATTTATTACCTGATCCCTGATACGAGATCAACTGGCCACAGTGAAACACGTTACAAATATGAAATATTCTACGACGTGTCAAAGAGATGATGCCAGTACTAATGAACTTTAGAGACGTTCACCCACCTAGCACAGTGTATACTGTAGCAGAACCTATTTCATCCTATCAATAAATGGAATAAGATGTTATCATTTTAAAATTTTATAATTATATTAACCTTCCACCTGATATAACACTATTATCATTATTTAGTTAACCATAGTAGATTGTAAATTTCACAGTACCATGCAGTTTATACAGATTTTATCATGGTCACAATGTTTTTATATTTTCAAACATGTGTCTACATATGTTTATATGTGTCTATATGTGTCTATATATGTCTCTATGTTTTTATGTGTTTATATGTGTCTATATGTATCTATATGTGTCTATTGTCTATATGTGTCTATATGTGTCTTTATGTGTCTATATGTGTTTATATATGTTTATATGTGTCTATATGTGTCTATATATGTCTATATGTGTCTATATGTGTTTATATGTGTCTATATGTGTTTATATGTGTCTATATATGTCTATATATGTCTATATGTGTCTATATGTGTCTATATATGTCTATATATGTCTATATGTGTCTATATGTGTCAATATGTGTCTATATTAGTAATTGGTGTCAATTCATTGTCTATTCATAAAATCATCTAAATTTTTTTTGTTTAACAACCAAGTTTGAACAATATTGTAAATATGTAACATCCAATGTTTCTTTTTGTCATAAAAATTGTAAGTTCAATTGCTATCAGACATGGTCTATAATTTGGCACTGTTGCACTTTACGCCTTTTCAGACCAGGATAGAAAATAATTACGTCTGCAGCCATTACACGACTTCGAAAACTTGACAACTGGATCAAAATGATAATAGACCTAATGATTTGACAAAGCAAGGGGACTAATCAAAAGAATTAAGTTACTATGTCATAACACTAGGTTATTATGTGTAATATTGAGCAGCAGTGCCAAGTGTGGTGCCAGGCAGGGTATGCTTACTCTTTTAGACACTGGACAGTATACTCTATTATTGATATACTTCTACATATGAAAAGTTTATTAGTTGCAACCAATGTATTGCCAAACTGTAAGTTTGGATTTTGGGTTTAATTTTGTGGTTTGGATCAAAGGTACCGGTAATTTGGATTTTTTTAATCAGTAGTCCCTATATCACGATTCCAATATGAAATTTTTTCAGTATTGGAAAGTAAAGATATGGTAACAAATTGAGTAAAACACAAGGACAAGGAGTGATAATTCATGCAATCACTTACCTGACTTAAGAAAAGTTGTTGTTTGGGAAAATCTTCTATCACCATCCTCTCCCAATTCACGACTGATCGTTTCCAAGGTTTCTACTTCAATTGACCCCATTTTTTCACCATGCATCAGATTCTGAAAAATCAAATAAGCTCATATAAAGATTTTGATGAATTTCTAGTTTTGTTACATACTATTGTGTTCTCCATTTATTTTTTGTGGTGAAAATGATTTGAATTATATAAAAAAATATATAGAAAATATCTTCGTGCAATAAAAATATAATTATTTGTTTTGTTCATTTTAAAAAAAGTATATTCCCATTTTCAGTTTGGTTGGATAAAATAGTTGGGAAGGTTGGTGTTTGGAGTTTAAAGCCCAATCTTTTATAGAGATATCATCAGTAAAGTGCTTAGAGATTTTCTCTCTGAAATAACCAGATTCCATTCAAATCCCCTTATGATCTGGAAGTTGCTTGAGAATCATTTCACTATACTGTGCAACATTGACATTTTGACGAAAGTACCCCTCCATACACCAATTTGCTACGAATACCCTTCCATACAATAAATCTTATTAAAATTTTTCTGATATCTCGACTGCGAACGATCCAAGAAGCTGAACAAAATTAGAATAATGATCTACAATACAGCCGAAATCAGTATCATGCATGGAAATAGACTGTCATTTTCAAAAAATTCAAACTTACCACCACATAATCAACTATCATTCGTCATATTACTGTCAAAATCACACAAAAAATCACAGTATGGTGGAAGGGAAATAACTCGTCTTATATTTTATTACACGGTTAACTCCCTTGATGTCAACTTGCCGACCTTGACCCCGTGAACTTCAATAGTCATTCCTCAGGTATTCAAACGGTAATAAAAGGGGACAATCAGCCACAGGTAAATTTATCCTTAAATCCTTTAAATCTGGAATTGTTCGTTAGATATCCATTGATTGGGATAAATATTAATTTTTTAGACATGTAAAGTGCAAATAGGAGCCGATTTCGTCTTTTGATCGAGAATTAAGCGCGAAATTCTTCGCACACCTGTAAAAAGTTTACCTGTGTATTTATTTGTGACACAAAATGGCGTCTCACTTATCATTTCAATTGTATTATGACTAATCTCATCTTGTATATCATCCTGTTTTGAATTTTTGTATTTTGTTTGTCAAATTTGATTACAAAATTTAGAATAAGAAATATATTTATTGCCTGTGAAGGTGTAGCTTATTAATTTATTTTCTGTCGCAATGTTTTGAATTTTTATTGGGTCAAATGGATATCTATAGGAAAACTAGATTTAAAAAAAAAAAAGTTATATACTGTTAAATAGGTGTCCAGTTTCAATTGTGGTGAAAATTTATGAATTTACTCGAGACCTTATTTAAGTGCAGATGAAGTTTCTTAATTGATTAACTGGATTAAGCTGATGACCTCATTATTACCTGTCTTGATTTGTTAATATGATTTTATAGATTATTGTGTAATATCCAATTCTTGTTTAAATTAAGTCAGAATGAAAATAATTGAACATTATTTACAATATTAAATGCTGCCCCTTGATATTGCACATGCTATATTGTCATGTTTAAACATAACTTAGGCTCCTAAAAGTTTTAGACTGTTTTTTATTATTAATATGATCAATTGTAATCCCTTTCTAATAAGAAATTGTCTAAAATTTGTAAATAGATTTAAATAGATCTATAACTTTCTTTGCATTTTTTTATAAATAATTTTTGAACATACTGGATTATGCATAGCTATATAGATTTTAATTCCTGAATATCAAATTGTTATATTTTGTTTTTATTGTTTCAGATAAGTCCCCAATTTCTTAATAATGTACAACTTTGTAATTTTATGTGTTTTCAGTCCCCAGTGTAATAAAATGGAGGTGTGGCTAATTAGCCTGCTAACTATACTAGCTGCTTGTATAACTGTAACAGTACAGCAGATAGATGAACAACAATGTATGATTGATAATGTTGGTGGCTGTCCAAAATCCAGACCACCGTAAGTACCTCTTTTCCATCGTGGTCACGTTCTTTTACAGTGTGCTTTACTTCACCATCAAAATGCCGTAGTACATGGAATGCATTGGACACATTTGACAAGATATTTTTCATTGGACAAAATTTCTACATGATCTGGTAAAAATTCAACTTTCGACTTCACCACCGAAAAAAAAAGGGGTCTTGTATGAATATTCTCACCATAAATGTTCAGTTTTAACTTTGCTTTTAGACTTACATTGATATTTTATAAATACCAAGTAAATCAGGACATACCCCTGCTCCAAGACTTTTTCTTTCAAAACTTTATAGAGGAATATAGTGACACGTTTATTTCTCCTAATCTGTCTCTGAATATTTCAGAGTGTATATGGTGATAGCACCTAGAAAAGTACGTCCCAATCAAGTTGTACAGATATTCACCAGTATTTTAAGATTGGAATACAGCCATATCAATGTCAGAATATCTGTTGTCAAAGATAACGTAGAATATGCTGGAACTTTGATGAAATTTGATAGACCCTCCAGTCGTATTATGCAACTCCTGGTTGGTATTTTTGCTTTTTTCAATTTCATTTTTTTTCTTTTTTGCTCAATTAACAATGCTTTTGTGTAGTCTAAGAAATGCTGAATTTGATAGATTTTATTCCTATTATGTTTTTCTGTGTGAAAGAGCTAGAATTTCTTTTTCCTTTAGATAGATTCTTATGTTGTGTTTTGAATGGTATTTCCCTCTCCATAATGCCCAATTGATTACATTATCCCACTCTATTAATAAACGCAATAAGTAATTCTTTCTTAGTTTATGACAGTGTATGTATGGTTATCCAAACTTTTCATTAAAAAGCGTATTGTCCCATGTCCCACTGTGCCCCAGTTTCCCCTATCAGTCCATTGTAATTGATGTAAATTTTGTTATTTACAGATGCCCCAGAATTCTCAAGAAGGGCAATACAGATTGCGTGTAGAGGGAACATTAAATGGTGGAATTAGTGGGTATATCTTCTATAATGAAACAGATATATTATTTGATACCAAACAAGCCTCGTTGTTTATTCAGATGTCTAAACCTTTATATAAACAGGGACAGCTAGGTAAGTTGTAATACTGTCACAATATCATAGAGGGATTGTAAAGAGGTTTTCTAAAATTTTTATGTGTATCAGGGACTCTGATAGCATCAATTTGCACCATTCTAATTTTCAGTCGGATGTCTGTGGTTCCTGAATATTAGCTTTATGTAAATGATTTCCAATGAACCTTTGAGGTCAGGGGTTATCCATGCTTATTTACTTTATTACGGCCTAAGAAATTTTAATATTTACATTGTTATACAGAGAAATGGAATGCAACATTTTATTGTATTTTTGATCTCAATATTTTTGTTCTTTTTTCAGTTCAATTCCGAGTTATTCCAATCCTGCCAAATATGATGCCCAAATATGGTTCTATGACTATTTACATTGATGTAAGTATTTTGCATCTTAACTTACTATTTAGACTAGTTGAAGACTTCACAAGGTGATATCTGGAGCAACATGTTCATATTTTCCATTCTATTATGATATATCTAATATTAGGCCTATATAGGCTACAATAGCAACATAAATACACTATAAGAATAGTTATCAATAAATCAATGTTATAATAGTTCTAATATAAAATCTATATTTCAGGATCCAACAGGTATACCTGTCAGAAGATGGTTGGGTTTACAGACAAATGCAGGAGGTAAGCAATGATTATAACCACTTTATGGTGTTTTTTTTGTCTCTTGGAATTCAGTGAAAAATATAAATTAGCAAAATTGGTCAAATCGAGTAGAAATAGGGAACAGCAATATACAAGCTTGAAGAATATTCACATGATGAGTTGGGGAAGGGATTAGGGCCCTTGGTAACCCATAGGTTCAAGGGCTCATAACCACAATAATAACATACTTTGTAATTGTTTTTATGTTGAATGTTATAATAATATCTCTGAAATAATATTACAGGTTTAGTAAGTCAGTCATTTCAGCTGTCAGATCAACCGAACCATGGAAACTGGTCCATCAGAGTTGTAGCTTTTGTAAGTATTAAGTCTTATCTTGGGGTGAACAATCAAAAAACTGTTTTCTAGTTCTCTATGTTACTAATGAATATAGCATTCTCTATAATTTGGATATTATATAGTTTGCTATAGCCTACAATGTATAATGATTATCATCATTTTAAATTTTCAGGGTCACACATACAGAAAGAAATTTGTAGTTGAAGAATTTTGTAAGTATATAATTTTCTATTCTTTTGAAATTTGGAATTATTGAATGAACCAATTGAAAACATTTTATAAAAAAGAACACTATTATAGATCTACTATTCCTTTCTTTAATTTCTGCAACGTTTCAATTCACATACAGGAATCTTTATCAAGCACGAAATAATAATGATATATCTATTTGTAAATGTGAGTTAGAGATTTGAAAACATTTTGTCATTTAGTTTTAAATTCTCTGTTCTATATGTTGTAATTATTTTATGTTTTTTATTCAGGGACACCACGATTTGATGTAAATGTCACAGTACCACCATATCTTAATGATACAGCTATGAATATCTCTGGTGTTGTATTGGCTAAGTAAGTGTTTGTTTTTTTTTTCTAATCAGTGTTAAACACTGCTCAAGCCATTGAACTTGGGATCCATAAGAACTATAACTAATGTATTAAGCTATACCACAGCTCTGTGTACGGTTTATAACCAATTCCTGGCAAAATGTCCCTCATTGAGCACTGAATGGAATGCCTGACCTAATTAGCACAATTTGGTACAGAACAGTAGGTTGTGAAACACCATTTCAATTATTCATTATACTTAAAAACTCTGTTTTTTTTTTTCAGTCAAACATCAGGTCGTCCTGTTATTGGTAATGCCTCTATTACAATGTATTTTAAACCACCTAACGCCCCACAATATGGTGACTACCCCTATCTTTATAGGTTCTATAGATATGTAAGTTATAATTTTCTAATTTAGATATCTAACATCTTTATTGGTTAATTATGCTTGATAGTCCCATAATAAAGGATCTCGAATCCCTGTCAGTGATCTAGAATAGAGGGGCTTATGTGGAAACTGGGTCTACTACTTTGAACGACAAAAACTGGCGAATATGAAAAGAATACCCTTAAAGCTGTCCTGTCATTGCAAGCTGTCTATTGTGCCTGTCTCCTTGAGCCTAATATAGAGCAGAGAAAGTTCTACAAGTCAAATTTAATCCATTTTCACCCATTTTCAGCATCGAGGACGAATTGATTTTATGTTTACTATGGAAGAAATCAAGGAATTGTCCGGTCGGCGAATGATTGGAAGTTTAGTGGATAGTGAACTCTTATTCCATGTAAATGTTTCCGATTGGGACTCGGGAGAAAATCGGACGGGGAAAGCGAGCACTATTATATTTGACTCCAAGATCAAGTTAAGATGGATAGGAGATCCGATAAGAACATTTAAACCCGATTCGGTTCTGAAAGTGGCGGTAAGTTTGCAATAGAATTTTAAGCCAATATCACGGATTGGTCAATCATATTTTGAATTTTTCTAATCAATACCCAATTGACCCAAGTCATTCAAACGTGACCAAAAACCTAGCTTAAGTATTTAAGATTCCTTGACAGTTGGAAATTTTCAAGAAGCAGAAATGTAGGATGTTGGCTGAATGTTGAGGAAAGATGTTTTATGGTTATCAATAAACCAGCATTAATCTTAGAAATTTGTTTTCTGTAGGTTGCTGTAACAAATTTTGATGGTACGCCAGTAAAAACTAAGAATCAGATAGTTCGGTTGTATTCAACTGTATCAAATACTGGACCTGCTACTATAAGTTATACTAATCCAATCCTCGTACAGCCAGTACAGGGTATTGCAGAATTCAGGATTTTTGCCAATAAAGATGCAGAGAGCATAGTAATGGAGGTATGCCTAGATAATTTTTCACAATTTTTCTAATTTTGCTTAAAGCATTAATAATGTCGAATTTATCAGTTTATTTTTAAAAATATCACCGCTGTCAGCCATTGAAACATGTACTTTAATTTTTGGAAAATTGATTTTAATTTTTATTTAAGCATGATAGCTTTAAGTGTATAAATAATCTAGATGTTTATACTGTCTAACATATTTTCATACACTTAATTGATTTTATGCAAATCTTATGGCAAGTTACCAAAGGCTTTATATGGACCACTTAGATGTACAGTGGCAATGGGCACCTGCTGAAGGCGTGGCTTAATATGTCCATCAACATTCAACACACTCCCACTTTTAAGAACAATTAAAAAGATTATTATCTATCTATGATTTTGATGTCACAAAAAATTGCATGATGACTCGTTATTTCAGGCTGATTACCTAGGTGATGAACTGACGTATCAAGATACACTGGAGCAGAAAATACAACTTCGTGCCTCACGTTACTATTCTCCTAGTAAAAGTTATATTACCATAGAAACTTCTACCCAACATCCTAAAGTAAGTTCTGTTATTTTGTCCTTGCATTTGGTACTTTGTTAAGTTTTTCTTTTCTGTTAGCCTGAATAGTTCAGTTTAGAAGCTTTGGTCAGAAGAGTTTAAAATTCAGTCAAGTGTTTTTGAGAAGAAAACCAATGAATGGAGTCTTTCGAATTTTGATCAACTCAATGTTTCGCAAGTTGAAAACTCTATTTCACAGTTCAAATTGACATCTTGTACTCAGTTATGATCAGTGAAACCCTTTTTTCCAGGTCAACGAATACATGATTTTCCACGTCAAAACCAGTAATTTCGTTCCGAGAATTTTCTACCAAGTAATATCTGGTGGTAACATTGTTATTGGTGATGAATTAGAAATGACGTCCAGACAGAAAACATTTGCTATAGCGTTATCTCGAGAGATGATCCCAACAGCACGTCTGGTGGTGTTTTATATTCGACAACCAGAAGAAGTGGTCGTTGATGTTTTGAATTTCTTCGTCAATGGAACTAGACAGAATCAGGTCAGACACGATATGATAATACAATTGATAACATGATCCCAAGGCACTTAACTGTGCTATAACTAGTTTAATTCGAAGTTTTAGCATGATTTACTCTGTAAATGTATAGAGAGGTGGACGAGCGACTCTTATTTTCTTGAACATGAGGTTTTGAGTTTAAATTATTTAATTCATGAAAACTGTTGTAAATATTATTTAAACCATAAAACTATTTTTCCAGGTGAAGCTCACCATTAATCAAGGAAAAGATTTTAGTCGAGATTCAATAGAATTCAACGCCTACGCTGATCCTGGTTCTTATGTAGCCTTCGCTGCCATGCCCCATGATCTGTTTATTAGAGGGTTGAATGATGGCATCAGTGAGAACAATGTAAGTACCGACATAACCTGATTGGGCCATCAAAGTTTTGGATATTAAGTAGGGATAGGCATAAGGCATAAGGTCTGAAAAGAGATGTTTTTCTATTGACAAAAAAACAGGTACATAACTACTGCTGAGCAATGTTCCTAGTGCTGTTTCTGAATAGATATGGCAAAAGATCCTTCATTTATTACAATGTCAAACCGAGTTAAAAACCCTGAACCATCTATATAAATATAATAAAAGCCACCCTGTTAATCATATATTTGTTTCTTGTTCTAGTTGATCGATGAATTGGGAACATATGATCAACCAGCCAATGGAAGTTATCGACATCTGTGGCGTATTAGTGATACAGAGTATGAATATAAATTTTTCCATGCTAATGGATATGGTATTGATGCTAACACCACCTTTAAGGTATGTTTCTATTTCTGAAAAAAATATGGCATTGAAAATGTGAAAAAAGACCCAGGGAAATAATAAAAAATTGTCTTTGTGAATTTAAATGCAAACTCTATGGTTAAAGAAATTTGTTGACAAGTTTGTTGTGTTGATATATTGGTGAAAGATTGTTGTTCATCTGTTTCAGACTGCTGGTTTAATGGTATTGACTGATGCTAGATTAGACAGATATCAGAGTAAATATTTTTTCTTATATATATATGATTTCAGAAGTTGCCAATGGCAACTACCAGTTTATTTTATCTTTATGTAATGAAACTGTTTGTAGTATCTTAATACTTGTACCATATTCGGGCCAACCACTGGTAACACTCTAATTGTATTGCATGCGCACTTCACTTTGATAAAAATGGCTTGACTAGCGAGGATGTGTTTTGATGTCTGTTTCTTCCTAAAGAACACTATATGTAGTAAATATACTACACTGTTGGCTTCTTGTGACATATTTTTTTGTACTTGTAGATGCTGAAGCCTGTGCACAACAGAAATTGCTGCCATGTTTTACTGGAATAGGTAGTTGTTACAATCCAGATTTAAAGTGTAATGGAGAGATGGACTGTGCTGATGGAGCTGATGAATGGGGATGTAAGTTGTTTTGTTTTAGCTCTATTGGTTGATTGCATTCTTGAGTCTACGCCTGGTACAGGTAGTACCTTAGGGTGACTTGGCTGGCTCATTCTTGAGTACAAATATAGGAGCTTGTTACTGTGTCTTAAATTTTGTATTTATCCCATATGCAAAATGGTTGCCTTTAACTTTGCATCCGAGACACAAAGAAAAATTATTAAGCTTTGTCAAGTAAAATAGGTCTGCAATTTGATTGACTCAAGTTAGAATATATTTCATTTTCCTTTGCTCCTTTTCAATTTCCAACTGTAGAGGGATCTTAGAATGCAAAGCCTGTAGCACACACAGGGCCTCATTTATTGTCCAATCTGAGCATCTGGAAACTTTTTACCATGTGAGCTCCTCTGATCTGCATCACTGACAGGGGGAAACCAGGTTGAAAGATCTTAAAAATAACTTGTATTTATTGTATTATAAATAGGTCCATATAAAGATGATAGATTAGTTATTGAGAATGCTATGGATAGAGTGAGTCGAGTTGACAGATTTTACGATGACAGCTCCTGGGCCTGGAATGAAATCTTTGTCAAGTACGTATTTATTTGTATATATGTAACAAATCATCACAATACATTGTCAACTTCTTTTCAAATCTATTCAACTAAAATTTTATAAGATTCAGAAATAAACTTTGCAGGTAGAGTATAGTATACTTTTGTATTTTGTTACCATGAGCACTAATCAGTCAAAGATTCTTTACTCTTTCATGAAAGTGCTTACCAAAGTTGATGGCTCTTGTTTGTATTTAAGGCCTGATGGACGTGTAGATTTCCGTGTGAATGTACCAAAATACCCACTAGCTTGGGTGATCAATGGTTTATCAATCAGTAGAGAGATTGGTTTGGGTATCATGCAGACGCCAATCAAAGTAAGTTATCTCACTTAGTTTCTTGGGTTTTGTTTTGTAAAGTTTTATTAAAGTTTTGTGCTAAAATTATGTGTTTTGTGATTAATGTAATCACCTGGTAGAGCAAATACATAGACAACTGTATCTCGTGTAGTCAGTCAGGTAAAACATCATCAAACTTGCAAGAAAAGTTTAAAGGATGCAGGTGCTGAGTAACCATTGCTAAACATTCAGACGTATTAACCAATATAATCCATGATAATGCCCTGTATATATTAATGCTTTGTCCGCACATAAAGTTTTGATAACTCTAGTCCAACACATCAATAAGATATATTTATATTTGATTACAGTATGATGCAGCAAGGTATATGTATATACAAGTAGAAACACCCAGTGTTATTGTACGAGGTGAACAAGCTGGTGTTCGTGTCACAGTGTTTAATTACTGGTATGTTGATGACTATATTGAGGTGAGTTGTCTTTTATTGTCAAATTGGTTAAGAATTGACAATGGCTGACTGGAAGCTCTGACTGTGGTAATTGAGGGGATTGGAACTTATGTCATCTAATTACATAGCAGACACCAATCCAGCTTACTGCTGAGTTATCACTGTGCAAAATTGAATCAAGTCACTTGTCATCCATCAAATAAGGTACCAATAAATTCTGCATGATAACCTATTTAAAAACATAACCAGTGAAATTGATACAGGTATTGTTGCTTGGTTTTAGTTTAGGTGATTTAATTTTACTGTCTATTACTTCAGGTATTAGTAACAGTTCATGATGATCCTCAATATGATTTTGTGGTGGTAGAAGATATGGGTATAGTGAAAGCATACAGTCCACGAACACACAGCGGAGATCATCAGACTATTCTATTTGTAAGTATTTCTGTCTTAAATTGATTAGACTGTTTCCTAACCTCAAACCAAGAACTTATACATGTATAGTCTATTGGTAATGAATTTGCCATCAAGATGGTATGATTTGGAAGAATGATCATTTATGTATTTATATTTGATTATGAATTTATTTTGTATTTGTAGTTGGAACCAGGTCAATCTAAAGATATCTACATGCCCATTGTACCTAAAATAGTGAAGGGTCAATTTGAACTGAAAGTTTCAGCTTCTTGTTTCATGGAGAGAGATTTTGTTAGAAAAACCATCACAGTTATAGTAAGTAATCATTAATTTATTCATTTGAATTCCATGTGATTCCATTTAAGGAACCATAGACATCTGACTGAAAATGGTGCAAATTGATGGTATCAGTGTCCCCGATAACAAAATATAGAAAACTCTTCACAATCCCTTTAAGATATCTAATGAGGCATTGTCATTTTTAAAGGAATCAGAGGATATGTTTTGTCTGCTGGTGTTTGGCAAAGATTTCTTCATGATTTTCTGTACCTTTATAGACCTTATATCGTTAGACTAATGACGAACACTTCCGAAGTGAGCAACAACCCTCCCCCCGCCACAGCTGATCAGAATAATGATATATAATCAATTGTAATTGTTATTCTTTCTAGCCTGATGGAGTAGAGAATTATTACCATACCCCGTATCTTATTGATTTGATCCGATTTGGTGCCTTGATTATTCCTGATTTTGATGTGCCGGTTCCTGAAAGATTCGTCGTTCCTGAACAGCGAGAGCATTTGTATGTACCTGGTTCTCCAATTGGCCATCTCAGTATTTTTGGTATGTTGTTTTTTTATTTGTTAAATTTTGTGTTTCTTTTTTTTTTCAAATTTTGCTTCAGTTGTGCCTGATAGTCATTTGCCTTCACATGGAACAATTAACCATGGTCCCAGAACAGTTGCAAATAAAAAAAGATAGGCAAATGCTGCTGTCATTGCAAAATTTCTCTCACTACACACTGCATGGTGGTCCCCGTCCTCTGGTGCAGAAGTAAGACATAAAACACAATTTCATTTCTATCATCTGTAAAATTCTTTCTTGGTTTTCTAACAGGTGATGTAGTAACCCCAGGATTTTTTGAAGAATATTTGAACGCTGAGAATATTTTACATCGACCATACGGTGCTGGAGAAATGATCACCTTTAATTTTGCCTATAATATGTGGACGTTGAAATTTATGAAAGCTTCAAAACAACTGACTGATGCTACATTAAAGAAAGGACTTTACAATATGAATTTTGGTGAGTAATTTTTGAAGGTCATTTATACTGTCTTCTCAATTTGCCTCCCTTAGATGGTTTGATTGTCCATAGTGCATTTAGCACATGCTCTAGAATATATTTTGCAAATTTCTCAAGTTTCTTTGAAAATGGAAATATTTCATTTAGAGTTATGATTATGATTATGATTATGATTATTATTATTATTATTATTTTATTGATTGTTTACAGCTATGCAGAGAATGTTGGGTTACATGCATCATTCAGGATATATGTTTATGTTTAGAGATGATCCTAGACCCAATATATGGTAAGCATGTTTTTTTTTATACATCTCTGGCCACGTATTCTCGAAATGATCTTAGCGCTAGGATGTCCTAGAATCAATGTTAGAAGATAAGGTTTCGAGAATGTGTGTCCAGGGTGGTATTTATAGTTATAATTAGATATTTTGTGGAAGGATGTAATGATTTATTCATGATTTGTTCAGAATATACATGCCAAACATCAGGGCAATGTTCTTCATGAAGAATGCGACTTCAATCATGGCCATGAAAATGAAGCATCACCATGAAAATGAAGCATCACCATGCAAATGAAGCATCAGAATTAAGAAAAAGCCCCACTTAATTAAGGTATTGAAATCATTGCCTGAGATATTTGCATCACATTAATAGGTGATCTCTGACATTGTCTTCCGTCGAATGATGTTTGCTCATTGAAATTAATATCCTATGATTTATTATGCTGTGTGATTTTCCAGGTTGACAGCGTTTTCTGTAAAGACATTCCATACAGCTAGATATGGTGAATGGGAGAGAGATTTATTTATACCTCTAGAATTAATCAATAGAATGGTAGTGTGGCTATGTAACGCTCAGAACAAAACAACCGGAGCCTGGGACCCTGATACTGATTTCTTAGCTTCTGATAGAAAAATGGTAATATATATTATATACCTTGAAACCAGGGAAGCCACGGTGGAGTGACTAATGTCGCTCTCTTTGCAAAATCTCCCTCATTGAACACTGCATGTAATTGCCTGTCCTCAATTTAAGTGACTGTAAAATAAAATAACCACAGCACCCAAGAAATTCTTAACATTGTTAAGGATTCAAACTGGTATTGGCCAAACTAGAATGAACTGAGCCATCTAGCAGAAGCACTTGCCTGTGCATCAGAATTTTTCTTACAATGAGAAGGATTTGAACAGGACCTTAATGTCTAGCAGACAACAAACTCCTTACTGAGCTATTCCACTGAGTTTTTTGTTTCTATGTGATATTTCAGACATCCTATGCCAGTATTGCCAATGAAGAAATGTACATGGATCAAGTTCCACTCACAGCCTATGTATTAATAGCTTTATATACAACAGAGGATGTCTCTGGGGTAGGTTTATTTATTGCTCGTCAATCTGATTAGAATTTAGGCCACATATTCTCAAAACGATCTTAGTGGTAGGATATTCTAGAAACAGTGTTAGAAGTTACAACTCTAGGACATCCTATACACAGTGTTAGAAATTAAGACTCTAGGACATCCTATACACAGTGTTAGAAATTAAGACTCTAGGACATCCTATACACAGTGTTAGAAGTTAAGACCCTAGGATATCCTAGAAACAGTGTTAGAAGTTAAGACCCTAGGATATCCTAGCACTAAGATCGTTTCGAGAACATGTGGGCAGATCTAGATGTATTGTTTTCTGTCTTTTCTCTTTGAACCTCTTGCTATTTTATCAGAATCTAATTTTTTATGTATTGTGCACAAAGTTCTTACAGTACTGCATGCATTGTCTTTCTTGGTTTGCTTAGTAAAGTAGCCGTTGTCAGTTTTGAAGAGTTATACAGTAAAACTTCTCTAAACTCATCCTCAGGGAACTGCCATGGCACCTCCTCTAAACTGAAACTCAGAAGTCAAAAGCAGTAATCTTAATTTTTTTTTTGTACAGGATGCCTTAGTTTGTATAGACACAGCCAAATCAATGGCTGCCAATTACTTATCAAACGAAGTAGAAAATATCGACTCTCGCGAAATATTCCATTTGGCTATAACAGCCTATGCATTGTCTTTAACTCAAGAAAAGAGTGTGGCGCCATTTAAACGACTGTGGGACTTAAGGAGAACAGGTAATTTAAATATTTTGATTCTCATTGGTTGGAGCTCATGTGAAACTGTTGATACAAGTTTAGGATAAAAAATCCTCATCAGGACAGATGCATTTAGAATGGAGCTGAAGTGGCAAGTTAAATGGCATAAGATGTTTTTGCCAAGTAATCCAACTCATTGAACAAGAGTAAGAAGCTCAAGTTCAAAAGTCTTTCATCTTCAGAATGTCAAACTATTACAGACTTCATCTTATACCTTGACTGCAAAAGCCACTATTCTTACTAAGTACTTAGTTCAATACTGACAAAAATTCAATTGCCTTCAACATTTTGTTTTGTTTTATTTCAGATAATGAAATTTATTTTGCCGATCAGAAAATTCAGAAAAATCCTACAACTATTATTAATACAGTTAGATTTTTACTGCCTAGACAAGAATTAATGAATGAAGGTTACGCTGTTCAGTCGACAGCCTACGCTCTGATGGCTCATATTAAACACAGTACTGTTAAATACGAACGAGATGGTATGATGAGATGGTTACAAACTATGAGAAATAGGTTAGTATTAGTTGGGTTGGTTACAAACTATGAGAAATAGGTTAGTATTAGGTTGGGTTGGTTAAAAACTATGAGAAATAGGTTAGTATTAGTTGGATTGGTTACAAACTATGAGAAATAGGTTAGTATTAGTTGGATTGGTTACAAACTATGAGAAATAGGTTAGTATTAGTTGGATTGGTTACAAACTATGAGAAATAGGTTAGTATTAGGTTATGGTTTAGTTGGGTTGGTTACAAACTATGAGAAATAGGTTAGTATTAGTTCGGGTTGGTTACAAAGTTTGTAATACAAACTATGGGAAATGGGCCTATTACAACAGTAAGATTGTTTACAAACTATGAAAAAGGATATTTTTAGAATTTGGGTGAGCTACGAACTATGAGAAGGCTATTGTGAATGTTAGATATAATTTTATTTTATTTTGTAATTTTACAGTATTGGTGGTTTTGCATCAACCCAGGATACCATCGTGGCTATGGAAGCTTTGTATGAATTCACTCAGAATGATCCTAATAGAAACGTGTTTGATATCATGGTACAGTTAGAATCTACAGCCACTCCTGATTGGAAAGTTAAACATTTCCTCAAGAAAGATAATTATACTAATTTACAAAATACTTTTGTAAGTAAAGACTTGTTAGGTTTTATATTAACTTCAAAGTTGTAAAAAATATGACCTGACCGAATATTTCTAACAGCTTTCCTCGTCAAGAGATAACTTTAAGAAGGTTGTTCATTTATTTATTATTCATGCTATGTTTTATGTTAAATTTATATTTTGATTCTTATTTTAGTTACCGACAGTTTGGGGAGCAGTGAAAATTTTAACCCAAGGTACAGGTCGAGCTTTGATGCAGGTCAGTTAAAGATCATTTTTATGATTTCTATATCACTTTTCCAAATGTTCCTTCAGGTGTCCCAAAATATCTTGCCAAACCTTGAATGCTGTTAGCGCGCTCATAAGGAAATTTTAGCTCAAGGGGTCCATTCTAAAACTCAGTCTGTTTCAAACCTCATGGCAAATATCTATCTTGTGTTACTTCTAATTGAATGCCCCCCTTATTTTTCATTGTTACCCACTAAAATGTAGAAGAGTAAGGCATAAAAACCATAACATTTGACAGAATAGTCATGACAGCAGTCATTTGAAATTTCTCCTTGTGTTTCAGTTGACCACAACAGTAAATGTAGAACATAAACAGTTTCTAAAACAACCACAACGAGAAGACCCCGAGGACCCTGATAGTCCTGTTATTGCGTTTTTTGACCTGATTATTGACTATGTGAGATATTCTGGTAGGAATTCATCCATTATGGAGATGAGACCATGTGTTAGGTAAGCACCTTAAATTATTCAGTAAGATTTGGTAACATATATTGATAGAATATACTCCCAGCAATTGACTTGAGCTCATCTTGTACAGCTAGTTTCAGAAATAAAGGGATTTAGGAGTATGAGTAAATTAAACAAGCTCACTTCAGAGGATTAATCTATCAAAACTTTGAATATTGTAGTTGGTTATATACACAGAGAAGTTTAACTAGTGGTTTATCAGTGTTAGAGATTGATATACCTACAGGATATGTTGTCATGAACGACACACTACGAGAATACGTCCAATCAGAAATAGTACCCAATTTAAAACGAGCTGAATTCTACGGAAGAAAAGTTGTCTTTTATTTCAGCCATGTAAGTATTAACTTTTATTCTTAGTTACTTAGCAACTCTTTCATGATGTGGCACTTGTTGTTAACCCGTAAATCGTAGATCCCATCCCAGAATAGATTGATAAATTGAACCTGGGGTTCCCATCTCAGTTATGCAAATCGGAGGGAGATCATTTAGTTGTTCCAATAGTATTCCAAGCATAATTTCCTTTATTGCACACTGTAGGGCATAGCCTTTCTTCTACAGATCAATATAACTTGATCCTGACTATATATTTTATCTTCCAGTTAAGCCCAGAGCAGACGTGTGTGTACTTCCGTGCCAATCGTTGGTATCCTATAGCTAATGCTACAATTCAACACAGAATGAGAGTTTATGATTATTATGAGCCTGGTAAGTTGTTTCACTGATCAGCGGCTTATTGTCCAAAACATTGTATAGACAAGAGCTCAACGTATGTTTTGGAATGATCCACATTTGAAATGCATCATTTACTGTATAATTTCGAATATGATGCACAGGCTTGTATAATACGCACCCCCTTTTACCCTACAGTAAATATGGAGATCTCTGATTTAGTCATCTGATACCTGCATGAATCTGACATTAATATTTTTGTCAGGATTTCAAGGGAATTATCAGTACCACAGACACAAATATTTAGAGGCATTGAAGATGAAGGATTTCTATTAGGCTTTTTTCATCACTTCCTCATTTATATATTCTATTTTTGGTCCTTCAGATGGGAATTTGGTAAGGTACATGTCAGTTTTCTCCTAATAATTTGAATTATTTTATTTTTCAGGTATGCACAATACAACATTCTATACAACCTATGGTCTGTTTAATTTAAATATATGTTTTGTATGTGGTTCATATCAATGTCCGTATTGCCCGTCATTTAATATCGGAACTATTCTGAAAGCATCATTCACTTTAGTTTGTCTGGTATTTGGTTATATTGGTCAGCGTTATTTACTGCGGTCCTGATCTGATTGGTTTTTTCATATCTAGTTGATTTAATTAACAATGACAATTCATTTTTTTTTTTTTTTTTTAAATCTTTATCCATTTCATTTTTTCATTTTTTATTTTAAACTCTTGTAAAAAATCTTTTATTATTTTCCTTCATCTGTATCCAACAATTTTTTTTTTTCAAATTGTCATTCCTTTTCAAAGAGTCTGGTTTTGATAATCTTTAATTATGATGAAAAAAGACTTCTTACACCAAGTGCTTTTTCTCACTATCTGACCAAGTACATTCCAAATTATTTTTTCTTTCATTCCAACTATTTTCCCAGAAGTAATATTGCAAAAAAATACCACCAACCACCAATATCATTTTCTCATTTTTTTGCCATTTTTTGTCAATTATATTATCATTGCTATCAGCTCAAATTGTTATACAATAATTGTGATGCACATACCGAGACATTTCTAAACATAATCAAGAGACTTCTAAAAGAAATATTTAACTATGCAAGTTTAAAAAGTTATGACCCTTTTTTTATTTGTTCTATAATAAATTTATGGTTATGTTTGGAAACGTCTTTGTATGTACTTGTGTATCTTTGCAAGATAAAAAAAAAATCAATTTTGAATTCATTTCATTTTAATTTGTAAATATAAATGCAGTGTATGTAATACTGATATAAGTAAATATGCAAATTATTTTTAATTATGTGCATATATTACTGTAAAGTGTATGGTTGATTTCAAACTATCTTTAATTATGTCCATATATTAATGGAAATTATCTATAATTATGTGGATATATTACTTAACAGTATCTTCAACCATTTATGTATGATAATGCAAAGTGTCTAAATTTGAGATCTAATTTTACTGCAAAGTATCTTTGATTATGTGCATATATTACTGTAGAGTATTTTAAATTATGCGCATAAATTACATATTAATATTTAGAATCATTTTTTTTTAACACATTAAGATTAACATTCCAATTAAATTGTAAATATTTTTGTAGATTTTTGAATGTTGCAACTGAAAGTGCTTATTAGAAAGTGTAGGTTTTTAACTTTTTTTTATTATTATCGTTAAACAGACATAATCAAACAGAGAACAGTGAAACTTTTTGTAACCTTTCTAAATCCTGATAAATTAGAATGGGGTAGGAGATGATTCAGTGATGATCTCAATTTGATTTCAAACTCTATTTCTATTTTATATCAGTATGTGGTGTCCCTGTTATAGGTTAATTTCACTAAACCATCTTGGGTTAAAGAATCTAGAGCAATATGTCATTGAAAAAAAATTATTTTATGGGGAGTAAAAAAAATGATCCATTCAACTACTTTTAAATCAGACAGTCTGTACTTCAGACTTGAAGCAAGTAAACTTCATGTATATTTGGATGTACCATGTAGAAAGATTTTAGAAGAATTATATTTTTCAATTTGTATATAATAATTAGATTTAAAATCAGCCATTTATTGTTAATATCATTCCTTTATAACTCTATATTTTTTACATAATAAATTTTTTAACAAAATGACAATTACTACGTTGGTCCTAAGTTTGGGAAATTAACATCCATTTCCAGGCCATCTGTGCTGGTCTAAAAGGAGATGATCTTTTGGATTAGAATCAGCAGGGAAGGAGGAGTTGTAAAATAAAAGAAAGAGGGATGCTGTCTCTGTGCATGCCTATTATTACATCTGATGGACTTAGCAAGGACAACTGCAGTCTCATTTTTGTGGGTGCTCTTGTAGGGTGTCGTTCTACATAAAAGCAAGGAAAGGCAAATGCTGCTGTCCTGGTAAAATTCTCATTGTACACTGAATAGTATTTCTAATCTATAATAACCCAAACAGCAGCTTAGATACAGAAATATCAAAAAAAGGACCAGCATGATTAAGACTAACATCAAACAGTTCTATTTCAAAGTTTATTTTCACAAAAAATAACAAAAAGTTGCATTCCTCCACTTAACAATAATAATAATAACAAGTTTCTTGATAAACATAATTATAAATAGAATTTATCAAAATATAAAACAATAGACTAACCCCATTCGTTCCCCGAGATCCTTCATGCAAGAGTCTTGCAAACCCACAAAATAAGGGGGTGTTATGAGTTAAGTTTGATTCAGGAAACAACCACTGTATACACAAAAGTGTGTGGTCATGCAAAAATATAGTTGTTTTCATCTGAAAAGTATTTATCATGTAGACTGAACTATTCTCTGTTCCCCTCTACAATCTTTTTTACGCCAATTTACCCCTTAACAAAAATATGTATCATAAATTTGCAATAAACAAAAAAGAAAAAAAAAAAGACCCTGATCGTCTATTCCAAGAAGATTGATTACAGTTCTCCCTTAAGGCACTTGTTAAATTTAAAACTAAAAATTGTTAAAGATCATTTCTAATGACTACAGTGTTAGTCTAATACTATTTGATTTGAATTAAACTCAGAAAGACTCTGCAGTGCATCTTTCTTGTTTCCTGCAAGAGACAGTTTATTTTTTCTAAATGCATAAATAATGATGTTAGTGTTCTTTTTCCCACAATTGAAGATAAACAGGAACCAAAGAATCATTTTATGTCTCAAGCAAAACCTGTAGACCCCAAATTTTAATTTGTCATTTCTACCTTTTTTGACTTACTAAATTATATTTTTCCCCATTTTTCAAATATACTAGTTCAAATCTCCTTCAATGTAAGAAAAAATGCCTTATTTCTTGTCAAGAGTCAGCTCAGAGCCCACTTTTAACCAACTCTAATTCTCAAAGAGTTCTGCCATGTCCATTCCACCATCAGTTGGTTCTGTTGCTTCACTAGTTGTCAAAGTAACAGTATTGGTTTCCATGGAATTAGGATCTGTTGTCATGACTACTTCATTTGACATGGTTGCCTGGGAGACGCCTGGAGGTAGAATCATGGATTGCACCATATCTACATGATGAGCTCGCTTGATGTGAGTTTTTAAGTTGCCCTTCTGTAGGAAACTCTTTCCACAATAATCGCAAGAATGTGGTCTGACATCGCTATGACGACGAAGATGTATTTGAAGAGTATTTTTCTGATTAAATGCTTTTTGACAAATTCCACAAACAAACGGTCTTTCACCTGAAATAAATGAAAAAAATTTATTAGAAAATCCAACCTAGCAAAATAATTAGAACATAGAAGATAAGGAATTTATCACTGGAGAAAACCTATCCAAGTCATGTATATAAGTCAAACCGCAAAATGATGACAAATTCAAAGATGCAGACAGGGAATGAGTCTAACTAAAACCTGTGACCATTCAATCTTGGACTGAAAATCAATAAAACCAATTAATATCAAAGATTTTTTCATCAGACATTTTTAATCTAACCTACAAACATGGTCCAAATACCTACCAGAATGTATTCTGATATGTCGAGCAAGTTGACTTGGTTTCTCAAAAGATTTATCACAAGTAGGACATTTATGGAGTCTATCTTTCATCTGTTTGGGTGAAATACCATGCGTTGATAAATGATCTTTTAAGTGTCCTGCCCTTTTAAAGCCCTTGCCACAAATCTAAAATAGAACATAAGAAATTGGTGAAGAAAATTGCAATAAGTCAAAAAGTAACTGAATAAATTTGAACTTAAATTGCAAAGAAAATGGCATTGTGACATCTGAAATGAAATGAGTTTTACAACTATCTGTTCTTAAGGGAGGCAAAATCTTGTATTTGGACACAATTTTGAATATTAATACCAATATTGTCCTTAATGATGTGCACTCTCTGAAACGGATGCTAAGTAGACAAAAGTGAATACCAAATAAGCTTTATTAGCTTTGTGAACTCATAGGGAAGCTGAGTAGACATGCCAGATACAAGATAAATATAATACAATGGATATATGTATATAACAGAAGAATCTTGTCACACAGTGGTATCAGATGGAAGGTGATACTGCTCTAACTCACTAGCGACACCTGCCAAGAACCTATCAAAGTGAAGAATAACAAGGAAACTTACTGTACAAACATGGAGTCTTTCAGGATCAAAGTTTTTCTCGATACTAATTTCTGATGCATCTCCAGTAGCCATATTGGTTACCATTTCAGATGTCATTAAACTTTCATCATGGGATACCATATCAGACTTGTTATTCAGGTCTTCATTCAAATCACCTCCATCATCTTCATCTGGATCATCCAGGCTCATTTCTCCACTTTCATCAGGTATTACTGGATCTTGAACATCCAGTGGATTTACAGTGATCTAAAATCGAAATGATCAAATATGCAAATTTATCAAATCAAACCATACTGCTGTCATGGAACCTCAAGTCAACACATCTTGTTGTGTATGTCGTTCAATTTGCTTTATCTAGCTGGCAAGGTATAATGATGACAGCAAATTTGATTTACCGTTCTATTAGAACTAGTCTAAATCGCTGAGTCATCTGCTTCCCTCTGACTTGTAAGCTGCACTCTCCAAGAACAAAATTATGAAAGTAACTTCTTACCTGATCAACATTGGAGACATTGTTGGTGTCAGACGTCATTTCAGATTGAGACATGACCATATTTGGAGGTATGAGGATATTCGGATTGACACCTTCTGACATAGAGACCTGTTGTTGGACTTGGATGTTCTGGACTAGGTTAGGATCGGCAGTGGGCGTAAGAGACTGGTTAATCATGTTAGGATTAATGGTGATGTTGATGTTGCCTTGCTGTTGTAGCTGTTGCAGTAAATTAGCATCAATCTGAACAGTTTGTGACAGCATATTGGGATCGAGTTGCATTCCTTGTCCAAGATTTCCAGTAAAATGAAGCTGAATTCCATCCACACCCTGTAAAAATTGAGCCGCGAGTGCAGATTCTCCCATATTTCCACCAACACCATCTGCTACTGTCAGAGACACTGGCATGACATTCTGTTGAGTCAACATAGACGGATCTAGAGTCAAAACTTGGTTTCCTAGCGCCTGTTCTTCAACTTGCTGCTGCCCTAAATCTTCATCGTTTGCTTCAAGATGGCGAGTGAAAGTCTTTCGTTTCTTCGTTTGAGTGGTTGGATCTTTGAAATGGGATAAAATGTGACTTTTTCGATGTCCCGAAGTTCTGAATCGATGGTCACAATGAGGACATTTAAATGGTCGTGCCCCTGTATGAAGTCTCATGTGTACTTTTAAACTTCCCTTAGTGGAGAATAAAGAGTCACAAATATGACATTTGAAAACTTTATCACCTGAAATCCAGAAAAAATTTATTAATTAATTGTCAAATAGTCCAGAGAAATATTGCCTGAGAACTATCCCAAAATTTCAAAAAAATAAAACTGTATTAGTTTATTGGCCATGTGAACTCTACGAAATGCATTCGAATTATCATCTCAGCTACAGGAAAGATCAAAGGCAAGATAACTTAAGAGGTACCTTTGTAAAATATTGCTGTTTTGGACTGTAATTTATAAGCACTATAATAATTCAACACATGATAAAATACTTACAATTTCCATGAGTTTTGACATGGCTAGCTAATGTTGATTTAACAGTAAAAGATCTATTACATATATCACATGTATAGGGTTTCTCTCCAGTATGAGTCCTCACATGTCTCTGTAAATCACTGGGCTTCTTGAAACTTTTAGGACAATGGGTACATTTATAGGCATGTTTAGAATCTGCTGAGTTCATGTCAGAATTATCTACATTCTGCATTATGGACTGGAATCAAAGAAGCATATAATAAATAAGAAATCAAGGAATTAGCAAATATAGTTCTCAGAAAGCTGTAGTTATGTAAAATTTTATGGCAAATATAATATGGCACTAGCTACTAAGTTGTATCAAGTTTCAACTTGTATTTATCTATCAAAATCAATGGCAGAGATTCTGAATTTAATTTACCACTATAACAAGAAAATGTAGTAGTACAGGTGAATGGACAACAACAACAACAAAATACATTAATAACGTGCATATCGTAAAATAAAATTTCACATTAATTTAGGAGAAAAAGAACATTCATGAAAATTCTCACCTTAACTTCACTAATCCTGTCTTTCTCCACGGATGAGACCATCAGTATTTTTTCAGACAATGACAACTCCTCTACTGTCACTTTATTAAGTTCTGTTGTCTGGTCGTTCTGGACTTGTATTATAGTTGTAGTCTCTGTGTCCATGGCTGGTAAATGAGACTCAACCACTGGCACATCATTTTCATCTACAACAAATCATAAACCTTCTAAATACTGGTCAAATAGTAATACATACTGATAAATTTAATCAGAATTGAAGCTAAGAATTTCCTCAAAAAGCAATTTGAAGATTTTTGATCCAAAATCAATTTTTAACTATGGGTCTAGTTATTTTTTGGATAAGTTTTGGTTCCTTTCTGGTGATGATTAGAATAACAGACTAGAGACAGATGCTTAAAAGGATCTATGAAAATAAAAATACCAAATTATCTTACTTTGTTTGTCTTTGTGAGCTTTATGTACAGATCTCATATGACGCTTACACTGAGATATATTACGGAAAGATTCCATACAATACGGACAGGATACTGTCTGTAATGATTGGTTGTCGTGTATGACCATGTGACGACTCAAGGAGCCATTGGTCGAGAATAAGGCGTTACATATTGGACATTTGTAATCTTTAGAGCCAGTGTGAGTTTTAGCATGTGCTTTCAGTACCCCACTAGATACAAATGTTCTGTCACATTGTAAACATCTATAAGGCTTCTCTCCTGAAATAAATTTCAAATGAACACAAGTCAAATACTCGAAAGAAGAAAGAATTTTAGAAGGGGTTAACTTTGATAAAATTGAAAATATCTGATTGGTCAAATAAAAATATAAATGTTACTTTTACGAAAACTGAACTAAATAAAATCGAGATTTTAAGATGAGCGTGTATGACTTTACTATTTCAAAAGAGATAAGACAAAAGTTCAAGTCAATTTGATCAACAACATCAAAGGCCTTATCTAAATCACCAAAAGAATATACCTGTATGTGTTCTGATATGTTGTTTAAGGTGTCCTGATTTTTTGAACGATTTCTCACAGTAACCACATTGATATGATCTAGTTTTGTCGTCTGCCAGTAAAGCAGAGGTATCAGGGATTTCCTGAGGCTGGTCGTCTGTTTCTACTTCCTGTAGAATTTGCTGCGGTGGCTCGTTTTGATCCTGTTCTTCCAGATTACTGAAAAAAATAAAAGTAACAGATGTACGAAGAATTATACGACATGTCTGTGCGAAATGGCATTTTATGTTGAATAATAACCAACAAGTTGACAAGATATATACTTACAATAAAATATTTCTATGTGTTGAAGGATGTATCTGTAGACTGTTTGTATTATACTGTTGATTCTGAAATAAAAACATCAAATAATCAAATAATAGCAAAAAGTTATTTTTTTCCTAGAGAAAGAATGAATGAATGAAATTTGACAGCAATCTTCCAAATGTCAAATGATCTTCAACATGCACTGCACGCAGCACTGGTAGATGCTAGAGACCTTACCTGTATTTGATGAATATTCATTTCTTGATTTAACTGTTCTGTCATCTGATTGGTCATATTCGTCACCTGACCATTATACTCATGCTGATTGGTTAAATTGTTCACTTGACCAGTCAGATCGTGTTGATTGTTCATGTTAGTCACATGACTGTTTAACTCATTTTGATTGGTCATATTGGCCATGTGATTGTTTAGATCATGTTGATTGGCTAGTTGGTGAGTGAGGGGTGTGTTCATTGAGTTGTTTAGGGATGTGGCCAACTGTTGGTCTACTTGTAACTGGTTTCCGAGGGAGGTATAGGTTGGTTGACTACTCAGCATGGCCTCACCAAATGTTTGTTGTTGACCAAACACCTGCAAGACACAAATCACCAGGGTCCGTAAAAAAAATGATGGTCATGAGAAAAAAATTTGTTGACATCCTATGGGTAAATTGGTGAATAACAAGCAAAACTGGTAGAAACCTGACAACATTAGTAGATTACAAAAATATCAAGGATATGTTGTCAATTGTTTTGGATGGTGGTAAATGAAATTTGATAGAAAAAAGAGATTCTAACCTGACTATGTAAAGAAGGATGTAAATTGGGATCCAGACCAGCACCAACTAAAGCCTCTTGTAACTGAGCTGGATTCATATCTTGATTAACGATCGTTGTTGTATGACCTACTGACTGTTGCTGTAGTAACTGTATATCTGTCGAAGCCTGTGATTGGTCAATCTGTGTGCCGTCTGGTGCTAGCGTGACATCATCTTGTTGTACTTGTTGAGTGTTTGGGTCTGGATTCATGGCTTGTAGAGCCAGTTCATGTCTGTAGAAGGAAAAGAAAATTCCACATATTTAGGCTCTCTTTTCTGAGTTTAATGATACATGTACATCAAAATACTTCAAAAGTCATGACCATTCTTTTATTCCAAAGTAGTTTGTTAAATTTAATGATTTTGAGAATAAAAACATTACCAAGTGGCATACTTTCTTCAAAAAAAATACTAACAAGAATAAAATTCCATGTGCAGATCAAGAATATTTCTCTGATAATGTGTGCAAGATCAATACCAAGAGGTTTGGCCAGGGACCAGCTGGTAGAAAGGGTCTTCATGAACTTCAGTTAATATCCTTGAAAAAACATTTGTTTCTTTCTTTCCCTTTCTCTCTGACTGAAAGACAAACAACTTACTTGTGTGTTTTCATATGTTTCTTACAGTTGACACTGGTTTTAAATGTTTTCTGACAATATGGACACATGAAAGGTCGTACTTCACTATGAGTTGACATGTGACGTTTTAAACTGCCGTTGGTCGTAAACATGGTTTCACAAATAATACAGCGATATGATTTCACACCAGAATGAGTTCGTAGATGAGCCTTGAGAACTCCACTAGATACAAATGATCTACTACACTGTCCACATCTGTATGGTTTTTCTCCTGCAAAAGAAAATGTGTCCATACTCAGTAAATGTATTGAGAGTCAGAAATAATGCCAAAATGCGGATTTAGTTTTCAAACTACATTTGTTTGGAGTTGATTAAAATTTTGTAAATTCTGCAATCATAAACATTGAAACTTCTAATCAAATCTTCATATGCATAACAAATACTTGAATATCCAAAAGTAAAACTTATCAAACAATCGTTAATGTGACACTGGTTGTTGGATTAAATATCAAAACGAGTTTTTCAAAACAAAATCAAAACCAAAAAAATAGAAAATGTATTCATACCTGTATGTGATCTGACATGTTGTTTTAAATGACTAGATTTTTTAAATCCACGTTGACAATAATTACATTTATATGGTCTATCTACTGACCCCGCCTCTCCTAGATACTGGGTCACCATATTGTTACGCGGGGGCTGCTGAATAAACCCTGAAATATACAACAATATTGTTAGTAGTCCGATACTATCAGAAACATGAATTATATCTGTATTTATGTCACTATGGGAGACACTGATATCATTGATTTGCATTCTAATACTATTTTTGGAAATTTGAGCTATAAACCAATGTAAGGTTTGGTTCTTTGGAAGTGAGCACAGCATAATTTACTTCAACATCCCCTACCTGTATCAGTGATAAGAATTGGTTCCTGGAGAGGAATTTCAGGCAAGTTAGCATCAGATAATCTAGGTGGTCGTTTAATAGTTCTTCGTGGTCTCCTATCCACCATTCCTGGTATATATTCTCCACGTACATGACACTGGATATGAGATTTTCGATGAGCTGAGGTTCGGAATTTCTTATCACAATGGGTACAACTGAATGGTTTTGCTCCTTGAAAAAAAAAGTATTATTAAAGCAAGTAATTTTTGAGAAACACTTTGCTCGCTTAAATAATGTGGAAATGATCAAACTGTTCATATTTCATTTTATAAAGTGGATAAATGTTCAAAACAATAACTATTCAATGAAAAGACCAATTGTATCTGTATTTGTATATTGCATCCTGAATTTGAACAGAAAGAATATCTCATTTAAATTTATATTATATCAATCATGTCATGTCAAATTGTTTGAATATTTCTATAGTATCTTGTGTGGCAATAACAAAGATTACCCTAGGGCATAAGTCATACATAGGTAATCGAATTTTCACCAACCTGTATGTAATCGGAGGTGAACTTTCAGACTGCCCTGAGTTGAGAACAGTTTACGACACTGATCACATCTATAATCCTTGACACCAGTATGAGTTTTAATATGGGCTGTCAACGTACTCTTGACAGCAAAACTTCGGAAACATTGGGTACATTTATAAGGTTTCTCGTGTGTATGGATTCTGATATGGCGAACGAGATCACTTGGTTTTTTAAACTCTTTAGAACAATAATTACATTGATGCCAGCGCACTCCATTCACCTAAAAAAAGGAAACCGAATTCAAATTTAATTAATATTTATCATTTTCTGACTGATCTTGGTGACTTTGTAAAGGAGAGGTGAGTTTATTATCTCAAGAAGCTACTAAAAAAACCTTAGTCTCCAAGAAAATCACATTAATTTCCATTCTATAGCTAAGGGTTGAAAGCCAATGCCAAAGCAATTTTCAGTAGAAGCTCTGGTCAATACATCAGGATTTTTCATACTGTGAGCATCAGACCACACGGCACCTTTCGCTTACCAGACTAAAATCTGACTTGCTACCCACTGACCTATTCCTCTGTCACTTAAACGAATAATGGGGCTTCTCAATGGATTACTTCATTTTGTAAAAATCACTGATTTCAGATTAATATTCCTACTAGCATCCTACTTTCATTTTATTTCTAAAGCAATGTACGTACACACAATCATACCTTTCTAATAAGATGTCGTTTGACTATGCCAGTAGCTGTATCATGTATAGTCATGGTGGTTATTGTACTGGATGTATCTACTGCAGTGGCGGTAGGGGGTAGAGGTAGGCTTAATGAACTCTGTACAGAGGTAACAGAGTTGGTACCGGTACTATTCTGAGTCTGTTGTTCGGTACCATCACCTTTATTTGGAAGACCACTATTTTCCAGAGCTTGTTGTAAGATATCGGAAGTGGATTCATCTAAAGTGTCACTCTGTAGAAACAAAACGCCTGATGTAGAAATTCAAATAAATTAATTGTAAAGAGGTTTTAAAAACTTTCTATGTGTATCAGGGGCACTGATATCACCAATTTGCACCATTTTAATTCTCAGTTAGACGTCTGTAGTTCCTGCAATTCCACTAACGCTAACTTTTGTTTAAACATCGAAGAAATAAAGTTATATAACTGTCATACCTCAATGACTTTCATTGCTGTAACTGGTTGATTATTATTATTCTCTACATCACATTCTGCTGTAGAAACCTGATAGACAACTTGTGGTTGTTGCTCTAAAACTTGTTGCTGAGGCTGAACTTGAGTTTTGTCTGTGGAGTCGAACAGCTGCTCAATGACTTTAGCTTCTTTCATTTCTTTTGGAGGTCGATCATTGACGTTATCACTGTACATGTTATTCCATTCTTCCTACAAACCAACAAAAATATTTGTATTTCTACATCAGACTTAAGAGGCAAGGACAAAATATAGCTTAATTAATATTGTATAATATCATATGACATCATTTGCTTATTGGTTCTTTTTTTTCAAAATAGAGGTGATGAGTTCAGACTTCTTGGCAAAATAAAGTGTGGTATTTGAATTAATATGATCATTAACTTTCTTCAATTTCAAGCATACAACCAAATATTAACTTTTTGAATCTAATAATGAAATGAATCTTAAATGATTAATATTTACAATAAAAATTAACTTACAGCAGGGTCTGAATGAGCTCGACTCACATGAGCATTTAAACTTCCCAGTTTTTTAAACATACAACTACATTCTCCACATTCATATGTTGGACCTTCAGAATCCTTCGATAGGGTGTGAACTCTCTGAAATAAAGGAAGTCCATATTATTTAAGATGAAATGAAATGAAGGAAAAACAATTTTATGTACATGTGGTAACTTCTGTAAATATATAGATTTCCCAATTTTTATGTGGTCTAGAATGGTAAATGTTTGTGGTTCAAGGTCCAATACCGGTACAGAGCAAAAAATTTACTGGAAAAGGAGAGTGTTTGTGCCTCTGAAGAATGGAAAATGACTACCAATTAGTCTAATGTAAAAGCTGAAGAGTTGAATCAATCTGACAGTCTCAAAGCAAAATAAAATTTTTGAAATTGTGAAAGGGCTTAAAATACCTACCTGAATATGGGCTCTAAGATTTCCACGTTGTGAGAAGGCTGAGGGACAGAAATCACAAGTATGAGGTTTTTTACCAGTATGTTTAGTTTTATGAATCTGTAAAGCTCCTTTTTGATTGAAAGTTCTGTCACATTCATCACATTTAAATGGTCTTTCACCTGAAATATTCAAAGAGACAAATGCAATCAATTTAAAGTCCTACTTGTTTTAGCTTCTGCTGGAAACAAAACATTTCAAATTTTCAAAATCTGAGCTTACTCGTAGAAAAAAGTCTACCAGCAGACAAGTTTGATTAAACTTACTTTATATTTTACAAATAAAAATGGGTGTTATTATGAAATTAAGCTCAATGATCTGATATTAACTGACTATTGCCATTAAATATCACTGTTTAAACAACACAAACATGGCAGTAGCATAGAAATGTCTTTTCTTCAATCACATATCTTAAATGCACCCAAATCACTTCTATCTCAACTTTGAATGTGCTACAACTTAAAGGACTTTGTAGTAAACTTGGAGAAGAAAGCCACGTACCTGTATGTATTCTCTCATGTCTTTGTAACTGACTGGGTTTTTGAAAGTGTTTATTACAATGTTTACATCTGTTACTAAAACCAGATCTATCAATATCTCGTTTATACGTACGATGGGATAGAGATGCCCTGAAATTATATTGAATAAAAATAAAAATAAAATGAAAGATTTAGATAAAGCACGAGATTTGTCAAGTCCTATTTCTCAAAGGTTTTAAAATCAAGTATAATATCAGTTTTAGTATTAAATTGTATTCAACAATGTTGTTAAAGAGAACCATGGATCCTATTTCTAAAGGTTTTGGTCAATTTTTATCAATGTATCACTGTATGAAATTTGAAAAGTTCCACTGATAAGAAAATCTTTCAGAGAGAATGATCCATGTGAATGCGAGACTCTTTGGCCAATCAATAGTCACAAAAGCATATAATTGATGAATCAATCAAAAAGGCTTACATACCGGACTTTATAATGTTGTTTCATGTGTTGTCGGAGAAGTGATAATTTTGTAAATTCCTGATGACATTGTCGGCATGGAAACACCCGTACACCCACATGTTCTTGTCTATGTTCCTGCATATGTCTGTCTAACTGACTCTAGAAATGAACAAGTTTAGAGAGTTAACCCTGTCCAAATTCTCATAGATCTTGAAATTTGAATGAGGCTTAAGAGTCAATTTGTCGTAATCCTTACATCTAGTCGTTCTGCGAATTCAGAGTCTCATAGACATATTTGTCACGATGCGATTGCATTAAACAACGAACATAGAAATACATGACGTGCTATGTCAAGTATACTCTCAACTGCTAGCCTGTCATTCTTATTATTTCATTGGAGTTACACGGTAAAACAATCTTGCTAGCTTACGCTCTAAGCCTGCTCTCCTGTCCTAGCTTGTCATAGTAAGTGTATTGGAGCTTGAACATACCTGTAATCCAAATTCATCTCCACATTCAGGGCACATCAAATTCTCTTCTTTTTCGTGTAGCATGATATGAGCCTTGAGTGAGGCCACACGGGAAAATTTCTTCCCACATTCTGGACAGATGGGATCTTTGTTCTCTCCAACATGGGTGGCTTCGTGTAAAATTAAATTATCTTCAACATTAAATGATGCTGTACAAGAACTACATTGAAATGGTTTGTCATCATCATGTGATTTTGTATGGCGTTGTAGTTGATTCCATTTCTTAAAGACTTTATCACAATATTCACAATTAAAAGGCCCCTGAAAAAATGCAAAATTGAAAATTAATTCAATGAGGAATAAAAATTCTCAGAAACAGCAAGAAAGACCTAAAACATGAGTTTGTCTCATGCTGGTGACATAAAATTTGTGTAAAGAAAGCTAGTTTGGAAATAACATCCATATTCACTTTATTTGAGAGATGCCATTGCTCAAACCAAGGTTTTATAACCTAATCATTTTTACTAAGATTCTACTTACCTTTCCAACTGGGGGTCTGATTTCTTCAACTTTAGAAGCAGTAGTAGTCACAGGTTCGGATACTCCAGTAAGTGGCGCTATCTCTACAGAAGGAATTACCTCCCCTTCTGAAGCTGATGTCTGTACTTGTATACTACTATTAGCTAGCTGGGTCAACAAGGGTTGAAGGACATGTTCACTGCCATCTTGTAGCTGAATAGTTTGATAGATCTCTATACCTGAAAATCAATAATGTTTTAATTGAAACTGAGCTATTTCAAAACAACATTGAATAATGGACTGGTTTGTAATGATGGCTCTTATATCTAATGTTTTTGATGTGGGTTCAAGGTTAAGATCTGGATCATATTTTGAATAGTCTTCAACAATAAACATAATACTATGCATTTACATTTCTTATATTTTCAATCGAAATCCATTGATTGTTACTGTCTTATATGGAAGCCTTATGGGCAATCAAAGATGGCATCTTAAACAGGCTATAAATAACTCTTTATTAAATAATCAAATATCAAATAATAAGTAGAAGTAGCAGGCTTAGAGAGAATAAATGTGACACCAACCTGGAGGGAGGTCTATAATCTGTTGTTGATCGAGAGCTGAAGAATCAATAAACGTAACAGTGGCACCTTCAGGCAGACCCTCCGCAAACTGAATATGCTGTAATTCTGTAATTAGAAAGGTCAACATAAAGTAAAAAATATTGACAAAGAAACAGCATGAGCTGCAGAGAAACAATAACTATATCAAAGGGAGATAATTTGAACTATTTGCAATCCGTTTGGCAAATATAAAAATATCAAAACCACTGAGATCAAACTAGAAAGTAAGATTTGTACATCAACTTGGTAGTTTAGCTTTGTCATATTGCATTAAAAGATTCAGAACACCTTGAAAAACAATTTTCTTTGTCATAGTAATGCGTCAAGGGACGTAACTCCATTTAACAAACCATTCTGCATTTCCTAACTAATCAACAGCTTTTTCCCGTTAGTATAAATTAAGATACTTATGATCGAAGGCATCGGTTGTTTTGTGATATTAACAATATGTAATTCGAAACTTTAGGCCTACATTTAGCCTACTAGCTTTGTCGTAGTAGGGAAAGACAAAAAAAGTTACCTCATCCGATCATACCAACCCCAGTCAGGGGGGCCGTCAAGGAAATATATGTCTTGTTGTATCGTCTCTGGTTGGGGTCCTTCTTTCGTTTTTATTCAAGGGTTTTTAAGATACCGGTAGTAAGCATTATACTCAAAACAAAAAGATGCATAAGGTTTGATACAAATCGTAAGGAATGGACATTGAACAGTGCACTGTGCAGTGGCGATCGAAGTTGACAAAAAAAGTTTATGTTTATGTATGGCATGTTATTTTGACAATAATGTCAAGATCTGATATGTAATCTGTCAGTGACATTTTGAACAAGGAATGACAATCTCAATCTTAAAATATTTATTGAAATCATTTTTCTGTTCATAGAAAAATATTCTGTACGTCCACTCAGGTCGAGAGCCAAGAAATAAATAAGAGGAGTAGGAATATCCTCTTCGTCCGCCAAGAGAATAAATTCAGAAGTATTACTGCGCCCATTCCTCACCATGGTCAGTCGTCATGGAACTACACCGAAATTAGCGCTTTGTTATTGTTATATTCCGCCATTTTGTCACTTCAAATTCAAATTTTTCGATATAGAAAACATCAATCCACTTAAATCTACTCACCGGGGACATTTTCAACCTGTATTTGGGTTATGTTCTGATATTCTTGGGACATATTTTTCACCAAATTTTATCCAAAATGGCGTTGATCAGTGCGCGTTCATGTCAGAACGAGGCTGAGTTGGGAAATTACCCGGATGTTGAACTGAGTGATTTGCCCTTCACTTGAAATCTAAAAATAGACACGATGTTAACTCGACTCTAGAGTCTCAACCCTTGTGACCCGAGCGATCATTTACTTGGTTAATTTCTCAATGCATTATTGGATTCAAAGATTGAGCTTGTCATTACTTTGAGCGCTTGTATTACCAATTATTGAAACAATGTTTCAACGGCAAATCCATATTCACCGACACTAAGAATTTGCCGCATTTAATTGTGTCATTGTCCGCATTCAAACAAATAGTGTTTGTAGAATAAATAGATTTTGTATACGTTTATTTTTAAAGGGATACTCAAACCAAAGCCGTATGATTATATGGCTTTGAATGAGAATTTAATCAATTTCGTTCATAAAGCATTATATTGTGTAGTAATGACTTCCCCAAAGAGAAGTATCACCAGGTGTTTTGAAAAGCGTAAGTTAGATCTGATTCGCTCTCGACACCCGCCACTATTAATTAAGTCAAGATCACGAGATACAACTAGACCAATTTATGCCCGACCAAATTAATCAGCCAAACAGATTTGTCATATTGTCAACTGCTATAACGACTACAAGATTTTCTTTATGACCGTCTTAATCTAAAACTATAAGCTAAATTCAACCAGTGTCGCTTTTTTAGATTATCATTTTCAATCAATTGCACACGAACTGGACACAAGATTTTAAATTTGTGTTATGCTGCTGAAAACGTCTGTATTTAAAATATTTCTCAAATTTAATTTTACTTGTACTGTCACTTTAAACTTAGAACAATCAATTTTCAAGATGTGTATTTATAGCTTCCATGTTATATCTCGTACAGAAGTCGGTTATACACGTAACACGCAGTGAGGTCAATACGTCACATGACACACATTCAACATGGCGGAAATGCCGTCTGCAAAGAATAGTGCCGGGAAAAGAATATTTGCTGAAATATGTTCGATGGCAATAGAAAATGGAGCTGTGAATCTTGGACAAGGATATCCAGACTTCGGACCACCTGAACATGTGCTTGAAGCATTAAGCAATGTCGCTCGTAGTGATAATCCACTGCTACATCAATACTGTCGAGTATTTGGACACATTCCTCTGGTAGAAGCACTCGGAACACTGTATTCTCGAGTTTATGACCGGAAAGTGAATCCTTTAACGGAAATATTGGTTCCAATTGGTGGGTACGGCGGTCTGGTGTGTGCTATCGAGAGTGTAGTGAAGCCTGGTGATGAGGTCCTTATTTTCGAACCATTTTTTGACTGCTATAAGGAAATGGTCGAGACTGTTGGTGGAATCCCAATTTTTATTCCCTTGCATCCTCCAGAGCCCCCAGATCCACTGAGACAGCTGGACAGTGATAACTGGACATTTTCCGAAGAATATATCTTATCCCATATCCGTCCCAATACCAAAGCTGTGTTATTGAACTCTCCGAGCAATCCTTTGGGAAAATTGTTCTCCAAGTCGGAATTAGAGATCATCCGCGACGTCTGCATCGAATTCGATCTCACCTGCATCTCAGACGAGGTTTACGAATGGATTGTTTTTGACGAGAGGAAACATATGAAAATAGCAGCCATGGAAGGTATGTGGGAGCGGACTTTGACAATCGGAAGCGCTGGGAAGGCATTCAGTGCCACGGGTTGGAAGCTAGGATGGATCATTGGACCCGAGGATCTAATGGAAAGATGCCAAAAAGTTTTCCAAAGATGCTATTACCGTTGTCCAACACCCATCCAGGAGGCAGTGGCAAGATCTTTAGAAATAGAAATCCGAAATTTGGATACCTCGGATTCGTATTTCGTTACTTTATCAAAAGATTTACAAAGGAAACGAGACTGGGTGGTGAAAACGTTACTAGAAATTGGAATGAAACCAGTTATTCCACGGGCAGGTTACTTCCTTTTAGTCGAGATCTCCACATTTTTGAAAAATCGGCGCCCTTGTCACATAACTGACCACGAGGCAGAAGATCTCCAGTTTACCAAGTGGGCCATCAAAGAAAAGAAATTTGGTGCTATTCCGGCTTCATTGTTTTTCGATTCAGAAAGGCAGAATATAGGACAAAAATACATTAGACTCTGTTTTGCTAAGAAAGATTCTACATTAGAGGCAGCTATAGATATTCTGATGAATTTGGGAAACCATAGCACCAAGCATCACCCCAACTAAGTACCAGTGCCTACTGTTGAAAAGTAACACATTACTTCTTTCAACCAGCTTTACCCCTATATTCTCGCCCTGTACCTTCTACAGAAAAGTGTCGGTAATTCATTACCTGTTCAACAAGCTCGACGAATCTGGCCCTTCACGTTCCTCGGACGTGATACAAGAGTGAAACGATTAGATGCTGATATCCCATCCATATATACGTCCGCGAAACGGAAGGGGCCAGATTTCTCGCGTTACTTTTCAAGCAGCCCCTTCTCAATCCACCCATTTCTCGTATATAATGGTGCTTTAAATTATACCTCACTATAGACATAAAGCTAGTCATTTATTTACATGTAATGCAATATAGGTCATGTATCTGCCGTCTGATAAAGAGTTTTCGTGGATTGTTTTTTTTTTAACCTTGAGAGTTTTTGATATATTGCAACCCATATAACCTTGGCCCAAAACTTGCCGACTCTAACCAGCCATTTGGATAATTAATGACATATTCGACCACTGTCATAACTATCTGTCATGGGCTGTGAAGAGACGATAGGTTTTGTCTAAAGACAGAATAAACAATTTCTCACTATATTTGCATACATTCAGTTGTGATATGAAAATTGGGCACATAACACTTGATGTGTACTATCATAATAGACGATCTAAGGATTAGGCAGGCACACGAACAGTCTTGGTCGCCAATTTTTGTCGTCGACTCGAATCTTGAGTGTGCTCGCACTTCCACGATTTGTCAATTATCAATTATGTCAAATGTCAAGTTTGATATTATGTTGTCGCCGATTATTTTATCGCCTGCAAGACAAATACATCATCAAAACATATTTATTTTCCTCAGTGAAACTCTTGACAGGACTCGAGTCGGCGACAAAAATCGCCACAAATACCCATGTTTGCCCACACCTTTATGAACCCTGAATTTACTGAACGTTTGAATTCGGAATTAATGCCAAAGAAATTAAAGGTGATATGCCAAAATTAAGATTCATTTAAAGGGACTGCTACTTTAGTCTTAGAAACGGTTTTTTAGCCAAGCCAGTCAGTTATAGTGTTTACAGCTCGCCGTCGAATTTTTAAGCCTTCAAATCCATGTGTGGCCAGAATTATCTGCGTTTGGATCTTACTCTTTGGTTTATAAAAAGACACATTTAAAAAGTGAGTAAAATTCCTAGTTGGACTATTTACATATTTACAAGACGCAAATCAACCCCCAATATGGCGCATCTTTTCTTTTAATATTAGGCTGTGGCTGAAATTTGACCCTCCGCCCTCAGACGATGCATTTCCTTCAATCGGTCCTATGACCTACGGTGGAACCAGGACATCCTGATTATATCCTACCGTTGTACCGAGTTATCTTTTTGATCTCAATTTAATTGAAACGAGTGACGTCGCCAATTTTATCCCAACTTCGTTTCAAACACTAAGACACTCTGCCCCTTAATTTTACCCCCAATCTCGGGATGCTGCCACTGACACTGGTTGGAATAAAAAACATTAAATGGCAATCATTTTTTACAAAAAAGTTATGTAAATGTTGTGAGTTGTAAAATGTTCCTCATTGCACACTGCTTGGCGTTTTCAGTGTTCATTAGCCTTATAAAATACAGAAAAGTAGGATGTGAGTCATGAAACTCATATTGTTTTTACACCTATAAAAAGGCCAATGCCCACATAGTCCGAAACTTGCAACCGTGTAAATGGTTGTTACCACAATAGGTTTTGTGACCACAATAGGGGAAGGTTACCACAATAGGGGGATTGTAAACACATCAAGGTTTGTTACCACAATATGGGATTGTGACCACAATATGGGTTTGTTACCACAATAACGTTTGTTACCACGATAGGGGATGGTTACCACAATAGGGGATGGTTACCACAATAGGGATGGTTACCACAATAGGGATGGTTACCAGATTAGGGATGGTTACCACAATAGGGATTGTTACCACAATAGGGATAGTTACCACAATAGGGATGGTTACCACAATAGGGATGGTTACCAGAATAGGGATGGTTACCACAATAGGGATGGTTACCACAATAGGGATGGTTACCACAATAGGGATGGTTACCACAATAGGGATGGTTACCAGATTAGGGATGGTTACCAGATTAGGGATGGTTACCACAATAGGGATTGTTACCACAATAGGGATGGTTACCACAATAGGGGATAGTTACCACAATAGGGATGGTTACCACAATAGGGATGGTTACCAGAATAGGGATGGTTACCATAATAGGGATGGTTACCACAATAGGGATGGTTACCAGAATAGGGATGGTTACCACAATAGGGATGGTTACCAGATTAGGGATGGTTACCACAATAGGGATGGTTACCACAATAGGGGTGGTTACCAGATTAGGGATGGTTACCACAATAGGGATTGTTACCACAATAGGGATTGTTACCACAATAGGGATAGTTACCACAATAGGGATGGTTACCACAATAGGGATGGTTACCACAATAGGGATAGTTACCACAATAGGGATAGTTACCCGAAAGAGACCGAAACCTAGACAATCAATAGATATTGTTTTCACGATATAAAGACTGATTGTTACAAAATATGGAATTTGGAATTTAAGGATGTTACTACAAAATGGCTATGTACCACACGTAGTTTGTTTCCGTGATAGGCATGTATTACCACATTATGGTTTGTATCCACATTAGAACTGTTACCTCTGGGGAATGTTTTCACAATAGTTACTAGTGCATCAGTGGAGATTGTTACCATAAAAGGGATTGTTACCAAAAAAAGATATTGTCATCACCATTGGAGTTATAACCAAGGTTTTTTAGTTAAAGATAATGGTACTGATACCACAATAGACCTGTTACCGCAATAGATAATGGTAATGTTACCACAAGAGAACTGTACCGCAATAGATAATGGTAATGTTACCACAAGAGAACTGTTACCGCAATAGATAATGGTAATGTTACCACAAGAGAACTGTTACCGCAATAGATAATGGTAATGTTACCACAATAGAACTGTTACCGCAATAGATAATGATAATGTTACCACAATAGAACTGTTACCACAATAGATAATGGTAATGTTACCACAATAGAACTTTTACCGCAATAGATAATGGTAATGATACCACAATAGAACTGTTACCGCAATAGATAATGGTAATGTTACCACAATAGAACTTTTACCGCAATAGATAATGGTAATGATACCACAATAGAACTGTTACCGCAATAGATAATGGTAATGATACCACAATAGAACTGTTACCGCAATAGATAATGGTAATGATACCACAATAGAACTGTTACCGCAATAGATAATGGAAATGTTACCACAATAGAACTGTTACCGCAATAGATAATGGTAATGATACCACAATAGAACTGTTACCGCAATAGATAATGGAAATGTTACCACAATAGAACTGTTACCGCAATAGATAATGGTAATGATACCACAATAGAACTTTTACCGCAATAGATAATGATAATGATACCACAATAGAACTTTTACCGCAATAGATAATGGTAATGATATCACAATAGAACTGTTACCGCAATAGATAATGGTAATGATACCACAATAGAACTGTTACCGCAATAGATAATGGTAATGTTACCACAATAGAACTTTTACCGCAATAGATAATGGTAATGTTACCACAATAGAACTGTTCCCACAATAGATGATGTTTATGTTACAAAAGAACTATTACCATACGGCTGTTACCGCTACTCCTCATAATAAGTGCTATCACATCTCCGTCATTATCACAATGGAGACGATGATGCGTTATCGCAAATTGCTAAACATTTTGGCGATAAACTTAGGTGCCTTTCCAGATATGCCCCTTCAGAAGAAACCTGTCCTTGTTAAAAGGGTCCAGGAATCTACCACGGCATAGGAAATTACGTTTATCACCCAATCTAAACGACACATTTCGGCATAGGGATTCTCCAAATCTGCCCCTTCGGAAGGAATCTGTCCTTACCCAAAGGCTTTAAGAATCTAAAAGACTCATTTCTATCCATTCACAACAACTCCATTTCCACATCTGCCCCCTTATAAAAAAAATGGAATGAAAGGCATTTGACTCACGATCGAATCCCGGATCTAAAGGTTACAGAGTAAATATTTTTCATAGAATTATGCTAACTACGCATAACACATGCAATAAGTATTTGAAAACGTGTGAATAAAATCTTTACACCCTTTACAATGTGTAAAGATATAACAAAGGTGGTGGTGATGGTAAACATTCAGTTCCCAGCTATAGAGAATTCAGAATTGTCAGTAGTATTTCCTCATTTTAACAGGATCTCTTAGAGCCATTGAAGACCAGACTTCCCGATACAATTTTACAGGATCTCTCACTCATAACAATTCTTAAGATTTAAAAAGTTGGTTGATTCAGCGTGAACGTGGATAAAGGATTCTTTGAATGGAATTTCAAAGCAACAAAAGTTATAGAGAACAATAACTATTTTAATAACAAAGCGACGTTTGAAAAGGAATAAATTAAATTTAGCAACAATTGACTATAAATCTGGGATGGGAATGACTATCTCCATAACAAGAAAATCTTTAGAACAAGTAACAGCAGGTATCTTGAGTATAATCCAGCAAGTACGTATCTTATTTCATAGAACACTGACTCTCTGAAAACCATCTGGTTTATGCTGCTGTAGATGAGGTCGAAAACTTTGATTTCCATACAACAGCGGCCCCAGATTCGGACTTTCTTCGGAAAAGGAAGATTGACGATTGAAACATGACTGAGATGAGTGTCATGTGATGAGGACAGCAAGGGCCGGGGAAAGACAAGGCAGTCTGAAAGTATGATTATGTCATAAGAACAGTCAAGTATGGAAAAGTCTCGATGATAAACAAACAAGGTTTACAAATAAATAACATATTGACGAAACATTGATAGCAGCTAATGAATTTTTCACATGAGGAAGCATATCAATCATAAATGAGTAATTATTTCATAATGAAAAGAGGTATCAGGTGTCTAGAAGAGTAAGCATACCTTGTCTGGCGCCACACCTGTCATGGCAACATTCAATAACGTACATATATATTTTGATATTCACAATGTAGAATGAAAGGTGCAGTTGTTTTACTCGTGGCTATGGTAGTAATGATGGGTCAGACTGATGCGTGGAGATTTTGGAGAACAGCTGCATCAGTAGCTGCTGGCGCCATTTTTTTAGGTAAGAGAGACGTAGAAGATGCCGATTTCAAAGCTGAACTTAAAACAGCTGCTGAAGATGGTGTTTTAACTGATGAAGAAATCAAATCTGTATTTGTTCTTGATGACAAAGGTTTGGATAAATTCAAAGAAACTTATGACATGAACGGTAAGTACCAGACTCCAAAGTATTGGGATTCTAACAATGTAAGGGAGAAGCTGGGAAGCTGACTACACCTCAACTGAACAATCACAGTCACCGCTTGTCGATCATGCTCTTCTATCTTGAAAAAGAAAGTATCGTGTCTAAAAGTTGTCTGAAGTTGCGACCATTCTTTTGTCGCATTTGCAAGACATTGGTTTTTGATATCATTAGCATTTCCCATATATTTTTACAGATGATGGAACTATACAAGTTACAGAGTATGAAGCAGTTGCATCTCTCGCCAAAAGTAGTAAGTCATATTTGTCTTAATTTAATCAATTTTTGGTATATTTTTTACATATATTTTTGCGTGACGGCCACGAAATGAGTGAAGAACCTTTAGCCTGCACACCAAGAATCACACAGGGCCTCGGTTTTGCATCTGGGTCTCAGGGAGAATCTTATCAATCGAAGGATTTATGACTCAACTACCATATAGTTGAACTTGGTTGAACCAAGTCCCTATTCATCTAGTTGAGCAACTGGACCTGGGGATGCCGAAGACTGAAAATTCGTAATCATTCGATGTCCATTCTGCTTTCTGACAAAAATTGCATCATGTTGACGTTGCAGGTAAGAAATACCGACCATCCAGTTGATAGCAGTGTCGTTGCCCTACTAGGAATCCGCTAAGATCCAGGGATCAACTTAATGAATATATTTTAAATTTCAGTGACGGAATAAGAGAAGAAGATAACACTGGAATGATGATAATTCGGATCTGATTATCTCATTGCAAATTATTATTAGAATAAATTAGTGCAGCAAAAGAGTGATTTAATTTCTGTAACTAGTTGCGGGATGGATACGCATCTGTATCAGAGACGTTAGAAATAGAATGGAGTTTTACGTCCTATTTTTTCTGCTCCAGATTGGGCTAATAAGGATCTGGGATATAAAGACCAAAAACATTTTATTTGTGAGTCAAACCATGGTTTCCAACCTTGACACGAAAACATCCCTGAAATCATCGCCCTAAAGGCGTGGGAGGGTTGCCCCACTAGAAAAGTATTATTTTCATACGATTTTACTTCAAACTATGTGTCAGATGGCACCAAATCAATTCAGTTTTCGACAATTTTGAAACCTAGTCAAGGCTGCTGCATTTTGAACTTGGCCTTGACAGTTGTCAACAAGAAATGTTGTTATTACAGTCAAGCTATTGTGGCTATTGAGAGGGGGTTGCCCCACTAGAAAAATATTATTTTCATACGGTTTTACTGCAAAATATGTGTCAGATGGCACCAAATCAATTCAATTTTCGACAATTTTCTTAAGAGAACTCTGAGCATCCCTTAGGGGCTTGCGATTATGGAACCTAGTCAGAGCTGTCGCATTTTGAACTTGGCCTTGACAGTTGTCCACAAGAAAGGTCGTTAAGCTATTGTGAACTTTGTCTTCATAATAACTTTGACATTGGGAAGAAGATGGATACCCTGAAAATATCAGATGTTCTGTGGAAGGTCGAGACCAATTGGCAAAGACTGGTCGCCTTATACCATTAAAGCTCTTATTTTGGAATCTTAGTTCCACTTTTCTACACTTAGCCGCCCTTCGTCCCTAGCTGTCTAGGTGGAAAACTCATATAAAACTAATGGTAGTCGAACAAATTACAGTATACTCTGCTGTACATGGAAACAGTAGGAAGCAAATCACACATTTGTTGAATCTTTATTAAAGTAACAGTAAAATTATCACATAACAAAATAACTGTTTCAATTGATAATGTGTAAAATGATATAATGGTTCAAAAAGTGTTCAATATCACTATCTTACCGGCCTCTGATACGAGTAGATATATATAAACCAAATTCTAACGATCCGAACCGCCAAACGAAACCCAAAATCCCCAACCATTGATAGCAGCTAATGAACTTTTCACATGAGGAAGTATATCAATCATAAGTAAGTATTTCATAATGAAAAGTGAATAGTGAATAAAGGTGTCTAGAAGATTAGGTACTTCCTGCTTGGCGCGAAATCTGTCATATCGTCATATCGTATTTGGTGAGACCCGACATGTTTTGCACTATAGATTCGGTTCCATTGGTGAGTGCTGCACATCCGTTCATAGAATCAACCGGAAGAATGTTTTCCACGTGTGCCAATACCTGTAGGTGTAGAGTGGCGAATAAAGGAATAGAGTGGTAGGTGGTGAATGTGACATCTGGTTTCGTTCCGTACGATTGAAACCAGAATTGGAAAAGACGGAATCTGTTCGGAACTATCCAATCGGGCGACACCTATTTGATATCTTGGCGGAATCTTGCCTTCATATGTTAGCCTCAAGGACAACCATTTTAACTCCCGACTCCCTCAACTTATTAAAAGCGGGAAAATAGGACGTAAAACCCCATTTCACTTCTGAATCTCAAATAAGTCAGTGCTCTAACGTCTCCGATGCGGATGCATATCATACTGAACTAGTTACAGAAAATAAAAAAAACTCTTTTGCTGCACTAATCTATTCTAATAATAATTTTCAGTGAGTTAATCAGATCAGAATTTTCATCATTTCAGTGTTATCTTCTTCTCTTATTCTGCCACTGAAATTCAAAATAGATTCATAAAGATTGGCCTAGCTGGGTCGAAAGCATCTCATGGATTCTTTGCAAGGGTACAACTGCTACCGACCTGATGGTTGCAAAGTATGACAACAGGGTCAAAAGAAGATTCACATTGTTGCTGACCACAACTGCCATCTGTCAGTTATCGACTTGCTTAATCGAGTTAAGATACTGGTTTGTGCTAACAGTCGTTGAATATCGTTACTGCCACAGTTTTGCAGTTCAGTTGGGACAATAAATCAATGCCCTATCCTATGTGCTTCTCGGTGTAAGTAAGTATAAGTAAAACTAGAATGAATATAAAGAAATATGACTTACTACTTTCGGCGAGTGCGACAACTTCTTCATACTCTTCAACTTTTACGACACCATTGTCTGTAATAAAACAAAACGCTCATGTCGAACTACTAGAAAATGCGACTAAGGATGGTCGTCGATTCTAACCGATTGGGTCCCAGAATAGCGGCAACTGAATTGTCCATTTGTAGGTGTATCCAGCTTAACTAAATCAAGCGATCGATCAGATCTTCCTTTACTCTGTCAAAATTCCAAAACATGGAATGAAAAATAAGAAACTTTTTGGTACTTACCATCCATATCATAAGTTTCTATGAATTTAGCCAAACCTTTGTCATCAATACCAAATACAGATTTGATTTCTTCTTTGGTAAAAACACCATCTTCAGCAGCAGCTTTAAAATCAGCATCCCCTGCGTCTCTCTTTCTCCCAATTGTGGAAATTACTAATGGTACATATGGCATAATTCTTTCCACCCGTGTCCACCAGGCATCAGTTGTCTGACCCATCATCACTACGATAGCCACGATTAAAACAACGGCAACTTTCATTCTACAATTAAATATAAACAAATAACAAATAGGCTGGATGATAAAAAAAAACAGCATAACTCCCCCCTCTCTTCCATCAAACCCTGCAATTGACCATCAATATTTCCCAACCAGTGTTATCCTGAACTCATACCCGTCTCTCGGTCATGTTTGCCCCCGACCTTGACTGTTCTTAACATGACCCTCCCAGTTGCCTTTTTCCAAAAGTTTTCGACCTCATCTATAACAGCATAAACCAGATGGTTTTCTTCGAGTCAGTGTTCTATGAAATAAGATACTAACTTGCTGGATTATTCTCAAGATACTTGCTGTTACTTGTTCTAAAGATTTTCTTGTTATGGAGATAGTCATTCCCATCCCAGATTTATAGTCAATTGTTGCTAAAACTGATTTATTTCTTTTCAAACTAACTTCTATTTGTTTGTTTTCCATTTGTTGAATCCTTTATCCACGTTCACGCTGAATCAACCAACTTTTTAAATTTTAAGAATTGTGGTGAGTGAGAGGTCCTGTAACAAAATGTATCGGGAAGTCTAGTCTTCAATGGTACTGAGAGATCCTGTTAAAATTATGATATAGTGCTGACAAAACTCCGCAAGAGGCTGTCTGAGAGATAACAAAAAATAAAGGTTTTGTGATTTTTTCACCTATGTTATTTCTAGCTGTTGGGCTTTTACTCATACTTATTCAAATATCTATTTTCTTCTTTAACTGGGATTCGATGCCGACACAATGCGGATATTTCAATCCAGTGTCCTTCTAAAACAATCTAATTAGTAAACGAGACAATCAACTTTGTAACATTTTTTTTCTAATGCTCCTGATCTAATTGGGTATATCATTGATTAGATTCTAGCAAAATGCTTCCAGGGCTCCTTCCAGCTACTTTACTGTCACATCCAAACGATGCCTTGATCAATTCTGCCTTTCAGAATGAAACTCGATTGAAAAATCTGAAGGTATTGGTGTTAGGATGGAATCCCGGAACTACAGGTAAACGAGGTAGCGTCTAAATTTGTTCTTTATCCTGTAAATGATTCTTCATCACCATATTGTTCAAACTGAGAAGGAAATAGTAGTTATTGTCAATGATACCACAACGATATAAGTATGAATACAATCCCAACAGTTTCTACAATGAATATAGGTTTAACAAAGGTGCAACAGAATTGTCACCAGTATTTCCTCATTTTAACAGGATCTCTCAGTACCATTGAAGACCAGACTTCCCTATACAATTTTACAGGACCTCTCACTCATAACAATTCTTAAAATTTAAAAAGTTGGATGATTCAGCGTGAACGTGGATAGAAGATTTATCTGTGAATGGAAGTTCATCGCAACATAAGTTATAGAGAACAATATCTGCTTTATTAAACAATGCGACGTTTCGACGGAAACTAGTGGAAGAAATAAATTAGTTTTAGCAACAATTGACTATAAATCAGAGAGACGAACGACAGAAGTTCAAAGATTGTCTGCAATCTCTCCAAAACTATCACAGTATCCTTAGCAAGCAGGCAAGTATCTTCTTATCTGTCTCATTGACTCTCAGAAATTAAATTGTATTTTATGGTCATATCATGGTAGCGACGAAAGACAGGACCGAAATTAGTGTCTCGTAACAAGAACAGTCAACGAAGGGCAAATACAGTTATTAATTACTTTTCTTTTTAATATTTTGATATTTAGATTGTAGAATGAAAGTTGCCGTTTTTTTAATCGTGGCTATCGTAATGATGATGGGTCAGACAACTGATGCGTGGTGGGTTCGGGTTCGAGTACCACCAGTTATCGGATTTGGTAAGAGACAAGTAGAAGATTCTGGGTTTCTAGCGAAATTTAAGGAGGCTTCTAAAGATGGTGTTTTAACTGAAGAAGAAATCAAATCTGTATTTGGTATTGATGACAAAGGTTTGGCAAAATTCATAGCAACTTATGACATGAACGGTAAGTATAAAAAAGGCCCAGTATCTCATTCCAAATTACTGATCAAACCAAAGTATTGGCAATAGGCATTCTGACCACAGTAAACTGACATTGGCCATAGTTGTGTTCTGCTATCGCACAGGAGGAAAACCAGATTTTCATGTCTTTTGTCCACAGAGGTCATAATCTTGCACCATAGTCGCAGTTTCTGGTACTAGTGGTTGATAATTTTTTTCGATATGATCGTTTAGCTTTGGTTTTTACAGGTGATGGGGTTGTACAAATTTTTGAAGTTGTCGCACTTGCCCAAAGAAGTAAGTCATATTTCTTTTATTTAAGCAGTTTCGTTCTGGTTTTACATATTATTATTGCTTGAATGACGAATTGATCCTGGCAAAAACTGACCCTGTAAGTCGACCTCGGCCGACCTTCAGTTGATACTTAGTAATTGCGAATTTCCCCTACAAGGAATCCAATGAGATGATTTTAATCGTCATTCGACCTAGTCTCACCTTAATGAATCAATTTTAAATTTCAGTGGCAGGATAAGAGAAGACGATATATCGTGAAATGATAAAACTGTAATAGTTCTATGCTGAAATGATGACTACTATGGTCCGATTATCTTTATTGAAAATTATTTTGAGAATAAATAAGAAACATTGTGTTTCATATTCTTATTTTACTGTTTTATTTTTTTATGCTAAATGTTCTAATGGTGTTTTTCCGTAACAAGATTTATTAGCCAATGTACATGCACCAGCATTAGGAGCCATAATCATGGATCTGGGTCATTGTTCTACAAAACTTAACTTAAATAAAATCCAGAGTTTAAGAAATATAGCAATCTGGATAAAGTTTTAACTAAAGTTGATTTTAGTAATTGACCGATCAGATGACTGAAACACTAACATCAGTTAAGTTTTCGAGAATGAGACCCCAAATCGAAGAATTATAAGGGGAGGGGGGAAAGGGGAGGTTTGGGTGTTTGGAGGGCTGTGAGCGAGTCAGAGCCACATAATTTTCAAGGGGAGCTAATTAGCAGCAGGTTCATTCCGTATGTTTAATGATAAATTTGAAATGGGGGTAGGGGAACACGGCCGGGTCAGTCCCTATTCTGGGGGAAAGGGGTCGGTGGGGAGGGGACATGGCATGGTATAAATGCCACGGTCATGGATATGCTGATATGTAGACAGGGACATTGTCGTGGTGGAACAAAACTCCTTTAGTAAAGATCAACCGTCGCTGATAGCCTACTTGATAACTTCACGCAACTCTCTCAGCAGGTCAAATCAGCATGCTAGCACCTCTCCAGCAGAGGGAACCGATTTGGCTTTTTGGGGCGCTAGTTTTTAAAGTGCTTCCATTGGTTAAATTGAAGTTTTGTTTTTGGTTGAAAATAGTAAATCCTTGTCTCATCCATGATTACAAATAAGGCGATAAAATCATCCAAATGCGTTCCAAAACGGCATTAATTTATCACAGGATCTCTCAGGAATCTGTTCTGCTGTCAAGATCTTTGGTACCCATTGACATTCCCAACAATTTGAAAATATATTTCATGTCTTACTTTGAAGAGTGGTCAATTGCCGATCATCACCATATGGTCATCACCATGTCGTGCACCCATGTTGGCCTAATGTAATGGTTGCTGTTGAAAACCTTCGCGAGTCATGGTTCTATTTTCATTGAATTCCTTAAGTCGAATCATGTTTAAAACAGAGTCCAACCTTACTCTTTATCGGAGGTAAATCGACCTCCATCAAGATCTCCTACTACAGCCAATGAAATCGTTGCTGCCTTGAGGAAAATGGCGTGTAATAACTTCTCACCATAACAATTGTTTCTCCGTCGTCAGTGCGTCAGCCAACACGTCACTGAAGTGTGACGGAGACCTTCCTCCACCACAATTCTCAAAATTCAAAATGTTGGTTGATAGCAACAATTGGCTATAAATGTAGGAGAAGAACTACATAACTGACAGATCTTCAGACTTAGGAAGCAGTAAGTATCTAGTTTCGTTACTTACAATATTTAGGCCTAGATCTTATGTTTTCAACCACAGGGACATGTTCTCCAAGTGAGGACATTTGCACCTTTCTTTGGGGACAATTGAAAAAGTCCAACTACAATATACACAACATTTCATTACACTATATAGGCCTACAGCCGACAGCCTACAGCCTACATCTACGGCCTTGTATAACATTGTGTTGGAGAACTCTAAGACAAATATTTATTTTATTTTTTTCGGTACGATCCAACACAAGTTTGAGGATTCCAATGTAGACTGGGTACCAATCCAGTACTTTTGATCTTGCAAAATTTTCTTTATCATATTGATGTTTTAAAATCGAGAATTCATTTTGTTACATTTTAGATAATAAGGCTCCATCTTGAAACATGTAAACTGTATTTCAGGATGCGGTTATCACTGGTATTTGGTGTGTGTATTGTGGCAGGCTTAGTTGGGTTACTTACAGCACAATGCGACCGTAACGATGATATTGATGGATGTAGTATACCCTTCGGTTTACATACGCCTTTTAAACTGAGATTTACACCATCCTGTTACAAGCATGATGTTTGTTATTTTTGTGTGAGTTATAACGTCTATTTTCATCATCACCGCCGTATTGTTTTCCAGCTTTTCCTTAACGTTGATTGCAGCCAATGGGAGAGCTTCGTTTGTGATATGCATGGGAAGTGAATTCATTCACCGTCTTAGTGCTTGTTTTTTTCTTGAGTGTGAAGCCATTTTGATCGCTGTAAAGTGTATTTTTATGTTATGTAGAGATGGTCATATGTAGTACCTTCACGGTGCGAAGAGCCACGTCCCGAGGCCTTGTTTTTATTAGCCTACTACTGGAAAACTGGCCCCTTGGCAATACATCGGGGGAAATGCATGATCCTTTGGCAATGGTGTATGACGTTTATCACATCTAAGGATTGCTTTCACAACACCATGTCATTAGAGACTAATAACCTTCCTATACAGACCATACTTTACTATTCATATGTCTAAAAAGCAGTCTCGCAGCTTTAAAGACTAAATGAACCTCAAAAGCAGAAGAGTAATTATCTCCCTTTACTCTATTGCTATCAACCCCCAATGCTTCAGACCACAGTCTATAGAAATCAATGTACCCCTCACCTTGTACACGGTAGCATATTCCTGTAGTTTATTTCCAGATTGTTAATATTTCAGGGGGCTGCTCTTGGTATATCAAAAACTACATGTGATGATAAATTTTATAACGAAATGAATCAAGAGTGTAAAAATGTTAGCAGAAAGGACGTTGATAGACAAAATCTGGGAAGTTTGTTCTGCAAAGTATTTTCTGGTAGTTATTATGGAATGGTAAGGGTATTCGGAGCCAATTATTACCCAAGTACCTCGCCAAGTTGGTGCAATGAAAGCTGGGTTAGTGGATGTATTCCTTAATCTATTGAGGAAAAAAATACGCAGTTAATATACAGCAGTATACTGATTAGACAATAAAAATTTATACTTGAATAGAAAATAAAACCCGGCTTATTATGGGCATTTTATTCTCATATCAACCGAACCCGGAAGATAAACTTGGACAAATATGTGCAGCGTTTTGCTGTAAAACAAGGCTATGTTTAAACTAAGACAGATAGGCAGATAGGGGGTGGGGGGTTGAACTCCCTCATAGTTATTATGGAATGGTATGGGTATTCGGGGCCAATTATTACCCAAGTACCTCGCCAAGTTGGTGCAATGAAAATTGGGTTAGTGGATGTATTCCTTAATCAACCGAGGCTCAACAATACACTGTTAATATACAGCTGTTCTACTGACAAGCCAATATAAAGTTATACTACTTGCTTTCAATAGAAAATAAGGGAATTTAACCCGGAAGATAAACTTGGACAAATATGTGCCACGTTTTGCTGTAAAACATTCAAGGCTACGTTTAAACTAAGACAGATAGGCAATAAATAATCATAATTGTCACGTATTTGACTTTAAAAGTCACGACAAAAAAAGGCTTTAAGACATCAAGTCTTAAACCAGTGGCGGTGCAAATGTGGATACAGGAGTAGAACTCTCTCCATGAACTCTTAGAACTGCCGCATCTTGAATCTCTACCTCGACAGTTGTCCTTCCATTGAGTCAGTCTGCCCCCCCCCCCCCCCCCATCCCCACCCCATTTGAACCCTAGTCCCGCCACTGCCTTAAACTCGAAGGGAAATGTCAGGAAATCGCGTCTAATTCTCAACATTTCCTACCTACGTTAGGTTCCCCACACCCACCACCAACGCGCCTGTGGCTTTGCGGACTCTAAACTGCCCCCCACGTTAGAACTCCAGAGCTGTCCGTTTAGAAGAAGACATGGTTGACATTTCTGTAAACAAAGAGGCTTTGTTTTTTTAAGTAAAAATTGTCCAAACTGCGTACAAACAACAATTATCATTTATTATAACACGTCGCAAAAAATATATTAAAAACAATGAATGACAACAGCTTTTGCAACGGATATAAAAATGAAAACTTTGAAGAAAAATACAACTTGTCACCGATCTTCACGATCTCAAGCTATTAAGAACTTTTTGGGTGTGGGGCGGAGGGGGGTGGAGAGTCCTAAGATATTTTTGGCCTTGTTGAGTCACAAAGGTGACGTGACGTTCGAATTTGAGCGAAATGACATTGATGTCGCTTGTTGCCCCAGGCAATCTTGCTAAGAATTATTGTCAAGTTGTGTTCGCCGATCATTTTAATATTAATAAATTACAACCCTTTGCGGTTTCTGAAAATCTGACAATCTATGGTTCCTATTGCTTATAGAAAGTAAGTCAAATCGTAGAATTCGAGTCGAACATGTCGAAATGTTGGCCATTATATAACATCGGATCTGTGGCTAATTATTGCCACTGATATATTTTGACAGTTATGCTGGCTGACTGGCGGATGATGCCTTAATTAACTGAAATAACTGAAATGACCCAGATGCATACCAGCGTAGTTATTAAAAGTCGTAACACGGATGGATTATGAATAGTTTAATCGCAGTATTGGCGAATATTGACCTGTATCATGATCTCCACTACACCTGCCTTTTAAAATCAATACCTGTGCATCATAAATTTGGTACCATCTATAAACATTCCAATGAATTACAGCGATATTTAACAATTCTGTGAGTAACTACGTGTTGGTGAAGGTCTATTAAACGGCGTAATTGATATTAATAATTCTGCAATTCGTGAATAAAACCAGTCAAGTTTAGCTAAAGTCACCTTCTGAGGTAACTTTACCACAGCTTTCATTGAAAGTAAATGTTAAGCATGACTTTTCGTAAAGTTTGAGCGGTGCATACTAAAAGTTCGACTTAAGTTTAACTTTAGTCGAAGTTTATGTTAAGTAGAAGTGCTGTATACGGCCCTTACATTCGTTTTCAAAATTTATAAAGTTGTTAAAAACGGCTTTTCGCATTTTTAAGAGTAAAATAAAGCAAACTATTTGATCATTGGTGTATTATTCATATTATCCATGCATTCTGAAGGCTCAATATAAACTCAAATCCACTTGGTGTAGCTTAATTTAGACTCCATGTTTGTTTACGTCACCAAATGACGTGAAGCTATATTTGAATTTATTGGCCACATTTTCGTATTGGAATATTATGAGCCAAATCTATAAGGAGGTATTGAAAGTTAAAACTGATTTAAATTAATATATTATATTCTTGCAAAATGAAATTGAAAAATAATCTTTCCTGTTGCTGAAGATGATAAATAGAATACAAAAATACGCGAGTAGCAGTTGCATATAATTAAGAGTTTTAACCAATCATAAATGGCCATGGCTGTACAGACTGGATAACAGAAAAAAAGACAAATTGATCGTTCTATTGCGGTCACTGGTCAGGTCTGCATTCCCTTCGTAATTAGCTTATTATGAGTTAATCAGGGACTCGTGAGACACACATTTTTTTTTCTCGATCATCAGAACACCTCTACTTTCGATTGATATTAGTATTAGACATCCAATAATCGAATATATATATAAATATATGAACATAAGTGAACCCATCTTTAATTTAGCGCGATCTTGGATAAAGAAATGAATAAGTTTTTGCAACAATGGACTATAAAATGTAGGAGAAGAAGGACAGACGTTGGAAGTTGACTGCAATCTCTCCAAAACTAGTATATCTTAAGAACAAGCAAACAGGTAAGTATCTTCTTTCATGCCTTTTTGTAGTCCATCCGTGGATTATGTTACTACCGTCTACGTATTCTTTTTGTCTCTCTGAATACCAACTGTTCTTCTTCAGTTTTTCGACTCCTCAACTAGGTAAGTTAAATATCTTAAGCCTTTTGCAACCAGCAATATCTGAAAGTTATTGGATTTTCAACAAGCTCTGGCTGTATTGATAGCATTTTAAAGAATCTGATTAACTGTTGATCAATCATCGGTCCAGTGGTGGTGCTGCCTCCCGAGACTGGCGGCAGTCCGACTCAATGGGGGTGGGGGTGGGGGACAAATTATCAAAGCTGAATTCAAAATGAATACAAACTCTGTGTTGGCTAAGGGGGTTTGGTGCATTCTAAAACATATTTTGGAGCACAAAAGTAAAAAGATCATATTTTTAAATTTGTTAAAAATCAAGTGGAGGTAAAATTGAGGGTGCAAACCATTTTTCTAGGAGGGCAAATGCAAAATTACAAAGTTTCATTAATCATAATATCCTATACTGTTGAAGACTTGATTTTCAGATCGACCCATTCCAACGGCAATTCCAAACATTTTTAATGATTTAAGAAATAAAGGGCCTTATTCTCATAAACCTTACCTAAGATGATTTTATTATTTCAATCGATTTTAAATTTAGTTTTATAATCAAATCAGATTACTGTAAAAAATAATTCTTAGTTTTTTGTGAATAAGGCTCCATTTTGAAACATGTAAACTGTATTTCAGGATGCGGTTATCACTGGTATTTGGTGTGTGTATTGCGGCAGGCCTGGTTGGGTTAGTAACAGCACAATGCAACCGTAACGGCGATATCAATGGATGTAGTATACCCTTCGGTTTACCTTTGCCTTTTAAACAGAAATTTACACCATCCTGTTACAAACACGATGTTTGTTATTTTTGTGTAAGTTAATTAATTAAAAAAGGTTTCTTAAAACAAAATTGTGTATCGGAGACACTGATAGCATCAATTTGAACTATTTCAAGTTTCAATCAGACGTCTGTGGTTTCTGCAATTCCACAAAAACTAAGAGTTTGATGACGTCACTAATCGCGTAGGGCCTTAAATATGATATAATTATATTTAGCGATTAGTGACGTCATCACAATCTATTATTGTAGTACGGGCCTGGCGGTAGGAGTTCGTAGTTTATTCCTGTCGTTGATTTTTAGTTTTCTATTTTAGGGGGCGGCAAGGGCTATTTCAAGATCTAGATGTGATGCTAAATTTCTTACAGATATGGAAAACGCGTGTCGAGGAATAGGAAACAGTCAGGATAGAGAGAAGTGTTCAAAATGGGCTAATAGATATAAAGGAGCTGTAAGATTAGGGGGTTTCTTATATTATAAAAAAAAGCCTAAAAATTGGTGCAGTGAAAGCTGGGTTAGTGGATGTCTTCCTTAATCTACTGAGGCACAGAAATACACTGTTAATATATATATGTAATGACCAGACAATAAAAAAATATCCTTGATGTTTTGCTTTTCTTTTGATTCGGGTTTGTGTTTATTTACGATAGTGCCAGGCCAAAAATATAGCAATATGAACTTAAAGGCGATATTAATTTGTGGCTTCTAGTTGCACCATTCCAATATTTGCGTAATATGTCTGTGGTTCTTGTAATTATTGAATTCTGTACCTTATATGGCGTTACAATCACATGTTGTTCAAAAGGTCTTTGAGATAGCTATGTAATAAAACACTTAGTTTTAGTGGAATTCCAAGACTCGCAGAAATCTGACCGAGAACTGGAGTGGTGCAAATCAAATTGAAAAAAAAACGCTATACATTTGTCAGCCAAATCTCAAAATAGTCTGCGAGTATTTAGTAAAGGATGGGGGTTGTTTATGCTTTGAACTTTTTTCGGATATATTGGGGGTGGAAACCCTCGTATTTTTGGACTCATGAATTAGATATAATTTTAGTTACATATCCTCCGTTTTCATTGGCCCACATGGTGCAGAAAAGTAGAACGTAAAACTCCATTCATTTCATTTCTCCATTCCAAATGTCCTTCATTAGAACGATCTGGGCGTCAAACTCATTTTTTCATTCTAAATAAGTCAGAGCCCTAGCGTCTCAGATGTATGAAGCCTATATAGACTGTATGGTTTGTGTTAATTTTCGATGGTACCAGACCAAACACAGCCGTCACTGTTCCGATCCCTATCATTCGGACAACAGACACCGGTCATTGTGTCAATATTTTTGTATGAATCCCCGAGTAGATGGAGGGGAGGGTGATACTTAAGTTTTTAGGGATGTTTAGGGGTTGTACACCCTTTCCATTCCATAACCCTCTAAATTAGTCCAGTCTGGAGAGGAAAAATATAACGCAAAACTCCAATTCATATCTGCATCTCAAATAAGTCAGTGCTCTAACCCATCTGATGTTGATGCGTATCATACTGAACTTGTTACAGAAACTAAAAGACCTTTATGCTGCACTAATTTATTCTAATGATAATTTTCAATAAAAGAAATTCGGTCCAGAATTTACATCATATCAGCATTAACTCTTATCCTGCCACTGAAATTAAAAAATAGATTCTTTAAGGTTGGTTCAGATCAACTGGCGATTCAAAGTATCTCGGTGGATTCTGTCGAAGGATATAGTGGTGAACTGGATTGGATGACCGCAGATTACACTGAAACGATGCAATTTTTTCAAGAAAATTAACCAGTGGCGTGTCCGACTTTGCCCCACCCCTCTCCCCTTTTAATTTTGTTTATCATTTTACTTAGTGAACGCATAGCCCCTAGAAATTTGTCTAGCCCCTGTCGGGACCCCTCATCTAATGTATCCTAGAAACGCCGCTACAATTAAAGGTAAATGAGACTAAATCCAGGGATTGATCAGAATCTTCGAGATGCCGACACTCTTGTATTTGAGATGTGACAGAGGTCCTTTGATATAAACTGGATCAGATCCCTTTGTCATTCATTCCTGAAAGCACGACACATAGTGGTCGTGATGCCATTAAAAATAGAACAAAATTGATTATATAAAGAAAGACTTACAATTCTCGGTAAGTTCGACAACTGTTTCATACTCTTCAACTTGTACAACTCCATCGCCTGTAATAAAACAAAGTGAAACGCTCGTATCGAAAACTTAAACAACCACTGGCGACCACGTCAAACAATGATCGCCGATTCCGATAGCTTGGCCCGAAGACACGATCCAGAGATCAAGAGAGAAGAGCTTGAGATTCCAGCGGAAATTGTGATTTTCCAATAACGGGTGCACACAAGTTGCCTTAATCAAGCGATCGATCACATCCTCTGTGCTGGCAGGTGCCATCGGGGGTTGGTGATATGGTCCAAAAATCGTTAATTACAAATGGCATAACCGTTCTCACGAAAGATTAATTTTCATCAAATTTAACTTGGTAAATGTATAAGACAATATGGACAGGAAAATACCAAGAAAAGCTTTCTATAGTCTTTTTACGTTCAAAATTTAGTGTCTGCTACAAAACTCGCTGCTATAATATATCAATTATGTCCAATTTTCACAGGACTATATTTTACACAATCACAGTTTTCAGTGGTCAGAATTCGGAACGAGTGATACTGGACCTTTTTGGTACTTACCGTCAACGTCATAAGTTGCTTTGAATTCAACGAAACCATTGTCGTCAACACCAAATACAGATTTGATTTCTTCATCAGTGAAAACACCATCTTCAGCAGCAGCATTGTATTTAGCTTGGAACTCAGCATCTCCTGCTTGTCTCTTACCAACGGCCCCGATTACAAATGGTATATATGGTCTAATCTTTCTAAAAATTTTCCTTCCTCTGCGAATTCGTATTCGCCACGAGTCGGTTTCCTGACCGATCATCATTACTACCAAAACCACGATTAAAACAACTGCAACTTTCATTTTACAGTTTAAATAAATCTGAAAAGATGAATAAGAAAAATATGATCACAATATCTATCATCCAGTTCCTCTTTGTCTTCGTAAAACTTCGGCGCAGACAGGTAAAGTCTATAGTCTAAAAGTTAACTGATGCTCGTTCAATGTTTTGTTCCGTGTTTTAAGCGTCTGTTATACTATCCTAATGCATTTACTGTCCTAATGCCTTAAGTTGCGAATAGACGGGGTGCGATGTACAGTGCAGGATTATCGACACAGTAGAAAATAGAAGAAACGAATCGTGTCCAATCAATTCTTCGCATTCTGTGATTCGAGAATAGTGGTGATTAAAATCAAGGTATAGGACGAAGTTTACAATGGATTAACATTGTGAGTAAAACAGTTTATTTAATTAATACTTACAAGGCTTTTCTCTGTGTTTTGTAGATTTGTTAGACCATCTAACTTTCAGATTCTATTGTTTTCTCCCTAATTTATAGTCAATTGTTGTTAAAACTAATTTATTTCTGTTGTCACTCAGTTACATTCTTTATCCAGGATATCGCTGAAGTTTGATGCTACGTTGGTGAGAGATCCTGTACAAATTGCAGAAAAATGCGAGATGAAGAGATTGAGTTCTGAATTTCGCAGGGGAATCGTGTCGTTGCATTAAGGAAATAACGTTGACAATTCCTGGTTCAGTAAGTTTAGATATTACAATGATTAATATTATCAAAATGCAGGATTGTTCGGTGTTTATTTTCGCTTTTTTCAGGAAATTGTTGGTGATGTATTCATACCTTTAAATTGAGAAATCATTTATATTTTTCATATATTTTTTATTGCATAACGTATCATCTCCATATTTTTTTATTTTTTTGCTTGAATTTAACATGACTGTGTGCCTATCTAGAAATATTTGGAGATATATGAGTGTCTCAGTATTGTTTCCAATCCGTGTATTTCTAGAGAAAGTAAGAAACCAATCTGTAGATATTATAGAAGAAAAATGTGAAAATTTTCCGCAGCTCCTATTCTAATAAAAATTGTAAAAATATATAAACAATTTTTAAGTGCTATTAACAACATTCCTATTGTGGAACATATGGCAAATAATGGCGATATCAATGGATGTAGTATACCCTTCGTTTTACCTTTGCCTTTTAAACAGAGATTTACACCATCCTCTTACACGATGTCTGTTATTCATGTGTAAGTTAATGAAAAGGGCTGTAAAGAGGTTTCCAAAAAAAACAAAATTGTATATCGGGGACACTGATAGCATTAATTTGAACTATTTCGTCGGGGTGGGAGCTGGGGGAGGGGGGTGCAAGTAATACATCCGAAGGGGTATGGTCTTTAGTTGCATAAGAAGGGGGGGGGGGGCAATCCATTTTTGCCCCCACTCCCACCCTCCCGAAGCTATGGGCCTGACTGTAGTTCATAGTTTATTCCTGTGTTGATTTTATTTAGTTTTTTATTTAAGGAAACGTAATTCTATTTCAAGATCTAGATGTGATGCCAAATTTCTTACAGACATGGAAAACGCATGTCGAGAAAAAATAAACAGAAAGGTAAGAAAGAGATGTTCAGAATGGCCTAACAAAAATAAAGGAGCTTTAAGATTAGGGGGTTCTTTTATAAAAAGAAATTCTTAAAATTGCTTAAGAGACTAAATGAACCTCAAAAGCAGAAGAGTTATTATCTCCCTTTACTCTATTGCTATCAACCCCCAATGCTTCAGACCACAGTCTATAGAAATAAATGTACACGGTAACATATTCCTGTAGTTTATTTCTAGATTGTTACAATTTCAGGGGGCTGCTCTTGGTATATCAAAAACTACATGTGATGATAAATTTTATAATGAAATGAATCAAGAGTGTAAAAATGTTAGCAGAAAGGACGTTGGTAGAAAAAATCTGGGAAGTTTGTTCTGCCAAATGTTTTCTGGGAGTTATTATGGAATGGTAAGGGTATTCGGAGCCAATTATTACCCAAGTACCTCGCCAAGTTGGTGCAATGAAAGCTGGGTTAGTGGATGTATTCCTTAATCAACCGAGGCTCAACAATACACTGTTAATATACAGCTGTTCTACTGACAAGCCAATATAAAGTTATACTACTTGCTTTCAATAGAAAATAAGGGAATTTTATTTTCATGTCACCCAAACCCGGAAGATAAACTTGGACAAATATGTGCCACGTTTTGCTGTAAAACATTCAAGGCTACGTTTAAACTAAGACAGATAGGCAATAAATAATCATAATTGTCACGTATTTGACTTTAAAAGTCACGACAAAAATGGCTTTAAGAGAACAAGTCTTAAACCAGTGGCGGTGCAAATGTGGGTACAGGAGTAGAACTCTCTCAGAGGAAACATGGGATGCATGCGTCCATGAACTCTAAGAACTGCCGCATTTTGAATCTCTACCTCGACAGTTGTCCTTCCATTGAGTCAGTTTGCCCCCCTCCACCCCATTTGAACCCTAGTCCACCACTGCCTTAAACTCTCAGGGAAATGTCAGGAAACCGCGTCTAATCACCCCCCCCCCCCCCCACCCCCAACGTAAGAACTCCAGAGAGTCCTAAGATATTTTTGGCCCTGTTGAGTCACAAAGGTGACGTGACGTTCGAATTTGAGCGAAATGACATTGATGTCGCTTTTTGCCTCAGGCAATCTTGCTAAGAATAATGGTCAAGTTGTATTCGCCGATCATTTTTGATATCAATAATTAATATTCTGAGGTAACTTTACCACAGCTTTTATTTTATACCATTGAAAGTAAACGTTAAGCATGACTTTCGTAAAGTTTGAGCGCTGCATACTAAAAGTTCGACTTAAGTTTAACTTTAGTCGATGTTTATGTTAAGTAGGAGTGCTGTAAACGGCCCTAACAATCGTTCTCAAAATTTAAAAAGTTGTTAAAGACGGCTTTTCGCATTTTTAAGAGTAAAATAAAACAAACTATTTGATCGTTGGTGTATTATTCATATTATCCATGCATTCTGAAGGCTCAATTAACTCAAATCCACTTGGCGTAGCTTAATTTAGACTCCATGTTTGTTTACGTCACCAAATGACGCGAGGCTATATTTGAATTTATTGGCCACATTTTCGTATTGGAATATTATGAGCCAAATCTATAAGGAGGTATTGAAAGTTAAAACTGATTTAAATTAATATATTATATTCTTGCAAAATGAAATTGAAAAAAAATCTTTCCTGTTGCTGGAGATGATAAATGGAATACCACAATACTCGAGTAGCCGTTGCATATAATTAAGAGTTTTAATAAATCATAAATGGCCATGACTGTACAGACTGGATAACAGAAAAAAGACAAATTGATCGTTCTATAGCGGTCACTGGTCAGGTCTCCATTCCCTTCGTAATTAGCTTATTATGAGTTAATTAGGGACTCGTGAGACAAACTGCTATTTTTCTCGATCATTAGAACACCTCTACTTCCGATTGATATTAGTATTAGACATCCAATAATTGAATATATATATAAATAAATTAACATAAGTGAACCCATCTTTAATTTAGCGCGATCTTGGATAAAGAAATGAATAAGTTTTTGCAACAATGGACTATAAATGTAGGAGAAGAAGGACAGACGTTGGAAGTTGACTGCAATCTCTCCAAAACTAGTATATCTTAAGAACAAGCAAACAGGTAAGTTTCTTCTTTCATGCCTTTTTGTAGTCCATCCGTGGACTATGTTACTACCGTCTACGTATTGTTCTTCTTCAGTTTTTCGACTCCTCAACTAGGTAAGTTAAATATCTTAAGCCTTTTGCAACCAGCAATATCTGAAAGTTATTGGATTTTCAACAAGCTCTGGCTGTATTGATAGCATTTTAAAGAATCTGATTAACTGTTGATCAATCATCGGTCCAGTGGCAGTGCTGCCTCCCGGGACTGGGAGTACATTTTTCTAGGAGGGCAAATGCAAAATTACAAAGTTTCATTAATCATAATATCCTATACTGTTGAAGACTTGATTTTCAGATCAACCCATTCCATTATCGTTACGGCAATTCCAGACATTTTTAACGATTTAAGAAATAAAGGGCCTTATTCTCATAAACCTTACCTAAGATGATTTTAATATTTCAATCGATTTTAAATTTAGTTTTATAATCAAATCAGATTACTGTAGTTTAAAAACAAAAATAATTCTTAGTTTTTTGTGAATAAGGCTTCATTTTGAAACATGTAAACTGTATTTCAGGATGCGGTTATCACTGGTATTTGGTGTGTGTATTGTGGCAGGCCTGGTTGGGTTAGTAACAGCACAATGCAACCGTAACGGCGATATCAATGGATGTAGTATACCCTTCGGTTTACCTTTGCCTTTTAAACAGAAATTTACACCATCCTGTTACAAACACGATGTTTGTTATTTTTGTGTAAGTTAATTAATTAAAGGGATTGTAAAGGGGTTTCTAAAAACAAAATTGTGTATCGGGGACACTGATAGCATCAATTTGAACTATTCCAAGTTTCAATCAGACGTCTGTGGTTTCTGCAATTCCACTAAAACTAAGAGTTTGGTGACGTCACAAATCGCGAAGGGCCTTAAATATGATATAATCATATTTAGCGATTAGTGACGTCATCACAATCTATTATCGTAGTACGTAGGAGTTCGTAGTTTATTCCTGTCGTTGGTTTTTAGTTTTCTATTTTAGGGGGCGGCAAGGGATATTTCAAGACTTAGATGTGATGCCAAATTTCTTACAGATATGGAAAACGCATGTCGAGAAATAAGAAACAGTAAGGATAGAGAGAAGTGTTCAAAATGGGCTAATAGATATAAAGGAGCTGTAAGATTAGGGGGGTTCTTATATTATAAAAAAAGCCTAAAAATTGGTGCAGTGAAAGCTGGGTTAGTGGATGTCTTCCTTAATCTACTGAGGCACAGAAATACACTGTTAATATATATATGTAATGACCAGACAATTAAAAAATATATCCTTGATGTTTTGCTTTTCTTTTGATTCGGGTTTGTGTTTATTTACGATAGTGCCAGGCCAAAAATATAGCAATGCGTGGTCCATATGAACTTAAAGGCGATATTAATTTATGGCTTCTAGTTGCACCATTCCAATTATTGCGTAAGATGTCTGTGGTTCTTGTAATTATTGAATTCTTAACCTTGTATGGTGTTACAATTACAAACGCTGCTCAAAAGGCCTTTGAGATAGCTATGTAATATACACTTAGTTTTTGTGGAATTCCAAGACTCGCAAAAATTTGACTGAGAACTGGCGTGGTGTAAATCAAGTGGTGTAATACATAGTTCCAGTAAAACCGCTATATATTTGTCAGCCAAATCTCAAAATAGTCTGCGAGTATTTAGTAAAGGATGAGGGTTGTTTATGCTTTGAACTTTTTTCGGATATATTGGGGGTGGAAACCCTTGTATTTTTTGACTCATGAATTAGATATAATTTTAGTAACATATCCTCCGTTTTCAATAGCCCAACTGGTGCAGAAAAGTAGGACGTAAAACTCCATTCATTTCATTTCTCCATTCCAAATCTCCTTCATTAGCCCGATCTGGACGTCAAACTTTTTTTTCCATTTTCATTCTGAATAAGTCCGTGCTCTAGCGTTTCTGATGTACGTGTATATGCATGTATATGTATAAATAGGCTGTAGGGATTGTGTTTATTTTCAATGGTACCAGCCCAAACACAGTCGTCACTGTTCTGAACCCTATCATTCGGACAACAGACACCGGTCATTGTGTCAACTATATAGACATATTTTTGTATGAATCCCTGAGTAGATGGAGGGGAGGGTGATACTTAAGTTTTTAGGGATGTTTGCGGGTTGTACACCCTTTCCATCCCATATCCCCTCTACTTTAGTCCAGCCTGGAGAGGAAAATATAACGCAAAACTCCAATTCATATCTGCATCTCAAATAAGTCAGTGCTCTAACCCATCTGATGTTGATGCGTATCATACTGAACTTGTTACAGAAACTAAAAGACCTTTATGCTGCACTAATTTATTCTAATGATAATTTTCAATAAAAGAAATTCGGTCCAGAATTTACATCATTTCAGCATTAACTCTTATCCTGCCACTGAAATTAGGATAGGATATAGTGGTAATTACAATGAAACGATGCAATTTTAGCAAGATAATAGCCAGTGGCGTGTCCGGATTTGCCCCACACCTCTCCCCTTTTAATTTTTTTTATCATTTAACTTGGTGAACCAATACCCCTTAGAAATTTGTCTAGCCCCTGCTGGGGCCCCTCATCTAATGTATCCTAGAAACGCCGCTGTTAGTAACGATAAATGAGACTAGATCCAGGGATTGATCAGAATCTTCGAGATGCCGACACTCTTGTATTTGAAATTTGACCAAGGTCCCTTAATATAGGCTGGATCAGATCCCTTTGTCAGTGGCGGAGGCACACAATTATTTCACAATTCATATTATTTAAGGATCGAAATCACTGCCCGAATGTCATTCGTATGATTATATTTTACATATTTCAAAAATTGAAATCGCAGTAGACACAACCAAAAAAAGGCAATTCGGGCACAGATTTCAATTTTTTTCAATAAATATTGTATGACATCTGTGCCCGAATTGTATTAAATTAAGATAGTTCGGTAAGGTTTCAGTGAAACAATAGTGTTTCTATCGAAGAGTTTGCAAAACTCTCATAACTAAGTTAGAAATTCGGGCAACCTCAGATATCTCCCCCCTGGGACGTAAACCTGGCTCCGCCACTGCCCTTTGTCATTCATTCCCGAATGCCAGACACATAGTGGTCGTGATGCCATTAAAAATAGAACAAAATTGATTATATAAAGAAAGACTTACAATTCTCGGTAAGTTCGACAACTGTTTCATACTCTTCAACTTGTACAACTCCATCGCCTGTAATAAAACAAAGTGAAACGCTCGTATCGAAAACTTAAACAACCACTGGCGACCACGTCAAACGATGGTAGCCGATTCTGATGGTAGCCGATTCCGATCGCTTGGCCTGAAGACACGATCCAGAGATCAAGAGAGAAGAGCTGGAAATTCCAGCGGAAATTGTGGTTTTTCTATAGTAGGTGCGCGCAAGTTGCATTAATCAAGCGATCTGTGTTGGCAGGTGCCAACAGGGGTTAGTGATATGGTCCACACATTGTGGGTTTGAGATATAGTCGTTAATCACAAATGGTATAACCGTTCTCACGAAAGATTAATTTTCATCAAATTTAACTTGGTAAATGCATGACATAAAGACAGGAAAATACCAAGAAAAGCTTTCTATAGTCTTTTTACGTTCAAAATTTAGTGTCTGCTACAAAACTCGCTGCTATAATATATCAATTATGTCCAATTTTCACAGGACTATATTTTACACAATCACAGTTTTCAGTGGTCAGAATTCGGAACGAGGGATACTGGATCTCTTTGGTACTTACCGTCAACGTCATAAGTTGCTTTAAATTCAACTAAACCATTGTCGTCAACACCAAATACGGATTTGATTTCTTCATCAGTGAAAACACCATCTTCAGCAGCAGCATTGTATTTAGCTTGGAACTCAGCATCTCCTGCTTGTCTCTTACCAAAGGCCCTGATCACAATTGGTACAAATGGTGCTATTCTTCTTAGCAATCTCCTTCCTCTGCGAAATCGTATTCGCCACGAGTCGGTTTCCTGACCGATCATCATTACTACCAAAACCACGATTAAAACAACTGCAACTTTCATTTTACGGTTTAAATAAATCTGAAAAAATGAATAAGATAAATAATATCTATCATCCAGTCCCTCTTTGTCTTCGTACAGCTTCAAGAACACATACATGTAAAGTATGGGCGTCAGAGACTAATCTTAACGCACATCACTCCCTTTCCTGTTTCTCTTTTCACAATGTTCCTTAAAACGAAACTGATGCTTGTTCAATGATTTGCCCCGTGTTTTGTGCGTCGTTAACCATTCTTTCCTTAGGTCCTACCATACTGGTTTAATATCTTACTGTCCAAATACCATACTGTCCAAATACCATACTGTCTTACTGTCCTAATGTCTTACTGTCCTAATGTCTTACTGTCCTAATGCTGTACTGTCCTTATGTCTTACTGTCCTAATGTCTTACTGTCCTAATGCTTTACTGTCCTAATATCTTATTGTCCAAATACCATACTGTTCTAATACCTTACTGTCCTATTGCCCTACTGTCCTAATGCCTGACTGCCCTATTGCCTTACTGCCCTAATTTCTTACCGTCCTAATGTCTTACTGTCCTAATGTCTTACTGTCCAAATGTCATACTGTTCTAATGTCTTACTGTCCAAATGTCTTACTGTCCTAATGTCTTCATCACATGATCCTAATGCACGTTCTTCAGATTTTCCAACCATAATAATGTCCTCATACTGACGGTTTGATCCAGTATTTATACAATAAATAGTACAGAAGAAAAATATGTGCCATATGAAATTTGTTTTGTATACTTACTTCGTCACGATGTCAAGCCATTAGTCGTCATACACCTCGATTGTATTAGCCACTATGCTTGTAACACGAAAGTCTGTAAATGCAGATATTTGGTTGGATTTTACGCTACCGAATACAGCGAATACGATGTTCATACTGACTTGACATTGTGAAGATGAGTTAAAACATTTGTATTCTTACCTATACTTACAAGGCTTTTCTCTGTGTTTTGTAGATTTGTTAGACCATCTAACTTTCAGATTCTATTGTTTTCTCCCTAATTTATAGTCAATTGTTGTTAAAACTAATTTATTTCTGTTGTCACTCAGTTACATTCTTTATCCAGGATATCGCTGGAGTTTGATGCTACGTTGGTGAGAGATCCTGTACAAATTTCAGAAAAATGCGAGATGAAGAGATTGAGTTCTGAATTTCGCAGGGCGATCGTGTTGTTCCAATACGGAAATAACGTTGACAATTCCTGGTTCAGCACGTTTAGATATTACAATGATTAATATTATCAAAATGCAGGATTGTTCGGTGTTTATTTTCGCTTTATTCAGGAAATTGTTGGTGATATTATATTCATACCTTTAAGTGTATTTCCTGTCATCTACTTTTTTTTTTATATTGCATTCAATGAGTTGGTCGACGCTGGATCACTTTTAAGACATATATTGGAATATTACGTCTTACTTTTCAAAGACAGCCCCCCCCCCCCCCCCTTCCCTTTCAAAACTTTCCAATAATTTATCATTCTACATTTTACCCATTACTTCATTTATATCATACCCCTACAAATACAGCAAAGGTCATGTTGATACTGTATAATTGCGATTATAATGCGCACGTTGGTATAATGTGCACCCCTCCCCCCTTTATATCTCCAGTATATCTTGTGTCTTATTTATTCATGGTTGTCCAACAGGCCGATATGATCTGAATGGTCAATGAGTTAGTTCATCCAATCAGATACATTGTAACAAAAGATTTTTAAGTCTATTCATATTGCCATCATAGTCAGAGTCTGAATATCACAGGAGCATTTCAGTTGTCTATGATTTATTTATCTGTAATCCAAAGAAAAGTAGCCAGTGGTGTTTCTAGTCCATAGGTGGGTGGGGGCCAAGTATGACAAGAGAATTGTCAAGGTGGGCTCACAGGTAATCCTTTCCCATTTCTAACATGCAAACCCAGGTTAGCCTCTTTTTACCATTTTATTTTATTTACTAAATAAAAACTGGTCAGGTCAAAAGTTAATTTGAAAAAAAAATATAAAAAAGTCTGCAAAACTTGACCTCTTCTGAATTATTGGAAGGTAGCAGGGTTTTAACTCTAGACTCCAATAACTGTAAAATTAATCAATAAGTTTAGCCATGAGATGCCCCAGGTCGGTGCAAATCATCAACAGTACACAAGTCAATATCAAATCTGAGGGATTAATAGTCAAAGTGAAAAGCTATCTGGATCCTCCATGGAGAGATATTTGACTGATTTGTTTCGTCAAGCATGAATTGAATTGCTTGAGTCTCATGATTTTTGAACTATATCAGACCATGATTACTCTTTTTGAAACCCCTGCTTGTTCTTCTTGTTTGATTTGTTTGATTTATTTCTCCCGATTTTGGTCATGCTTATTCCTTAGGACAGAATTGTTTTGCATGAACACGTTTAAATCACATTATGTCTGCTCTTGTATTGTTGTGAAAAATTTAAAGACAAAAGATCATACATTAACTCGAACAATATGATCAGCCATCTTAAAAACTTTTAAAATAATTTCCATTTCTACTCTCACTACAGGATTTATGACTTCTCCCTTACATTTCTTACATGTTGTCTTGCTGAAAGTAAGAATTCTCCAAATTGTAAATCATTCATGGCAGATCTATTCAATCACATACCTAGGGGTCCACCTCGCCCTTGCTTGACCCTATCATCCCTCAGGCATGTGAAAAGTTAATGGGCACTTCATGAATTATCTGAGACACCTCTCATATTTCCCCCCACTCATTCAGGTTGTCAGCTATCTTAAAAATTAATAATAATGGCATGAAAAGTCCATCTTATATCTCTTTCTACAAGAAGACATAAAACGACAGAATTGAAACCATTGAGCCAATTGCACTTTTTCCCCCGTGTCATGCTTTCAACCCTGTTCTATTTACTGACTGAGACTTACCCATCCACTTCAGACACAAGAAGTTCATCACTACCACAGTTCTCACACTCTTCCCATGAACTGGCTTTTTCTTCATTGATATCTTTTATAGTACCTACAAAATTAGCTTTAAGCTTCTTAACAAATAAACTTTGAGATTTTCAACTTATTAGCTTTAAGCGTTTCAACCAATTAGCTTTAAGCTTTTCAACCTATTAGCTTTAAGCGTTTCAACCAATTAGCTTTAAGCTTTTCAACCTATTAGCTTTAAGCTTTTCAACCTATTAGCTTTAAGCTTTTCAACCTATTAGCTTTAAGTTTTTTAACCTATTAGCTCTAAGCGTTTCAACCAATTAGCTTTAAGCTTTTCAACCTATTAGCTTTAAGCTTTTCAACCTATTAGCTTTAAGCTTTTCAACCTATTAGCTTTAAGCTTTTTAACCTATTAGCTTTAAGTTTTTCAATCTATTAGCTTTAAGTTTTTTAACCTATTAGCTTTAAGTTTTTTAACCTATTAGCTTTAAGCTTTTCGACCTATTAGCTTTAAGTTTTTTAACCTATTCTTTTTAACCTATTAGCTTTAAGCTTTTCAACCTATTAGCTTACATTTTTTTTAACCCATTAGCTTTAAGCTTTTCAACCCATTAGCTTTAAAATTCTCAACCAATTAGCTTTAAACTTTTCAATCTATTAGCTTTAAGATTTTCAACCTATTAACTTTAAACTTTTCAACCCATTAGCTTTAAGCTTTTCAACCCATTAGCTTTAAGCTTTTTCAACCTATTAGCTTTAAGCATCTTAACAAATAAGCTTTGAGTTTTTCAACATATTAGGTTCAAGATTTTCAACCGTTAAAACAAACCTTGAACTGCAACAAGTGTGTTAAAGTTCGACTGAGGTGAAATGTCAGGCAGTCTTACAGTTATATTCTTCAAATCTTCATTGTCTTCTCTAGCCATTGATATTCTACTATATTCATCAGCTATCAGTTCACCTAGAATTCATAACACAAATCTTGAATTTCTGTATTTTTCATTCCCTCAATTATAAACGTTATTCTTACATGGAGCTAAATCAAATACTGACTGACACTTGAATACTTTAACAACTGATATTAAAGAAGAGAGTTCAGAATGACGTTTCAAACATTTGACATACCTTTAACGCAACGTAAATCAGTGCAATTTATTACAGGACCTGGTGGGTTGGTTTCCAAGGGATAAATATGGTTGCTAGGGAAGAGTCGTATAGATTTATAGGGTTGCTGATTGGTTGATATACTCTTATCACTGATATACAGTTCTCTTGTTATCTGAAAATGAAAATAAATTTAAATGAAATGGTAATGAAATAGAGAAATGAAAAAAATTGAATGAATGAATGAAAATTATTTCACACAATTACAGAAATGTGTCCAGAGCACAATTAGGCAGAGACAGATTCTATGACTCTCAGTCCCATTACCAGGTTTACCTACTACAGTGAAACATGGTAGAAAAAAACCAGACGATGATATAAAACATACTAACCTCTGTAAATGGAGTAGAATATAACAATCTTACTGTACAAGATATTCTACACACCTCATCATTCTAAAAATAAAAATATCACTTTTGTATTTTAATAAAATGCTTCCTTAAGTGATCATGTGACAGCAGAAATAAAATAAAATGCAGTTTTACATCATAATCTTCTGCCTCTCAAATTGAAATTGGGACACAAGAAGAAGCAATATATATACCTCAATTATATCTGACAATGGTTGAGATTTGTTCTGTTTCACCAGGTTATTGTTGTTTTCAGAGACGTTAAAATCAAACACATCTTCTAGATGAGGTATTAATATATAGCAGAAACATGGTGGTATTTGACTCTCCTGTAAATATATTTAAAAAGATATATAGGTAACTGTTAGGACAGATGTGATTTCACAGAACAAGGTCCTATTTAAAACATAGTCATGAATAATATATGAAATCGACAGTTTTTACATGTTTCTTCTGTTATTTATTTTATATTGCTTGTATAATTTTTGCTGATTAATTTTGTTTATATGTATACAAGTTAGGCGTATTACAAGAAAAGCTTTTTAGCCTAATTTCTTACCCTAATAAACTGATTATTATTATTATTTTTTATTATTATTAGTCCAAAATTAGTTTAAGATAAAACTATAAATAGGTATTATTCAATCACATATAGTTCACTCACTTAGCAGGGTGTAGGCAAAAAAGTCTTACATTAAATAATAGATCTGATTGAGTATCCTGACTGTCTTGTTGACATGATATACCAGTCCAAGCTTTATCAATTACACTGAATAGATTACTATCTCTGTAAATAAACACAACACATGTGAAATTCAGGGGCCTTATTCTTGAAAATTAACAAAGATAGAATCTAGTTTTCAAGGATTATACAGTAATCTCATTGGATAAAAAAATCAAATTTGAAGTCAGTTTTAGTGATTGACCAATAATATGACTGGAACACTAAAATCATCTTAATATAAGTTTTTGAGAAGAAGGACCTAGTATCAACTAATATTAGGGCCTACTAAACATTTTTAGTATTTCTATAAATTACAATAGTATTTGTTCACGCCCTGTATCCACACAAAAACATGAGAAACCGCTTTACATTCCCTTAAACCTTTCAAAGTATCTAAAATTACCTATCCCTGGTGACTCTCTGTTGAACTTTAAGACCTGAAAACCATGACAAACATCCTACAGATGAGTCTAGATTACCCAGGTCTCTATCTTCGGGTAAGTGAATAACTGCCATAGTGCCACTGTCTTCAATCATTATACCACATCTACAGAAATAGAATAAAATTTGCAGACCAAGATAACTGCAGACTAAAGGGAGATAATTCAAAGACTAGAGGGAGATAATTTGGAGACTAAAGGGAGATAACCTAAAGACTAAAGGAAGATAATTTAAGGACTAAAGGGAGATAATAAGAAGACTAAAGGGAGATAAAGAGAAGACTGAAGGGAGATAATTTGGAGACTAAAGGGAGATAATAAGAAAACTACAGGGAGATAATTTGGAGACTAAAGGGAGATAATTTGGAGACTAAAGGGAAATAATTTGGAGACTAAAGGGAGATAATCACAAAACTACAGGGAGATAATTTGAAGATTAAAGGGAGATAATTTGGAGACTGCAGGGAGATAATTTGAAGATTAAAGAAAGATAATTTGAAGACTAAAGGGAGATAATTTGAAGACTACAATGAAATAAATTACATATTAAATGCCATAATTCAAGGAAGAAAAAAGGAATTGATAATTGCGAATTCATTCAGGTACTGCTAAATTTACTACATGAATATAAAATATGTTGAAAAATAATTGAAATGAAATGTTACCTATAAACTTTCAGTCTGGCATCATAATGATGAAAGACACGAGATATGAGAGCTAGGAATGATAAGGGTTGGTCTGTATGATTCTCAAGACACTGTCGTAATGTAGCTGTACTAGAACTAGTTAGCATAGGATGCTGGGAAGGAGTTATCGTATGAATACTGGTTTCTTTTACTGTCTTGTTGTAAGATTCTGTTATTTTAGTATTTGATGTTGATGGCATAACCTGCAAATATAAGTAGAGAGCTCAGAACAAATCTTTAATCTTTTACTTGTTGGTTAGGGGAGTCTAAAAATAGTTTTTAAAAAATGTTTGTGCACATTCAGCAAGGCTTCAAAGAGTCTACATTATAACTTAAAGGTGTTTAGAACAAAACAAAATGACCATGATCAGAATCAAGCTGTAGTTAGGTTAGATGTTGTCTTAATGGTCCAATACCTGATCACTGTGAATCTGAGATATATCTCCGCCTACTTTATATGTTGATAAAACAGAACATTCCTTGGTGCAGATTGTTGGATCTTAAAAAGAAATAAAGCAGTAGAACAAGTATCTAAATCTGATTGCGTGATTTTCCCTGATTACCTATACCAATTATATCTGGGTTGACGTTAATAATAGTTGATTAATAGGAGAGATCAGCCATGACGTCATAGAGGTGGTTTGTAAGAGTGGTTTGTCCTACCAATTGTCCTACTCAAGTTATGTATGTGTTTTATTATATATCAGCATATCATCGCTAAGCTGATTTTCCCTATTCAAGAACAACAGATTTTTGCAAGCTGAGTAATGCTATCTCAAATTAAATACAATTTGTAAACCAAGTCATACCTTTAGAACAGGGACAGGACCAATGTGACAGAGTTGTTTTTGTCTGTTTAACTGGTGATGGTACCAGGACATCAGACTGAGTTCTAATGTTTACATAGTTGGTACATAATATTACACTCTCATTGGCTGATAAACAGTTCAACTCTTGCCTATAAATATATATTCGGATCTGATCATTTGGGCTAATTTTGAACATCAGTTGCAGTACTTGTAAGGAGTAATGCCCTTGTCTAGCAGTACTTGTAAGGAGTAATGCCCTTGTCTAGCAGTACTTGTAAGGAGTAATGCCCTTGTCTTGCAGTACTTGTAAGGAGTAATGCCCTTGTCTAGCAGTACTTGTAAGGAGTAATGCCCTTGTCTAGCAGTACTTGTAAGGAGTAATGCCCTTGTCTAGCAGTACTTGTAAGGAGTAATGCCCTTGTCTAGCAGTACTTGTAAGGAGTAATGCCCTTGTCTAGCAGTACATGTATGATGAGTCATTGTGCAATAGTTGTAGTTGCCTATAAAGTATTTTTTTCAACTAAAACATGCCCTAATACTGAATATATTACAGAATTGGACAAAACTTGTTTAAAAGAGGTATTGTTAAGACTGAGTGCAATATCAAGTCAAGTACCTAATGTAATACTGATGTCAAGGTATAAGACAGAGTTTGTAATAACTTGACATTGTGAAGATACATTCTCTACAGATATTGAAAGTGAATAAAGCACATCCATGGAGATCCAGTGCAGTCATGTTCAAAATATAAAAAAAAAATTAATGAAAACAAAAGTTTCTGATGCAAATTTTAACCCAAAACATAGGCACAAGTACTGTTGCTCAAAGCAAGCAATCTTACCAAGGGGCAAATATCTCTAACTCTGTTCCAACTCTTATCTTTAACTCATCCATAACCTGTTTAGTAAACAGAACAGCATGGCTCTTCTGGTCACCTCCCTCCAATAATGTACATCTTGTTATTTGTAGAGAATATAATAATTCAAAATATTCGACTTTTACTTTAATACTTTTGGGTGGCGCTGTAATTAAAGGATTTAAATATTAATAATCTCATTAAATTGAAACAAAATCTTTTTCAACATGTTGATTATCATAAACGTCTATAATTAGGAAAATTGACCTACATGCCACCTATTGGCCATTGGGTGGTATTGTCATCTTTGTTGTTTTCTTTTGAGATAGGGTTTAGAACAAAAACAAGGTAAAGTAGATCTATGCTTTCTAAAGTCTGTCAAAAAATGTCACAATTCAAAGCGTACCTTGTTGTTCATTGTTGCTTTGATTCTGATGTTTCCAGATTCGTAAACATGACCTCTCTCGACCTTGAACACGGAATAAACTTTCAGCAAAACCACCCCTGTAAGAAAAACACAGAACTTTACCGCTATCAATAGCTTGTTGTGATCTTTGTCTGACAATTTTCTTATGGAATTATTAAGATTAAGAAAAGTAACCTTGCGTCTATAATTGTTAAAAAGCAACAAAGTACAGAAATTTGTTTACCTTATAATTCTAATTCTCACCTTAAATATTTTTTGTGTTTCTTCTTTGCAGAATCAGGGTCTGGTTGTTCTTCACGGTAGTCTTGTTTTTCAGGTGACTTTTCCCAGTCCATTAATTTCATCCAATCACTGCCTTTTAAACCAGATGTACATGGTGACTGTGATTGGCTGGAAGAGGGGCAACTAATCACCATGGGAGACAATCTGCTTTCCTTAATGTAATAAACAAAATATTTTATATTCTTTAAAGATCCAAATGAATGCTGGGAATTTGGTTTATTGAATGTAAATTGATCAGCAAATACAAGCACTTTTCCATTAACATAATATTCCTGTATTTTTTAACATTACTCATTTAGTCATCAACTCTTATTTCATTACTTGGGGACTATGGTGGTATTATCAGCATGGATAAAAACATATCCAAAGGACACATCATCAAAAATATATTCAAGTATTCGAGCACATTTTTAATCCTTTTTTCAAAAATTACAAATGATATTTTACTTGTTTTTCTAATGTCGAAACTTTTGTCCTCATTTCATCATCTGAGCCAGAAGTGTCTTCTATTCTCTCCTCATTACTAGGTTTCCTTCTTTTCTGGGGCCTTCTGGATTTCTTGATCTGAGCTAGTCTGGGGGAGACTGCTACAACCTCTTCCTCACTCTCACTTGAATGCCAAGATATCAACTCATCCTCTGAAACAATGGTAACGAAAATATTAGAGGCAACCTAATGATGTTATGTAGAGCCTATGTTCCTGGTAACGGTACACTTAGTGTTACTGTTGATCTCTGGATAATTTTTGTTTTGCCGCTTCTGTCATTTTCTCCACTTACCAAGATAAATCTTGTATTAAGGACCAAGATTATAAATATCATAAATATGGGATTTAAAATTGACCAATCAACACACTTGCGTGTAAGTGAACCATGTTATAATCTAAATACAGGATTTGGTTTTAATAACTCAACGCACTTTTATAAATCAGTCAAACATTTTCCTAGTAACCTACCAATATCTTGACCTTCATCTTCAGAAGAATTATTTAAAACACACGGCAAGGACGACATTTTCTGTTTTTTGGAAGCTGATGGCGCCTTGTTTGTGGCTGAATCATCCAATGAAAATCCTGAAAACCCATCACCACTCCTTGACCAATCAAAACTCTTGTTACGTGATTTATGAGTAGATGAGTTAAAATCTGCTACTGGTTTTTCTGCAGAATACTTTTTACCCCAGCCTACTTGTTGGGAATCAAAACTATAACTATCTTCAAGCTGAAAAAATAATATTAGAGGATCTGTCATTAAACCAACTTCTTCTGTGAAAAAGATGAGTTATTCATAATAATAAATCTATAATGACAATGGTGAATATTAGCTGGGCTCTTAAGAATTTTGCCATTAATAGTAGTCCTATCTAACCAGTGAAAAGGCAGACAAACTAATTTACACATGTATGTGTTATACCAACTCATTCAATATTGTTTGTTTGCAGTGACATAGACATTTTACAGATTTACTACAGGGCAAGATGGGGTGCATATTATACATGCTTGTGCACTATATTCAATCATAAACGGTAAGAGACAAAAGTAGGAAACATTGTGGATTATGATGACACTGATCTTTGTGTGTGTAGATCTTAATTATGTGGCCCCTTGTTTCGATGTGAAATCGGCTTACCTACCTTTCTTTTACTTTTCCTACTATGACAACTTTTCATGGCGTTAAATACAAACAACGATGGGTTAAAAACGAAGTTAAAAATTTGACAACAAAAATCAAAATAAACTTTCACTTTCTTTCCCGCGAAACGTATCTCCTTTGCTAGAGAGCTTTACAAGGGAGGACAATCAGAACAAATTCAGACAACAGTTAAAAATTGATATAACATAGGGTCTTGGCAGTACTGATCGGGATTGAAATTATACAGAAAAGGACAGCTTCATACAGTGTGCTGGTAGAAATATTACCAATATAGTGCTTCTCGTAACATTCAACATTCAAAATGGATGTAATTATAAGGATGAAGTTTGAAGCCATTATATTGCAATTGATAGGACCATCTCCATCTCACTAAATTTTCGATCAAAAGTAATTAATAGTCAAATTTGTAATCCTAATGCCCATTCATTGTTCTTTGTCTTGGACAAAATTTATTTTGGCTCATTCAGAAAACGCCTGCACAGGGAGAATACAAAGTAATCCTTACACCTCTTTTGTGACCACAGACATTCTATTTCCATGGTTTTACAATACAAAAACAAAAGGGGAGGAGTGATAGCTATGTCTATATAAGACTGTACAGATAGATACAAATAAAACAATGTAATGAGTTTATTACAAAAAATATCACAGTTAGTACATCTTTAATAAAAAAAATCAACCATATAAAAAGGAATGTATTTTCAGTTCAATAATTCTAGATGATTTTTCTGAAGTTTTCATAACTTAATGGTCTTTATTTTTATCTGGGGCTACATGTAAAGAAGGGTTAATCATTTCTTCACTCTCAGAACCATGCAGGCCGTTCCCATCCAATAGCTGCTGACAATCCTTAAACACTTCCCAGCCAACCCCTTCAACAGTAATCAGCTATTTGGTCCATCATTTACACAAAATCAGATTTCATGATAAAGATTTTCCTAATATAAAAACAGGACTAGAAAAATATAAATGTAACAAAAACCTTAAGAAAATGAAAAGAGTTTAAACCAACCTCAAAAACTTAATGTGATTGGCTAAATATAACTCCTTTACTATTAATACAACTTTAGAAATATAGATATAAACATAGCAAGATTAAATACATGATTTTATATAAACAAGCTTATTATCAAAGCTCATTAATCTTAATTAATAGTTAATTTGATAAAATAATTGTGATATACAATGACTGAGTTCAGAACTATACAATACAAGGAAAGATAACTTGGCAGGCAAGGTGATGCTGTGTATAAAATCAGAAAAACTAATTGTTATAGAAATAGTATTACATGAACAAGTCTATGATTTGACAATGGATTAATCATTAATCATGGATTAAGTAAAATCATAATTGGTATCTTAGAAATTGCATGAAATAAATCTCTTAGAAATATTGAAATTTACAAAAATTGAATATAAATGGTAAAACATAAACAAATGACGTAGAAGAAGCACATTTTAGTAACATAATTGATTTCAGATTCATGATTCGTAAAAAGACATTGTTTTCATTTTATAATTCACATAGTTTCAGGATTCTATATAGTACCATGGGTAGTAATGTTTTGTAATCTGGCACAAGTATCAGGATCAAATTCAAAGGACTGAAAAAAAAAAATTCTTTAAAAAAAATACTCCTTGACTTTCTTTTTTTTTCAGTTATATCCGATTTTTCCCAAAAGACAAAGTACTTGGAATGAAAGAGTTTTTTCATCTCCTGCAGAAAAAGTGGCTTTATCATGTCAGCCTCTCATATAAATCATCAACCAGCGAAACCAGGTTGAAATATTTGAAATTTTTTTCTCAGCCTTCGAAAAGATTTATCTTGCTATCCTTAGTTTATCAAATAAACATCAAACTCCATGTCCTTATTAGACTCCGTACAATTAATACAAAAGAAATCTAAATTTTGCCAAAAAAAAGAATATTTAAAACTTGACAATTAACCCTTTGTGCTAATGAGACTAAATCAACATACAAGCAAAACTATGAAAAAATTGCCAAATTTCCAACAATACATATACCTTTGAGTAATATTTCTTGGCTTCCTCCTGATCCACGTTGACACCAAGTCCTGCTACATGTGATCGTGCCAAATAAAAACAAGCCATGGAGATACCCTTACAGATAAATGCAGGCAAACATTCAGTTTCTTTAGCTAGGATAGGTATGTCTTTACCATTGAGCTGAGCTACTCTACAACATGATCATCAGTGAACATCAGCAATGTGAATAGTGAACACAGAAAATATGATGTGAACATGGGCAATTGGAATTGTGAACATTGTAAATATGAATACTGAACATGGGAACTGTGACCGGTGAACATGGAAAATGCAAACAGTGAACACTAAATACTAATAGTGACGACAGGAATTGTGAACTGTGAACATTGGGAATTGCAAGCGCAGCCAAGTAGAAGTGAACATGCTATTAAAATCTTGGATAAAATAATCCTTCTTCATTAATCCACATACTCTTAACGAAAGAAAGAAGAAACTGTCAAAGCATCAATAGACTGGCGTCAACTGCTCTGAATTGTGACCTAAAAACTAACCTTAAAGCTAGAGCGCCAGATTTTGAAAACAATTTTCGTCTGTAATAGTGAGCTATGAGATTACCCATAGCATACACATTGCCTCGGTCAGATGCTTCTTTTAAACATATATAACCAGAGTCAGGATCTTTCTTACAACCAATACCATTTTCATACATAACACCCAGAGCACCTTATTAAATTAAAATACTAATAAATGAATCCTATGCCAAGTTGACTAATCCAATTGCAGAGTGTCTTCAGGTAGGCCTACTTCGGATGAATGAAAACACCCATAAACAGCTTGGCGGAGTGAAATTAACAAATCTTATTCTAAGATGTCTAATTCAATTGCAAATTAGAATAGCTTTAAGACGTTTGAAACTCATGAAAATACTAAATAAACAACAGACTTTTTTACATGCTCAATCAATAAACTTAGTCCAGAACAAGACTGTGGCTTTCCACAACTGTTGTGGTATGTCAGTGCAAGCATTCATCCATAAGTGTGAGAGCCTGAGGATGGAGGAGCACCTGTCCAAAAAATCTAAAGTTGATCTTGTGTGTTATATGGCAAAAGCATACCTTGTGATTCCAGGCTGCCATTACCACAAGCCTCTGAGTGCCAGAAAAAGGCTTTCTTTAAATCTAAAGTTTCCTCTCGTGAATAGAACATTCCCAATGAACTTTGAGCTTTAACACTGCCTTTAGGATTACCATCATCTGCAGCTAGTAACCACCATCTAAAACAACGAGAAAGATAAATTTATGTTCTTATGGATATAATACTTTCATTTGATTTTGATAATTGATATATTTGGCAAGCAAACGATATATTTTGCTGTTTTTTTGTAAAAAAAAAGGCAACTTTTTACTTACTTTTCAGCTTCTGCATCTGATTGTCTTTTGACCCCGAAGCCTTGGAAATAAGCTCTACCTATATTGTACTGCAAGGCTGGTAATAAATGTTTTACAGATTTAGATTTACATGAGGCAACTTTCAATAAACATTCCATACCTTCAGTCTGAAAAAGACAAAATAAATTGAAACAGGCCAAAACTCTTTGCATGAATCTTTCTCAGGTTATAAGCTTACTCATTTACAGCTGAGTCGACTGGATTAATGAGGAAAGATGAATTATACCAAGTCCTCAGACTTTCCGGGCCGACTGAAATTAAAACCAACGATCATCAATACATCATGTAAAATGTAAAACATTATTATCTATAAATGAATTTAGTATTAATCTATAATACTTACAGTTTGTGGCTCACAGCCTATACCATCATATAACATAACACCATACTGATATAAAGACTGGTTATCAAAATCTTTAGACTCTTTAAAACATTGTAGGGCTTTATCATTATATATCTCCTATAAAAACAATATATAATATGAGCAGAAGAGATTTAAAAGCATTGAGAATTTATAAGAAATAAGGAATAATTTGAGAGTTTTATCACAGCCCTTTCCTATAAATATTGTTAACTCCTATGTAGCCCTTACTATTGCATCATTAATCATACCATTACCATACCGGTAACTCAAGTTTGTTCCCAGCAGCTCTAGATTTATATGTCTGATCAAAATTGAAGAAAGAAAAGAAATCAGTTTTCAAAGTATTTATAAAAAAAGAAAATATCAAACCTACCTACCTGTTCTAAATAAAATAAACCCAACTGAAAATAGGCTGTCTTTTCACCATTTTTAATCTTTCCATGCAACACTTCTTCAACTTTTTCTAAAAGTTCATCTTCTGTCAATTGACTTAAATTTGAATCCCCACTTGTTTCTTGTGCTATACCATTTAATATCTTGTTTTCTCTAGAAAACTTAACTTTTTCAGATGTGAGTTCTTGTGGCAATTCCATTTCCTAGCTTTCAGATATCTGAAACATCAATAAGTTATTTTGTAACATTTAAATGGAGGGTTACAGACGAACTTCTATGCAATTCTTGCAGTTGTTTTCATGAATTGGCTACCAGTACAGTTTTGGATCTAGTTATAAAATGAAATTAAAGGGACCATCTAATTATTCTGGTTCAAAGCTGATGTCGAAAGGACTATTTATTAGCTACATAAACCAACGTTTAGAAGAAAAGGGGAAAAAGAGATGATCGTTTTTCAAATCACCACAATAACAATGACCTCTCCAATCAACGAAAAAACAACTAAAAAGACTGTGAGTGAGAGTGATCCAGATCAGATTGAATTCACTGAGTGAGTCGTGGACGAGGAGAAAGTTTATGACCACAAATTGATAAAAACCAAACTACTTGGATTAAATTGTGAAAAAAATAGATAAAATTTCTGATCTATTATTACTTGACGATCAAACTAGAAAGAAACATAGTTCAACAACAATCATAAACACCACAAAACTTGCCTTGTTTTGCCTCTGTAAATAAAAACAAATGTGAAGAGTACCGAGTGACCTCCCTTCGGTAAATCCGGTAGGACCGACGTAGCAACAGAAGAAAAATAATGTCGAGAAAAATTATTCTTGAAATATCAAGGATCATGCTTGGAATATATTTATCTACAATCTTTCATTATTACAGATTAGAAAAGCTCGTATTTTATTTAAACCAATTTGAACCTTTTTTTTTTCTTATAATTTGTACCGTGGCTTATTTACCGGAAGTAGACGTCTGCTTCGATTTTAAAGGGATGCGCTCCTGTGTTTTTTGGGGGAGGGGGGGGGGGGGATTTTTTTTACACAAAAATAGACTTGAACATATTACCCTTGATGATGTAAGGCATAAATTTAGGCTAGAATATAATGAGTGTTCATTTTTGGTTATAATCATTTCACACGAGAAATATTTAGTGACCATGCCTAATAAAACGATCTAGTCTATTATTTTTTTTTGTATTAGCCTGGTATTTGGCCTAGACTTACTGTTTGATACTGATTTTCGAATGAACAGAATAACATTTGATGTGTTTTTATAGGCCAACCGGGTAATTAAATTCGTGAGCATGTTTGGACTCGCCGGACCTGACTTGCCTACTCAAAAATTGTTATCGTCTGAAGATATTGATATGTCATAAAAGAAATGAAAAGAATTGATAATTTGATTTTCTTTAGCTTGGTCTTTGTTATACGAGACACAATGGTAAAGGACATATTGTGGCAAAGGCGATAGAAGTCGATATATAAGGGTAACGTTCGAGGTGGCCTATTGCAAAACAAAGATACCTTATTTTCGGGCAAAAATCTCATAACTAGGTTAGAAATTTGGTCAATCCCTCCCACCACAACCCCTCTCGGACGTAAACCTGGCTCCGTCACTGGGTGAGTTGACAGTAACTGCTTGGAAACTAAGCATGTCGGCACTTCCGCCAGGTACAGAGAATCGATTCTGTTGAATGGACTGGACATTACATTTTCATTGTTTTGCCTTCTCTGATAATCGCAGTTTTGAAATCAACAATGATGAGCTCAATGACAGATGAAAACAAACAACGTATTTGTAGTGGCCTAAATTATTGGTTATTGAATTTTGACTTGACGAAATGAATGAGGTGAATTGAAAATAAAAGGGAGATACGTCGTGTATGCTATGTATAGACCCTATAGTAATACATTTTTTCTCGAGTGTTTTGGTTACCTATCTATGTTAAACAAACTTCCAACATGTGAAGGTATAGAAAATTAATGTTCACACACCTTTTAACCGTCAAATTGTGATTATTAGTTTGATGGAAAATGGAATTCAATATTTGTGATTTCTGGATTTTGGAAGTGATTGTAAACGATATGTGAAAGATTTACTTTTGTTTTCATGACTTTATAAGGGTTATGTGACACTGGATTTAACTTAATATTTACTAGCTAGATATTACTTGGATTTTGTTGAAAAAGAATGTGCTCTGTCGATCCTTAGGCCCATGTGTTACAATGTGAATTTTTTTATTTTGAGTTCCGATGGATTAGAATAAGAAATTTGTGGGACTAAACATCATTTTGATAGTAAAACATGTTGGTTTAGAGCAAATTTCAATGGATTTAAAATAAGTGTTTAGTCCTGCATAGTCCTGCTATTACATAACTCAACCCGACTCAAAAGATTAAAACGCCAAAGAAAAGCCTACTACATTTTTGTTTCACATGCTGTTATAGCTAAATTTCGGCTATTTTTCAATTTTTGGATTTGGTTCTCTTCGACTTATACATCTCTTGGTGTGGAAAAGCGTCTTACATATACATATCAGTTGAATCTCAAGATGGACGCAGTTGTTTCTACTAAGTATGGCAAACGGCCAGTTTTGGACGTTCCACCATTGAACGCTTACGGTGGTAGAAGTTTAAAGTTCAACAACAGCATATCAAGCATGATGGACTACAATACATCTTCTTTGATAAAGCAACCACAACAGCCTCCGATACAATACGTTCCCCAGCAACAACCCAACACGTACGTGTCGCAACCGCAACAGGTAACACAATACGTTCCACAAACGCAGCCGCAATACGTTTCACAACCACAAACGACTCAATATGCACCGCAACCCCCGCCACAGACTGTGCCACAACCATCAACTCAGTATCCAACGGTTCCGCAACAACCAACATACCCGCAACCATCTGGTTACAACCCTTACGCCAGTGCGTACACAGATCCTAGGGCTGCAGCTACCGCACCACAATACCCTCCACCAGATCCCAACTCCTTCATGGCAGCCATGATGAACCAGTTTAACCCATTTAACCCCACCAATATGTTGGCTGCACCCCTAGTCCCACCACCTGTACCCGGTTCGTTTCCACCGCCCCCTCCGAACTACCCACCACCTCCACCTAACTACCCGCCTCCCGAGTTCAACCGCACTTCCTACTCACAACCAACATATGGAGCTGCTCCTCCAGCTATGGCCCAACCAGTTCGTTCGTCGCCGGATGACAATTTCTCAATTGCTGGAAAACTGGAATTCGGAAAAATGACAACAGTTCATGTGGACAGTATTACAGGAAATTTCAAACAATTACCCGAAATATTACGTCGAGAGTTAAAACGAACTTATGGAAGATATCCTGAAACAGATATCAAAATCTCTGTTGAAAATGGAGAGTATCATATCTATGCCTCCCCACATCGCGATGATGATCGGCCGATTCGAGGACCCAGGTCGTACGAAGAGGATGATAGGCGCCACTTTGACGACAGACATCCGTACGACCACGATGATTATAAACGCCAACCAAGGAACAGTAATGACGAATTTAAGCCAAAGAGAAAAGATTATGATCAAGATTTCGTTCGAGGTCGTGGCTTCGAGCAGGAACCAAGACGAAGAACAGAGTTCGATGAATTTCGAGGAAGGGATTCACGCATGACCGATGCTGAATGGGTGCTGGTTAAAAGAAGGTAGAATGACAAAGTTATCACTAACTCTGGTGTCAGAGGGTTTTTACTAAAGCTCATATTGTGCTCATCTTCCTAATGCCAAGCGTTTTATACCTCGACTGCAATAGTCATTACTCCTATGTTACAGAATGCAGGGATTTGATTGGATTGTACCCCAAAAAATACAGCCAATTAGTCCACCTTTAATGTAATACGTATGTTCTTAAATGCAGCGATTTGATTGGATAGCAAATACAGCCAAAGTGTTTCACATATTGAAATCTCTTCATGTTTATTTAAAATTTATTATTTATGAAATATCGTGTTTTTTTATCGTAATTTGAGAAATTATGGTGTAAATAACATCCAGCTGTTCAATTTCTGAACAACTTCCCTGTCTCATGTCCACTGTCACAAATCCAATGGCATGCTTTGAATCACATGTCAACATGAGCCCACCATTACACAATGAGAGAACAATAACCAAGAACCATTTTATTAACAAAATATCTAAAATATACATTTAACACAGTATACCATGTAAAACAGTTACCAGTATTAAAAAAAAAACAGGCCCCAATTCAAAGTGAATTCTTCATAGGAAGACATCCAAAATAAAGTACATTACTTTAACTTCCATAATAAAATATTTAGAGAAATTGGCACTGCACTCTTAATTTCAATAAAAGTGAAATAAACTGTCATTGAAGGGTCCTGAAATTCCCTCAAAAGCAAAGTGCTGCGGCATAAATCGGTGATTTTCAAAACACTAAGGTATCCATCATCTTAACTTAAAGAAATCAGAGGATTAGCCGTCATCTTGAAATTACTATTTACTAAAAGATATTAAAAAATACACTCTCACTCACTTCAGAGAGTAAAACAAGTTGCAATGGCTTCCACAGACTGCTCTTAAGAAGAATAAATTAAATGACGTAAAATGAAGACCTTTTCTACTTTTTCCCATTGCCTCATATTTATTCCTTTGCAGTTTTCCTAAGAATATTGGCGTAAAATCAGCCATTTTTATTTCATTCTCAAGCGGCTATGGTTTCCATCATTTGTTTATGAGTTTGTTGATTATCAGGATTAAGGTTTATCAGTCTATTACTTGACTTAGCCAGATCTGTGATCGACACTCGGCCATGTTGTTTTATATATTTAGCCACGTCTTCCAGCTCCTCTCGTGTGATATAAATAAACTTTCCTCGATCATCTATAACGCCTGTCAGTTCCCCAGAGGATTGTAACTCTTGTACCCTCTGTATACAATCCTGTAATAAATAATAAGATTTTCTAAGTAGATTAAAGGGGAAGCCCCTTCTCCAAATTATAACAGATTGCTTTAGCTCATGTGCCTTTTAGCTCCAGTAGTATATTATATATACCTTCATGTTCCTTTAGCACAACCAGTAGTGTAATTTTTTTAGCTAAGCTGTCCTGATGAATGATTTGATATCCAAAAGGTATATACATGTATTCATATCTATAAGCAAAAAAAAGGGTTACATTTGAAAATGGGACGTAAGTTTTTTAAACTATAAAAGTGGTTTGTTTTGACTTAGTTTTCCTCATCAAGGAATTACACAGATCGACATAATTATATGAGCTTGTTTATTAAATATATTTATATTAGTTGTTATAAGATATATTCAGATTCAAAAGGATTGAAGCCCTAACAATTTCTCAGCCACACATTGATTCCCTTACCTCAGGTTTTTTACCAACTGCTAATTAGATGGACACCATAATTAAGTCTTAAAAACTCTGAATACGGGGGCTCGCCATATTGGAGCTCAAATCAAACATGACTGGTATATACTGTTGTAGTAGGGATAAGACAAGCAAGTAACTTACCTGTGTTTTTATTTTAAAATGTGCTGCTAAATCTTCTAACATTACAACTTTCATATCCTAAAATATATTCCAGATATTTTCATAAATAAATATTTCATGTTGACATGTTCAATACAAGAAAAAAATCCTATTCAAATGCCATTTCTATTTTACATTGAAATTGAACAATAGATTATATATTGGGAGCCAAGCATATTTCGTGTAGTTTAAACATATCCATGAGCTGCACATTGTCTTTGAGGTAGAAAAACACTGATAAAATACTCTATTCATACTAAAAATATCACCAGGATTGGAGAACTACTTACTTTTATATATTGTATAAATTCTTGTAGTAATGATTGAGACTGAAAAAAAAAAATTATTATTATTATTATTTATCATTATATCCACTGTAAAAAAAGACTTGCAAAAATGGATATGGCATTGCCAGTACACAATATGTATAGTCTTGGTATACAGTATCTATAGTCTTGGTATACAGTATCTATAGTCTTGGTATACAGTATCTATAGTCTTGGTATACAGTATCTATAGTCTTGGTATACAGTATCTATAGTCTTGGTATACAGTATCTATAGTCTTGGTATACAGTATATATAGTCTTGGTATACAGTATCTATAGTCTTGGTATACAGTATCTATAGTCTTGGTATACAGTATCTATAGTCTTGGTATACAGTATCTATAGACTTGGTATACAGTATCTATAGTCTTGGTATACAGTATCTATAGTCTTGGTATACAGTATATATAGTCTTGGTATACAGTATCTATAGTCTTGGTATACAGTATCTATAGTCTTGGTATACAGTATCTATAGTCTTGGTATACAGTATCTATAGTCTTGGTATACAGTATCTATAGTCTTGGTATACAGTATCTATAGTCTTGGTATACAGTATATATAGTCTTGGTATACAGTATCTATAGACTTGGTATACAGTATCTATAGACTTGGTATACAGTATCTATAGTCTTGGTATACAGTATCTATAGTCTTGGTATACAGTATCTATAGTCTTGGTATACAGTATCTATAGTCTTGGTATACAGTATCTATAGTCTTGGTATACAGTATCTATAGTCTTGGTATACAGTATCTATAGTCTTGGTATACAGTATCTATAGTCTTGGTATACAGTATCTATAGTCTTGGTATACAGTATCTATAGTCTTGGTATACAGTATCTATAGACTTGGTATACAGTATCTATAGTCTTGGTATACAGTATCTATAGTCTTGGTATACAGTATCTATAGTCTTGGTATACAGTATATATAGTATGAGATGGTAAAGAGGTATCCTAAATTTATGACTGTGTATCGGGGACATTGATACCATGGTTCCTGCAACTAAGTGATTGATGACGTCTGATTGAAATTGGAATGGTGCAAATTGATGCTTTAAATGTTCCCAATGTTATAACAAATTTAGAAAAGCCTCTGAGGAATCCTGATAATATTTGTCAGTGATACGAAGTGAGCATATTGAGCTTCATCTTTCACCAGCTCAGTATCCTTGTCGTGATTTGTATTTCCCATTAACAATACTTTCAGAAGATGCGTCCAGATTCATAAAAGTCAACAAATGGACAGAATAGGGCATAACAAGTTATCAAGTTGGATTTCATCTGCTTACTGAATAGGTGCTGTGGGTTCGAATCCTCTTTCAGGTAAGAAAAAGTTTGATGCCACAGATTCGGCCTGGGTTGGCTTTCACTCTGTAATACAAAGAATTAAACTGAATATTTACATCTAAATCAACATCTGCTTCATTTTCACCCTCCTCATCTACGCTAAACATCTCCTTTAATTTCAAATATTCTTCATGCTCCCTTTTTTCTTGCTCTTCTTTTTCTTTCTTCAACCTTTCAGCCTAAAAAAATAATACACGTATCGGTAATTTAAAATTTACAAACAAAACTGAAACACAATATAAAACGTTTTGTTCCTGAAATCTCAGATTCATCCTTTCAAATCCTTAAAATTCACTGTCAGTCAGTTCATCATTTGTGTGAATATATCTAATATGGGTTATATTTCCCACAAGCAATCCTGTATTTCCCACAAGTTATCCATTTAGAATGCATGCTATAAACACAATGAAGCAAACCAGAAGTTATAATCATCATTGGTATGTGAAAGCCTGATAACCTTGTCTGTTGTTTGCATTTCATAATAAGCAAGAAACACTTCTTATACGACAATCCATTCAAAAGTTCCCCTGCTAAGTGCTTAAAACCAGAAATAGACCTGTGTTACCTCAATGGCATCTTCTTCCTTCTGTCTGACCTCTCTTTCCTTCCTTTTCTCTTCTTCTTCAGCTTCCCTTTCCTTCCTTTCTCTCCTTTCTTCAAATTCTGCCTGAAAATTGAAAAAAATAACGGCAAAACAATACAAAAAACAATGTAGAAATATTAAAACAGACTCTAAATAACATGTTGTTACTCAGAGTTTCATGCTATCAGATCTTCGGACAACTGACCTATTTCAGCCTGCATAACTACTGTAAAATGTGGCCAGAAAAGTAAATATTTAACAATGCATATCCAAGCTAGTAAATCTCATTTGATTCCCTGAATATATAAAAGAAATATTTTGGAGATCAGATTCCTACTTACCTCCCTTGCAGCTCTTTTATCAGCTTTTTCCTGAAGTTTTTTCAACTTCTTCGCACCAACTTTTTTCTCTGGTTGAGCAAAATCAGCGAAAATATCTTCTTCTTCTTCTTCCTCTGTTAAAAAAAATAAAAATACAAAATAAATCTTGTACAATCTTTTTAAAACACTAATGAATAACCTTAAATGCACTTAAAACCTTAATATAGTTGATTTTTTTAAACAAAACAGAAAAAAAAAACCACAAGAGTATTTTTTGTTTGTTTCAATATATGTCAAGCAGCATCTATGATACATTTGACACCTGATTTTAACTGGCAGAGCTAAAGTCTTAACACTTTTCTGTCTGAAATATTTGAGCAACTTTCCTCAGTCTGAAATATTTGAGCAACTCTCCATAATTTACATCATAACAAAAATGTTCGCTTTCGGTTATTTCATCTGTGAAGCTAAAATAATAACACTATCAAGAATTCTTTTGAGTTATTTTCACATTGTACATCAGACCGTCTTGATTGAAACTGTGTAGCAAACAAACCAATTAAATAATTGATTTTAAAAACTTCAGTGATACAAGACAGGTGGCTATTAAAACGAAGCTTGTAGTAATAGCTCAACAATGTGTAGCCTTCATACCTGGTTCTTCCCTTGCTACCATTCTCTGTCTCCTCCCAGCACGGTGTCTGGCAGCTGCAGGAGCATCTGTGTTAACTGGTGCAGGTCTTCTTGCTGGTGCACCATCTCCCTCTTTCTTCTTTTTTGAATCTATGAAATTAAATTTCAAAACAATAACTTGATGCTATTAATCATCAAAAATGATTTTATAGATCTAAATCAATATGAAATTCATTGATCATCATATTAAAACGGTTAATTCTGACAAATTTTGATTAAAAATACACTTAATGTCATAGATGGTGATAGAAAATAAATTGAAGCCAAAGCGTAGGTGAAAATCTGTTAACAGCTGGCTCATCTAGACTTCGCTGTACCAGTCATTGATGGGGAAAAAATTAATATTACTCTCAGTTCGGGCACTCACCTGGGCTAAATTTGTTAATCAATGTGACAATAAGCAGGATAAATCCAACAATTCCAGCTGTAACTAAATACACAGTGAACTGATCGACAGGAGCCATGTTGACAAATTACCCGGAAGTGGTGTAAGGTGCGAGAAATAATGTTTGAGTTGTCTCCCGTGTTGTGCTCGATTGTGTATGTTCTGTGTTTATTGGTTTTTTTTTAAGAAGTGAAATGTTGAAGAAAAATTTAATCAAATTGCTATGAACATTTCCATGACAATATTTTATAATTTGGAAATGGAATTTAGTCCATAATATGCAGAATTTAGCTTAAATCGTGCTAAATAGTGGAAATTGCTAATCCAATTGTAACAATAAGTTATCTCCCCTGTTTTCAAATATGACCAAATCGGACATTAGTCAAACCATCCTCGAAAAGTCACAAATGGATTCTGACGCCAATCTACCACTGAAACCAGAAAAACCACTCGAGACTGACTGCTGTGGAAATGGATGTGTACCATGTGTCTTTGACATTTATGAATCCGAAGTAAAAATCTGGGAAAAGGAATGCGAACGCATTTTGCAGGGCCAGGAAGAACCAGACGAGCAAGGACCATTGCTTCTGGAAGAAGCATATCGAAAATTTGAAATTGCATCAGTTGATGAAGACATTCCGAATGTTTTCATATTCAGGTTTAAGATACCGAATTCAAAAACGCTGGGCCTGGCTCATGGACAACATGTGATTATTAGATGTATAGATGAACACGGTCAGCCAATAACTCGGCAATATTCTCCTATAACAATAGATTCTCAGGGCCATTTTGAAATCCTTATTAAGGTTTATGATTATGGCAAAATGAGTCGATCGATTCGACAATGGAAAGTGGGCACACAAGTTGAAATGCGTGGACCCTTTAATGGAATATTATATAAAAGGAATTCTTATGAACGGTTATACTTGATTTGCATGGGGACTGGAATCACCCCCTTTGTAGCCCTTATATCCTCCATATTGGCTGATGAGGCAGATGAAGTCAGAATTAGATTGATATTTGGATGTTCAACAGCAAATGAAATATTACTTAAAAAACACCTGAATCAATGGAATGGTTTCTGGAATTTTTCTGTGACTTTTGCCATAAATTCCACGGAGAATTCTCAGAATGATTTATACGGGTTTGAGATTTACACGGGAAAAATTTCCAAAGATCTTCTGGATGGTGAAATAGTAGCTGAAGGGAATTACAAAGTGTTTGTGTGTGGATCTAGTAACTTTACTCAGGATATCTCTAAAATACTGAAAGAAATGTCTGTACCTACAGAAAACATTGTCAACTTCTGATTCATCCAGTGGCTAAACCACCTAAATGGTTTGCAAATCCATTGTACCCCTACTTTTTTTTTAACAAATTAAAAAGATATGATTTTTATATGTTTTGCCCCAAAATATGTGTCAGAATGCTCCAAATCAATTCAATTTTCGAGAATCCTCCCAGACGCTCCATTAGAGACTTACGACAAGACGCCTCCACGGAGTTGCCGCCTTATGAATTAAGCCTATTTGTACTCTAGCGTCGCCACAGAATTCAGCTATCAGGAATTTCTTACCTAGTTATGAAATTTTTGCCCAAAGAACTTGCTTTCGGCACTGCGGGTGGCTCCGCCATTGAAGACTCCATAATGAAAATAATGTTAGACTGATCTCATTTTGCCTAAAATTTCAAGATAAAAGCATAATAATATTACTCCTGTTCTGCAAATTTGTACTTTACTCTTTCGTGTTTGGGTATTATATTAGTATTTTATAACAGTAAAAACCATTGGATTCCAAAATGAAAAAAATACCCCTTCCCCCTCCCTACCCCCAACCCCGGCCATTGGTCCACATTGGTAAGATAGCAGACTGGCAGGCATGTCCCGTATAACAATATCCTGTCGTGAACCATGAGGAATACGTATTGGTGCTTAACATCCTTGTTATGTGCAGGACAGATATGTAAAGAAAAACCAAGAAAAGTAAGAATAATTCGGACTAACGTAACGTAGGTAACAAGACGATAATTCACTATTGATCTGCACGTGCTTTTACGACAGTGGCCTATAAAACTGTGCGATAGAAACTGACAGTATTGCGAGAATAGTTGGCTGTGAGGAAGGTAAGATACGATTATTTTATATTCCTATATTGTAGACAGGTATCAACATGAAGTATTCTTACTAGAAAATATTACTATATGAAATGGATTGCTAGGCGATGGACGCTTATAGATGTTTCGATTAACATGAATTTGGAAGTCATGCACTTCATGCAAATGAGTTTGGCGCCCCTTCGCATTATGTTCCACCACGTTTTTTTATGGCGGTATGAAATTTTGTCGATAAAGAAATTCGTCTGCTGCAAGTCCGTTTTGACTCTTGTGATTATGCATACGAAACTACGCATGGTACTTGCATTAAAATGTCCATACACCGTTTCGTATGGTATTTATGTTGACATTTTATCTTGCAGTTGATTTAAAATGACAGGATTATTTCCATTCTTTCTTCTTGCTGTAAGTTTATGTTTATATTTGAAAGCATGACATGCATCGGTATCTGTATTTGGTATGGTTACGAACAAGATCTGGACGGCCTTGGCCATGTTTAGAATGAAAACGAGCTAATTCTGGGGCCGTCTGGTAGGGAATAGAATATACTAGAATGCATATGAATTCATTTGCATATGCGACAATATTTGCAACATTACTTTATTTGTAAAGCCCATGAATAACTCAAATTAGAATGAATTGAATGTACGAGATACCTGTTTAGATCAAGCTTGTTAAATTTGTGCAGGAAATGAGGGCCTAGATATTTGTATCATTTTTTAACATTAATTTATCACGAGGATAATGGAAGAAATTGACCCCTTTTTCCAACCATTTTGTTTTTACAGATTGTAGTAGGAATCGAAAGTTTCTCTTTAGTCAAAGAAGATAACAGTATAATAGATGGTAAGTATCGAAACCGAAGGACCTTAACTGCCAAATCCTATATGCATTCTAATTTTGATTTGTCTAGGGACTTGTGTAGGCTTTGTCTGAGACATTCTTCACAAGAATCTTATCTCAAAACGCCTTCAAATTTCAATGGAATCTGCTTGCAAGGGTTTTCTCTAAAATTACGCTTTATTTTCAGTGACTGTCGACTGTGGGGCTAATCAAGCAGCGAACAGTGCAGTATTAAATATCCTGACAGACGTAGATATATCGGCTATTGCTAAATGTAAAAATGGTGAAAAGTCGTTTATTACCACAGATTCTGTACATTACACTCTACCAGCAACCTTAACAACTCGTGATAACCTCTGTGAATTAAACGTTAGTGACCATAAACTAATGTACCAAATGTCAGCGGAGTTGACAACTGTCTTAGAATGATATCTTGCATTTCTAATAGTTACAGCACCAGGCTTTGAGTCCACCCCCCACCCCCCTATCCCACTCCACACTTTCAAATTGGTTATATTTTGCATAGTGAAAGAATACCTTGTGCCCCTTTTTTGTGGCCCCTTCTCGGGTTCCTCGCCTAATGTTTCCTAGAAACGGCACTGATCCTCATGTCAATCTGTCAAAAATCACCATTGTAATAATGACAAGTATGGTATATTTTAGGAAAAAGATGGGTCTGATAATTTTGACATTGAGGTAGAGGTACATTACGGTGAATTGGATGGTTTGATTCTGACCAAAACTAAACTGGTTACTGTAGTGTGTACTTATTCTGATCATGGTAAAGATGACAGTGGTCAACATTCTATAAGAGATGGGTAGGTTTTCTCATCTTAAGACTGTACTGAAGTCATTGCTTGTGTTATATAGCAATGGAAATTTTAATAATTAATTTTGTCTTAATCCTTTTTCACTGAACGGTATTTAAACTAACCTACTGTCACCTGAACGAATATAGTCAAATCCTCCTAGGTTACAACTTTTGACGTTGTCCCTTCACCATTCTACCAACGCCATCTATGGCTAGACGATGTTTCCCATCTAGTACTTTACCTATCCAGGTCATTTGTAATGAAATATTAACATATTTTTCAGACCACAAGCCTACATAGAAAAACAAACTTTCGTTGGTGCATCAGTTCCAAAAGCTGATTTATCTTTAAGTATTCAAACAGTCGACGATCAAGATGCTGTCGGCTCGATTGCTTTCGATAGAAGATATTCCTTATTCGGCTCATATACTGGTGCTCGTAAGTTGAATTCGGTTTACCTACTGGTCCTGGTTTTATAATGACAAGGTTTTTGTCCGTGCAGTTATTATATATAACAAAAACACAAGACAATATTATGGAATATAACACACTTCTTTAATAGGGTTTGGCACATAACTTTTCAACACAATATACACGTGTCGTCATCAGATGTAGTGGCAATAGAATAAAACATAACAAAATATATACCAACAAGAAACAATATAGAGATTAAGAGGGACAATAGATGAAAGGGGTAATAACAAACAGTTATTATAAACGATTAAAAATGGAATATATGGACTGATATTGTATTGGTTTTATCAAAGAATATTTTTCTTTTAGAGCAAAATGTGGGATTGAAACCAGTAAGTTGTGATGCGATTTCAGACGATGGAGAACGTTACGCAGTTTTAACAGCCGGGTCAGTATGTTTTATAATCTGAACTTGCAGTATGATTTATGAATGTTTTCAATCGGATCTACTTGAATGTTTTGTCTGGAACCGAAATAATCTATCGTAGAGTAGATTTTTGTCATAACATTTCTACAGCCCATTCAGCTCTCCTGATTCGTTCAATGCTCGATAAAGATCCCCAACCTGATCTAAATTATTATTGTTATTCTGCTTTTTAGATGTGGTGATGGGTTTATATTTGACCGAGCAGATGGTTTTGTAACAACTGGTAAAACATTTAGAAGCCCATATTTCTTTGCATTCCATTTAGCCAACAGTGGAAATTTGGCCTTTGATTGTAATGTAACCTTGTGTTCTCCAAACTGTGAAGGTGTAAGTAACTGCCGAACTTTTTTTGACATATTTTTCAACCGCAACTGTATTTAAGATTTTTATTTGGTAGTTGAAATGAAGTTGACCTAATTCCATGTTTTATTTTTTTGGGGGGATGGGGGGTGTACAGTGACTCTGACGACCTGGAAATCCATTTGGTAGCTATTTCCATTTACAGCCTTAAGACTTTGAAACGGTATTTATATGGTCTGATTACCTAAAACTTATTGTCCTCCGTTTTATATTCTAGACATCCTGTGAAACTGTTTGTGGTCCTGTGACTTCGTTTGTCATCCCAAATATTCAATTAGAACAATGTACTGGTAACAATAAATATCAAGACACCTGTTCGTTTATTTGTAATGATGGTTATGATAAAAGTGGTGTTGCTATATCTACTTGTGGTGCTGATGGAATTTGGACTGTTCCCGACATAACATGCCCACGTGAGTTTCTAGAATGACACCAATCTTTCGTGTATTTAGTTATAGTGCAATAACTATTTAAACTACACTTCAGCGATACAAGGGCCTATTCATGTCAGTTATAAGCTGGAGGTTATTATTGTAAGCATCTGTACAATTACTTCCTCCTCTGAAAGTACAATATTACTTCTTTACCAAGCTTAACTTTTCTTACCTAGACATTATGATACCAATTCGTGAATTTTGAATATTTGCAAGTTATATAAATAATTCTTACATCAGGGTATATTCCTATATTTGACTTGATGTGGTTCTCTTGCTGGTTTTCACAAGATACTAGATAGTTGGAAAAAGATATATCTTATGCTTAGTTCTTGTCTTATTCTTCTTTCAGCCAAAGATTGTGGAGCTGTTTTACCGGAAGGAACCATGTCGACAGGAAATGCAGCAAGTGGTACCACATACCCAAATGTAGCAGACTACACCTGTAATGAAGGATATACAACGTCAACGGGTAAAGCCCAGATCCAGTGCTTGACGACAGGGAAGTGGGATGCTGCTAGTGTTCTCAATTGTGTGGGTAAGTATGTTGGTCATGTAGACTACTCTAAAACTTATTCACTGTCCTTTATCATTAGCCAAGGAGCCGCGGTGGCTCAGTGAGTTAGACGCTTGATCGCTAACCTAAAAGGTCCAGGGTTCAATCCCGGCATAGGTCGAGATGAAAACTTTTGATTTTTCAACCCGGTTTCCCCCCGTCAGTGATGCAGGTAAGAGGGGCTGACATGGAAAAAGCGTCTAGTCGTTCGGATGGGACTATAAACCGAGGCCCGTGTGCTACAGGCTGTGCACGTTTAAGATAGTTGGAAATAAAAAAAGAGCAGGCTAATGTCACTGTCCTGGCAAAATTTCCCTCATTGCACACTGCATGGCGTTGCCCGTCTCCATTAGCCCATATGGTGCAGAAAGTAGGACGTAAACTTCATTTCATTTTTTATCATTAGCCAAGGATTTTTGGGACTGTTTCGCATTGGGTGATACAGACCGGACAGTGATGGTACCTGTTTACTGTCCAGAGAGGGATCATTGGAGGATACAGACCTGGCAGTGATGGTACCTGTGTACCGTCCAGAGAGGGATCATTGGAGGATACAGACCTGGCAGTGATGGTACCTGTGTACCGTCCAGAGAGGGATCATTGGAGGATACAGACCTGGCAGTGATGGTACCTGTTTACCGTCCAGAGAGGAATCATTGGAGGATACAGACCTGGCAGTGATGGTACCTGTTTACCGTCCAGAGAGGATTATTGGAGGATACAGACCTGGTAGTGATGGTACCTGTTTACCGTCCCGAGAGGATCATTGGAGGATACAGACCTGGCAGTGATGGTACCTGTTTACCGTCCAGAGAGGGATCATTGGAGGATACAGACCTGGCAGTGATGGTACCTGTTTACCGTCCAGAGAGTGATCATTGGAGGATACAGACCTGGTAGTGATGGTACCTGTTTACCGTCCCGAGAGGATCATTGGAGGATACAGACCTGGCAGTGATGGTACCTGTTTACCGTCCAGAGAGGGATCATTGGAGGATACAGACCTGGCAGTAATGGTACCTGTTTACCGTCCAGAGAGGGATCATTGGAGGATACAGACCTGGCAGTAATGGTACCTGTTTACCGTCCAGAGAGGGATCATTGGAGGATACAGACCTGGCAGTAATGGTATCTGTTTACCGTCCAGAGAGGGATCATTGTGGGGGATACAGACCTGGCAGTGATGGTACCTGTTTACCGTCCAGAGAGGGATCATTGTGGGGGATACATACCTGACAGTGATGGTACCTGTTTACTGTCAAGAGAGGAATTATTACCGTCATGAATTCCTTAGTTTGATATGATTTATGCATTTGTTCATGCTTCATTCCATATACGTTGCTTTTTAAACCAACTATAATAGTTGCCTAATATAGAACTAATAACGAGTTATATCTTATGCTTAGGTCTTGTCTTATTCTACTTTCAGCCAGAGATTGTGGAGCTATTTTACCGGAAGGAACCATGTCGACAGGAAATGCAGCAAGTGGTACCACATACCCAAATGTAGCAGACTACACATGTAATGAAGGGTATACAGTATTATCGGGTAAAGCCCAGGTCCAGTGCTTGGCGACAGGGAAGTGGGATGCTGCTAGTGTTCTCAATTGTGAAATTGAAGGTAAGTACTTACTAAATATGTTGGTCTTTTTAATAGCCCACATAATATCCTTGTCTTTTAATTTTCAAGAGAAACTAAACTGGACTCGGATCTGTCGGCCTCCGAGCTGTTGTACGTCCTCCATAAAAAAAAAATTTAATTATCCGCATCACTCAAGACTTCCATTGAATCTATGTTTTCTACTAAAGGCCGATACCGAAGTTAGTATTTTTAATAAAAGTGAAATGAAATTAAATGAATGGAGTTTTACGTCCTACATTTCTAGGATTTTTTTTTTATCGAAGCGTGTCCTGTAAAACCGGTTTCTTAATTTAATAAGGAATTGTGGAATACCGGAAACCAAAGAGGCTGTCAATTCGTTCTACTTTAGTTTTTGTTATCCACGGAATTTTCATTACACGCTCTGGTTGGTTAAAATAACAGCATTGCTTACGGGCTTTTGGTAGGAATGTATGTAGACTAAAAAATATCTGAAACAAATGATAAACATGGCGTCTAATCCTAATCTAATCGTATCAGTTGGTGCTGGTTGTCATTATATATATATATATATATATTTAGAAAGCCTAGACCAGGGAGTTAATACACCTGTTCTAGTACGCTTTTATCATTTTATTCTTTCAAGAAGCGCAATGATTTTTATATTTTCTTTTACAGACTCCTGTGATCCAGTCAACAGAGATCCAGTCCCTGATCCAAAAGACTGCAAGAAGTTTAAACAATGCTCTGAAGCGGGTATCTATTTATCGATGAGATGTCCAGATGGACTTGGTTTCGATGAGAAATTGAAAGTCTGCAATTATTTTACTGAAATACCAGATTGCGATGAACAAAATTGAGCTTGCTTCAAATTGTTAAATAAAAATGATTTAACGAAAATAGATTCAACCAATATCTTAATTAGAGACACCGAGTTGATCATATTTCCATAGTTCAGAGGGCAACATTATTAAGCACTGTGAAATTTGAATCTTATTAAAGTTCTTGTGATTCAACTCGTGTGTAGCTTGAAGGTCATAAATGTTACACTCGGACTTACCCAGAGTATTGGAGTTAAAAACATCCCTATAGCGATGAAGCGACAAACAACCGACATTGAAATCGAACACGTTTAAGTTTCTATTTTGACATAAATGAAGGGCCGTAACTTTATCAAACCAATGAGGCAAATGTCTGCCGAATTTAACAAAAAGCTTGTCAGGCAAGGTAATATTCAACCCAGTGGAAGCCTTGATTTTTTAACAAGAACAGGTGTTAGTACAGTAATGATGTAAGCCATCACACCAAATTCTATAAAACTGGGACAACACTTTCACAAGCAAATTATTGACTGACGGACAGAGGCGACAGAAATATTCTTTTTAATTGTTTTTACTGTCAACATGTACCGGTAGTTCTTTTAGTTAGGGCTTAGTTTAAAAGCCAACCGTCCAATTCAAAGGTATAAAGCCCTTTGATGGGCTTTGGACCTTCGGGGAGACATTTATATTTTAGCCCCCATCTCTGGTTCTCTGGATACGCCTCTGTATATATGCAGACATTTACTGCAGGTTTTTTTTTTCGAAAACTTGGCTCTGCCCCTGGTGTTCTATTTGATTGAGAAAATCCTAATGAGATATAAACTACAGTCTACGAAAACAAAGCATTCATTTCTGTACAAAATTTACACGAATCATAGTAAAATAATGATAGTATACATAAAATACAATTCAGACTAACATTGATTCGAGTTTATCAAGCCATTAAAAATTAAGGAAGAAAAATCTCAAATTTGTTGCTAGAGTTTAACATCAGAACTAATACTCCGATGTACAGGGAGAAGAAATATATTAGAGCTTTTGTCACAGGAGCCGTGAAATTTTTGTTGTCACAGTAGACCATTTTCAAAAAATATTTTAGTTTAGTATTTCTACCCATTTCCCTTTTTTTTTACAAGATAAATATAATTCTATATACACAATATAATCACAGCAAATCAAATCCTGATTTTAAGATATATAGTTATCTGATTTTAGTGATTCACCAATAAAATGACTGAAACGCTAAAACCATCTTCAAATATTTAATCAAGGATAATGTAAAAACACGAAAGTTCCTGCAGCCTGAATAATAGACAAAGCTAAATGAGATGGGGCGAGCCTTACGTGGTTTGAGGCTGTCCCCCGGTAAATTACTGTACAAATATGCTTTCTGCATTCCTTTTCTGGGTGTGGTGCCAAAGTAGTAGGAGTTTAAATTTTAGTTTATTAATGAGATATTCTTTTCTACTTAGATCATCCATTCACAATCTATCAAAGCTTTCACCCTTCCTTTATTCATTATTCAATTATATAATTCTCATATTCACATTGTGTAGTCTCCTAGTGCCAAATACAGTTTATATATATAAGTGTTTTGTTATATATATACATTACTGGTATAGGACATAATTATTTACAGGCCAATTTACTTCTTATTTGACTGACAATTATTTCATGGGATAATAATTAAAATGCAATTTGTTTCAAAACAATGAAATTGATTACTAAGTTTTGAATCATTTCAAGATGAAAACTGATATTTCTCTGATAGATAGCTTGCCAGGAAAGGTAATATACGCCCACTGGCAGCTTTGATTTTGAAAATAAATATTTAGCAGTGCAGTAACAATTACCAGTATGAAATATTCAACCTTCAGTTTTATACTTTTTTTGAACTTTTTGAGGAGATACTGAATAATATTACCAAGTTTCATCAAAATCTGTCAAGAATTGTTCCTTCTAGAGTGGTTACAAGCTACAAATTGAACGTGTTTTCAAGAACAAGGGCAATAACTTATACTAAATATTTTTCGATTCTTCTGATTTTCAATAGGGTTCATCCTTGGGTGATTACGAACATTCATGCCAAGTTTCATCAAAATCCGTCAGGAATTGTCTTGTAGAGTGTTTACGAGCAATTGTGGACGGACAGACGGACTGACATGGGTGACGGCAATATACGCCCCCCATTTCATGTGGGCGTATAAAAATCTCCCAGCATGAACTCTGGCCATACATCACGATTTGAAAAACTAACATCCAACTTTCACAAGTTCTGTAGTGCTCTAGCAATTTTGTGATTTGAAGAGGGATTTCAATATCTGAAAACAGTCAAAAAAGAGTTATCTGACTCAGTGAAATACCACTGTTCATCAAAGCTATCTCACAGAGTTAAACCCTATTTTACTATTTTTGATGGAAGCAGCACCAAAGCTAACAATCAACTCAACTCATGCTTCATTGACTCACTGACATAGACTAACAAATTCTGTGTCTTGGTTAATTTCAGTCTTGAGTCACACAGCAGATGAACAAACAGTAAACTGACACTAAAAAGTGATTAATTTGCTCATTGGCGTTCAATATACTGTCACCTTTGTCCCATCAAAATTCTGTAATCAATATAGTCTTGTTTATTCTGACTGCATTTCCGATCTTAATAGACGATAAAATATTTGAAAAATAACACAATTTCTAAATGAATGTTGGCACAAAATGTGAGGCCTTCTTGTTCAAGAATTTTTTTTAAATTAAAAAAAAAATCAGCCTTTTTGATTCGACTGATAAATAAGTTACACAAAACAATGCCCATTTCAGCCATTCGTGCACCCCGCGATCATAATTTCAAATAATATAAATTTAGTCCAGTGTTTGACTGGATAAAAATCAACACCCAACATGATTGTGCACAACCTTAGAAACTGTTCATAGAACAATGTTCTTGTTGACAAAAAATGAAAATGAGAGTTATAACAATGAAAATTGATCAAGAAACTACAGCCTCTTGTGGTTGTGATTGTGATTTTCGTGATACGGGGTCATAGTTCACCAATCTCTGGCCCACCAAATATCTGAAAGAGATGAAAAGAAAAAATATAATCAGAATCTTCTGTATTGCACTATTTGGTTTTATTTTGATTATGGAGTCAAAGGATACATTAAAAGAAAGAAACACCATTCAAATTCCTTCAATCCCTCACAAAACTCAAAAGGTTAACTTGACGAATTTTTGAGACTGTGAAGTGGCTATAATAAAATCAAAAACTAATAAAACAATTGGTTGCCTAGCAAGATACGCCCACTTTCCTGATACATTTTCAGTATATCAAGGCCAGTCACCTAGTCTGTGTCAAATCATACCAAAAATCTAATTTGTGCAAGATATTGTTGATTTAAACAAACACACATTATTTAATAAAATTCTGACATAAACTGTCACCTCTATCGCTCACAAATTTTGATGCGTTTTTACCTAGTCATGGGCAATAACTCAAATTCCGTTTATCGAAAATTGTCTAATTTAATCTTGAATAAGATCTCATCATTATAAATGATCACATCAAATTTCATTTAAATCGGATGAAAACTGTACTCTCTATTGTGTTCACAAACAAATTTTGATGCGTTTTTCATAAATCAAGGGCAATAACTCAAAAACCGTTCATCGAAAGATAGCCAAATTCAAACTTGTCCAAGGTCTCATCATTATAAATATTCACAACAAATTTCATTGAAATTGGATGAAAACTGTAGTCTCTATTGTGTTTACAACCAAATTTTGACGCGTTTTTCATAAGTCAAGGGCAATAACTCAAAAACAGAAAGATCTTCGAACTTGTCCAAGATCTCATGAATATAAATGTTCACACCATATTTCATTCAAATCAGATAAAAGCTGTTGTCTCTATTGCGTTCACAAGCCAATTGTGGACAGACCGACAGACGGACAGGGGCGACGACAATATACGTCCACATTATAATGTGGAAACGAAAGTTGGATGTAATTTTAATTGGACTGGAATAAACCCTGCTTACTTGTCATCTTTAATATGGTTATAAAGACGTCTAAACTGGCGTAGTTGGAATGTACATACACTGACTATAATTATACAACTTAATAAATACGGATAAATTCTTCTCTCTACTAACGTCTGGGTAACCTCATCTACATCTGAAATAAACAAATAGGACGAGGTTACGATACTGAAGTCCAATACTGGAACATTAACCCCTCTTCTAAAACTAGCTCTCCTGGTGAAGATTGTGTATCTGAAACATGTTGACAGCATGAAATGAACGCTACACTGAATTAAAATACAGATCACCGTTTTATAATACACTCATATTTCACAGGTTATAACTTAAAGTTCAAGGTTATTTTTGGACCCTAACTGGTCCTTGCTAAACCAAAAAACGTATGGGCATTGATCATTTCAATGTTATCAATACCAAACACATTTACAGCTGGTTGACTACAATAATGAAATCACCTATTCCAGGCCACGTATTCTCGAAACGATCTTATCGCTAGGATGTTCTAGGGTCTTTACTTATTACACTGTTTCTAGAACATCCTAGCACTAAGATCACTTCGAGAAAACATGGCCAGAATACCAGTGTTATGCTTGATGCCCAAGATTATAACCCACAAAGGCCAATAAAGATAAGGACACTAGTCTTTCCTGCGATGACTGAGATAATAACCCACAACCACCAATAATGATACTCACCGAACATAGGTACAAATGACTTAGCTATGATATAAGGAACAGATAGCGCCATTCCTAGAGAACTGACTACAGGTAAACACAGATGTTTTAATATAAACAATAGATTTAAATTCCTTAATCCATCATTATATACCTGAAAATAATTCAATATATTGTGCTAATAGTGAACAAGGTAAAATGCAGGGAAGAAGACAATTTTGAATTTCTAACATAGCTTAAGTATCTAATCCAATATGAAACACTGTTTGATCCTGCTTATAGGAAACATGGGATAGTGAAACCCAAAGTAGAACAAAAGACAGCCCCTTAGGGTTCAGATATCCCACAATTCGCCTTTGATAGCAAGAAAAGTGTCCTACATGACATGCTGTGATTGGTTAAAAAAAAGATTATCAGAACAGGACTGCAGAAGAAAACTTGTTAGATTACAATGGACACTGAAAATATCACAAAAAAATAAACAAAATGTAATTTTGTTTGAAGCACTGACCTGTTCCATGGCTTGTTTGAGCCACCATTGTGGTCCCATCATAGTGACTGCACAGATAATTTTAGCATGTAACACACCTAGAGCCCAATCCTGAAATTACAGTCAAGTATTGTTACTTATTGCCTTCACCAGGATTTCATGTCATGGGACAAACCTCCAACATCCAAGTTTACAAGCAAATGCTTGCTGGCCCACTAGTAACATATCTAGAGCCCAATACACTTGTTCGGAGAGTATAATTTTGTGCGGTGTGAAACTCAATGGAGCTCCTACATCCACTTTAGCTGTCTAGGAAAATAGTTCATGATGATCATTCTATTGATAACACTCCTTGTATGAGTATGAACATGTGGAACATAAAGTTAGTAAATCTTTCTATGACAAAGGAATGGGCATAAGGAAAGAAGTACAATTTCCAAAATTTATTATCTCAACAGGTAGTCTATATGAACATCTGAAACATTGATTTTAATACTTAGAAATAGCATATCCACATATATCATGCTTCTTTACTAATGCCTATTTCTTTACTTTCTAAAAAGGTGATAATCATTTATTGCCCGTTAAATTTTCAGTTTAAGGTTATAAAAATAAAATATGACTGTACCTGCCATGGAAAGAAGACTGGAGACTGATCCAAAGGTACTCGTAATGGAGCTACGACAACCAGTTCAAATAATAAACCTAGTAATAACGGTACTGCTCCTATTAACATTACAGCTATTATAATAGATTTCAAGGCCTGGAATATAAAATAGTTGCTGAAAACAAAACATCATTATTACAATAATAAAATACTTTCACTGTTATAATTGTGCTCAATATGATTGTAGAACGATATAGAAATACCACTGTTAAAATAGTGCTCAATACATCAATTGTAGAGCTATATAGATATACCACTGTTAAGATGGTGCTCAATACATCAATAGTATAGCTATATAGAAATACCACTGTTAAAATAGTGCTCAATACATCGATTGTAGAGTGATATAGAAATACTACTGTTAAAATAGTGCTCAATACATCAATTGTAGAGTGATATAGAAATACCACTGTTAAAATAGTGCTCAATACATCAATTGTAAAGTAATATAGAAATACCACTGTTAAAATAGTGCTCAATACATCAATTGTAGAGTGATATAGAAATACCACTGTTAAATTAGTGCTCAATACATCAATTGTAGAGTGATATAGAAATACCACTGTTAAAATAGTGCTGAATACATCAATTTAGAGCAATATAGAAATACCACTGTTAAAATAGTGCTGAATACATCAATTGTAGAGTGATATAGAAATACCACTGTTAAAATAGTGCTGAATACATCAATTTAGAGCAATATAGAAATACCACTGTTAAAATAGTGCTCAATACATCAATTGTAGAGTGATATAGAAATACCACTGTTAAAATAGTGCTCAATACATCAATTGTAGAGTTATATAGAAATACCACTGTTAAAATAGTGCTCAATACATCGATTGTAAAGTGATATAGAAATACCACTGTTAAAATAGTGCTCAATATATCAATTGTAGAGTTATATAGAAATACCACTGTTAAAATAGTGCTCAATACATCAATTGTAGAGTGATATAGAAATACCGCTGTTAAAATAGTGCTCAATACATCGATTGTAGAGTGATATAGAAATACCACTGTTAAAATAGTGCTCAATATATCAATTGTAGAGTTATATAGAAATACCACTGTTAAAATGGTGCTCAATACATCAATTGTAGAGAGATATAGAAATACCACTGTTAAAATAGTGCTCAATACATCAATTGTAGAGTGATATAGAAATTCAAATAATAAATATAACTTGTATCAGGTTGTTACTGAGTTTCACAACAAGCTGTTTTAGGGTCCTGTCTATATGTTGGTCTTTGTATAAACCTATTTGTTATGAATTTCACCAAGATTCGTCTTTGTTTTACCTTCAAACAGTCTATTTCAGATTATCTGTACTTTACAGTTAAGACAACTGGATTAATAAGGAAAGAGGGCTTCTTACAGGTCTTTTCTTAGTCTATATGGGGGATCTACTAGAACATTTGGTTGGTTGAGTACCAGGTAGAATGTTTAGTTAACAGAAGAAGGTATGGTATGGACACGGTGAATGCACGATTTGCTTCTACTATTTTCTACTATATTGATATTCCCCCACCTAACATCACACAGGATGCCAGACCTTGTTTATTCGCAGCTTAAAATGCAAGGCACTTACCAATAATGACCACTGTTTAAGTTTGACTATGATGACATTATAACCCTGTGGGATCCAGTTATACAGAAATAACGATATTCGCAGACTTAACCAACAAACATACAATCCACAAGCTGCAGTATATAACTCGTGTATCTTAACATCTCCCATCCAAATTGACATCAAACGACGCCCGATAAATACTGAAATAGATAAAAAGTATTTGACAGGTCAAAATTGGCTGATGAAAATGGGCATACCATGAGGGAAAATTGCAAGGACAGCAGCATTAGCTTACACTTTTTGAATAACTGTCGAGGTTTTATCAAGGATACATCGGATATCAACTGAACAAGAAAGTAAATATACTGTACCTGGCAGTGTAAGTGAAAACAGACTAGCAGCAAATAAAGTAACACACATTAAGATCACTAGCATAATAACCTGGAATAGAAAAACAAGTTTGAAACAATTTGGTCCCATCCAAAAACAAAACTGGTAAATATATATTACAGAAGTAGCAAGGAAATTTGGTGAAGAAAATTGAGGACTGAAATGATGAGTTTGGACACAATTGAGTTGTCTAGATATAAGGATATGACGACTTTTCCATGTCAGCCACTCAGTCTACATCACTAACAGTGATAAACCAGGTAAAACAATCTAAAGGTAATATCTCCACCCCTTTGATACAGAGCTGGCATGATACACACTGAGCCAACAGCTTATAGTAGTGAGCTTCCAATACACCCAGAGTATCAGAGTACTCAGAATTTTTTAAACTGACATAAGAAGGAAATCAATCGGGACCAGAAAATGATGTCAGATAAGGCAGAAGTCAATATCACAGAGTACACTGAATGTAAAAAATACTCACCCTGGCAGCAAATATAGAGGGTCTCTTGTATGGCTGGAATCCTGTGGGTCCACCACCTTGTAACATGGCCTGATGGGCAGCACCTAAACCCTCACCCTGAGGCTGTGCTGGGGGTGGGGCTACATTATTAGCATGGACGTTATTGGCTTGGGGCGGGGCTGGTTGATCACCATGGATAACATCTTCCTAAAAGTAAAAACTTCACATTTCTAACATGTTGACGCAGCTGATTTCGATCTCCGATTATCATCAGCTATCTACACAAAGCACTTAAACAGCAGCGTCAAATTTAGGTGTGTGAGTACGCCAGGGGTTCGCTAATAACTGCAACATAACATACATCGATTCTGAATTCCACTTAACATGGCTTTATCATTGTACTCTGGTTTTAAAGAAAGAGCACACCATTCTTACATTCTAGCAAATTGATAGTTTATATTCTAAATTCATTGAGGCGGGTGGCAGCTGGCAAGTATCACTGACAAGGCAAATTAATTTAGGACATTAAATATTCAACCATGTCAAGCAACTAGCTATATTAAGTTTGAGCTTCATTAGAATAGTAAGTATGGAAATGATCACTTCCAAGACAAGGGATAGACAATCAAATTGTGTCATATCTAAGAGATACTGAATTAATCTACCTCATCTTCGATATTAACATCACCAATAAGATAAGATCTAAGATTCAACAACCAGGCTACAGCTACAGTCCAACCCCGTACCATTCCTTTCATCCACAGTCTAGTATGACCCTGTTCTAAGAGGGCTGGTAATACCACTTGTAGTAATAATAGTTCTAGAGACAGCTCACTCACTGGGGCATCACTGAAATAAAACAAATATTGGTTTCAAACATATTAAGATTTGAGGAAGGCCTCAATATATTAACACAGAATTGATATGGATCTGTTATACTGTTGGTACTACTTACTCAGGGGTGTATCTAGAAAATGGGAGGGTGAGGAGGCGAAGGTGGGAGGGATTATAGGTGTCGCTCGTCTGAGACGAGGCCTGATTGTCGGAAAGGTGACTTCTATTCGAGAAGTCAACAGATATCAGAAGGCCTGAGATGGATTTTGAGCATTTCGAGGGCCCAATTTTCACTTCAAAATAAGACCTTTCACAGGCCTAAAGGGGGTGGAGATGGAGGGGGAAGGGGCGGATGGTTAGGGACTATGATATATAAACTGTCCTTCATTCACTCACCTCGATAACATAACATGGTATGGCAGAAATGTACTGAAGACTTTCTTTATCACTCTTACAGGCAACCATAACATTAACAATACAGTACTTCCAAATATTATCTACAATATAACATTAACAATACAGTACTTCCAAATATCATCTACAATATAACATTAACAATACAGTGCTTCCAAATATTATCTACAATATAACATTAACAATACAGTACTTCCAAATATTATCTACAATATAACATTAACAATACAGTACTTCCAAATATTATCTACAATATAACATTAACAATACAGTACTTCCAAATATTATCTACAATATAACATTAACAATACAGTACTTCCAAATATTATCTACAATATAACATTAACAATACAGTACTTCCAAATACTATCTACAATATAACATTAACAATACAGTACTTCCAAATATTATCTACAATATAACATTAACAATACAGTACTTCCAAATATTATCTACAATATAACATTAACAATACAATATTTCCTAATATTATCTACAATATAACATTAACAATACAATATTTCCTAATATTATCAATTAATATGAAAGCATCAAACACAGTGACCTATCAACAAATTTAACTTTGTATATTTTGTGAACTTATATAAAATGGATTGAAATCAAAGAATCAACTCACCACTGAGGCAATAAATCTTCTCACATGTCGATAAACTGGTAGATGTATCATCTGTAAATTTTCAAAAAAAATAAATATATAATTTGATCTGAATAGTCTGTCGTTCCAATTGTCCTACTCGAAGCCTTGCATGTATTTATTTTTTAGCATACTAAGGCTATGCTGGTTTGTCCTATAGCAATATATTTCAGTATCAACAGTCCTAATGCAATGGAGCTGGGGATTTTAAAACGAGAGGAAGTGCTCACTAACAAGTTTTATCTTGATTTCATTTTTTTCACATACGTTTAGGGACATCAAAGAGACAAAAAAACTTCCAAAACGGGAAAAATATTGTCTCACCTCTTGAATGGGATTAAATTCAGGGTCGTTGAGATTTCGTAGAAACCAGAGAACACCAGGACGAAGTACTTCTCGTAGCAGTAAGATAAACGACGCAAAGTAAAATACATACACCATTCCGACTAGCCAGTGAATAAACATAGAGGTACCTGGAGCCAGGTGAAAACTTGTCTTTCTGTCTTTTAAAGTGGCATCAAACATAGACTAGAAAGAAAAATAATAAATCACTTATTATAATAATAATGACAATAATATTAATAATAATGATATCTATTATACATGGGTAAGAATTACGCTGAGTCAACTGCAGAGTTTTTCAAATAAATTTTAATATTTATGAAATATATAAAAAATATGCATATACACGTAATTGAATCATATCTATACAAAATAAATCCCATGTATTACAATTGCATTATTTTTTAGTTATAGCACCCATCATAGCAGTTACGGCCAGAGAAGTAAGAAATACACTATTGTCACAAAAATAATAATCTATATTTGAATGTTATTACATGTGTTACGACTGTCAGACTAAAGATACATGTCTAAAATAGAATATTCATATAGTAATAGTAGTAATGAATCAAATATAGTAATAAATAATGCTGAATCTTACCAAGGAACAGATGTCCAGCCACCAGCCACAAATCAGAGGAAAGACACCGACTTCTACCACGACTAATAACATAACTTTTACTACTACATAACATAGTCCTAATACACGCCGGAATCTAAAACGTTAAAAAAAAATACAGTGCGATTTTCAAATATCATATAATTCAATATCAACTTTAGTGATTGACCAATCAGATATATGATCATCTAAATCAAGCCCATAAATTATAATCTTTTGACCCCTAATATTGAATATGAACTCATCTAGGCATTTCATTTTGATTAAAAGTCTTCATGCATGGAATAGTCCATTAATTTCTTGAAGGGATATCGGAGATGTAGAACTTACTTTTTGAGTTTGGCAAGAGAACAGAGTAAGTATAATACAACTAATGCTATACCAATTACAACATAGCCTGATATCGTAGTTAATAATCCTTCAAAATGGGAAGCGGATACCTGAAAAATAAATCAATATCTAGTTACATGAAACTGTCTTAATTTTTCATATTAACTCCCATCAGATATTTTCTTATAAAGTTCCTTACCAAATTTTTAGATAGAAAACAATAGAACTAAATGTAATATAATTCCACAAAAATTTACAAACTGTTGTCATTTTAAAGATGGGTTTCCGCATTTTTTAGTGTCAAATTAAGCAAACTATTTGATAAATTTGATCATGTACTCTTAATAATATCATTATGTTCTTATTGCATATAATTAAGAGTTTTAACCAATAAGAAATGTCTATATATGTACAGTCTGTGCCTTTCTTGAACGGTCACTCATTGGAATTATGCTAGTAATTCTCTTCTAATTTAACTAATTATGAATTAATTATGGACACGTGAGACAAACTGGTATTTTTCTAAGTCATTGGAACACCTCTACTTTCTATTTGTATAAATATTAACATTTTCATAAATGAAAATAAGGGAACCCATCTTTCAATATTCTTAAGTTTCAAGAAAATGTCTGAGGAAACTAAAATCTAACTTACAATATCATCAACTTTACACCCCACTAGTGTAAAATGTCCAATATGATATGGACAAAAGGCTGAAATAAATAATAAATATTGTGGTGAATATTTCATTAATAATTTGTCACTTTAAAGGAGTACTACCTCTTAAAATAAACATAAAATTAGAATTCTCAAACTTGGTCAATAAGAATATATTCATTCATCATTTGGACTTATCTGGTGTCATTACTATATACAGAGAAATCTATTGACTATACCATTATTTGGTCCTATATAAATATAATACTTACCAAATACTAGGATAAACAATGTATTGAGTGAAACGACCCAAAAAACATGTTCTAAAAATACCAGAGACCCATCTAAACCCAGTAACTGAAGGAAAAAAAATGGAATATTTAAGAGCATGTTTGCGTTCTTAATATATAATTATAAAAAATCCTGCCTAATTCACAAGGTCCTAATCATGACTCTGAAGAAGACTTTGGAACAGAACCAACGATGCTTATATTAGTTTGTATTCGAAGACTATTCTCAATGAAAGCACTAATTTAAGTCACAGAGTAGAGATGAAGAAATCACAAGCTACCCACCCTTTCCCAAGTCAGCTCCTCTGCTGCTCTGTCCCACTCTATTGGATTCCAATTGTTATCATCTACAATACAAACACTGTTTATTAGTCATGTTATATGAATTTTTAAGCCAAAACTGATTCACAAGCCAAGCCTGTTCAACTTTCTTTTGAAATCCTTATGGGTTTGAAGGTTCTTTTGATTGAAAAACCAGACAGCTTCTTAGAGTTTTTCTTTAGAAGGTCAAAAGTCAAGGCAGTAGCCTCAAAAAATTTAAGGAATTTAAGTTTTTAAGAATTAGATACAGTGTTTATCTATTTAAAACCCCTTGAACTTTTCCATGCATGTATTTCTACAATGTATAATAAGTAGACATCATTTTCAAATTAGGGGTTATTATGAAAGTTATTTCAACTCTTCTTTAGTGTGACTGAATGAACTCCTACCTTGTGCACCATTATTATCATTATTAACATCATTATTGACATCATTATTGGCCTCATGGTTAGCACCATCATTGCCTTCTGCCACTTCTTCACCTTCAACCTCTTCTTCATTTTCATTGGCTGCAGGGTTATTCCCACCTTCATTCTGATTGGCTGGAGCTCTCATGCCAGCACCAGCTATTTCACCAATCAGATTATTTACCGGATTTCCATCCAGAAAATTCTAAACCAATCAAAAAAGACAAAAAATTACTGAAAAAAATATCCTTCAGAGGAACATTTATTGCTTATAATCTTGTTTTAAGGCTTGTTTTTGACATCATAATAGCATTCTGTTCAATTGCCGAAGAGGCTCTTAATAAGAGTTTAAGTCCCACAGTTTGACAATTCAATGAATATTCAAATTTATTTACCCTCTGTTGATTGGCTTGTTGATTATCTTGTTCTAACCAATCAGGACCTCCCCCATGTAAAATCTGTTCACGTAACCAAACTAGACTAATAAATGCACACAGCGTACAGGTCACTACAAAACAGCCTTGGAAACAGTCAGAGGCTAGGTTTTCTCTGGAAAACAGGAAATTTTATAAAATGAATTTCATTTATTTCTTGAATGGCATTTAGTAAAGGTATTTTGAAAGAGAAAACACACATTTTATTGAATACAAATACTGATTTTATTTGAGGGAAATTTCAAGTATTTATCAAGCAATGGATATCAAATATGTACGGTAAGAAAAATGCTGGAAACTGAAAATTAAACAACATTTATATAGACAAAGCTTTATTGAACAATAATCACTGGTTAAAGTTTTATGTAACGTTCCGTCCTCAGTCACATAAAAACTTAAAACCAGTGATTGTTGTTCCATAAAGCTGTGTCTATATATCGTACTAACAATTTCTAAATACCATTCAAAGACTTTAAATAACATTTCACAACCAATCAAGGGAAGTAAATCCAAAATTACAAAGCCATTAGAGCCTCAACTGAAATTCGTTCGTGTGACAATAAGAAAGAAATATGTAAGAAAAATGCTGGAAACTGAGTGTTAAATTGTATAAATAAAGTGTATACTTACGTAGATAACATGTCTAATGGTAAAGTTAACAATGAACTGACACTACCAGTAAATAAACATCTATAGATTCGACCTAGAATTATACACAGATTCATTATCTGTCAGATTTAAAAAAAAACAATTTATATTGCAAAGCTCAACTGTGATTTTGTAAGACAGTAATATCCAAAAACTTAAATATTTAATAAAGAGAGTCCACCTTCAGTAGAGACGCATGCTGAAATAGGTCAGTTGTCTGAAGATCACATATTATTAAACATTGAGTTATTACAACATGTTCTTTCTGCTTTGATATTTCTAATAAGGATAACTGGATTGGTTTTCAGAACATGCTCACTCTTTTTGAAACACCTGATGGTACTTTGAAGAGGTATTTACTATACAATTATTACTCCTGATTTTGTCATGCTTTGGACAAGATTTTTGGTAACTGTTATTTGCTTGTACAGATTTTTATTTTGGAATTCTCATTACCAGCTGGTCTAGAGTTAAACATCTTTGAAGTGCTTCTTAAAAATATGCCTATTAAGATTAAAAACTTTTTTTTTTCATTTTCCCCATCCTATTATAATCAATATCAAGCTTTCTGTTTGAGTAAGCTTAAATATTCATTAAATTATTCAGTGATTATGATCGTGTTTTCATACTTACAGGCAGTAAGAGGAACTACGCCCAACCAAGCGAATGCTACAAGTGTATAGTGAAACCAATACCTAATGGCTCTTGCCATACTCGTGACCAGTCCACTACAGATGTCTTTAATCGGTAGGCGCTTCGGCATATCGGGAGAGTAGACTGAAACACAAATTCACCATAATATTGAGAGTTAATGAAAAACTAAAATGAACCGTACTGATGATATATGATCAATCCTTTTAATGAAAATCAACTTCATCCATGATACATCAAATCAGAATATCATTAAGAGAATAAACTTTGGCTACTAATAGATTATATGTTAATTTGGGTACCGTTTCCTACAGTTCTGCACTGCACTTAGATAATAGACAATATCATAATGCAAAGAAATAATTTCACTATCTTTTGTCACATGTTATACATACTAGGTGTGAATGCAAATCTGTGCTTGCATAGTTCACAATATTCTTTACGACTGTAAGTCAACCACTGCAAAAGGCTGAAATAAATACGAAATTTATTCATTAATTTTATTCATAGAATACAGGTGTAGATGTTCATTATTAATGAACTATCGTACGTTAGTGTTTACATTAAAATAATTTTACACACCAATAAACACATTTTACAGAAAAAACAGAAGTCATATTGACCATTGATCAGTGAACAGCTCACTGCCATCAGTTTAACCGAAAAAATGGTTTTCCTGTTTCTCAAAAAATTTTACAATCAACTTTTGTCATTAGTGCATTAAGTTATTTTAAATGTAAAAATTTAGAAACTATACTCAAGGTTATCAAAATGTGGAGCTGTTCAACCAAAGTTAATTTGCATAGTAAATTATTCTTACCAATCTTGGTGGATGAATTTGATACTTCCAGTACAAACACATGGATGATACAGAGCCTTGTCTGGAGTGCCCTCACATCGGCACACCCGACAGATATCTGGAATATAATCCATTTAATACATTCATTAGGCGTACTGATAACTTACAAATCCCTGTTGAGCCCTTCGCCTTCAATAACTTAGGCACACACAAACACATAGGTTATAAGGTCGAGTTTTGGATTGACTTTCAGAATTTGGCTATGGGAATTTATTTTTTACAAAAACACAATTAGATTTCAAGAAGTTTGACAAGAGATTTTTAAACATAATGCATGTTTACATGAAAATCTCTGGATAGGGTAGACCTACTTGTTACAAATGCTTAAAGTAAATGTTGAGATCTATAGGTGTAACACACCCGACACCCTTGAGTTGAAGCTACTTAAAGTCAATTGAAGACTGCAATATATTTCATTCACCAGTGGCACCGATTTCCAACACGATTTTTTCCACCCATCGATATCATTTATCCATTAGAAATTCAATCATTATATTTCCCATATAAAGCATGAAACTTTAGCTTAAAAATTATTAAAGATCCCACGTACAACATTCTAGAAATTTTGACATTTAATATGTCTTTTATTTACCTGGCTGTCCAGTGTCGTCCATATTGGATTTTCTGCTAAATGTCGTAAAAATAGATTGGATTTAATTATTATGATTTTCTAAAAGTCTGTCCCTTAAAATATAGAAATATAGACTTATATCAAACGTCTTTTTGTGTCTTTTGGTTTTATGTAATGCTCATAATAATTGATTTTCCGACAGCTACTTAACGACAACCGTTAGAAAGAGAATAGACCAATTTTCGGCACTGAGATGGAAACGAAAGTTGAAAATGATAAACAAACAGTTTAAATTTAATTTTATCCTTTATATTCTGCTTAAATACCTTTAGAATCATTTTGCTTTGTTTGTTATTTATTTTAGCTCGGCGTAAAGCTTAGATCGCTTTTGGAAGGCGTTTACCTTGCCCTCGTAACACATTGACATTCTATGACCATCAATTCTGAATTCACTTCATGAGTTTATGACCTTATGAAATTTATATAGTTTAATCTGACGAATCTAAATTCTTCATGGAGCATGAATAGGCAGAAGGCAACTCTAAAGATTACGAATTTATGCTGCCTTCTCAACCTGAGACAACCATTATTGATAATCCTGAAAGAAGCAGAAAATTATTTAGTTGAAAAATGACAGCTGATGTAGATGACTTAGCCTTAGCGAAGGAATTAACTCGAGAATTGAACCTATCTAATACAAATCAACAGACTAATTGGGCCCATGAAGCTTTAGCTCAGGTTATTTTTTGCTTAAATTTTTCTTTTGTTGCATGGCATTGTATTATTTAGTTTATTAGAAAAGGAAGCTAGTTTCAAGATTATCTTTATATCAAAGAACATGTGCATCAACATCAGCAGTGCTGTCATGGATTTCAGATTGAGACCACTGAGTCTTTATTATTGGGCTCTTCCTTTGTTGGTTGAGTTGAAAACAAAGTACTGATGCATCTAATGACAATGAAGAACTGAAATGGCCGAGTGCCCAAGTTGATATTGTTTCTGCTATTTGCTTAGAAGAGCCCATGACATAGCTTCTAAAGTACCTATTGCTAATAGTAGAATTCCAGCTTCTAGTACCAAGCAATGTACTTACAATGTTATACCAATGCGACAATCCTAGCTTGTCAGAAAATATTTTCAAACTAGATTAGCTTGGCGTTAAAATCTTCTTTTGTTGATTATTCTTGCTTACATTGTTTAAAGTAAATTACAACATCAATATATGCTGTGGAATATGCAGTTATAATGAACACAGAATCCTCTTGTAGTATCTTATTTTAGAGTCACACGATGAGAGAGGATGAAATGCATGAGGTTGCTATTCCACAATCCACAGGTGTCGTGTGCTATTATGAGCCAGAGCCAGCTTTTCTTTTGAAAACACCATGAATAAATTATGTTTATGAAAGGTTATTTCCTAACTGTTTTACAGGTTCAAGTCCGACTCTTCAAAAATCACACAGATGATGTGAAATCATGTCAGTTTTTTAAAAATAATAATTTATTGACTTCATCAAGTGATAAAAGTGTAAAGATCTGGAGTTTTGATTCTGGACAAGTTATACAGTCGTTTGATGATGTTCATAATGGAGCAGTAAATGAAGCCAGACTCCCTGATGTTGATCAAACACGGTACGGTTTAGGATAAAAAAATTTGTCAAAAAAATCATGAATAAATGTTTGTTTGGTCTTTCAAAGAGTTAACAAAAATGATAAATCCAAATAAAAACAAATAAAATAAGTATTTGTCCTTTGAGGAAGCTGTCATAATCAAGTTAATAATTTTTTTTTAATCTTACAGATTTGTTAGTTGTGGTTGGGATAAGAAAGTAAGACTAACTGATATTCAAACTCAACAGGAACTTGTAAGTATTTCATATTATTCTTGTTACAGTTTCATGTTACAACATTATACAACAATGTGCAATGTTTTAGTTTGAAGACAATGTAACCTAATGAACCTCAATCTGAATATTGCTCTATGTTTTAAATTCATGTACAATATACATTGAATACAGGTAATCATCATCATTAGGCTTAACTCTGTGAACACTGAGTGAGTGTGAACAAAATAAAACTTCATTTACCTGAATTCAAACAACCGATAATATGACTTATAGTGTATGATGTTATCTGATGTCTCTTGCAATGGCAGCTTCACCGACTGCTCATTACACAACATAATGATGGATCAGTAGAGAGGTGGCTAGAGCTGAACGGTAAAGGTAATTGTTAGTTAACAAGTTGAATTAATAGAAGATTTGAACATACATCTTTCTGCTTTACACAAACTGTTTCTATTTCTTATATTCTAGTGGAATGGAGCTCATGAAGGCGTAATAACTTGTTGTAAATTTTCTCACGATGGAACTCTGGTGGCATCAGGATCGGACATGGATAATACTCTGAAAGTCTGGAATGCTAGGACTGGAGAAATTGTCTTTAACTTGAAAGGTTTGCCTTGTTCAGATCATTCTTTTCCTTATCTACATCAAGTAACCTGAATTCTTTTGGCTTTAAAGAAAACAGGCAGTGCCAGTGGTTGAAAATATTTCTGCCAAATGACAGATTAGTTTCAAAAACAGAAACATTCCAAGATTTAAAAATTCTTTACCTATGGAAATCTAAATTAGCCATGTAGTCATGTTAAAATTTTCATCAATGCATACTGCAGGACTTTTTTTTATCTATAATAGGCATTGTGGTGCCGAATAACGTGTTGATCTATCTGCCTTATATTTCAGATCACCATACAAGTACTATAACAAGTGTACTATTTTCACCAGAAGATGATAAAATTATAACAACATCTATGGATAGAACGACTAAATTCTTTGATTTAAAATCAGCCACTACTACACTTAGATTGGAGTAAGTTTACTTTACCACATTTGACACAAACAATGATAAACATAATTGGAAATATTCTTGCTTAACAACTTCGTCAAATCATGAGTGGCAAGTGGAATCGCCCATAGAAAAATATAGAACGAATCTTCCAAATTTGCATTTTAATCAGATTGCTTATAAGCTAATGATATTTTCTAGGGGTATTATAGCTATAGTTATTCAGTAAGCTATTGTTATATTTTAGGGGACATATAAATGTGGTATCAGATTGCTCTATGTCTGGTGGAGAGAGAAAGTTTGCTACCACGTCCTGGGATAAATCAGTCCATATCTGGGATATAGCTACTGGTATGTATAGGTAAGTCAGATGTTAACTTTCTTTATATGAATAATGTGATATGGAGTCGATTGGACTCAGTAAGGAACTCTGTCAGTTAGGCATAGGTCATTTAGGCACAACATTAGTTTCAATGAATCTAATATATAAGCTGTGGTGTACACGAATTGATTTACTAAGTATCTGAATGCTGAATATTTACTTTACTGGAGGATAGAGCTCAATGTCAGGTATCTGTATAACTTTTCAGAATGGAGATTTGACACCTATTCTCATGCAAGTCATCTGAACCAGTTCTGGAAGATTAAAAGATCTGTATATGTCTGAGTGCCCAAATTTCTTCTTCATTTGAATATTTTTCAGATCTAATGGACCAGAAACATTAAAAGGAAGCCACGAGGGCTCTGTCAGTTGTTGTGATTTTACAGAAGATGGTAAATAGATTTTAATGTTCATAAAACTTAAACCAAAACATAAGTCTATTCCTCAGTGTTTTGCTGAATACATTCACATCCGTTCTTTTTAACCATACCACAATCTCAGAAACGGGACAAAATCATTGAAAATTTAGCAACCATGAATAGTTTCTGACTGTTTTTGACGTGTTCTAACTCCCGAAATCAACTTGTGATTTGATTTGAATTACAGGTTTAATGCTAGCCACTGGTTCCTATGACAACAGTATTGTAATATGGGATGCTGATAATTGTGTCCAGAAAATCAGACTCCAGGTACGTCAAGCTTACAAACCTAGAAGATTCAGGCTCTGAAAGAAAAGCCATTGGTGAAATAACAAAATCAGACTGCTTCTATAGCAAGGTTGGAACATGAACTAAAGCAGTGGTTCCCAACCTTTTACAGCATTCACACCCCTGGAGCAATCACCTGGATCTTTCACACCCCTAAAAATTTGTTTCATCCACATTTCCAGCATGTGATGATGTGAGGTGCTCTCTCGACTCAAAATAAATTCTTCCCCTACACCAGTTGGCCACACACCTGACACCCTAGTGCCACACCCACTAGGGGTAAAAACACCCCAGGTTGGGAACCAGGGGACTAAACACTTGTTAATTTAAGATGAATTTGTAGACGGCATGCTAGATTTTATATTTATCAAATTGCTGTCGAATTTTATAGAATTTGTAAAATGTATTTGTTTCTTTATGTTAATTTTTAGGGCCATACAGGCTGGGTAAATGATGTAGTTATCAGCAGTGATCAGAAATGGTTGTTATCCTGCTCCAATGTAAGTGTGTTTTTTGTAACAGATGACAGTATAGATATATATATATATGTGGCATGAGATGTTTACTTGGAGTGTCCAACCAGCATCACACAGCAGAGATAATATCCAATACTTTTGAAGCTTTCAATTCAACGAAGTAAATACTATTTTGAGATATTGAATCCACTTGTTTTTATAAAGAATATTAATTTGGCTTTCAGGATACTTCAGTAAGAGTATGGAATATTGAGGATACAGATAAAATACCTGTGGTTTTAGAGAATAGAAAATCAATTGGACTCAAAGTTATAAAGGTAAGTTTACATTCAAAATCCAAATATTGCAATTCAAATGAATAATTAAAAGAGTGAAGGCAAATGCTTCTATCTTGGCTAATATTTCCTTCATTGCACACAGTATCATGTTGTTTGTTTTCATTAGCGAAATCAGATGCAGAGAAGTTGGATGTATAACTGGCATGGCGTGGCATGTCAATGTCCAGTGACCTCATTTTTCCTCATTCCAGTCAACCCAGCAATAAATGGATAATTGTAATCCAAATAAAAATCCTGAGAGGTTTGGTCAAAGACCAACTAGTAGACAAGAACCTAAGTTGTTATTATTTCTTTTTTTCTTATCCATCATAACATATCATAATTCTGTTTAATTTTGGTTCTTTTACAGTGTTCTAAATGTGGTAAGCCATTTTCGATGGCTCAATCAGATACGTTTGGTGATGTTACAGTCTGTGTTTTCTGTCGTGTGGTAAACCCCAGTCAATCCTGGCTTTCTGTACAGGAGCCTGAAGTTTAAATTTGATAAAGCTCAATGTTTTCTGTGGACTTTTATAGCTATGTCAACTATAATGTTGAGATGAAGAAAATTATAGCTTTTTAAACAATGTAATAGCTCACTGACTGTGCAGTATGGATTGTGGATGCTTTTCCCCACAACATCCTGTTTCTAATGTGCATAGCTGTTATATTTCGGACACTAACAACCTGGATTCTGGCTTCATATTTTGAACATGGTGATGGAAAATGGTTTCCCCTACTTACTGAAGTATCTTTCAGCATTTTAAACATTCCGTCCACCAACTTATATTCTTTGTATTCCATTTTAAACAAAGGCTTGTTAAATTATTGTACAAGAATTCTTTATTTATTGTTGAAAAATTCAGCATTACATACACTCCGTCCCTTATTAACATTTTATTTATTTTTTTTTATATTTCCATTGTCGCCATTGAAATTTTTGTGAAAAATTTGATGTTGAATATCTGTGATAGAAAGTTATTAAAATTTTAAATTGCAAACTATTTGGGTTTAATTTTTGAAATCTTAAGCATCTGACACATTAATTAGTGCAATCGAAATTTTATTTTATTTCATTTTGAGCCTATTCACCTCTGTCATAAAACTTGACACTGTTACTGCATATCAATAGATTGGAGATTTAGTTGTGATCTGAATTTCTTCAAAGGGAGATAAATCCAAATTAAAGATGGACGACGTGTTTGTAAACAAACGCACGTGTTGTTTTATAAATAATTTGACAGCTCTCCACAGCAGGTAGAACATGTTTATGACTTTGGCAATGTAGTTCCTTAATAGGACAAGGCTTAGCTGTAACTATCACAAATAGTTCAGATATCAATGACGGCGGGTGATCATGCATAGTGTCCTGAAGCTGGCCATTCTAGGATTAGCCTTATTTTTACTGTAAGATATTATTATTCATTGCCAAGTAGTAATTCATTTGTGTAAATCTGTATGGTTATGTTCATTTTGGGTACAGGTCGATAGGGCACTTTCCCCTTAAAGAAATTTCTTTCATTTCTCACAAATGTAAAAACATGAATTTTTGATAGGTTTGTACCTACCGACAAATATGTGTAGTGATAGACCAAATCAATTCTATTTTATCAAATGTTCTTGGGGTAGAAGTCTCTCCAAGGCTTGCCTCTGTGTGCTCCACGGAACTGCTGCATTTTGAGCAGCAACCTTGAAAATTGTCCCCCCATAATTTCGGTCTGCCCCCTATGTAGAATTTTGTGACCTACCCACAATCTCGGTAGCACCAGTGGTAATGTCATCTTGCCTGTTTTCCAGCATATTTGCATTCACTTCATGGCAAAGTATCTTGTTGTAATACTTGAATGTCAACATTCTGTTTGAATTTCCCCTTAAAGTCACCCTTTTTTTGAAGCAGATCAGATCATTAAGTGAAAACATGACATTAATAAAATGGAGAGTTTAACAAGTCAACTCAATAACTTACAGTTAGCTCAGAAATCAGCCATATCACTGGCTAAAACAGAACCAGAATACATCTTAACTTTAGCTGCACAGGAAAACAGGTAGGTTTGTTTCAAAGTAATAAGCATTTTGAATGCAATGGTTGCATTTATTTTACCACATCGAAGAATTAGTTAGTTATGAGCACAGAGTTATTGCCCTTGTAACTGATTTGATAGTTTTCAATATCCGTCCATTGTAGATGTGAAGACAGTGAATCATTATTAGCTGCTACCAGTAGTAATTTTACCATAAGACTATATAACAAGACAACACTGGCTTCTTCTTCCAATATACAAGGTAAATATATGTATAGTCGAACGTAGATATTTCTTAATAATACAGACAGTTTAAACTATGAAAAGAGGCAGATTTTATTCCCTAAGGAGACAATGATAGCATCGATTTGTCACGTGCCAATTTTCAATCAGAAGTTAGTGGTTTTTGCAATTCCACAAAACCTAAGCATTTTGTATTGCAACGTAAGCTTAAACTATCTAAAGGCTTTATAAAACACTTAGTGTTGGTTGTAGTGCAATTGCAATCCCTTTAAGATGTATATGAATTCCACCCCTTTTTATTGCAGCCCATGATACTGTGATAACAGGAATTACATTCGGAAATGAAGATCCCAATATTTTAATATCCAGTTCCTCTGATAAAACAGTCAAGTAAGCTTAAGTGATTTAATCAATTTGAAATTTGATATTTTTTAAACTTTCAAAAAATAGACTATAAGATGTCTATCACCTAACACCTTTGCATTTGATAACATGGTAATTTCATACTTTAGCCTCAATAAAAATGGAGCTCAAGATTGGAGGACCGATTTTAAAACTTGCATAAAAGAGTTTGCAGTATTAGTTACAAATTATAGTGCTCTGTACATGAAATTTCAGATGTTGGGATTTAAGGAGTAGTCCAGAAAACGCTGCTCAAACATTTCAAGGTAAGATTTGTATGATTATTGTAATCAATATTTAAGCTGTATAGATACAAATTATAATTTTGATATCAGTAAAAAAGCAGATATATATTATAGTCTAGCATGTTCACATTCTGATACATTTCAAATCATGAACACAAGCAGACATAATACTCTCTCCTACTGAACCTCCAAATTTTGTTCCTGGCATAGTAATGAATTTACAGTACTGTATCTGATTATTTCAGGAGGGTGTAATACAGGATTTGGAAGTGTAGATATTAACTCGGATGATAGATTAATCTGTGCTGGTACGGAGGTGGATAAAAATAAAGATGTCTTCATGATCTTCTGGTAAGCTGAGTTGTTAATTTGGGGAGACCTGCATCAGAGTTGTTAATATGGGATGGCCCGCTTTTGGACCTCCATGTTGTGATTTTTTGTCATTTTACATATGGAAAGATAAGCCTGTACGCTGCCCTGCCAATTCTGTGGTATCTTCTCCTCATTGAATCATAGAATATATTTATAGGGACAGAAGAAAATCCAGTTATTTAGGATCTTATACAGAGTCTTTTGAAAATGAAATCACTCAAGTAAGATTTTATCTATTTATCAGAATGATTTAGTGCCCCTGTTCCCAACCTGGGGTGTTTTCACCCCCTGGGTGTGTGGGACTAGGGTGTCAGGGGTGTGGCCAACTGGTGTAGGAGAAGAATTTATTTTGAGTTGAGAGAGCACCTCACATAACCACATGCTGGAAATGTGGATGAAATAAATTTTTGGGGGTGTGAAAGGTCCAGGTGATTGCTCCATGGGTGTGCAGGCTGAAAAATGTTGGGAACCACTGGTTTAGTGGAATATGAATTTGTGAATAATCATACTGAAGCCATCTTTACCAATTCCATAAATAAATCTTGAGAAGCATGTTGTGGAAATGTAAATCCATTTACTCTTTTCTTTTCTTTAGTATTTTTCAAATGTTTTTGTGGGGTGACTTGAATTTTTTGATTTGAACTTATAGAAATGAATCCCTCATATCCCATAATGATTTCACAATTAGATATGACCTTTGTAGGTTAAATTCCATCCCAGCAAGTCTGACTGTATAGCCAGTGGTGCCTCTGACGGCTTGGTGAATATTTTTAATTTAAAGGAAACTGATGAAGACGATGCCTTACAGTTAACATTGAATACAGAATCATTTGTTGTAAGTTAGTCACTTTGTTCCTTTAAATTCATAATAAATCCTGAAAACTTCTGTGAATTTGTTTGGAAGACCTCTGGACTGAGTTGTCCAGGCAAGATTAAGAGGTACAGTTAGATAGTTAGTGGTTCTTGAATTAAATTGGTTAAATGAATTGAATGAAGGAACAGGTTGTATTGAAAAGATTGTTGTGTTAGGGTGTATTGAGACGAGTCTCAATAGCAATAGATAAGCTTATTAATTATGTGAAAATGAGTTAGTCAGTGTTGTCTTATTTCAGGCTAGAATAGGGTGGTGTGGAGAAGACTATAGTAATATTTATTGTATAACTGATGTAGATACATACCATGTTTGGGATGCAACAGAGGTAAGACTTTATCCAAACATTTACTATCATTTTCTTCAGATTATTGCTTGACTTAGTTCAGATTTTGTTCTTCCTCTCTATCCATGTCATTTCTTCATATTTATCAGATATATAGACACATAAGTAATGAGGCTCTTAACTTTATCCAGTTTAAGATGCAGCCACACAAGCCGTCTTGGTCAGAGTTTGTCTCCAACTCGAATCTTGAGTAAAATCTCACCTGTGCCAGTGCTTCCACGACGAGATTATCCAAGTTTGATAATTGTCTCCAATAGTTTTATCTTAATCATCCAATCAGATTCCTTTTCCCTGCTCCGCACGTGATTATCGACTATGTGGAAAACAACCGACGGGAGATTTTTGTCTCCTCGTGTGGCCGTGCCAGTCGTTGAAACTTGTTGAGACAAAAGTCTCCGACCATTCAGTATTTTTCAAGAGAATGGACATAAGAATAAGAATAACTATATGTGTGGTATATAGAAACATTAAAATCAAGCCTAAAAAAACAGTTTGTTACCTAGAGTTTTACACTATGTGATCTTCAGACAACTGACCTATTTCAACCTGTGATATTAAAATAGTTTGAAATCATCCATGCTCAACGACATATTGGAATAGCATAATTCTTGGCTCATATTGATTGAGATGTTCACTGTACATCAGATATAGAATCTCACTGTGTTTTATTTTTTATGTACTTCTACTACCTATTGACAATATTTCTATCTTGATTCCATTTTATTATGCCTACTAAACTATTCATTGTTTTTCTGCCTTGATAAAGGGATTGGTCCCGAAGCGTAGCCACAATTACTCTAATTTTATCAAATTTTTACATACCCTTTGCACCTTTTAGATTGTTTTTTTTTTTCCTTTATTACAAGTCAACTCGTGGTTTTATTTTTTACTTTTTAGGGAGATGTTATTAAAGAAGTTTTAAATCTTAAAGACAAGTTAAAGGTAGGTTATATTTTTTATGTACCTTAATGGCACTTGTATTAACATATTCCATGTTTGTTCCAGAACCTTTTAAAAATTAGTTTTGAGATCTTATTTAAATATTATTGATTTTATGTACAAAAAAGAAAATGTGATGAAATTAAAGCAGTTTGGGACAATTTGATTGCTTTTGTTTCAAAATGGGCTCTGTAAGAACGAAATAAGCCTAACCATTCCATGATAATTTATATACAACAGTGGTCATTTTTGGATGTGATGCACCATTTTTGTTATATTCAGGGTGAAGAAAGTATAGACTATATGATAGATGTGGTTCCAACACTGGATACATCAAAACATTTCCTGGCCACTGGTACTAAAAGGTTAGTAATTTACTATACTTTGTAGGAATATTGTCTTTTTTTCAACATTGAATCTGTCATCTCATCTCAGTAAATATACCAGACCACAATATACACACAATCAAAGCTAATCATGGTATTTAGTGTTGACATTAAATGATTTACTACAAACATCATATTTATTATATTTACAGTGGTGATATAAAGTTACTAGATGTAACTAGTAAAATACCTGATATGATATCCTGTTTATCCAAGGGACATAACGAGATTGTTAGGTGTATATATTACAATGTACAGGTAGGATATTCTACACCATGTTGGTGTAACCCCTAACCCACTTTACAATCCAATCAGCATTGGCTAAATTTTCTTTCAAGTGGTTCACTTATTGGTTACAAATTCCACAATTATGTGACATTATGATTGACAGGTGGCATTAGGTTCGAAGAAAGATATAATATACTTACCACACTTGACATTGTGTTGTTAAATCATTTCATAATACATCATAGCCAACCTATGCTTATTCTTTTTGAGATAAGAAATGTACTTGGAAACTAAGTGAATATCTGCTGCTACCTGGTTGTTTTCAGATTCTATACATCATATTATGTTGTATACCAATTATCTTGTGTTTTAGAACATTTAATTTTATTGATATATAATGTTTGATATATTACCTATTTTCTTTCTGTGGCTGCTACATACACCATTCTTTTAGATCCTATATCTTATTTGTTTTTCACGATGTTGAAGTTAGAATTTTGTCTAATGTATGGATGTAAAGCTATGCATGCTATATTACGTATTTTAGAACAGAACACTAGTTACTGGTGGAGAGGATTCTTTGTTATGTTTATGGTCATCAGAGAACATCACTCCCAATACCAACTCTAGCAAGGTCAGTAAATTTCGCCCCCACCCAACAGTTTATAAAATGAACAATTCTGTTATAAATTATTGTCTTATCATTGGAAACTCATCCCTTTATGATTTTATGTTTTCTGAAATGTTTTTTCAATACAATCAAAAACTAAGCAACGAAGATCAGCAATTAGTGGCCATATATTAAATTAAGTTTATGAAATTATAACTTTTTATCATGACATATTTTTTTAGAGAGGAGTAAAAATGAAACAGACTCCAACTAAGAGATTAAAACCTTATAAAAGATGATGTAGTCATGTAACCCTGGAGATGAGGGTGATTGGTTAGTAACAGGTAATTATTTAACAGAAGACACTGGCCCAGGATAGTTATGTTACAAATATTGTGATTATCCTTATGTGACAATTACTGTAAAGAGGGAGATCATATGAAATAACGGAACACAATTTCAACAGCTGAATTTCAATTTACGTTGTCCTCATCAGGTGGAATGATGTGATAGTGGAGTAACCAAAATGGTTATCATCATCAAACTATGGTTAACTGTGTATTTATGGAGCTTTTAAATTTGCTTTGGTTGAAACAATTAGTAGAATTGGAATAAGAATTGTTGTTCAAACACAAGAGATATATTTTTTAATTATTTTATATTTCAATAAAAGATTCTTGGTTATTCATCTTATTTTTAAAGATTTTATTATATTAATATTGATTTCCATCATTCTTTTACCATTGATAATAAAATATATGAATAGGCCTAGTCCTGAATATTAAAAACACACATTACTAGTAACGTTTCAAGTAGAAATAGAATTTCTATTGTGCTTTTCAATAAATCTATGAATATGTTGTTTTTATTTTATTACTGGAAATAAAAATCGTTAAAGGATGTTAAAGGACAATATCATAAAATAAGTCTTGATTTTCCAAGAAAACGATTTTGAGTTCATGGATCATTGTCTTGATTTTCCAAGTTAGAAGTGGATGGTTGAACCGTTTAAATATCAAGATAAATATTTGTTTAATATCTGTAATCTTCATTATCAAAACAAAACTGTTAGTTGTAGCCTTGATAATCAAAGATGAAGATTTAAATTGGTTGCCTTGATTATCAAACATTAACATTAATTTGTAAGTTCTTGTAGCCTTGATTATCAAATATAAACATGAACTGGTAAGGTCTTGTAGCCTTGATTTTCAAGTATAAACATGAACTGATAAGGTCTTGTAGCCTTGATTTTCAAGTATAAACATGAACTGATAAGGTCTTGTAGCCTTGATTTTCAAATATAAACATGAACTGGTAAGTTCTTGTAGCCTTGATTTTCAAATATAAACATGAACTGGTTAGGTCTTGTAGTCTTGATTTTCAAATATATGAACTGGTAAGTTCTTGTAGCGTTGATTATCAAGTATAAACATGAACTGATGAGTTCTTGTAGTCTTGATTATCAAAAATAAACATGAACTGGTAAGGTCTTGTAGACTTGATTATCAAATATAAACATACAGGAAGTTGCTGTCTTGATTATCAAAGATAAAGATTTGAATTAGATGTTGAGTACCGATAGCCCTGATTTCCAATATTAAAATTGTCTGTTGAGTACATGTAACTGGAAAATACTTGTAGCCTTGATTATCAAAGATAAACATTAATTTCTTTATGTCGGAATGTCTTTTATCTTGTTGTTGTATCGATCTCTCTATTGTTCTGTCAAGATTGATTGATTTTCTTCAATAGAATGATTCGTGTAATGAGCAGTTGTGAGTGAAAGTGCATGTAAATATATATAGCCTCAATTGACAAGTTTCGTAGGAAAGTTTTCTTGTAATTTCCCCACAATAATGGTTTTTTTCCAATGGGAATACAGAAGAAGAATTTCCAATTACTATCGCAAAGAAATATTTAAAAAAATCTTGCCAATACCATAAACAACTTTTCTTTCAAGGGAGGCCCCAACTATGTAACTCAACAAGACATTGAAGTCATCAGGGGGGGCAAAAATTTATTAAGGGAGGTATCCCCTTAGCCTTAGCTAGAGGCCTACTAGCTGACAGTAGGGTTGACAGGGTTAAACTCAACATAAATACCAAATACTAATTGAGTTTTCAACAATCAAATACCATGAAAATCACCTGATAATTAGGATTGACATTTTCTTTAAGTCGGATAAATAAAATATGATTATGATCGATTGTTGAGGATAAAAACAAATCGACTTGGTATATCTTGACAATAATATATTGATTGTCAGTTGATTCTTTATCTTTCATCGCCTACTCGTAAATAAACAGACTGTAATACTATTATTGCAAAATGTCTTTAACCTTATTAAAGAGCTTTTCTTTTGTAATATTTATCTCCCTTACTCAAGCCTTGTTCACATCATACAAGCTAGTGCTGACACGATATATCGATGTATCACGATACATGCCACGATGCACGTATCGTATCGCGACATCATGTATCGATATGTGACGATATCTCTCATTCCATAAAAAAATGGAGATTTTTATAAATGTTTTTCAGACTGAAATTGATAGAAACTTTTTATAAGACAGTGGACACTAACCACTTCTATCAACTTTATTAACAAATATCAGTTATAAAGTTATAAATTAATAAAAAATATGAAGATAAAATGTTAATTTTTATCCCCTTACCCCATATCGCGATCGTGACCCTTGTATCGCGATATATATCGTATCTTATCGTGACATGATTGACGATTCCCAGCATTAATACAGGCCATTGATTAAAAATCATTCAGAAAGGGAAATGAACCTTGTCTCTGAAGAGTTAATAGCAAGTATCCTACACCACTTTCAGCATAGGAAGGTTACTGTGTTCCAAAATTGGCACCTTATCATTTCTATCAATAGTAGAAGAACAATTGTAAATAAATCGGCCATTCTCGCTATGCCTCTGTCACTGTCAGACAACTTCCACCGTAGATATGAATGAGTAGGAGGACTGAACATTGGATTTTAATTCAGACAAGTGCCTTTTTTTCAGCTGTTGGGGTGGCGATTTTCCCAATAAGGATACACGTCGGGGCAATAATAAGCATAATTTTGTTTTGGTTTTATGAAAAGATAAAAGATATCTTTAAGGTGATATTTTGGGCCTTTGTGCTTATTTCTATCAGGTTTGAGGGACACAGAATTATCATTTTGCCAGATTGGATCAAGAAAAATAAAAAACGAGAAATTATTTCTACTTTTTATAATATTAAAATGTGGATTAGGCTACATATTCATATTGTTACAAAAAAATCTGATAAATTATCTTTCTGAAATTTAAACCCTGACTTAGTTCAAAATGGCTAAATTATAGAAAACATGTATCAAAAATCAAGTCAGTACCGAGGATGTCTCAGAAGCAACTAAGCTTACCAGACAGACTAACAATATATATGTAAAATCAGTTTTAGGACGGAAATTTCATTGGACAACTTTCAAGACTTTTCTGCATTGCATAATTTTTTAAGGCTTTAATAATGTAGATATATGAATTGCTACAAAATTTGCCCACATTTTCAGCAAGTAATTTCTGTAACAAGCAAATATTATGAACACATGACATTACAATAAAAAACTTTGTATATATATATATATATATACTTTATACAAACAACTTTTTACATCTTTTGTTTTGATTATAACCATCTCCTTTGTGTTGATTAAACCATAAGAAAATCAACTTCATTTTAAGTGCATACAAATACAAGTTTCAAATTTTCCGGAACCCCTATTGGGTTTGTAAAATCCAAAAACCAGTTAAGAAGTAGTCAATTAGACATACTTTCTTTTTTGGAAATTATAAGGTTACAAAAGTCTGCTGATTTCTTGTTTTTTTCAAATTTTCTTAATTATGTATATTTTACTAGTATCAAATTCTTCCAGATTCTCATTTTGTTTTACTTCCAACTTTTGTGATAAGAATAGTAAACAAGGTTTTGATTTTTACCTTGTTTTTTCGACTAATTAAAAATTATTAAAGTTAATACACAACACAAATTATTTACCCGCAGCGAAAAGATCATTGACATCAGTATATATCACTATAGTCCTTGTATAAAAAATATCCATACACCTATCCTGTTTACAAACCTTTATAAAACATACACCCTGACTAGTAGTTCCTGTTGACTTTATAACTTTTAGTTTTAGCACTTTTTGTAGGATGTTATATTTCTGAACTGTTTTAGTTTAGTTTTCAAGAAAATAATTCATAATTCCTATTTAACCAAATTCAGATACAATACACATTTTTTGAGACGATTTCACAAATCCCAGAATTGGTTAATTCACAGATTGACATGTCTTTTGCCCTAATATTGATGTAGTGATGCGATATCAGCGAGAACTTCAGGGTCTCGATGCAACGCATCAATTTCTTCCGGCAGAACACGATGTGGGTCGGAACGAAGAGATCCCTGTGACTTGATACTTTTCACTGACTTTCCTGATTTGGAACTTTTGGCACTATTTTGCGTTGACTGACGCTGCAACAGATTCTGACTGATTGTTCGATGGAGGTTTTTATTGGCCGAGCCAGCAGCGTTGGTTAATAGCCAAGGATGTTGTTGACATTGAGCTGCGGTGATTCTCAGATGAGGTTCCAGTACAAGTAACTTGCCGATAAAATCTTTCGCCGAATCTGACACATCCTTCCAGTGCTGAAATTTACCAAAAAATAAATGATTACACATTCATGTTACACACTACACATACTTGTAACTTTGATGTAACTTTGGAAAATGACCTGTAACAGTGAGATGAGAAGAGTATTTTCAAAAGAAGCACTGGCCAAGGCCATAAACATGAAACAAAAACAAAGAAAGATGCTTCATGTAAAATATAGGTAAGAAAAAAAGAGTTTGGTTTTGTTTATTGTAGTCTAAATACCATTCAAGGGAGCAAGGGAGTTTATATTTTTATATTCCTTCTGGAAACAAAAACAAAGGAAGATGCTTCATGTAAAAAACAGGTAAGAAAAAAAAGTGTTGTGTAATCGTGTTGTGGGAAATCTGATGCAAAAGACAGATAGCTGAAACTTAAAAATAGTTAAAACCTTGCTATTTTAGTAAGAAAGATATGTGAGAGTTTGGAAAGTTCCTTGAAAAGCCACCTTAAACTCAACTGAAGATAAAACTTTATAACTTAATTTATAATTAAATGTATTCAGTAAACTACAGGCTAATAAAAGAACAATGGTCCTACTGATAAACCTAAACCTGTTATTTCAAGTTTTATGGATCCTTTCTTATCACATCTGATAATTTCTGACAAGAACACTTTCAGGTTTTTACACAATACAATTTATTGATAATGGATAACAATTGTTGCTTTATCTAACTAAGCAATGTTTAACGCTTTCATATCCAGAAAATGGGTTTTGTTTATGTTGTCTAAATACCATTCAAGTGAGCACTCTTCCAAATAAGTGTATGTTTTTTTTTTCAAAAACAAAATGTTGAAAATTCAAAATCAGGAAGTGAAAATTACGAATAACAGAAAATCATTTTTGATGGCCTTAAACTAAAATACTTGTTAATTGATTGAAGATTTATTTTTTCACAATTTTTAGGGCTTTAGAAAGTAAGGAATGATTAACTAAAATCCCAAAGAAAAATGCACAAACTTTAATATACAGCTTGTTTTATGAAAAGTACTTGAAGTTTAAAACTGTACTTTGAAGATTTTAAAGAAGAAAAAGGTCTATTAGACTATATAATTCTATATATATGTCAGTATATTTTTAGATAGCCTATAAACTAGTACTCTAGGAAATGTTCAACTGCCTAACAACCTTTACTGAACTCTTCTCTATCTCTACTGCAAAGAATTGAAGATATACAGTTTCAAAATGGCCGCCTAACAGGTCAAAGTCTATTCACTTCCACACAATGCACATTGATATCATTTCAACACTTAGCACTGCAGAGAATAACACTCACACACCTCAAGGGTGGAGTAAATCTGTTTTAAATTAGTCCACATTTTAAAGATTACCCTGATGAAAGTGGCAAATCAAGATTTTTAGTGAATAGTCTTCAGAAATTCATAAAATCAAAAAGAAGCCAAATCTGTAATTATTATTCTTTATAAAACTAACCAAACTAAACTTTGATAAAATTAGAAAAAAAAAGCAGTTTTGAATCCTACTTTGTTGCTCCAGTTTGGGTTAATGCAGACTGGCAATGCCATGCAATCCAGATGTCATTAACCTGATCTCGTTTTTTCATTTATAATATTTCTTGAGGAAGCTGACTGAAATTTCTTATAAAATATACACTATGAAAAACATTGTAATATGTTATAAATAAATAAATAAAACAAAAGTAACATTTATGGCTCCAGCAAGTGTTTAAAAACACAAAATCATGATGAATAGGTAACTCCATGGGGTATATGATAAAGTTGATGATTTATTTATTTATTTTGTGTCACCAATGATTAATGATGCAGACATCTTTGTATCCAGGATTGGTACAGGATACCTATTATTGGTACATTTCACCATAAAAGTCTCTGACACCACTCCTATTTATTATACAAAATATCTTTATAGTACTTCCTGGTTTTTGACTGACTTCTGTTATGAGTTTATCAATATTTCAAATAATACATTTAAAAGGCCTATATCCATTGCTTTAACCAACCAATAAATAGATGTGATCATTGTTCACTTGAGGAAGTGACTTTTAATCCAAATATTCTTGATCATTCAGATCTAAATTCTTCATTTGTTTGTGCATGTGTTCAAATTTACAAAACAAACTGTAAAAATGTATCAAGTTGATAGGTCAATAAGATAATCTACTAACAACATGAATATTTATTTCAGTCCTTAGTAAGAGGTGGAAGTTGGAGACAGTTCTAGATGGTGACCTTTATCTAAAAATTTGCAGGTGGACAGTAATTAGACAGATCTTACAAATTTTCAACTACCAGCACAGAATCATCCAATTCCACCAATAGAATTACCAACTACAACTACCAACAACTACCTAAGTTACGATATCAGCATTCGATGGAAACCTGTTAACCTGTCATCTACAAACCAACCAGTAAACGGAAACTTCAAATAAAGATATTAGAAATCCTATACAGTAGTAAGAATGGGGGTTTACATAAATAACAACAGCACTAGCTACAATATCATGAATGCCTCCTTACTCCTTATGAAATACAGTAGTTAGAATGGGGGGTTACACAAATAACAACAGCACAAGTTACAATATCATGAATGCCTCCTAACTCCTTATGAAATACAGTAGTTAGAATGGGGGTTTACACAAACAACAACAGCACAAGTAACAATACCAGTAAGGCCTAACTCCTTATGAAACTGTATACAGTAGTAAGAATGGGGGTTTACACAAACAACAACAGCACGAGTTACAATATCATGAAGGCCTCCTTACTCCTTATGAAACTGTATACAGTAGTTAGAATGGGGGGTTTACACAAATAACAACAGCACAAGTTACAATATCATGAATGCCTCCTAACTCCTTATGAAAAACAGTAGTTAGAATGGGGGTTTACACAAACAACAACAGCACAAGTAACAATACCAGTAAGGCCTAACTCCTTATGAAACTGTATACAGTAGTAAGAATGGAGGTTTACACAAACAACAACAGCACAAGTAACAATACCAGTAAGGCCTAACTCCTTATGAAACTGTATACAGTAGTAAGAATGGGGGTTTACACAAACAACAACAGCACGAGTTACAATATCATGAAGGCCTCCTTACTCCTTATGAAACTGTATACAGTAGTTAGAATGGGGGGTTTACACAAATAACAACAGCACAAGTTACAATATCATGAATGCCTCCTAACTCCTTATGAAATACAGTAGTTAGAATGGGGGTTTACACAAACAACAACAGCACAAGTAACAATACCAGTAAGGCCTAACTCCTTATGAAACTGTATACAGTAGTAAGAATGGGGGTTTACACAAACAACAACAGCACGAGTTACAATATCATGAATGCCTCCTTACTTCTTATGAAATACAGTAGTAAGAATGGGGGTTTACACAAACAACAACAGCACAAGTAACAATACCAGTAAGGCCTAACTCCTTATGAAACTGTATACAGTAGTAAGAATGGGGGTTTACACAAACAACAACAGCACGAGTTACAATATCACGAATGCCTCCTTACTTCTTATGAAATACAGTAGTAAGAATGGGGGTTTACACAAACAACAACAGCACAAGTAACAATACCAGTAAGGCCTAACTCCTTATGAAACTGTATACAGTAGTAAGAATGGGGGTTTACACAAACAACAACAGCACGAGTTACAATATCATGAAGGCCTCCTTACTCCTTATGAAACTGTATACAGTAGTTAGAATGGGGGGTTTACACAAATAACAACAGCACAAGTTACAATATCATGAATGCCTCCTAACTCCTTATGAAAAACAGTAGTTAGAATGGGGGTTTACACAAACAACAACAGCACAAGTAACAATACCAGTAAGGCCTAACTCCTTATGAAACTGTATACAGTAGTAAGAATGGAGGTTTACACAAACAACAACAGCACAAGTAACAATACCAGTAAGGCCTAACTCCTTATGAAACTGTATACAGTAGTAAGAATGGGGGTTTACACAAACAACAACAGCACGAGTTACAATATCATGAAGGCCTCCTTACTCCTTATGAACTGTATACAGTAGTTAGAATGGGGGGTTTACACAAATAACAACAGCACAAGTTACAATATCATGAATGCCTCCTAACTCCTTATGAAATACAGTAGTTAGAATGGGGGTTTACACAAACAACAACAGCACAAGTAACAATACCAGTAAGGCCTAACTCCTTATGAAACTGTATACAGTAGTAAGAATGGGGGTTTACACAAACAACAACAGCACGAGTTACAATATCATGAATGCCTCCTTTCTCCTTATGAAACTGTATACAGTAGTAAGAATGGGGGTTTACACAAACAACAGCAGCACGAGTTACAATATCATGAATGCCTCCTTTCTCCTTATGAAATTGTACTACAGTAGTTAGAATGGGGGGTTTACATAAATAAAAACAGCACAAGTTACAATATCATGAATGCCTCCTCACTCCTTATGAAACTGTATACAGTAGTAAGAATGGGGGTTTACACAAATAACAACAGCACAAGTTACAATATCATGAAGGCCTCCTTACTCCTTATGAAACTGTATACAGTAGTTAGAATGGGGGTTTACACAAACAACAACAGCACGAGTTACAATATCATGAATGCCTCCTTTCTCCTTATGAAATTGTACTACAGTAGTTAGAATGGGGGGGTTTACACAAATAAAAACAGCACAAGTTACAATACCATTAAGGCTTAACTCCTTATGAACTGTATACAGTAGTAAGAATGGGGGTTTACACAAATAACAACAGCACAAGTTACAATATCATGAATGCCTCCTCAACTTATGAAATTGTATACAGTAGGAAGAATGTGGGTTTACACAAATCACAACAGCACAAGTTACAATATAAGAATGCCTCCTCAACTTATGAATTTGTATATGCAGTAGTAAGAATGGGGGTTTACATTACAATACCATGAAGGCCTCCTCGTCTTATGATAAGCCTCAATTATGGGAATACCAAGATTCACATCTCCGTACTCAGCCAGATTGAATTTTTCCACATTATGAGATATGTATTTTTGGATGTTGATTGTCAAAGGGATCTTATCAGACAGCAAGATGATCATATTGATTGATTGAAAGTGATTTTGACAAGTCCTTGGATAGTGCACATTCCTAGAACTGCAATGGATAACAAGAGGCAGTGAGTGGAAGTGTCGATAGCTTATCCAATGATTCAAATCTTAAAAGGGATTTTGATAAGTCTTTGGAGAGTCCACATAACTGACAATACTAACCATTCAGAAGCCAGTCAGTGGAAGACAATTATAGATAATCGAATGATTCTGAATAGTGATACAGAGAAATCATAATGCGGAGAGTCCACATGGCTGAAACAAAACTGATATTTTTCAACCAAGAGCCAGTCAGTGGAATATGTCTATAGATTATCCAGTCAGTGGAAGTTGTCTATAGGTTATCCAATGATTCACATCTAGTAATGAATCATACCTACCTGTTATTCACACTACATGTACTCTGATTTTATCTAACTGATAAATTATTGAAGAGAATCAAGTCCTTTCATTTGATTAACTCCTAATAATAGGGCCATTGATTTCGCTATGTTTACTAGTCACATCTTACTGTTGAATTTCTATTTTGAAATTCTTAATGATTAATAATCTATATAGTAGATTTGGTTCTATTTGCCAGTCATATATGATTAGAGAAAATATGTTTCATTCAGCTGGAAGCCAGTCATGTATGCTCGGGAATTTGTATTTTCCAGTCATGTTTGATTGCAGATCTAGGCAATGTTACATTGCAGGACAGGATATGCCTACTCCTGCTATAACACCTGATGTTATTTAACTGCAAGCTATATATCTGAAGAAGGTTCACAGCTGAAACCCTTCTATTGTCAGCTTGAAACCTTGATTTTCTGAACATTCTCAGTCTTAAAGGGTTACCTTTGTGAATGAAATTGCCCTTCTCTTGGTGATTAAACTCTGAAAACCAATTTTGATAAGGGGAAATAACTTACTATGGACCTAAAAATTCAACAAAGGAAAACAACCACTGTAAGCCAAATAATACAGAATGATAATCCAATAATTACCTCTCCCACATAACTAAAGTTGGCTTTAAGGATGAGTTTATATAGTCGACTTCGATTGTGTCCATCGAATGGCATTGTACCACTGAGTAATATATACGTTATGACTCCCACAGCCCATAAATCAACTTGACAACCATACGGTTTCCGTGCCACAATTTCTGGAGCGATATATTCCGGAGTTCCACAAGTAGTCATCATGAAGTTCTCGACACCATTTTTCATGATCGAACTTAATCCGAAATCTGTGATCATGATCTTTGAATCATGTCCTGGGTGATAGTAGAGTAAATTTTCAGGTTTTAAATCGCGGTGCGTTATACCCAGTGCGTGTAAATACTGAACACCATCCACCACCATGTTTAAAACACGAGTTGCGTCCCTTTCCGTGAAACTGCCCTTTGCTATAATCCTATCGAACAATTCACCACCTGTAGCCAGTTCCATCACCATGTACACTTTCCCAGGCGTTTCAAACACTTCCACTAACTGAATAATGTATTTGTGTCTCACACGTCTCAAAACATTTAATTCCGATTCGAAAACCTCCTTGCCTTGTACCCTGTCTATCATCTTTATTGCATAGGGTTGTCTTGTCACCCTGTTTTCCACTCGGACAACCCTGCTAAAACTTCCCCTTCCAATAAGCGCCTTGATGTCATATTTAGCTGTGACCCTGGGGTCGAATTTGTCCCTGTATCGGGCCACAGTTTTGTTTGTCCTCTGCCCCTGTGGGGTTGAAATAATAGTCTGAGGGTCTCGGATGGACCTTTCATGAAGTTGAGTCTGCCTAAGCTTTGGAGTACGGTTAGCTTTATTCTTAGCATCTTGATGTCCGTAAACTGTTTCTACTAAGTGAGCATTTGGTGGCGGCGCCTCTGGAACCAATTTACTATTTACACATCCCATTTCTTGTAGAAACAAAGATTCGAATAAAACTTCATCCCCACAGCACATGAAAAGGGGGATCCAAATACATACAATGGACAGAGGATATATCCGATCGAAAATTTTTACCGTTTGGTTCCAAGATTTAACATCAATTCCACCATATTTCACTCGTCGCAGACTTCAAAGAATCATGCCAACGGGCACCTGTTAACTTCCGCGACTGTAAATAGTGCCAGGTTCACTAATCAATAAAAGTTGTGTTATGGAATCAAAACACGTTCTGGCATGAAATGCGAAAGAGAAACAAATAACTCCAGATCGGTAATCGATATTATTGATTGATTCTTGGTATATCGAACTTAAAATAGTTTTACTGAATCGCGGAAGCACCTCCAGGAACAAACAACGACTTATTGTAATACGGTCAGAACTATCACGTGATTTCACCTTGACGTCACAAGTTGTTATAACAACAAAATCAGAGACGAATCTTTCTTAATTTAAACTATCTTATACTTTAATTCTTTGTTTAATTATATCCATGCAATTATATTGTCTGAATTCAAATATCGGCCTAGTTTCCCAGCTTTATCTAGGTTTAGAAAGACTCCCCGTCAAAATACCTGAAACCAAAATGATTAGGTCTAAAAATTTTAAATTGGCACCAATTTCAGACCATTCATGTCTTGAAATTGATGGCAGGTTTCCAATAAATTTCTTTATATGTTGGCACCCGTACTTATACAGACGGAAATGCATTCGTAAAAGAAACGGGCTCGGCATAAAAGGCGAAAAGAGCCTTTGTTCCCCAGAATGTCTTTGAAACGTTATAATTGTAGATCATAGAAAACAACAAGTGCTTCTAAATTGGCCGAAAATAAATCTCCCAGTCCATAAATAACTACTAATGAAAGAGGGTTATTCTAAATATTAATTTGTGGTTTGAAGATAACATTGTAATAAACAGACTGAAATAGCTTGTAGACTATAGTAAGGGGTGTAACGTTTTAAGGATCGACAAAAAAGTTTTGGAAATAAAAGAGTGGAAATGAAGCCCACCAGTAGCCGACTACCAAATTGTCAAGCAAGAAAAATTTGGGTCCTCCAAAAGACATAAGAAGACAAAAAACATCCGTGGTTTTTCATAAATGTAGAGAGCTATCACTTGAGAAAAATGAAAGGGGCGGGGTGGGATTGAAGAGGAAGAGATCCACTTGAAGGCAAGTCCGATGCAATTTTGAGAATGTAATGGACGATTTATTGGTTTATTGGCCTGTCCTATCCAAATTCTGATTAGATCATCATAATCAACAGAACCCCTAAGCCACAATATTTATTGACTTCGGCAATAAGATCGAATCAACAATTTGAGAAGCTTTCAAGGTCAAACTTCCTGTCGGATTGATATAAAGGCTATCTTTTACAAATTGTTGTTTATGAACTAAGTTGTTTTGCAGAAATCTCCTTAATCGAACAGTTCAGGAGTGGCCATAATGTAAATGATTTGATAAATCAATTTATATCAATGCTTTGAGCGGGAAATTTCAAGGTCAAATCTTAACCAGATGATTTTGGCGGGAAACGTCAATGCCAAACGTGTGATATATAGAGACTATCTTGTCCAAATGATGCTTCTGGTGTACACTTTCCATGTCTCATCTCATCTCATCTAAACGACATTTCTGGAGGAAACTCCTAATTCAACAGTAAAAGAGTCGCAATTTGAATACGATAAAATCTTTTCTTAATACTTTTAGCGGGAAACCTCAAGGTCAAATCTGGACGGTATTTGTGGCGGGAAATGGAATTGTCAACAGGCTATCCTGGTAATTGTGGTAATTTTCAGGGTTAAATTTTATTGTAGAAAAGGTCAAGGTTAAACCGTTGGAGTAAATTTGTTGGAAACTGATAGAGATATATTACTTGTCCAAATGATAAAGTAGGAATAGTAGTAAATATCAAGAAAGCAATGGCTACCTGTGATAAAGAATATTGGTTGCATAAATCCTAAATGGCTACATTTGACTCTGATTTTACCAAAGTTTTACGGAAATTAGTGAATGGGTGTTGTCAATATTAGTTTAGAAATTCAACAATAAAGAACAAAACGTTCACCAAATAACCAATAAAAATAGCCATAAATATGACCACAGCAAATTCAAACATAAAACAAATTATTAACAATTTTATTAAACCTATTAACAAATTTATTTTCCTCCTTTTTTCTTCTGTTTGAAATTTTTATTGCCACCTTTCTGAGGATTCTTACTCTTTTTCCCCACCAATCCCATATCTTTACGTTCAGCATATGATGGTCTGAAATGAAACAAAGGGCAATAAATGAGAGTACTAAATCCTGTAAAGCCTTAAGATGCAAATAAACGACGAACCGTGTTTGGTGCAGTGATATACCAATACAAATACTGATACAGAAGAAAATAGAAGAATCTGGAGAAGGGCCTTATCTTAAAAGATAAATATTGATAGATTGACACATATATTCCCACATTTAAATGGTCAAGTATTAAAATCACCAACCCTTTTCTGAATTTTTTCAGATCTGATTTATCAGTGCTTGTTAATTCTTTATCAAAAGATTTCTTCTGAGTTGATTTCACCAATTTAATCTGTTTATTCTTAGATATTCTCTTTAATTTATCTATAATACAAAAACTTCATATTAATCTATCCAGTCTGATTTGTAAGGTATAGACACAGAACTATTAATTGGGGCTCGGTTCAAAGTTGGGTCAGCCTCAGCCTCAGACACCGCTCCTGTCTTATTGATTATAAAAGCCCATAACAAATTTCAGAGTGAGGGGGATGGGGGGACAGTCCAAAGTTGGACCACTGCCTCTGTCTTATTGATTATAAATTTATAGTAGGGGGAAGGGTCTCGGTCATTGCTTTTGTCTTATCGATTATAAAAACCAACATTACAAGTTATAATACCTGATTTATTAGTGATATCAGCAGTAGCTCTCATTCTGGATTGTTTAAACTGTTTCTTACTAGCACCATATAATTTAGCTGTTGTAATTTCCTTTTCTACTCTATCTTCTGCCTGAAAAAGTCAAAAAAAGGCCTTAGCATGGCTATAGTAGACAAGAGTTGATAGGCAACACTGGATTGGCTTTTGTAAGCACTGGCTGTATCATAAGAAGTTTGAAATAAGCCACTTATGTATGATTAAATATCTAAAATATAAAGCATCAACTTGAAGTATTTTCTGTGGACTGTCAAATACTCAACTGGAGGCAAAACACAATTAACACTACTCTAAAATGTCAGTGTAAGGTTTTATAGAGATACTGTCTTACAGAAGCACTGGCCTAGGTCACAAGTAGTGTAAAATCTTAGTCAACAATGAAAAAAAAACTTAAACTTACTGAGAATTTTGTGCCATTTGTTCTCTTTCCCTTTGATTTGGCCACTGGTCTGTCTCCTCTTTTTAATCTTTCTAAAACAGAATTGAATAACAATTCTATTCATACTTGGCAATAAAAAAACAAACAACACACAACCTCCAACAAGACCACATTAGCTGCTCTCAAAACATTGGTTATCATGATCTTTTGTCAATGAGAGAATTTTAAGCCCAGTACACTATTGGCGATATTAATTAAAGTGCCATTACACCATAGTGATTACCAGTTGCATGTGGTTGCGAATAATAAAAGTGGCTAAGCACAACTCACAACTCTGCTTGAGAGCTGCCAGAGAAATGTATGCCAGCTTGGCATAGGCAACTGGTGGCCGTTATGGTGTGAGAGCATCTGTACATTTCAAATGACAACTTACTTTTTTCTTCGCGTCTTTGTTGATGAGTTTGAAACCAAGTTCTAGACATGTCCAGAGGTTCGTCATGTTTTTCTAATTTTTCTTGTGCTTTTACCATTTTCTTCTCAGTAGCTTTCAACTCTTTCTCTTCTTGTTGTTCTAACATAATTTGAGAGATGTCATCCTCCATGCTGGCTATTTCTTCTCTGTACTTTGTGATCACCTCTAAAAATTTACAAGAATTTCAATCAATACATATTCATAATACATACATAATCAGGATATAAAATACTATTACATCATTTATTTCTATCATAATAACATCACTGATAGTGCTATAGTGTTATAAGTTTTGCTCGGATGTAAATTCATTCAACAGTTGACCCACGTATGGAGTCCACATGGAAACTATAATACTGATTTTACAGCAACTAAAATTAAACAACAGTAGCCAGATTACAATTCTTACTAACCTTGAGGTACAGCTCGGACTTTTAGTGGTGTAACTGCTTTCTTTACAACCTCTTTTAACATTTTACGTTCTTTTTCACCAACTAGTGTCACGGATCTGAAATATTTGTTTTCATTGGAGGACATTCAAAAAGTAAAACGGGTTTTTATTGTTATAAATGCCTGTTATGTCTAATTTGAACTCTATATATCTGACACTGACACTGTCTATTTCTTGTGTTTTAGTGGATGAATTTATCCTCTAACATACTCGATATAGAACATTCTAACCATCAACTCATAGTACATTAAACTTCACAAACATATGACAATTAAATCTATGAACAGGATTTATACAGATATCCCTGATATCCATTATTTTTTATTGACCACATTGAAACAGTTGGAATACACAATACAATCTCAGAGAAAGCTTTCCATGCCAGGTAACATATACCAGCTTAATATTTGGCAGACATTATTTAAAATGAAAATATTTACCTTCCACTTTTACCAGCTCTGGCTGTACGACCTACTCTATGTATATAATGTTTTATTGTATTTGGCATGGTGAAATTAATAACCTAAAGATAAAATAAAACAGTGAGCAACTGACAGAACAAATGAAATTTTCAGAAGGCTTTAACACTGAAATCCTCTTAAATAAGTTTTCAAGAGTAAAGTCCTTGTAGCAGTGGCTTATCTATGGTCATTGTCCCCCCCTAAATGTAGGCTGGCCGGGTTTTAGCCACCCAAATTTCAAATCAGATATCATTGAGTTCTCAGATGTATAATGCTGTGAGCCTCCCTGTATTCTTTGACAATTGTATGATAATTCTTCCACCCCTAGTCTGCCCCTGTAGAGGTTCAATAATGCAGAAATTAAAAAATCGATCTTAACTACTGACTGGAACTCAGAAGACTGGCACACAATGGACTCTTTTTCATTGCAAAATTTCCTGGTCCTGAACTTTATTAGTACTGTTATAAGCAGAGGATTTAGAATGTTAACCTCAGTTTCATTTTATTTCTACCATAAATTCAAGATAAAACTTACTGTTTTAACTTCTTTAATATCAAGACCTCTAGCAGCTAAATCTGTAGCTAACATAACATCTACCAGACCATCTTGGAATTTTTTCAATGCCTCTAATCTCTGAATAAAAAATCAATACAAATTCACTCTCAGACATTATGTTGTTTCATCAATGAGGGGGAAGAAAGCTATAAAAACGCTGATGCCAATGGGACCCAGGCTTAACCCTAGCTATTAAGGACATATGGCTAAATAAAATCTTGAATAAAAATTAGAACATCTCAGTCTCCCCATTATTTCATTTATGCCATTAAGCATCAGAAATTTTCTGGCCATAAGAAGAATTCAAAGCAATCGTACCTTAGGAACTATCTGATCACAACTCAGCTTGTCAATAATATCATGGGCAATGCAGTAATCTTAATCTCAAATTGACAGTCAAACAAAATGGTAAATAAAGTCCTACCTCTGCCTGTGATAGTCTACCATGTAATTCAGCCACATTAATACCAAATAAACCTAACAATATATGCATTCTATGTGCCTGAGCTCTGGTTTGTATAAATACTAGACATCTATCACAGAATGTACGACTGACTAGAGCTGAAAGTAGAAAACAGATAAGCATCATTTGATTGAGTGGATCTGTGAAAATCTGTAGCAAAAAATTGGGGTCTGCAAGGCCAATAGCCTACACAATTTGGTGCCTAGGGTTCAAATCCTGCTAAAGGTAAGTAATTTTCAATCAAACGTTTGTAGCTCCTGCAAATCCATTAATGTTAAAGTATTTGAAGCCGTCACTACTAATAATGATAAAGCACATTTTGCAATTAGCGACAGCCCTTTAAGACAGAAAATACATATTGGAAATCCATCCATATTGGAACTTACCAGCTATGATGGCCTCTCTATCTCCCTCTCTATTAGGTCTTATTCTAATAAATTCTTGTCTCAAACCTAGAGCTACATCTGTGGCTTCATTCATAAAAACTTTTACTGGGTTCTTCAATGATACAGTAGCTAATTCTTTTACCTAAATAATAATTGTATAATGTGGATACCTTGACAACTTCTTCTAAACAATCTTCACATACTCATATACTTATAATAAAATGTTATCTTAAGTTTGATTTTTTCTAATGTAAAATTGCACACAACAAAAAGGTTAAAATAGTCTTTCTGAGCCGAACCTAGCCTAGGTTAGACTAGCAAAGTACTTATTGCTTGGAACTTAATACTCAAATAGCTGTATGGTAGCTTTCATTCACAGATTATGTGATACACTTACCCCCTCTGTCATTGTGGCAGAAAATAACATGGTCTGTCTCTGATATGAACACATTTTAATAATTTCATTCATCTGTTCAGCAAAATATTCATCCAACATTCTGTAAATAATATCAATTTTCAAAATCAAAAACCAGTAATTGCTATACACTAAAAAGTCGTAAAAAAATCAATTGATGTCACATAATGTTAAAGTTTCATATATGATTGAGCTTGTAACTTGAATGGAACATTAAAATCATATTCAGTTTATATTTTGTGAAACTGAGTCTTAACTTTAGTCCTGCACTTGTATCAAATTCTTCTGAGCTAATAACTAATAAAATTTCAGATACAATTGATCTTACAGTTCAGACATGATTCTAAACAATCTAGTAACATACCTATCAGCCTCATCCAAGACCAATATCTCTATAGAATTGAGGTTAAAACCAGGTGAATTGTGGATATGATCTATCAATCGTCCTGGTGTAGCTATTACTATATCTGGTCCTAGCCTTAATGCTGCTTCTTGTGACTTTAAATCTAGTCCACCTGGAATATATAAACATAAACAATGAAATATCAAAATCATTAGCCATGTTGATATCTCAAGAATCCAGTTTGAATTTGGCACTTATGGAAATAAAAGTGTACAAAAAACATAGCCTTTTAAAGAACAAATATGTCAGATATCACTAGCTAATACAGAAAGTTTAATAGTCAAAAGCTCTAGTCAGATATGCTAGAAAACCTCTGTATTTCAAAACTGTTCTATACCTACCTACTGCTAAACAAAGTTCTATGGTACTAAATTGAGCTAGTTTACGGCCTACAGTATGGACTTGGACTGCCAATTCTCTAGTGGGTACCAGTATTAATACCCTAGATACAGATGAATTCTTCGGTTTATATAACAATCTCTCCATTATTGGTAACATGAAGGCTACAGTTTTACCTGAAATCATTCAAAAAATGTCCTCAGGAATCCATGAAGTCAAAGGGGCTTGATATTTGAGTATATTTGCGACTCCAAATTTTAGTATTTGGCTCTATCAGTCTTAATTCTTGAATCCCTTTCATCTGAATTGCACATTAAACAGTATCAAAGTGGCTTAAAAGGTTAGTAAAAATTGTCTTCATTTCAAATTCTAATAGATTTGAAAAACACAAATGAAAAGTCTTTTCAACCAATATCACACTATTTCATCCGTCACCAGGACCTCCCACACAGAAATTTTGATTCAGATTTGATTCAATCAAAGATGATAAAGTGAAAGTACAGACCTGAACCAGTGACAGCACAAGCACAGATATCTTTCCCTAACAAAGCTTTGGGTATTGTAGCAGCTTGAATGGGTGTTGGTTGCTGAAAATTCATTACACTCAATGCCTGCAAAGATAAATGACCAATCAGTACATTTACAACTAAATCTTAAAAATGGACTCTTCTGATCATACATACACTGTATCATTTTGATAGAAAGATGGCATATGTGGAAGAGTTCAATAGAACTTGGAGGTATGACAACTAGTTGACTGGCACACTATCTATTGCTTTGTAAACTAAATAAGGAAGAATTATTAGACCCACTATATAATATGTAGGTTTTAGTTCCTTGAAGACACAAGACTTACCTTCATTAAAGGTCTTGTAACATTCAAATCAGCAAAACTCATATTTTCATCATAACTATCTATACATTCAGAAAATACTATCAGCTAAAACAAAAAGTTCAGAGTTAGAAACTTTCAATTTGAGAAGGATTTTGAAAAAAAATCATTACATAGAAAAAAATTATAAGCTCTGATTTACCATATATCAAATGCTTGTTATCCATTCTGGGTGTTGATTGATCTAGTTGTCAAAAAGAAGGAAGTTAAATACATGTAATGGCACGCACACAATTCAAGTTGAACATTTTGTGAAAGATTTCCGTGGAAAACTATTTATTCGGCAGCACAAATCAAAAATCAATTTCAAAAAGGTTGACTTTACCTCTTCTTCCTCTTCTGCAACCTTCTTCTTTTTCCTTTTTCTTTTCTCTTTGGTTCGAACAACATCTAAAATTTCAAACTGACAGTCAGAAAGTGTCCTTTCCACATATTTATGAGAAATTTTTTCAAACAAAAATTCATTTATGCACTCAAATATGCATTAGTTGTGTAGTCAGATTCTCATTGAAATAATCCAAGTTCCCCTTATCAATTTCATATGCTTTGGAAAATAGATCATCAATTATAAAATACTGATGTTTATGCCTACAAAACTATTGAGCTAAAACCACTGAATCAGCAATTCAGCATGTCTGCTTCATATCAGACTATATTACCTGTTGCCATTTCTTCTCCAGATGAGGATTCTTCCACCTCATTTTCACTCTGGTCTTCCTTTTCTTTTTCACCTTCTCCTACTTCTACTTTCTGTTTTAAAAACAAAAATTATTAAAGTTTTAAAAACATGAATTAAAGTTGATTTATATAAGGCAAGTTATACAGGTTTTCATTCAGCTGAAAGAGGGAGTCTTCATGAGTTACCAGTATGCACTTTGATGGCATACCATTATCCTAGAGATCCATCCATTGATAGAGATCAACGTAAAACATAAATTTTCAAGCCAAATTTGCCATGTAAGCTTAGATGTAAAACGTATCTTGTTGTTAAGATGAACAATTGTGGGAGACTTTGTGCATCGGTAGAGATAGCACTCATAGCAATCTTTCAATATCGTAATGTTCATTTATTTTACAGTAAAACTCCACACTTACCTCTCTCTTCCTTTTCTTACGAACATCAGCTATTTTGTCATCTAAAGCTGAGATGTGTTTTTTACGTTTTGCTTGACTAATAATATCATCGATAGAAATGGTTTGGTATGGATCAAACTAGATATAGAGAAATAAAAAGATTTAAACCTTTCTTATTTACAAATAACAGAAAAATTTAAAATATAATTTAGGTGTCAAAAAATGCAATAATGTTTGAAAATTTCATTTAAGAACTGAATGATGAATTTCAATTCATTCTCACCTGGTCAACGAATTGAAAACTATCATTAAATTCAGCTCGCATTGGTTTCTTTCTTTTGGCTTTCTTTGATACATTCTCCTAAAAAATAAACATACATGTAAACCTAACACTGCTGATAATCTTAATGGGTCCAAAATAATTTTATTAAACATTTTTATTTTTCTATTGAAAACAAGCATACCGTATATTTCCAAATATAATGCATGGTTTTTTACCCCAAAAGGGATGCACACTACATACACAGTGAAATAATGTCAAGGTATTATTCTTGCAATATTGTTATTGTCCGTGGAGAACCCTGACTGCATGTTCCCAAGGACCCAAGCTAACAATCCGATCAAATTGCTAAATTCATAAATATCAATGATAAATGAAAAGTGCCCATTGACAGAGTGAAAAAGGGGAACCCCTTGTAGAGTGCAATGGGCTAAAAGTGTGCTAGTAGGCCCAAAACAGCCTTGGCCTTCACTTACTTTTGCAAATAGATCTGGCAAAACGTCCCAAGTAAATTTAATATGACAAATCACACCACCCCAACCTTAACTTCCAACCCCACCCCCAGCTTTTCTAATGTTGTAGTTTAACCACGTGGGTTTGTTTACAATTTTGATTTTCACGTGGTCACATTTCGTATGGACATGCAATCAGAGAATATATGAAGACTTGTCGGAGGATTTAGGACATGAAATCATTGAAAGATGATCTAAGATACCTCTTCCTCGCTTTCTGAACTCTCTGGTTCCAATTCTATTTGATCATTTTCATTTATTGTTCCAATAAATTCATTTTCATCAATTTTTTCCACCATCTTGATATTTAACCGGAAATGAAATTATTGTAGTTTCGTACTAATTTGTTTTTTTAGCCAAATTCGTGCATGTCATTAAACCTTTATTAGTGTTTGCGTTGAATAAAAAGAAATAAAGATAAATTTTATCAAGAAGTTTATCATATCTCCAATTTTGTTAACTTTTTGAAATGTTTTCCTTTTTAAGGGGGTCACGTGATTTTCTTTACAATTGACGTTGAATGGCGGGAATCTATGTTCTATTTCCGGTTACTTACTCAAAGAAAATTCTGCACAACAAGCGTAAACATGGGAATTAAAGGGCTATCAAAGTTACTTGGGGATTTTGCACCCAGCTGCATGAAAGAAAATGAAATCAAAAATTATTTTGGTAATAATCTCAATGATGTCTGTAGCTCCAACTTTCCTGATCAGAATCCCTACTCTCTTGTCTCAAACTAAACTAATCAATTTCAAAATTCTTTTTTTCATTCATTCATTCATTCATCATCTTGGCTTTGACTTGATTGACATTTGATTAAGGCCTATCATTCATTAAACATCTACCCAGTTTGTTTTGCCGATCACTTTTTTGTTTTCTCTATGCACTAAATGATAATGTTTTGTAAGGTTGTTGATTTTGGTAAAGCATTCAATTTAAAAGGCTTTAGTTTAAAAATGAATAGCCCGGATTTTATGTAGGCAATTGATTGGATTTGTATTCAATTTTAACAGTAAAGAATCTGTCTAATATATGGTTAATTGTAGCTTGAATATCTTTTTGTTTTATAGGTCGTAAAGTAGCGATTGATGCATCGATGAGTATTTATCAGTTCCTGATTGCAGTCAGACAGGATGGTTCACAGTTAATGAGTGAAGATGGGGAAACCACCAGGTAATATTCTCATGGAATTTAAGAAGTATCTACAAGTGAAATAACTGAATTTAAACTCATTATTGTATTCCTGTTCGATTTCTTTGACTAAAATAAAACAGGTACATGACATCTTGTTTGACATAACACACTGGTAAAAGTGAAACAATAAAAACCGTAATCAAGCACTGGTAAAGCCCATTGGATACTGATGCGTGCCTTAATGCATTTCACTTTAAAAGTATTCTAACAAAGACTAATTTTGGTAATATATTTGTTATATTTCAGTCACATTATGGGAATGTTTTATAGAACTATTAGAATGTTAGAGAATGGAATTAAACCAGTTTATGTTTTTGATGGTAAACCTCCAGAGATGAAGTCAGGGGAGGTAATTCATACTATAGGTTACTTGAATCGCAGCTGGGTATCATTACTGATTGATAATTGTCATCATAAATGATCATCTAAGCTTGATCAATTTATTTCTGTCTAGGCATCTGATTGGCTGTATTTTCCAGCATACAATCCAATCAAATTAACAGTCCTATCTCTTTGTATGTAAATTAAAGCCTTGTTTTCTATTGTAGTTAGAGAAACGTAAAGAAAAGAGAGATGAAGCACAGAAAGAATTAGAAAAGGCTACTGAAGCTGGTAGGTGTTATCAGTTTTCACTCTGACAATTTAATAATTGTCTACAGACATATAAATACCTTTTTTCAATAATCTATTAAAAAGTTTATAAAGGGTTTATCTTTAAGAGAACCACGTTTGTTTGCATGTCCAAGTCTTCTATAAAATTCATAAAGAACTGAAAGTTGAGTTTAGAAGATGATATTAAGCATCAAACAATACCTTTAGTATAAATATGCAAGTGATATAACATTTCTAGGCCTATGCTTTTTCACTTATACAACAATTATGTTATGATCTAAGTTTTGAAATATTTTGTCAGATGTAATGTTTTTATAAACATTTTTTCTTTCAATAATCAGGTGATAGTGAGAATATTGAGAAATTTAACAGACGACTGGTTAAAGTCACCAAACAACATAATGAAGATTGTAAAGAGTTATTAAAATTAATGGGAGTTCCTTATGTAGAGGTACATATCTTCTCAATTTGCTTAAATAACTTAACAGTTTCTTTTTATATTCTGATAATCTGGTCTCCATTGTCGTCTAACAAGATTTTTACTGCAGTCGTGTTCTAATGGCATTATTTTGTACCAATCAGAGCATATGTTATGTAGGACTTTTTTCAATAGCAATAATTTTTGATTTTGTTTTTAGGCTCCATGTGAAGCAGAGGCCCAGTGTGCTGCCCTTGTAAAAGCCAGTAAGGTTTATGCTGTAGGAACAGAAGATATGGATGCCTTGACGTTTGGTTCTACTGTGTTATTACGACATCTAACTTTTAGTGAAGCCAGGTAGCTTTCTAATCCTATAAGAAGACAATTATTATTGATAGATACTTCTTAACTATTTATTTCTTTCAATGATGTTCTCATGTCATCAGAACACACTGTTTAGTGTTCAGTCATTCTGGAGGAGTTATACCATATTGCATTGTGTGCTCTTTTATTAGAGTTTTTGTTGTTGGTATTTTCATAGTCATGTTAATCAGATATGATTGGTATTGTGTGTCAACTCTCCTGTAATAAGAATTACATGTTGAAAACTGCATTTCTGATAAATGTCACTTTATCTTACAGGAAAATGCCAATTAAGGAGATTCATTATAACAGAATATTAGATGAATTAAAATTATCAAGAGATGAGGTAAGTATGTAAAAAAAAACATTATTGTTACAAGGATAACAACTTAGGTTCACAAAGATCATTAGTCCAACCTCTTGGCATTGACTGTTGTGGATTATCCTTACTCATTTTACAGGTGGGTTGACTGGAAAAATGAGGAAAGATGACTTTTTCAAAAGATCATTACTGTCACATGCTGACTTATGCTGATTTATTTGTGTTTCTATTTCTAGTTTATAGATCTGTGTATATTATTGGGCTGTGATTATTGTGAATCTATAAAAGGTATTGGACCTAAAAGAGCTATAGAGTTAATCAAACAACACAGAACCATTGATACTATATTAAAACATATAGACACAAAGGTTAGTCAAGGTACTTGGGCAACTCCCTCCCCAAACTCAAAGGTTGCTATATGGTGTCCTGTTACCGAGAAGTTTGTTACAAGATGGAATACTGCCCATAACTTGTCCTCCTTCCCCTAATCCAAGGGTTGCTATCAGGTTTCCAATTTTTCAAAAATGTGTCCAGTATTTGTGCAAAATTCATGTTCTAAATTGATAGGAATTAATTACACACTTCAACAAAAATTGATCATAAAAGATCTTTTCAGGAAATGGAGTCCATTGCATTATAGTGATACTTTAATATCAGATAAAGTTAGACAGTTTAGAGCGTAATGATGATCCTTGTCCATTTTTGTAGAAACACACCATACCAGAGGATTGGATGTATAAAGAAGCACGAAGATTATTTCAAGAACCAGAAGTGACAGACCCAACAGAAATTGATGTGAGTATATGGGAAATTTCCTTTTTGAACGAAGGCTGTAATATGCTGAGTTGAATACCTGATATTTTTATCTGCTAGGCCTTGGGTTTGAATCCCCCAAAGAAAAACCTATGTGCCACTTGGTTTGTCAACTCGGCATCCCTGTAAGAGAGTCTACATAGTCCATATTGCTTATTTAATATATTTATTACAGTTAAAATGGACTGACCCCGATGAGGATAAATTAATAGAGTACATGTGTACCCAGAAGAATTTCAGTGAAGATCGTATTAAGAATGGCATCAAGAAGATTAGTAAAGCTAGGAGTGGCACTACTCAGGGTAGATTGGATGGTTTCTTTACTGTCACTGGTATTACATCATCTACTAAAAAACGAAAGGTAATTAAGCAAGAATTCCTTATAAATTTTACTGCTGGGTTATTTGAAAGTTTAAATTCAACACTATTCTTAAATCTTTATTAAGGGAAAATCAAGGAATCTGATTGATAATAAACTGTAACAGTAGATACGGCACTTTAAAATTGTAAAGCTGAATAAAGCTGAGAATTAAATTTTACTGATAACTTGACTAACATAGAATCAAGATTTAAAGAAATACAGCAATCCCAGATATATTATTATTTTAATAATTTTGTGTTCTGTGAAAATATGTTCAAAACTTTAGAAGATATTGTTGGCATTTCAAAGCTAAGGTCCGTGTGTAAATGAAAGATATTTTATTTTTCAGGCAGATGAAACAAAGGGAGGTAAAAATAAGAAAGCTAAAGGTGGATATAACAGACCAAAATAATGTGATAAGATTACTCTGGTTTTAAGTTTTAGACATCACCTGTGCTGTATATGAACACAATTTGTGATATTCTCTAATTCAGTCATGTCATTCACCCTATCATCCTCATTGAACCATTTCAAAAGTTTTAAATTGTCTCAGTGTTAAGGGAAATACCATAAATACTTTAAACCTTTGACAACTTCTCGTCTGGGATGGTAAAATTAAATTGAAATTAATTGCAATTCTATTATACTTTAAGACCAATCAGATTATCAAAATGTAAAATTAATTTGAAGTTTTTGAGAAAATGACTGTAAATTTCACTTGACTTGGATTCCAACCCTTGTAACTTCTTAAATCGTAAGATTGATATTTGCAACAATTGTGACAATTTACAAGATGAAAATCACATTTTCATTAGATATTATCTTTACTTCAGATAGATATTGTAAATTTTAGAAAACTTTATTATAATGATGCATTTAAATCATGATTAAATCCTTGTAATCTATCTGTAAACATGTTATATACACATTTCTTAACCTGATCTCCTAGTGTGGATGATCATAGTTTGGTTCCAAACCTTAAGGCTTTCAATACTACCCATTGCTACTCCCTAGGTACCTGCTCAATCTCCATACTAATTGATGTAGTCAATTGGGGCCATTCAATCCTTCAGTTCTTGTTTGAGAGATGTCTTGTAGACTGGATTAGTGTGCTAGCCATCAACTCTGCATTCAAGTGAACTCTTCTACACGTACATACTTTCTATCAATATGTTACTTGTATTGTTTCATTGGAAGTGCACATTTCAAAATATTAGGGGCGTTTTTTTTGTTATATTCAGCCTTGCTTACCCTTTATCATAATAAACTGCTTCTTGAATACCCCTCAATAAAAATAAATCAGTGCATTATACCCCTTGGTTTAATCAAAAGAGATCAATCAATAAAATCAATAAAATCAATAACAAAACAATCACATAGCCCATATACACATACAAAATAGTACCAAAAATAAAAAACAATTTCTTAAAAAAGCAAACATATATCCTATAATGATTGGAAAACAGTTTATGGAGCATTTTTACCAAAAATAAAAACAATTCTTAAAAATGTAACCAATGGAAACTGATGTAAGAATACTGTATAGAGAATTCATGACATCTTGTAATAAAAGTTGTTGAAAAAACAGTTTTATTAAAAAATAAAATCTTATCTTTGCATCTTAAAAGACTTAAAATAACTTGTAGAGCAGTTTCACTGTGGAGATCTTTCTGAACTGGCCATACTGAAGATATATTGTTATGTATTATTTCAAATATATTACTCTATATTAAAGGGATTAATAGGAGGTTTTTTAAATATTTTATGTGTATCAGGGACACTGATAGCAAAGAGCCTTATGTGGTTAAGAATATTTTGCGATTAGTGTCGTCATCAAACACTTAGTTTTAGTGGTATTGCCGGAGCCATGAATGTCTGATTGAAAATTGGAATTTAGAAAACCTCTTACAATCAACTTTAAAGTTTTATTGCAAACCTATTCCTCAATTAAGATTACTAGCTGACTAGAAAGCAGACTACAAATACAAACAACAATTTTTACAAGGATAACATCTTATGTTCATGAGGATCTCCTGGCCATTTCCCAGACTGGAATGATTTAAAGTATTGGTCAAATTCAAGGTGTTAAATTCTTGTAATTTGGGATATGTACTGGTCAAAACAATTCAATTTATAAGATTTTGAATATCTCAAATATTAATTTTGATTATATTTAATTTTAACAAGAATATTGGGTTAGAGCTTGGTTAAATATTAATTCAGAAAGTAATTTGTCAAAGATTTTGAATATATGTACTTTTATTGCAAATAAAAATTGACTGTATCTTAAATATATTGTAAATAGAAAAGAATAACAACTTTTAGAAAAATAAAAATACAAAACATTAACAGCAGAAAAATATAACTATTGACTATAAATAAAAATATAAATTTATTCAGAAGAAATGTTAATAAGCTAACAAGTTAGGGCATTATAATGCTCTATGAGTGCTAAGTGATTTAATGTGGAGATAAAGTTAAGCTGAAAGCTGAAATTATTTAAAGGCTGTATCTCTTTGAAAAATTTGACAGGCACTTATGGTGTGCATGTATTTATGTAGAAAAATATAAAATAAGATGTGAGCAAATTTTCTTTTTGTACAATTTTGATAAAATTTGGGATCATAATGAAATAGACCCAGCAATTTTAAAACAGTGTATACCAAAACCCATAGCTAGGGTATTTTTTCTATGAGGCAAACAATAACCACTTTCTCACTTTAACTGTAGACATGAAATATTCAATATATTTAGCTGATATCATTAAACAAAATATATCTGTTGTCAAAATCTGAGCAAGACATTTGCCTCTTTGCCCTGAACACAATCAATATGCTTACATCTTCGATTCATTAAAATTGATATGGAATGATTTTTGATATTTTGCAACATACAAATGTATGGAAGCATGAAATGGATATTTATAAACGAATCATATACATCTAATTGCTTGAAAGTCCTTGTGTTCCTTGTTAAATGTCCCTGTTAGGCTTCTGTACATATGGGTTTCAATACAGAAAGGCACAATAATATGGAAATATTCATACTGTGATATGGAAATATTCATACTGGAAATATTCATACAATAATATGGAAATATTCATACTATAATATAGAAATATAGAATAATTTAGAAATATTCATACAGTGATATGGAAATATTCATACTGGAAATATTCATACAATAATATGGAAATATTCATACTATAATATAGAAATATAGAATAATTTAGAAATATTCATACAATAGCATGGAAATATTCATACTATAATATGGAAATATTCATACTTTAATTTAGAAATATTCATACTATAATTTAGAAATATTCATATTATAATATGGAAATATTCATACTAATATTCATACTATAATATGGAAATATTCATACTATAATATGGAAATATTCATACTATAATATGGAAATATTCATACTATAATATGGAAATATTCATACTATAATACGGAAATATTCAAACTATAATACGGAAATATTCATATTATAATATGGAAATATTCATACTATAATATGGAAATATTCATACTATAATATGGAAATATTCAAACTAAAATATGGAAATATTCATACTATAATATGGAAATATTCATACTATAATATGGAAATATTCATACTATAATATGGAAATATTCATACTATAATATGGAAATATTCATACTATAATATGGAAATATTCATACTAAAATATGGAAATATTCATACTATAATACGGAAATATTCATACTATAATATGGAAATATTCATACTATAATATGGAAATATTCATATTATAATATGGAAATATTCATACTATAATATGGAAATATTCATACTATAATGTGGAAATATTCATACTATAATGTGGAAATATTCATACTATAATGTGGAAATATTCATATTATAATGTGGAAATATTCATACTATAATATGGAAATATTCATACTATAATATGGAAATATTCATACTATAATATGGAAATATTTATACTATAATATGGAAATATTCATACTATAATATGGAAATATTCATACTATAATATGGAAATATTCATACTATAATATGGAAATATTCATACTATAATATGGAAATATTTATACTATAATACGGAAATATTCATACTATAATATGGAAATATTCAAAACGTCTGCATGTTATTTTTAACTTTCTTTGTAACAGATAAATAGTTTTCAAACTAACAAAAGCCAAATTTCTTTTTTTTCTCTATTTTTTCATCTTTTTGTTTTTTGGTTCATAAAAAGTAATATATGGAATGTAATACAAAGCAATTAAGAGAAAAAAATATCCCATAAAAGTGGTCATAATATTGACAATGTGTAAACAAATTGCATCTTGAAAGAATGGTTCTTCAAAGTCTCCTCAACCTCTCTCTTTGTGAACCTTGTGGACTCAAAAAGAATGAGGAATAGGTTGATATCAAGCCGTATAGATTGCCACATGATTTAAACATCAGTATGACTGCAATAACTCACGCACAAAGAAGCCGACTGATGCGATACCTTGACCATCAACTACATGTACATAAAAATATATATATACCCTCAATCCCTCCAATTTTATTCTTCAATGTCATTGATGGAACCATCCCCTTTTTGTGAATATCACAGAGTTTTAAGAGAAAAGAGCATTTTACACTAATTCTGAAATCCCATTTCATATCACAAAGTTTACATTCATTAACAAGCATTCAACCCATAAAAAAGCAGAAAAAAATTTGATCTTTTCACGTGGATTCACACAATCAAATGTCCCCTTTTAATCTACTGTATACTGCAATAGATTATACAATTTCCAATACGTCTTCTTTGATATCTTCTCATCCATGTTGTCATAAAAAGGGGCCGTACATAATTGTAATATCTCTGATAGTTCTTGTTTGATATGATCTGGAGGGTTTCGTAACAACCCATTATTAAATATTGGTAATGATGGTAAAAACACATCCTCACATATACTCTGAAAATACCAATTATATAAGTCATAGATACACGTCTCTACCACTGGCAGAGCCAAAGGGGGGCAGAGGGGGGCAGCCCCGAAAGCAAGTTTTTCGTTCAAAAATCTCATAACCAGGTTAAAGATTCGGGCAATCTCTGATATCTTGCCCCCCACCTCTCGGACGTAAACCTGGTTCCGCCTCTGGTCTCTACAAGACCACATTCAAATATGTATGAACCCAGGGCCTTTCTATAGTGAACTAACAAGGCTTGGACCAACACCCCTCCGCCAACTCCCTCAACATTCAAATATGTATAAACCCAGGGCCTTTCTATAGTGAACTAACAAGGCTTGGACCAACACCCCTCCGCCAACTCCCTCAACATTCAAATATGTATAAACCCAGGGCCTTTCTATAGTGAACTAACAAGGCTTGGACCACCACCCCTCTGCCAACTCTACAATATTTTTTATTTTACAAAGGCAAAAAAAAAGAAAATATTGTGAGCCCCCTTATTAATTTTGTGCCACCCCTAAATATACACATATCATGGGACATGGGTGTCAACAATGCACCATGAAAATGTCCAAATACAAATCATTTTCTGTCTGCTTATACTGGCTATGTGAAATGCTTTGATTGGCTAAATATAACGTCATTAGAACACAACCGTGGTAGAAAACTTGTTAGATCATAAAAGAGAAGAATAACATTATAAAAAAAGAATCAAAATTTTAATCTTAATTTAAATAAATTGATTTCAGACTGACCTGTAGATTATTATTCAATCGTTGTTTTAAACAAACGCCTTCAGAACAAAGTCCATGACAGTCCCAAAAATTGCAATCTTTATCACTGCTACATTTCTCAGTCGTAGCAAAGTCTTGTAATAATTTACTTTCAAAAAACACTGAGTCAGTATCAATAAGCTTTATTCTTCCGTCCAAGCCAATTCCAAAATTTTCACCTTTTACATCGCACATGTGAATTGGTTCATGGAACGTTGACTCCATATTCAGCACACTATCTAACAATTTAAGGGCTATTTTAACCCTCTCTTCCCAGCTTCCAGAATAGGATGTGAATAGTGAAACAGGAGGGTTAAGCACGGAACCGGGAGGGGCAAACTCCATTAAGTAAAATGACCCACAAGAATGATATATTTTAGGGAATAAAGGGCTATGTTGATGTAATTTTGTGATGAGATATTCATCTTGATTCACTAGAGACCAAACACTCAATATGAATGCCTTGTATTTCTTATCATCTAAAGGGTTAAGGTAATGATCATATTCATACTCGAATACTTTTTGGATTACGTCCCCTGAATTAGAAAAGTTTAATCCCAATGACGAATAAATCATTTCCTCTATCATGAAGCGAAATTCTACTAGAGTTGTAGACATCATGTTATCAGGCCCCATGAATTTTTCTTGAAATTTTTCAATGTTTGGAAAATGCGACTTGAGTATTGCAGGAACTGTTTCCTCAGCACTGCAGAGATTGTTGCAACTCATAACCAAGACAGTTTTTCCCGATTTATAATTTGTACAGTGTTCATATTTGATTTGTTTTCTCTCACACAGAGCTGGACATAGATCTCCAATAATAAACCCCTTATGATACCAATCACACTGAAATCAAAAAAGATTTAGAATTATAGCTAGAGAGACGTAAAAAACATTCAGGCATCAACAGATAACAATCTCAATAAACACACAGCTTTTGTCTCTTCTTTTTCGCTGGCACAGGATAAAGCGGTAAATTTGTAAAAGTTACATCATACTGTAACAATGGTCACTCCCTATTTTACTCATACCAAATGCTTTTTGGATTTAAGCCTAATAATCAATCCAACTGTCCTGAAGAAGATCTTTATCCTAAACACATGCTGAATTGGAATGAAATGGTGTTCTGCATGATCTTTGGAACCTGACTGAGCTACGAAGATATCAAGAAGTCTACCATGAAGGAAATTTTGTCAGGTTAGAGAAATTAGTCTTCTTTATATTCGGTTTCCAACTGTGGAGGGATCTAGACAATAGACAGGAACATTTTGGAGCGCCTTCTTTTATTGGCCAATCCAAAGATCAAGATGTCAGCTCTTCCTGTAGGTTAGCAGGCAAGCATTTAAATCACTGAGTCAATCAGACCACAGCTGACAGCACTATTGTATAATTAGTATTGTTATTATCATACCGTAACTTCCAGTAGATCTTTCGAATCGGTTTCAGAGCAATGTCTATCGTAAACAGCAAAAGTTAAATTCCATAGAAACCAGATGAGAAAACAGCAACCAAAACTAGAACAAAACAACCATATCTTCCGTCGACGATATCTATAACAGCAAGACCAATTCATGTCTGCTCCATTCTCATTTAAACAACTCAATAATCTTGTCTAATGATGCTGTCAACTCACTAAAAAGAAAAAAAAAAAAACTGGTTTGTAATTATGGTACAGCGAACCAAAAAATGGTAGAGGAATCTAGTTAATTAATCTGTAGCTTGCACGTGAACATTAATTTACAGCTTTACCATGATTGGAGTTTTACGTCCTACTTTACTACATGGGCTAATGAAGATTGACATAATCATGTCATACAGTGTGATATAAGAGAAATTTTGCAAAGACAGTGGCATTAAATTAGGCCTACTTTATTCAGTCGAAATAAAAGTAAAATTAAAGTTTTTAATTAAAAATTACATGGTTAGGCCTATCACCTAATTTCAACCTTAGTGATTAGTGAAAATAAAAAGTGAAATATGTTGTGAGCCAGTGATTTAGCCTATTAATTATGCCATTAACTACTTAATGCATATAGCACATAATAGGACGGAAGCACATTAAATGCAAATAACAGAATTGGATAGATCTTTGATTCTGCTTACTAGTAAAGGAATTAGCAGTTATTTTGTTTACATTTTTCTTAAAAAACCGGAAGTAAATTGTAGAAAGTATTTTATGAAGAGTTATCTCCCGTCTTTTAAGGCTTCAGACCACAAAAAGGATGCCAAGAGTCCGAGACAAAGCCCTACTTTATGTACAGTTTGGTCCGTGAAACTTTAAGCATACAATGATTTTGATTTCTCTTCCAATGGGAAACCAATTAAAGGGTACAGGCGGGGGCATGTGTCACCCAGAAAAGGTTATTACCCATATACTGCGTTTGCACTGAAAGCAATATCAAACCAATTTCCGAAAAGCGATTCTCGCAATTTTCTTTCGTCAAAATAGCGCATTCAATTTTGTAGCGTCACACCACTCTCTGAAGCGATTCGATGCGGTACAAACCGCGTCACGCTGACAGCGCTATAACCTAGTATAAACCAATGCGCCCTCAACAGCCTATCCCTTAATAAACTTCTCACAGAGGTGGACGCACCCGCGAATAATTGAACAATGAGACTTTTATTTATCCTAAAAGCAGATATTTCTTCATAAATGTATCATGTTATATCAATAGATTAATCGATTTCTAAGTTAGATTTCAGGGAATACTTATTTCAGGACTGGTGCCATGGCTTCATACAGTATATTATATAACATGCAGTAGTGTGTGTTTGTGTCTTTTCAACTAAAATCATACTAATGACTAACTAATTTTCACATAATCAATAGACTTATCTATTGGTCTGTGACCCAGGCCAGTGCTTCCATTGAGACTCGTTTCACCCTAAGACTCGCTGTCGGAAAGAGCTAAAGCGGGTTGACATCGGTTTAAAAAGGTGTTTCGTTATCGGCTTGAGACTGGTTCAGAACGGTTTCAATTTGACGCGTTTATGCAATCTAAGGCTTTAAAGAGCATCAATGTGCTTCGGAGTCCCAATCCCGAAAGTTTGAAATCTAATATTTCCTCAGGTTTTACACTATTAGTACTGTAGCCTACATAAATGTCATTTTATGAGAAACAGGGGGGACCAGATTGATTATTCGTGTCAATTCGAAAATTACCATTTTTGAAACATCAGTGAAATAAAGCTAATGAGCAGTAACTGGTAACACCTTGTAAAAGTAATAAAATATAGGTCCCGAGCTGATGTATTCCCTATAAATTAGTCGTCAAGCATGTCATAACCAGTTTTTGTATAATTCGTGTGTCAGTGAGGACCCTTGAATAAGGTTGGGATTATAGGGCTGTATTATGCGATACTTTTCAACGGGATATCCATTGCAGGGAATATGAATTGGTAGCCCTTTGCTGTCGACAACTTAATGGATTTTGTATTCTATGTCGCTCCTTGCTGTACAATTGACTTTAAGGGTTCTGATAAGCGGTTTTGTTATTTATTCGCTGGAGCATTATAAGCTTTCGAACTTCTAATTTGGTTGGTTAATGAACTTCAGCTTTACGGTTTCTGTCAGTTGTCGTTCACGAAGTTCCGGTTTCGATGAAATATAATCAAAAATCAAATCTTTATTGAAAATCCATCTTACAATGAGAAAACGTGCGGTAGTTGCACAATCGACCATAATATTTATACACTATATTTGCTAAGTATGGCGAAACACAGGGTAGTATTTCAATAAATTCATTCAATAAGAAAATTGATAATAACATTCATTCCATTTTCAAATTAATTAACTTTTATATAATACCGGTATATATTATATTCTTATCATGTACAATTTTAAAAGGGCATGCTTCTGTCGACGAATACAAAGAATTCATGTATTAATGTGTATTTGTTTCGGGATTTTTATGACAATGTTTACAGTTTTCCCATCAAATGAAGATTCTGTAAATATGTATGTTAAATGCTCAGATGAGGTGGCGAAGGAAAGGATCCAAAAAACCGTAAGTCATTTTAAGGTAGATGTGTGTATTGTGGATAACTGGACACAATTATATCGATAACAATTACTTTAATAAAAAACTTTTCGACGTTTCGACGATGATGCTTTCGTCTTTATCAAGTAATGATTAAAGTAATTGTTATTATCCATATAATTGTGTCCTGTTATTCATACCCCAGTTGTAACTAAATGCCACTCCAGAGAGTGTATTGTGGAGTTTAAGTTAAACTTTTTTTTTCTGAGAAAAGGCCCAGAGTTTGTTCCGAAACGAATATTACTATTTTAAGCAGTTTAAACTAGTTGTGGTGTTGGATCCCATAACGCCTATATAGTTTTAGTTGAACTCTAGAATAAAGTGGAGACATATTTCTCTACAACTTGATGTTTATTTTGGTACAATATGTACCTTAATTTTCCAACACTATCTAAAAACATAGTAACCTAAAAAAAAAGCTAATCCTTTTAAATAGTTTTGGCGTTCTTAATATTTACGGCCGAAAAATCTTGGAAAATTCTAAGGGCGAAAACAGTGATATGCTTATTTCAGTAAACGCCTCGTTACCTCTTTACGTTGGCTCATATAACGACCACTTCGCATCAGACCACTTTTGTACCGTGAAATGGACAAAAAGTTTAATAACACAATGTTGAGCACACGAGCGTGAAATTGGAGACTCTTCAAACTTTTTATTTTCTCAAAAAAGCTTCTGTGGCATCCCCGCAAGTAGATTTCAAGCATGTTTTAACGAGGAACAGTATAGTTCCATGCCTGTTCCAAATAAGAAAAAGTAGGAAATTCATTTAATTATATTTTTGTTTTTCCAGTGTGATCTTTATAAAGAAGGACTGATTCTTGGCGACCTGTGCCCAGCGCTGTGTGAACAACAGACTATACGCTATAAAACATGTACTAACCACAAAGGTGGAAAAATAAGTCTTTTAATGGATTGTGACGGATTTTGCTCTTCAGGTAAAACAGTTCCTGCCATGTTAAAATCTACAGTAGCCGCTTACCATGACACAGTTAGGCACAGTATGTCCCTATTGTCAGATACCGTACCGTGGAAAAACATTAAAGACTTAACTGATGGGGTGAAGCAAAGTATAGAGACGGCATTAGGCCCAAATAATTCCAGTTATTCTACAGAAGACATTATCAAAAGAGTGTTCTATGAAAGTTATGAGCATTTTAACACTTCTGCGACTGATCAACTGGACAAAGCGTTCATTTTGAGTGTATGGTCATTAGTACAACAAGATGAATACCTCATCACAAAATTAAATCAACACAGCCCTTTATTTCCTAAAATGTACCATTCTTGTGGGTCATTTTATCTATTGGAATCCGCACCCCCGGGGGATATACTAAATCCACCTTTAAACCCCCTACTTCCGGAAAGATCGACATGGAAAGAACGTGTGAACGTGGCGATAAGGGTGTTAGACGCTGTTAGAGTGTTGGATAACAATTTTCATCAAACTCTGCACATGTGTGATGTTAAAGGGGAGAATTTCGGACTAACTCCAGAAGGACAACTGAAGCTGATAGATCCCGATGACATGTTTTTTACCACAAGGTTGGAAAATAAATTGAAGGGAAAGGGCCAGTGTCAGACCGACCATGACTGTAATATAATATGCGAGTGCCACGGTGTCTGTCTAAAAGGAAAATGCCATGTTAGTTTAAAAAATAACAATTTGCAGGTATTCTAATTTTAAATATTTTTTTTCTTCTTTCAACGGTACAAGTCCAGTGGCGTTTCTACAGCGTCCCCCCCCCCCCCCCAAACAACTTTAAATTCTTTACCACATTACATAGTGAAAGAATTGCTCGGCCCCCTCATTTCGTGTTTCCTAGAAAAGCCACTGTACGCTCATAGAGAAAATGTGCCTTCCCGTCAAGAATTGTAGATTGCGGTCTATTTCATATCATTTCATTTCGATTTTCTTTGGACACGGGTACATTCATCTCCGGCAAATTAGATATAATCTGATTCAACAGATAGGATAGTAAGAAGTAGGATTTCCAAATGAAAATTTGGCGTTTGGTTCCTCTACAATTAAATCGGTAACTTAGATTGTAGGCTCTTACGTCTGTATGTTTTGTATCCTCTCGAATGATCGGACACAATTTCAAAGCGTAGGTGTACGTATACGTATTATCATATATTGCAGATAAATCAGGTGTCAGATGTTGGACTGAAAATTGAAGTGAATACGTTTTCTTTAATCATTATCCTTTGTTTCAGAGCGTATGTAAAATGGTTTTAAAATCCAGAACAACCATCATGGATCTCGGAGTATTACGAAAAGCACCTGCATTTATCAAACAGCGCCTACAAGATATGATAGAAATATGCATTAACTCGCGTGAATATAAGGAAAAGCCCAACGAGGAAATCAGACTCAAATTACGCAAAATTCTGCTTTCATCGATATAAATACCAACTAATTAAAATACAGCTCCAGATATTTCTTTCCGTTTATTTCCGACGGTCACGCATTGGAAAGATACCAAAGTTTATGCCACATATCTTTGCTTTTGTCATCATGATCATTCTCATTCTAGCGATCCAAAGCTTGTGGAGCAACTCTTTCTGCAAAATGTCCTTGCGCGTAACAAATAAGATTAACACGTTCATGTAAAACTTTATAGAAGCCATTCATCAGAGTTATGTTCTTTGGAACAATTTCGACTGAATCATCGACTTCGAAGAATACCACATCGTTCTGTTTATATGGCGCATTAATACATGAACTAATTTGCATAGTTATTAACCCGTGCTACGAGTTCATATCGTTTTTATGAACGTGTCTTATGAACCCGAGAACAGAACTGTTGTGTGATAAAATTCAATTATTGTTCATTGATCATATAATTTATCATTATTATTATGTCATATTTTTTTTTATTAATTTATTTATATATATATATATTTTATCATATATAGTATACTTGGAAGAGTGTTTGATTTTGCTAAGTCTGCATGAAAAGTGTCCCCTTGTTGATTAAATTATTTAACTTGAAAATATATTGATATCACTATTATGACATTGCTATATCCACACAAAGATTCATTTCGTTTCATGTTTGGTTACTGGGTAATAATATCAATCCAAAAACAACATTGCTTTGCCCCAAGGCTTTGCAGCTGCTGTCCAAAAACATATTAAATTTCAGAAAGGGGCTGGAGGTGTCCCTATATCTTATACGCAAAGATCAAGTAATCAAATTAGGCCTACAAATTCACCGACATTTGTTCAAAACACAAAACCAATTTTTTTTTATTTGTCACAATATCAAATTGTTAACTTAAATTTCAAAATAGCAATGATTGTCCAGCATAATCTTCTTCTATCCTATTAAAACCAAGGCCAAGAAATTTAGTCATATTCTGAGCCTATAGCAATGGCTATTTCATCTCCTTCTATAATGGTTTGATGATACCACATATTAGCATCTAATACCACTGAAAAACATAATAATTAGAATATCGATAGTTTATCATTGACTATAATGATTTATCAAGCAGGTTTGGGTTTCAAGTAGAAGGGTTTAAAAAGGAAGAGGAAGGGGGGCTCTAATGAACAACGACAAGTGGTTGCCTAGCAAGATACGCCCACTTTCCTCATACATTTTCAGTATATCAAGGCCAGTCACCTATCTGTGTCAAATCATACCAAAAATCTAATTTGTGCAAGATATTGTAGATTTAAACAAACACACATTATTTAATAAAATTCTGACATAAACTGTCACCTCTATCGATAAGAAATTTTGATGCGTTTTTACTAAGTCATGGGCAATAACTCAAATTCAGTTGATCGAAGAATTGTCAAATTTAATCTTGACTAAGATCTCATCATTATAAATGATCATACCAAATTCCATTTAAATCGGATGAAAACTGTAGTCTCTATTGACAAGTTTTTCATAAGTCAAGGGCAATAACTCAAAAACCGTTTATCGAAAGATCGTCAAATTCGAACTTGTCCAAGATCTCATCAATATAAATGATCACACCAAATTTCATTCAAATCAGATGAAAACTGTAGTCTCTATCGCGTTCACAAGCCAATTGTGGACAGACAGAAGGTCGGACATGGGTGACGACAATATACGTCCACATTATAATGTGGGCGTATACAAAACATAATACGCTCATTACATTTATTTTTACATAACTGTTTTGAGGATAAAATAATCTGCAAAATCTATATCATTCACATAAATTTTTTATTTGTCAAAAAATTATAAGGGAGGAAAGCCCTGCCCCGTCGTCAGGAATCAATTGGTGTTAGGGTATAGATTTTGTACTCAGACAAATTGAAGAATTAAAGGCCTACAGAACTTATTTGTGACAATTTTGAGGTGACAATTTTGAGGTGCCAAAAACATATCAAAATCTATATCTATTTGATATTGTACAACGACGCTGTAAATGAATCAATCTCCGCTGAACTGAAGAAGGTTTTGCTGGCGCTTAATTCTCACTTGCCTCCACCAGCCTCCACGCACCCCACCCTAACGACGGGGATGGGAGAACTCATGAGCCGTCTATGGTAAAAAGATGTCACTTAAATTGCAGAAATCATTGAAAAGCTGGTCAAATAAACGGCCTCCGTGAAAGTTATGCTAGAGCTCTGCAACATATCACAGTAATGAATGGCCATTTTTTTTACCGGAACTATACAAATATTGTCACATGATCATGTGATTCTGGTTATTTGAATATTAGAGCCTGGTCGTTCCTGACTTTAAGTGTTGGTAAACAAAGCCAATGAAAACAAATCCAAAATGATAATAAAATGTATAAAAATGTAAGTGCCAGAATTATCTCACAGTCTCTCAAATTAAGGACTATATTTTATTCGCGATATCACTTGACAAATCACTGCTAAATACCAGAAGTAAAGAGTCTCGCCCAAGAAGATACAATTCACCATTCATAACCGAGTCTGATTCAGCCTACAGAAACTGCCGAGGATTGCCGAATGCTGGTCAAAATGATTCATTAAGTAGAACATTATAGAGTGTATCAGTGATTAAATCACTAAATCAGTCTGGCATCAAATCAAATTTGTTAAAAATTGTCTCCCTTTGACAGGTAATTAGCCATCTAATTTCACAGATGGTTTATCTTCATTGGAATTTTTATCTCATTTATTTTTAGCCTTGTCCAATAAACTTTAGCTGTCACTGCAAGGGCAATACTGAATACTTGAATTCTTAGAAATATTAAAACAGAACTTGAATCATGTTGTTACTCAGAGATCCACGCTAAGCGATCTTAGTTCTTACATTGGTTCCTTTTCTTCCTCTAGATCTTACTACAGTAAAGTCAAGATTCCATATACGCGTCATGCGGATCCGTCATGCGTCATCCGTCATGCATTAAAAATCGAAATGGTTGGTTTAAGAGGGTATGATTCCATATATGCGGAAGCGGTATCCGTCAAATGGTCTCCGTCATAGAACGGATCCGCATGACGAGTATATGGAATCTTAGCTTTAGGATGTCAAATTTTCAAAATTCCTGTTAATTTAGGGGCAGTGTGGTAGTGAATCTATTAGATCTGTCTCAAGTTAAGAAAAAACATGACTGACATTTGGAATGGTTATTTCCCGTTGATTGATTACATCATAGAACAAAAGAGAGTTAAAATTTGTCCACTTAACCAGTCTCAAACTAATCATTTACACGTACATGCCTAAGATTATCAAACCCAGAACACCAGTTAATGTGTTTGATGGGCTACATGTTAGACAGGACCATGTCATTTTGGTAAATCCGTCTTAGGTAAAATCAGTGGGGGTGCCAGTCTCCAGGAAGTAGAATGAAGGGGGTAACAAGTGTGGGTTACAAACTATTTTATCCTGAGGGTACCCCTACCCTCTACCTCAACTGACTTTATGTAAGATAAAGAGCTTAGCTTATTATCAAAGGAACAGATGCACCATTTTGCGGGGTTGAATGGAGTCTTGAATATATGTAAATAGTCTTCAGAAGTACTAGAAATGTACGAAAATCGCATAATTCCTTAAAAAATACTTCAAACTAGGAATTTTACTCACTATTACTATAATCTCTTTTCTATATTTCACAGAGTATTTTAAAATGACGGACATTTTTCACATAATTCTGGACACACATGGATTTGAAGACTCAAATTTCGACAGTGAGCTGTGAACACTATTACTGATTGGCTTATGTAAAATATTCCTGTTTCTGAGACTAAAGTGTGATTGTTTAAAAAATGGTGCACCTGTCCCTTTAATAAAATTAAATGTAATCTATCACTCAGTATATTTTGTTTTTTGCTTTTGGTAATTTGTATTTTGCAGTCACCAAAGGGGGCTGACCATTTGGTAGACTATATGGCCATGAGATAATAAAGGTATTTTAACTTACTGATTTCTCCAGGTTTAACAACTATTTCCATATGAGGTGTACAAGTATAGTAACATTCTGGAGGGGGCTCTAGTATCCATCTTTTATTACCAGTTATCTGAGCTTGCCATGAAGGATTTCCAACATTATCAATCTGTAAAACAAAATGACATTATTTTATAATACTTTCATATTGGTACTTTTTATTTATATCAAGTAAAAGGTGTCAGACATGGAAAACGTCTTGATGGGACAATAAACAAGGCCCTGTATGCTACAGGCTATGATATTTGTCAGACATGGAAAACGTCTTGATGGGACAATAAACAAGGCCCTGTATGCTACAGGCTATGATATTTGTCAGACATGGAAAACGTCTTGATGGGACAATAAACAAGGCCCTGTATGCTACAGGCTATGATATTTGTCAGACATGGAAAACGTCTTGATGGGACAATAAACAAGGCCCTGTATGCTACAGGCTATGGAATTTGTCAGACATGGAAAACGTCTTGATGGGACAATAAACAAGGCCCTGTATGCTACAGGCTATGATATTTGTCAGACATGGAAAACGTCTTGATGGGACAATAAACAAGGCCCTGTATGCTACAGGCTATGATATTTGTCAGACATGGAAAACGTCTTGATGGGACAATAAACAAGGCCCTGTATGCTACAGGCTATGATATTTGTCAGACATGGAAAACGTCTTGATGGGACAATAAACAAGGCCCTGTATGCTACAGGCTATGATATTTGTCAGACATGGAAAACGTCTTGATGGGACAATAAACAAGGCCCTGTATGCTACAGGCTATGATATTTGTCAGACATGGAAAACGTCTTGATGGGACAATAAACAAGGCCCTGTATGCTACAGGCTATGATATTTGTCAGACATGGAAAACGTCTTGATGGGACAATAAACAAGGCCCTGTATGCTACAGGCTATGATATTTGTCAGACATGGAAAACGTCTTGATGGGACAATAAACAAGGCCCTGTATGCTACAGGCTATGATATTTGTCAGACATGGAAAACGTCTTGATGGGACAATAAACAAGGCCCTGTATGCTACAGGCTATGGAATTTGTCAGACATGGAAAACGTCTTGATGGGACAATAAACAAGGCCCTGTATGCTACAGGCTATGGAATTTGTCAGACATGGAAAACGTCTTGATGGGACAATAAACAAGGCCCTGTATGCTACAGGCTATGATATTTGTCAGACATGGAAAACGTCTTGATGGGACAATAAACAAGGCCCTGTATGCTACAGGCTATGATATTTGTCAGACATGGAAAAGGTGTTGATGGGACAATAAACAAGGCCCTGTATGCTACAGGCTATGATATTTGTCAGATATGGAAAAGGTGTTGATGGGACAATAAACAAGACTCTGTATGCTACAGGCTATACGATAAATTGAGAAGAACAGCATACTTACATGTAAGTGAGCCCCATACCCAGGACTTCCCATAAATATCCAGTCAGTTTTACTTGATTCAGCCAGAACTGGCAAAAAATACGGCCTGGAATAATGTTTTCTTAGAATACTACCAACTGTGTAGTCACAATTTTTCCTGCAAAACAAATTAATAATAAAATAAAAAACAATTTTTATTGTATAAATATAGAATCTTTTTGGTTGTTCACATTGAATTCTCTGTGAAAAAAAGTCTTCTCCAAAGTTTCGTCATTACTTATTAGTAGAATTTGGCTAAAATATTAAGACCTCCTCTATATTGTAATATAATAAATTGCTAGCATAGTTACCCCATAATTAAATCTATTTATCATACTTACCATCCAATATACCAAGGGGGGGAACCATCTTTCATGTAGGCTTTTTCAACAGACATATTAAACACATCTTCTAATCCTTGAAATTTGGTTTTATACGGAAAAAATTGACAGGATGTCCTTTGTTTCCCTTCATTTTCCTCAGTCACATTTTTATGAACATCTTGAAAGAATTTAAAATTATAAACATTCATTGCAGTCCATGTTTTTGTGGCATCCACCACTACAATGGGGTGCCCTGAATACGCATAATTTTCCTCGAACTCATTTGGAGTTATCCCAGAAACTCTCGGAATATGAGTCACATTTTGGCAAAATTCACAAGTCACTGGGGGTCTAAAATATTTTTGAACATCACCTGGCAATTCAACAATACATTCCTCGAAGTCATGAAATTTGTTATCTAAGCCTTTAAGCGAAAGCAATGTTGAGGCAAGTTGGTGTCTTTCAACCGGCCAATTCACAAACCAAATAATAAAAAATAAAACAAACATGCATCCAAATAGTTTTAAACTAGTCACTACAGAAGTTTTGAAAAATCCTCCGTCCTTTTTGACTGCTGCATTTTTTCTGATTTCCTGCAGAGATTGTAATTTACACCAGTCAAAGGGAGTTAACCCCAAATTATCACACTGTTGCAGCAGACGAACAAACTGAATTTTGGGATGGTTTTCGACTTTGAAAGACTCTCGATCCATTTTCAAGAAAAGTATGATGTTTTCAGAACGGAACAGTCTAAAAATTCAGACGAAGTCCAGTTGTGAAAAGGTTACTCGACATAATAAAGATAGAAATTGAAAGGACGTCTCTATTCTTCTCTCATTTCCTCTACATGTAAACAAAAGGGTCGATATAAATTCTGGACTGTATTTATTACCGAAACGAAATATAATTTTAAGGTAGCCTAGCGTGAAATCATTTAACCGAAAATAGATTATTATTGACAGCTGTGACCGAAAACGTAATTTAGAAGATTAATTAAATTATCGTACCCTTTCTCATGATTATTATATTTAGAAAACTACAGTTTCGAATATAAGACGCGAAGGAAGAGACAGGGTGACTCATTTTTACAAACTCACAAGCACATTCAACGACATTCCAAGTCCAGTGTTATTTTGTATTTCAAAGAAAATGACTCCAAAGACATCCAGAAACGAAGAAAGAGACCGAGAGATAGTTAGTAAAGTGACAATGGGAACAGTTGGTGTTGGGTGTTATAGAAGATACTCATCTATAGAAGCACTGGCCAAGATCACAAATCACAAGAAGAGATCATACTTCTTTTACATCTATAAGATTAAATTGAATCATAAAATGTACTTCGCTGCGTACAAAGAGAAATTACAACAATGTAATTAGTCTTTACTTTAATTAGTGCTCAGGTGAATGAAACAAGTAAACCCTTGTTAACTCATCTAATATAGCCTATATATTATATGGCTTAAAACTTCAGTTTAAATAGGTCAAAAATGTCGTCTGCTGCAATTTAGATGCTTGAAACAGTTTATACCGGTACTGATCTTTATCAACTAGTGCCTAAAAAGATTGGAATAGACTCCAAGACGATCGCGTGTATGCTGAGACAATAGAGAGCTTTAAAACCTCGGTTAATTTTGCATCGTTGGAATAATCTTCCGGCGCCTCTCTCCCGTTGACAAGGATGCCATATACAAGGCCCTGCAACGTTTTTATTCAGATTCAGATATTTTTCGTTTCAGTCTGTTGTGGACGTGTCTTGAGTCAATGAGTAATATATATTTTAGAAACTGTCTATATATACACCAAGGGGCCTATATAACTTGATTTTAGAAACGAGGCTATGAGTAAGGACGAACAGGTTTCCTGAAAAACGAAATAGAAAGTGAAAATAGACTCTTTTTTTTTTTACAGTTTTCTAAAATTAATAATCAATGGTGGTATTGCATTCAGTCTAGCCAAGAAAGATTCAGAAGTAGATATTTCTTCATTTAAGGGCGTGTGTGAGTGTCTTTTTTTTTAACTTTAACGACAAATTTTCACATAATTATTAAAGGGACAGATTTTCAATTTTCAGAGGGTTGTTTAGGGTATTGAATATATATATGTAAATAGTCTTGAGAAGTACTACAATTGTACGGAAATCGAACAATTCCTTTAAATATACCTCAAACTAGGAATTTCACTTTCGATAACAATGTATGTCTTTTCTATATATATGGCCTCAAATTTATAAGCTCAGCTAAAAAGAATTCCCGCTTCCAAGAATAATGTACGATTGGTCAAATTAAACAGAACTTTCGTCTCTTTAGCTTTGATTAGTATCACAAAAAGCCAGCGCTGAAGAGGGTAGATATTTGATTGGTTAAAGCAAACGTCATCGAGTTAAGTCAAAAAGTTAATTTGACGAACGTTCAAAAGCGCTGTTGATAGACCCTCAGTGGCTATATTAAAAATCGAAGCCAATAAAAAAACGGAACGAAAGTTTGGTCTTGTTTAAATTGACAGGGCGAATCTCTCCATTTAAGCTTATCAATTGCTTATATATCGTCTCGATACACCTTAATAGCCTACTTGAATTCATCATATAGTTGTTCATTTCTTAGAAAAGGATTTGACTATACTAAGAAACGATATCTAGGTGTGTTTGGTTGTCAACTTGTTAATAACAATCAATAATCAACTTCATACCTGGACAATTAAGGATCTAATACAAGACTAAGCGGTAGGTTAGCTGATGAGGTCTAGACCCCTACTCTACACTCACAGTCGTGCGCTCGATGATTTCGCCTTGAGATGTTTATAGTTATTGTGTGCAGTGATGATATGAGTAATGGGTCGGACGTTTTTTATTGTTAATTTTTTTTGTGGGGGGGAAGTGGGGTGGCAGTCAATTTTCTTATTTCACTTTTTATTTTGAATTTTAATTATTCTTATAATTTTGAACTAAAAACTTTAAATTTTCAGTCGAAAGTAATTATCACCTAGGTGAAAATTAGAGTTTTTTTTTTATTCAAAATATAAAGTGAAACATGTCGTACGTGAAACACCGTGTGCTTCCTAGGAAAGAACAATCTACACTTGCTGACCACTGTACTTAAGGTTTTGTTTGTTTTTGATTATTACATGTAAATCAAAGTTTTTTTTTTTTATAGGAAGTCCCTTCCTGCAGCATGCCTTTACGAAAAGCCTCTGCGACTAAGAATGATAAGACTCGTCTTGCCCCTACTCAACCTTTTACTTGTGGTTTTACATTTACGCAACCAACTATGCCATTATTTGGTGCCAAATCACTCATTACTCAGGTTACAAATAAACCATTAGATATTCAAGGTATTTTAGATGTTCATATTTCAAGAGATGACCGACTGCACGAACAAACTCCCAGGTCGATATGAATTTACGGATGTTATATCGTCACTGCTTAGAGTCACTTAATTTCATGACATTTACAGTCTATTTTTCATGGGTGTTAATAGTGACCCATTTTTTTGGGTCGCTGATTTTTAAATTTTGTCATGCCAACAGCAAAAACATTTGAATAACCTTTGATATCGATTTAAAGCTGAACCTTTGAAGCTGAAGACTCCATAAAGACATTTCCAGATTTCATTCTTGACCAGGCCAGTCTAGGATTTCTTTTAAACCCTGGTTATGATTATAATTTCAGGGCAAAGCAGCAAATTTATAGGTATGGAGACTGAGAACAATGTCAGCCCTGAAAATACTTCTCGATTACAAAATCCATCTGTTGAAAAGGACTGTTGTGGTATCTGCTTAGCAGCTTATAAATCACCCCGAATACTGCCATGTAAGCATATATTCTGTCGATTGTGTTTAACAAAACAAGCTGGCAAAGATAGTGACCAACAAGAACCTGACGAAGTAAAAATAGATTTGTCTAGCACAGATTATTATTGCAATGACATACAACCCTCTAACTACCCGTATAGTCGTAGAATAAACGATCATTCTAATCTTAAAACACAAGTTCCCCTGGCATGTCCTATGTGTAGGGAAGAGATCAAGCTGTCGATCCATGGAATTGATAAACTACCGATGTATTTTGATGATGACGAAGACTGTGATGATGTTAACATTGCTAGTGATGAAGATGTTGATAAAGATGCCAAGGCTAATGATGACGATGAAGCTAATGACGACGATGAAGATCAACGAGTTTTATGTGTTGTCTGTGAAAACAGCGTCCCAGCTGAATATGAATGTTTTCAGTGTCAAAAAGTGTTTTGTGTCTCTTGCAAAATAATTCATGATAACTTGCTGAAACATGAGGTACAGGATCTCAAACTAGATCTTTCTCAAGGTAAATGTTTAAAACACCCAGAAGTTAAAGTTGGATATTTATGCCTGGATTGTTGCAGTACGCTCTGTACAGAATGTGTAAAATCAGAGCATAGCCTACACCAAACCCAAACTATAAAATCTTACTTGATAGAGATTGAAAGAGAACTGATGGAATATTCTTCAAAAATTGTAAAAAAGGTGGAAACCGTTGAAATGTCAAAGGTGTTGTTCACCTCAATCACGGATTCTAAAGTTATGGAGAATATCGAACATGTCGAAAAACTTAGCGAAGATTTTAAGATAGACTTAGAAAAGGCTTGTCGATCTGAAAATAAAAAACAACATAAAGACAAGACATTGCTAAATAGAATAAATTTGATGGGAAAGAGAGTCAAGGAGAGCATCATTCAGAGAAAATTTAACCAAAATCTGATGTCAGAAATAAAAGAATTGAAGGAAAAAATTACAACTCATGAAAATTTTTATCTTCCAAATAATGTTGATGATATAATTGATAACCAGATAGGAACGATGGATGTCCAAATGGGAAGATTGTTTGTATTTCAATTAAAAGACAACAGAAATGCTAAATATAATTTTTTCTTTGCTAATATAAACTGGACGTTGTCATCAACTTCAACGCAGTCGAACGGTTTATGTATTTCTTTAACACCCTTCAGGAAACCCGAGGACAATTTGTTGATAGAATCTATTACTTCAGCTGTTACCATATATGTAGAAGGGAGGAAGAAGATAGACGATACGGTTTCAAGAAAATTCTCAAAGACATCTCGATCAGCACAGGACCAAGTGGAAAGGGAATTTAAAAACTATGGCAATATTGCTTCTTGTGTAAAGGTTTTATTTCAAATGACAGAAATAAAACACAGAATGCAAGTGGAGTAGTCGTTATCAACTTCATTACCCGCTGTCATAACTATACAGGTAATTATCCATAAAACTACAAATGTACAAATAATTATCCATAAAACTACCAAGTAATTATCCATAAAACTACCAAGTAATTATCCATAAAACTACAACTGTACAAGTAAATATCCATTAAACTACAAACTGTACAGGTAATTATCCATAAAACTACAAGTAATTATCCATAAAACTACAAACTGTACTAGTTAATATCCATAAAACTACAAACTGTACAAGTAAATATCCATAAAACTAAAAGTAATTATCCATAAAACTACAAACTGTACAAGTAAATATCCATAAAACTACAAACTGTACAAGTAATTATCCATAAAACTACAAACTGTACAAGTAAATATCCATAAAATTACAAGTAATTATCCATAAAACTACAGCTGTACAAGTAATTATCCATAAAACTACAAGTAATTATCCATAAAACTACAAACTGTACAAGTAATTATCCATAAAACTACAAGTAATTATCCATAAAACTACAAACTGTACAAGTAATTATCCATAAAACTACAAACTGTACAAGTAAATATCCATAAAACTACAAACTGTACAAGTAAATATCCATAAAACTACAAACTGTACAAATAAATATACATAAAACTACAACTGTACAGGTAATTATCCATAAAACTACCAAGAAATTATCCATAAAACTATAAGTAATTATCCATAAAACTACAACTGTACAAGTAATTATCCATGAAACTACAAGTAATTATCCATAAAACTACAAGTAATTATCCATAAAACTACAACTGTACAAGTAAATATCCATAAAACTACAAACCGTACAAGTAAATATCCATGAAACTAAAACTGTACGAGTAATTATCCATAAAACTACAAACTGTACAAGTAAATATCCATGATACTAAAACTGTACGAGTAATTATCCATAAACCTACAACTGTACTAGTAAATATCCATAAAACTACAAACTATACAAGTAAATATCCATGAAACTAAAACTGTACGAGTAAATATCTATAAAACTACAACTGTACTAGTAAATATCCATAAAACTACAAACTGTACAAGTAAATATCCATGAAACTAAAACTGTACGAGTAAAAATCCATAAAACTACAACTGTACTAGTAAATATCCATAAAACTACAAACTGTACAAGTAAATATCCATGAAACTAAAACTGTACTAGTAAATATCCATATAATTCTTCTAGCATTTCAAATCAATAATTATCTAATTTTTAGAATTTATCGGAATATAAGAGGGATTCTGTTGTATAGATATGACACCAGGTGGGTCCAGTGTTGAATATGAAATACTAGAATTAAACTTTTAGAGGTAGTATTCTGTTAACAATATAATATTGTAGTTAAATTGTGTGTTTTTATCCTTTTCATATTTATGTGCAGAATAAAAAAATATTACATAGTATCTAAAATTGTTTTTTAATCACAATATAGATAGTTGTAAAAATTTACTCATGTTTCGTTTGCATGTTAAGTACTAATAAACGCTTATTGCATCCAACTCTACAAGTTTTGGACCATCTCTGTATTTTTTTGGTTTGTTTATGACTTGTATTCCACAATATTTTTAGATGCCACTCGATACATGCTAGTATTTTTCTGGTTATGTCTTAGCCTAATATTTTATTCCACAATATTTTTAGATGTTAATCCACTCAATATATTATATGCTAGTATTTTTCTGGTTATGTCTTAACCTAATATTTTATTCCACAATATTTTTAGATGTTAATCCACTCAATATATTATATGCTAGTATTTTTCTGGTTATGTCTTAACCTAATATTTTATTCCACAATATTTTTAGATGTTAATCCACTCAATATATTATATGCTAGTATTTTTCTGGTTATGTCTTAACCTAATATTTTATTCCACAATATTTTTAGATGTTAATCCACTCAATATATTATATGCTATAGTATTTTTCTGGTTAAGTTTATAGTATACCTTATATATTAGTTCACCTTATTTTTAAATGCTTTCACATATTTGTATATTTTAAGATTTTTTTTAATTTCGTATTTTTGTAGTAAAATATGTTTTCACACCCAATCTATGATAGTAAATAGAATCGTTATAAATACATGTATGTTTTATAGTTTTAGTATTATTCACTATATTAATAATTACAGCAATGAGTAAGAAGTAGACAGGATAAGATGTTTTATATCAGAGGAGTGTCGGGGTCATTTTCGTTGTGGCGTTGCATGTGTATGATAAATTGAACTATCTGTAGGCTACTAATGTATAAATTGCCAACAATATGAATAAAATTATCTATGCACATTCTGGTTTTACATTGGTTAATCTGACCGTTAGCTGAATAGACTATTTCAACATATATTCATACCTGAATATATTCATACAAAACTTAGAAAATACGAGTCGTTGTCTTAGCATATTTCGCCAAATAAAGTATGCAATCCATATTACTGTTGGCGAACCAAACGTCATATTTATTAAAATTGATACATGTCATCTGTTAGAGCTGAAAGCTGACCAAAGTGGTTGGTGTTAAAGGAGAACACCCAAGAAATATCATTATGAAAACAACTTTGTAAAAACATTGTATTCCATCAACGACAAAACATGAAACAATAATCATTGAAATTATCTACGAAAAAAACGTCCGACAAAATTTCTCGGACTGAAAATTTGTGTAAGTAGATTTTTTCACTGAAGGATGGGGTAAGGCGCCACAAATTTGTAAAGGTGCGCTCACAGGCAAATCTTTCACTGTGTATAATAGAAAGAAACTTTGAATGTGAGAGGGAAAGGGGGATAAAGCAATGGCCCTGTTTCTGCTACCCACCCCTCGTAAAAACGAGGCTAATTCAGGACCTGGAGGTCACAACTATAAAATTTGAGGGAGGCTTCGACAGAAATCCACCTTCACTGGCTGGGTCTATACTCCATGGTTTACCCTCAGGATGTTCTCCTTTACTAAAGCTGAAGTTTCTCAACAACAGGGTCAGAATCAAGTGTAATTCTGGTCTGGCGATTGTCTCCCCTAGACAGTTTCTTCTCCCAGCTGAAAATGGCATCCATGATGCATTCTTTGGCGCAAGTTTACCATCTTCGTCCAAGAATCGCTCAGGTCTAAACACTTCCGGGTCACCCCATACTTCCGGGTCCATTTGTAACGCCCAGAAGTTGGTGAACAGAGTTGAACCTTTAGGAATGTCATATCCTCCTGTAAGAAAATAAAAAAGAATTCAACTTTTTTCTGAGACAAAGGTTTGGGCTTTGATCTTTCTTGGATTATCTGTAGCCATTTGCAGCTGGATCGACTGGAACAATTAGGAAAGTTGACGTATTGCCGTCGTGCGAGCCTCGTACGTCGTGTCTGTAATTCACGTCGCTCTTATTGGTAAGGATGGTTCAATAGCGATCAATGCCAAGAGGATTGAGCAGAGACCAAATGGTAATAAAATGATCATCACTACTGGTAAGTTGTAAAATACAATTCTATTTTGTTAATTTGAATATTCTCTACGGGTTGTATTATTGTACTAAGGCTTGTCCACAAGGTTTCGTTTTAGTAACAGTTGATCACACGGGAAAACGTAACATACCTATAGTGATATCGGCAGTTGTGCAGTGAGGGACACCCATTGGTGCTGGTGAATGCATTCTTAAACTCTCGTGAAGAACAGCTTCAGTGTAGGGTAATCTTTCTCTATCACGTAAGGTAGGTTGCTGGTCTACACCTAGAAAGGAAATGGAATAGAATTACTTTCTGCATTTGGTTGAGTTATGGAAGACGGGCAACACCATGGGAAATTTGACAGGACAACCGCCCACCCTCTATCATTTCCAACTTCACTTATTGTATTTCAATCTTTCACGTATACAGCCTGTATATTATCCCATCTAAACAACATGGTGATCTTATCGTTTCAGCACCTCCGACCTGCATCGGTGATAGACGGTGAAACCGAGCTTAAAAACACAAGGGTATCGTCTCGACCTAAAAATTGAACCTAGAACATCACGGTTAACGAAACGGCGTCTAACTCACTGAAATATCGCGGCTCACTTGTATCTAGAAAGGAAAGAATCGGTGCTACATTATTAAGAAGAGCACATCCTTGTTTACCAAGTCGAAAAGTGCCGAGGCAAATATGCACGAGCTAGGTAGACTGTTTACTTACTTAAAACGTTGTCAATTTCATCCTGGGCAGCTTTCTGTACCCGGGGATTCTCCACCAATAAGTAGATGGTCCACGTCAGGGATTGTCTGGATGTATCAACTCCAGCTGAAACAAAAGGCACACTTTAATGGCCCATGGGAATCGTCTTTTCAAAGTACATATACCCCTAATATATGGTTATATAGTAATTTCATAATCTCAACATAGTTCCGGTAAATAATGGTTGACCTTACATACCGCGATAGTAGTCTGTTTGGTAAAGGTAAGATCTAGCAACCATGATAAACATCTTCTGGTTTCTTCTGTATCGATAATCCCACATTTCGTACCTCGTCTATTCGCGTTTAAGACCAAAGGTTTTCAATCTTTTTATTTCTATTGCTCCTTTTAAGGATCCTTGAGCTTTTGCATTACCCCCTTCCAGCCTTATAAATCATAACTATTTCGTGATTTTTCTTCGGTAGGCCTATTCTCTGCAATGTTTTCTATGTTGGAGAATATAGCCTGACTGAATAGAACGAATTAATAATAATTGTCCCAAAATTTTATGATAGACTACAAAGAGCATCATTACGCCCAAATTACAAAAAATTAACCCGGGGTTGAAATCCCCATCCTTGGACCAACCTCCAAATACATCCGATATTGTATGTACCAAGTGCTCGTCGGTGATTAAAGTTTTTATTGTAGGATCTTCTAGTGCTTCCTGGTTTCTAGCATGAATTAAAAAATCAGTCACATCTTTTAAGTTTCCTGAAAGCAAAAAAAGAATTTGCTTGTAAATTTGGAAACATTAGACTAAGAGATATTCACAAAAATATTCAATTTTCTCATCTGTTAATGTCAGCTATCCGTATCCCTTTGAAGAATGGAAGATTCAGTATAAGTATTAGTATAACCAAAAAACGCGACCTTTTTCATTTTCACAGTGGCTGCCCATATATCATTGACGAGGTTCGTGTTTGTTCATATTGACAAAACAAAAAGTAAAAAATTGTTGTTGATTGACCAATTATAAATTTTATAAATGTGACCGCTTGAATATCATCCCGAATCATAAAACGAGGTTTACCTGCTCTAGTAAAATACGGTAGAAATATAGGCAATACTTTCGGACGTGTAAAGGAGATGATGCTTCCACCTATACGTACCTTCTGAAAAGTTCTCTTTATGGGCTTCGAATTCTGATCGAATAAAGTTGACGTTCGAGTGGTGATAGTGAATAATTCGTTGGAAACGTTTAGTTGGCCAGTATTTCAACAGTGGAACTATATCTTCTAGCACTCCAGTACTTATTTCTTCACCAAATTTATCCAAATTATTCAATAGTTTTATAAACAATTCATCTTCCAAATCGAACCTAAAGCATCAAAAGAACATACTTCATCGTCATGTAATTTCAGATTCAGTTTAATAAGGGTGCGGGCACACGAACAGTCTTGTTGCCGACTTTTGTCTTGAGTAAAACGACAAGATTATCGCGCTGCCGACAGGATTTATAATATCAAAGTTTGATATTTGTCTCCGATTATTATATCATCATCCATTCAGATTCATTTTTCATTTGTCTCCTGACTCTTGACAAGAATCTAGTCGGCGACAAATATCACCGACCGTTCGTGTGCCCGCAACTTAAAGCAGAATATCAATCTGATTGGACTGCAAATGATCTGACGAAATTATCATGCATCTACTGTTCTGGTTCATTAGAAATTCAACCAATGAAATGCTCTGTTAAAAAAGAAATTCCAGCTATATGTGAGAAGTTTGAGATATTCAGATTCGGAGTGCTCAACTTTTTGACTCGACACAATATAACCTACACCGACATAGAACGATAATAACACGACGTCTGTGACTTCTCAGGGCCGGAACAAAATTAATGGTCTGCAAATCAAAAATTGAAATTAGGCTCCCTGGCATATTCCTACCGTTTACTAAAACAAACTCCATGCAGCATATTGAAAACAACCAAACTCATATATTTGGTAATATCTGTCGGTTCTCCTACTTTCTGTTTCATCAATTGAATAACTTTGGTCGTTGACTCAAACAGTTTCTCTTCCAGATTTTTCCCCGATAAATACTGTCTGTAAAGATACAAGGTTTTGAAAGCAACTAGAGTCTCAACCTAGCGCAACCCAACGCCCTGCCTCATTGACCCATCAACAACTGTACCCTAAATGAATGTGTGCTTACATGGCATTGTGCCGAATAAAAGTGTGCCTAAAAAAACAAAAAGAACTGTCTTGTTCTAAAAATATTTGTGCCCAAAAGACTGCATACGAATGGGATCATTCACAACAGTCTCTAATACAGAGTTAGCGGTCCTTGCAGTTCCTTTGAAGAGACTGAATTCCAAACGGTATACCGTGAAAGTTCTACTACCGATCAGCAGCAAATTCAGCTTTCCGGAAACGGTCTTAGATTGTCGAATGCTACCGATTAGCAACAGATTCAACTTTACGTAAACTGTCGTAATTTTCGAATGCTGCTGATTAGCAACAGATTCATCTTTACGGAAACTATCGTAGGTTGTCGAATGCTACCGATTAGCAACAGATTCATCTTTACGGAAACTGTCGTGGTTGTCGAATGCTATACCGATCAGCAACAGTTTCATCTTTACGGAAACTGTCGTGATTGTCGAATGCTATACCGATCAGCAGCAGTTTTAGCTTTACGGAAACTGTCGTAGATTGTCGAATGCTACCGATAAGTGACAGATTCAGATTACGGTAACTGCCCCGGATTGTCAAATAACATAATTCTAAACTAAACTACCTCATTCCCTGAAGAGCTAGCTTCCTCTGTATTTTCCAGGTCGGAGTAGCATCACTTGCCACGATACTTTTAAAATTGTCAGAAAGAACCCGGACTGTCAAAAAAAAAAGGGTATAAATTTAAATACGCTACAAAACGACAGGGTAAATTATTTGAAAAAAACAAAAAAGGATTGACACAGAACCAACCATGTAACAAAATGAAATATATATGAAAAGAAGGGAATGGATGATCTTAAGCGTCCAATTATTTGGCCAGTTTTCTGAATGCCTAGATTTATTACCGAAATAACTGTTACATATTTATTCACATTTACTTCAGAATGCATCATTTCAAGTTCAAATTTTCAAAATTGTCGTTGATCCCCAACTCTAACCATAGTGCCGCGGGAGCCCTTGTCTTAAAAGCCATCTATAAAAAGGTAATAATTGGTCACCTTATTTGTACTGGATCGTCTCTAATTAAACAGGTTTCCGTTGATGTTCAAGAAGAGATATTAGGTAAATAAATATTGATAACGTATGTTTGCACAAAGCCTTCGAGCAAAAAAGTATCTTACTAGAATGTGTTTTCATTCTACCAGATGTGTCGCGTCCTTTCTTTATCAAGGTTTCCTTTACTACATCGGGACCATTAAGGACAATCATTTTCACAGGACCTAGTTAAAATAACAAATATAGGTAACATGAAGCAAAGTGTTCTCATTCTCAATGATTCGAATCTTGATGTTTCGTTGCAGAGGATTATTACACTCATCATCCATGATCTTTTGCAATTTCCCGTTCCGTTACTTTTTCTGTTTGCTTTTGAGTGCGAAGGAATAAGAACAAAGCAAACTTCGCTTACCTAATTGAACAGTAACGATTTGTCCATATTCTTTCTTCAAATTAAACATAAACTTATACATAGGTATCTTCGATCCCATGATAGCTAGCGTATGGAAATATCAAAACAGTAAATGAATGTATGAATGAATGAATAGATGGACGATTGGATGAATAAATAGATGGATGGATGGATAAATAGATTGATCGGAGGCTGAATAGATAGATGAATAGATGGATAAATAGATGGATTAAAGGATGGATTCATGGATGGATGAATAGATGTATAAATAGATCGATGTATAGATGGATATGAATAGATGGATGGATGGATAGATAAATGAATGGATGGATAAATAGATGGATGAATTGATGGGTTGATGAATGGCTGGACGGATGGATGGATAAATAAATAGATGTATGAATGGATGGATAAATAGATGGATAAATGGATGGATGTGAATAAATGGATGGATGGATAAATAAATAGATAAATAGATAAATAGATAAATAGATGAATGGATGGATAGATAAATAGTACTTACTTAATAAACTACCAACAAGGGGTAACCCACGAGGTCCCGGAGGTAACTTATGTTTTTTTTTCAATAACTTATACGTAACATAGCCGACTATGGCAGCCAATACCAAAGCTTGACTTGTATATGATAACGGTATTTTGTCCATATATTCCACCAACATTTTGTCAGCTGAAATGTAAACATATCAGTGAAAACATAAAATATAAAGAAACAGTCGTTGTTTTAATCGGCTGGTCTTTGCAGCTAGAAAGAGAATATACCTTATTAGGCTTTAGACAACTTGTGTCTCTAACATTGGTTTTGATTGCCTAATCTGTATATCGCTAGACAGATGATATATTTTATAAGGCGTTAGACAACTTGCGTCTTAACCTTGCTTTTGATTGGCTAATCTGTATATCGCTAGACAGATGATATACCTTATAAGGCGATAGGCAATGTGTATCTCTGACTTTGACTTTGAGCTTTTGATTGGTCATTGTTTTATTCTTCATGTTGCGGGAGACAGGATGCATTATCTGTGTTTAACTACACTTTCGAGTTTGGTGTGCAGATAGTCATTGCGCAGATATAGAACGACAATAGTTGCTGATATTCAGCTTACACTTGTATGCCTATTCACAAAATTGGCTACACCGAGAAACCTCGTAATGTATAGAGGTAACGTAGAGATTACAAATACTGCTATAGTGTTATAGTCACAGTGTAAAGGGAGACAATCGGCATTTGAGGTCAGAAGATAGGACTGTTTGATATTACATTATAGCAAGTTGTATGCGATGATATGCGTAATGCATGAGCTAATCTAGTTTCAGACCACTATTTAATCAGTCATCGTTAATTCTAGGCGCTATACATATCTTGTTGCGTCAAAGTAGAATGTCTTTGTTTTTCCAAATCAACCCAGTAGACTTACTTGTGTCTCCATGTTCGAGGCCAGGTTGTAGCCAAAAGACAATTTCAGAAGATCTACCATTAAGTTGAAAAAAAACCCTGGTGTCTTTGGATATAAATTTAAAATCAACGTTAATACTAAAAATTATATGAACTTACGGTTAAGGGATCAGCGTTGTTCAGAATTGTGAACGTATACTAACTGTAATACTGTAGCCCTTCACAAGACAGCTCTTTATATACTGTCTATCAATAGCATATTACTCATACTCAATTTTGATTGGTTATCTAGTATGGCTAGACAGTTAACATGCCTTATAAGGCGATAGATAGTATGTAAATTTAGCTTTATCATTATTTGCGCTTCTGATTGGTTACTTAAAATGGCCAGATATGTAGCATCCTTATAAGGCGATAGACAGTATGCAAATTGAGTTTTATCCTAAACTTGCATTTCTGATTAGTTATTCAATGAAGCTAGAGAGCTTTACATGCCTAATCGATAGATAGTGTACAAATATAACAAATCTTTGAATTAATATTAATCAACACAAGAATTCACTCCTTTAATAACAAAGGTAAATTCAGTTTAGCGGAGAAAAAAAAATGTCACAATGTCAAGCTATTTACGAACTTTTAAAGTCTATTCTATTAAAAGCTCTGATTAGCTGTATTCGTTAGTGTACAATTCAATCAAATAGCTGCATTGAGTGATACAAGAAAGTTGGCTATTGCAGTCAAGGTTTAAGACGAAGTTTGGAATAGCTTGACATTGTGAAGATGCAGAGACAGTGGCGTGTCTATGAATCTTTCTCTTGCCGAATGCTCTGCTATTATGTCACAATCTGTACGTCAGATTCAATTTGGTAATCAAAGCACACTTACAGACAGACAGATTCAAACAAACTATAACAGATGAATTAATAGATACAACACTGGAAAAACAAAAACAAATAAACAAGGTGAAACAGCTTGTACATGGATATATAAACAGTGGCAGAGCCAGCCTCCCGAGACTGGGCAGAGGCGGCAGCCTCAGCCAGAATACATACATATACAGAATGTATATTTGCGATATCATGCATGGTAATTTTGGAAGTGGTTGAATAAACTTGCTTTTTGTACTGTCTGTGATGTAACGAAATGAATTTATTTTGCTTTAATACTCTCTACAAATGTCGGGGTAAGGAAATGTGATGTTATTTTTCTATTTTATGAAATAAAAGAGCTATCTTATATTGCGATTCCCTACTGAAGGATCTCCTTTGGGAACCTGTTTCGAACCATGTATACTTTGTAATGTTGAAGTTTATATCCTACCTCTTCTTTCTCTTGGTCGTCTGATTTATACGTATCTTGATTAAAACTTTCATATTTATTTGGTTTCTTCTCTAAAACTGGCTGAACAGTACAGTTATGACCAAAGTAGTGTTGAAATAACTGTTTCACAAGTTCATTGGCATATCGATATTTGAGAGTTTTTAAATCTAAGTTCTTTTTTTTTTAGTAAATTTGAATTAAAAAGCTTCAAAACAGTACGATTTCGTTGATAAATATTAATTTTTGTAACTTTACATTAAATGTAAAATAATCAGTAAAATTCGATTTACCAACGAACTTGATGTGGGAGTAAACATTACAAAATATTGTAACAACATAAATATTGGGATCACATGTTAGATCATGGGTTTTCAATATTTTCCTTTCAATTGCCCCTTTCAAGACCCCAGATCTACTGTATTGTATCCTTCCTTTAAATCCTTACTACTTCATGATTTTCTCAGAAAATGTAGCTTTACCGAATAGAGCGACTCATTACCTCCCAATGTATTTCAAAATTTCTCCCTTTGAGGTAATTAACCCTAGGTTTAAAACCCCTGTGTTAGTGAGGGGGGTAGAGCTGTCTACTGTTTAATCAACACACAATATTATGGGTAGATATTCGAGACTAAGGAGATTAACTAGAGTTAAATTTAGACCGGAATTCCCCGTCAACTTGACTATTCAAATGCACATAATAAAACCGAATCACGTGAAATAACCATTTAGTGAGTTATTGAAGCATTTAGGGTGTCTCAAGCCAAATACACACCGTCTTCGTGTGAATAGAACATACTTTTCAAACAGTACTTGCGTCAAAAGAAAACATTTATAAAGTTTATATAGAATATAAACACACTTGCCCTTCCCGTAATAATAATAATAATAATGATTATAAACATTGAGAGGTGCATTTCGGTTAATCGCCGCCAGTGTGATCTGTACTCTGTCAGTGTTGAATTGTAATGTACGTTATGTATGTAATATTAGTAAATGTCATGGGATCGATGGATCTCTGAAGCGTTGAAATGTTGAAAGGGGAGCTGAAATGTAACATCAAAGGATAGTTTGAGTAATTTGGGAAATTTCACCAAAATAACAAGGAAGTAGCAGTTAGTTTGTTTTAACTCTCTTACACAGTAAGTACAATGGCCTAGTAGTATCTAAAACACTTATTAGGGACATAATATAGGCTTTACATTACGGCCCCATTACAGGAAATAGCTCAGCAAGTAGCGAGTATTTCGTCTGTTTTGGGGCACCATTTTAGCTCTTATTTTGAAGTTTTCACTCGTACACTTTGTATATATATTTTCAAACCTGTTTCCACTTGCCAGTGATTCAGGTAGGATGGACTGTCTAAATAGCTGATAATGGGAATTATAATGCGCACTGGAACCGATAAGTAGGTAAAAAAAAACGCCTGTTCTTCCCACACAGGCTATAAGGTAGTCCGAGAATCTCTATCTACATGTGGCTCAGCTTCAATGGGACTGGTTCAACCAAGTCCGCTGTCTCCTAACCCTAATGTTTAAAAAAATACCGGGAAAGGGGTCACAACCCTTTCAAGTCCACGGGCCATCACTCATCTAGTGGAGCCACTGTCCAACAGATGTTTTCATGAAAACTTTAGTTTGTTTTGAATTTAATTTAATAGATCCTGATTGAAGATAAACCATGCCTACCAGTGATACTACATCTACCAAAGCTGATGATGGTGGGTCAAATGTGGTCGTGCCATCTACTGAAGACGGTCAAATTACTAATTGGGACCTCCATCTGCATCAAGAAGTCTCGGAATCTACCACCAACGAAACAGTTTCGGAAACTATCAGAACTGAAACCACATCCAACTCGTCAGGACAGACAGGCCGACTAACAGTTCATCGCAAATGGAAAATTGACACAGCACTAGAGTTTAAAGCTAACGTGAAGAAAAAACCTTCCCGAATAGTTCCAGTTCTGAAAGTATTTGCCACCATTATATTTGGATCATTGCTCTTCGCGAACATTTTAGCTTCAAAATATTTTGTTTTTGCCTTGGCTAAAAGATTAGCTGTTACCAAGCAGTTGAATTCCAAGGAAAGAATTCAAGATATTCGATGTTTCATTTTGTTGTTTTTTCTCATCCTGTGTCCAAACGTGATCAGTTTTTTAAGAACATCTTGGATTGGGGGGTTTAGAAAGGATGTTCCATGGCCAACCAAGGTACAAATATTTAAGGTAAGTGCCAAAATTAAATATTAATGCCAAAAATTTTTTAAATTGATTTTTTTTAACGGATGAGTTATTTCCCTTTCCGATCAAATGGAAAGTTCGAAATAAGGGGATGTTCAATAAAACACTTTGAATCAGAGTTCAGAATACGTTACCACCTGTGCCGAAAAACGTAGGAATACAAGGGTACAATCTGAATGTAACATATCCCGTTTCGAACCGTTCGATTGAAACCAGAATTGTAACAGTCTAAATCCAATCGTTACATTTCCAAAGGGTAGCTTGACACAGTCAGGATGACCAACCGGAGGTAATATATTTCTCGAACGTGTAATCTTTGACAGACTACTATGAGTACGTATACAATAATCACTGTGTTTAATATTTTTCATTTTTTAATCTAGGCGCTGACAACGACTGGATTAGAAACATGTGGATTATGTATATTTGTATATAAGATATTTAGTTTTTATTCGCTGTTGACCAGCCAAATGCTGTTGAATTCGGTGATTCTCTTGCCATCTTATCAAACTCTTTGGAAATGTTACAAAAACAGACAACAGATAAACAGTTTTTATAAGATTATATACTTCTCAGGGGCAATGTTAGCAACGACCGCAAGCGTTTGTACAACAGTGTTAGCGATTATGGAAAGTGAAGAAAATTATACTTACATATGGCACGTTGTGACTGGAAGTTTGTGTCTATCAATTTCTTGGAGCAATTGTTTCTGGCATGGTGTACAAAAGCTGTTTAGCAGCATTCCAAAAAAAGAAGATATTCCCCACCAGACGTACCAGTCGTTTAGTACAGCGGTAAATAGCAACGATGGGGCTTCTTCATCTGGGTTTGTCAGCGAAGATACTGTCAGTGATACACCGTCAACATCGACACCAGCGGAACAAAAACGGGATATTGACAAGTTGACAGAACAATCGTCGTTTTGGAAACTAGGTATGGTGTCAAATTTGTTCAGAATAAGTTTTACGTGTTTATTTAGTTTCCTGTTCTATTTCGTGGATAACCAGAATTATCCCCCGGAACTGGTGTTCTCTAATACAATGTTTGAAGAGTTTAAAAAAGCCTGGGCTATACCGTTTGATACACAACTGGTGTATTTATTAGGCAATATACTGGTTTCTATTGTGGGATTTTTTCTAGGATTCTACGCTTGCCATGCTTGTATAAAAAGAGGTGCTTTCGCTAAGCCGATATTGGCATCATTAATCGTTGTTCCAATTATATTGGTGGTACCTCGAAGCTGCCAGCTACTGCTTGAGGATGCATCGACAGTTGGTTGCAGTCTAAAGGATAACCAATTACCGCTTGTGTACTGCACCGTTGTACTGTTTGTACTCAGCTTTATCTTCGTGTCTATCGGACTGTTTAAAAAAGAAAAGATTTTGCTGGATAAAGAAGAAAATGTAAGTTATTTACTTAAATTAATCATTTTATTTGCTGTTTTCAATTAGGTCGGAAAGGGGGGGGGGGGGGCTACATCATAGTACTATCGGTCATCTAAGTAAGTCGTTTGTTCACTTCCGTGATAACGTCGGTATTATCTTAGCGATTTCAACATTTTCTACAAGATTCAAGGTCTTGTAAGAACCCCGAAACCTCATTTCAATTGTGCTACGTATGTAAAGGCATATTTAGAGGTGGGAAGAACTTGTCTGGATTATTAAACTTAATTGTGATTACATTGCAAGGACAAAGTGAAAGTATTTTTCTTCTAGATATTCTGGGTTCCTGCTTACAATGGAGTAATGTTGGATCAATGGTTACTGGTGAATAAAAAGGACCAGTTTATTTGTGATGAAGATCCTGGAACCGAAAGTATCCATGTTAAACCACACCCACGTGTTTATATCTGTACTACTATGTATCACGAGGTACTGTCAAATTTATTTTACTTTCACTTTATCAAAATAACCCCAAAATTACATTCCAAGGAGAAAGAGAGTGGAGGAGGGATAGATAAGCATTTTTTTGAATTGAGACGGAACACCCAATCTGATGAAATGCAGATCTAGAAGTTTTGTTTTGTTGAGGGTTTTTGTTTCTGTTCATACACTTAACATCCATGATCTGAGGACATTAAATTTTACAACCAATCAAATGCTTTTGAGCCTGGTAACTGATATTTAAACATCGATTTGTATGTGTTTAGAATGGACAGAAAACAATTATAACCATTTTTTTTTTTTTTTTTTTGTTGTTGTTGATAAACTTACATATTGTTGTTGTTTCGATAACTTTGAGAGTTTACTATATTTTGACAATTTTTTATCCACCATCAATTTATTTCCAGCGAAACAGACATTGTACTCGTTTAAAACCCTGTCAGCCATACTGTATTTTTATTTTACAGACATCGGAGGAAATGAAAGAACTCCTCAAATCTATAAATAGAATAAACACGTCTCGTATAGACGGCAGATTTTATGAATCACACATTGTCTTTGATGGGGGATTGAGCAATACGTCTTTATCCAAATATGCTTTACAGTTGATAATCCTTTTAAAAGAAACACTAGGTGAGACGCATTGTAATATCAACCCGTAATGTGGTAACAACCCTATAGTACTATTGTGGTATCACCCCTATTGTAATGAAATGAATCGAGTTTTACGTCCTACTTTTCTGCTCATGGGCTAATTAAGACGGATAACCCCGATTGAGTTAACAAATGGAATTGTATTAACAGCTCTTGAGGTTATCGTTTCAAACCCCATTGTGGTCAAAACCCTTATTATGGTTACTATCCCCATTATGTTTACGAACCCTATTGCAGATTTGAAACTTCTCCTTTGTGGCAACCATTCCTATTGTGGCAACTACTCTTTAATGTGGTAACCCCCAATATAGTTACAAACTGACATCCCCTGATGTGGTAACATCCCATTTGGAATCTGAACCAAGTCAGTTTGTCCCCTATTTGTACTCCCATTTCCAGAAAGCTGGAAAAACCACTGCAATTTTGAACCTCTCTTTGCTTAAAGGAATAAATCCGGCGACGGGCACAAAAGTGGTGACGCCCTATGGTATGAAACTGAGCTGGCAGTTACCTAAAGAGCGTGGCATGAAATCGATGTATTTTAATATCCATCTAAAGGACAATTTGAAGGTTAGTTCCATTCCAATTCATCCTATCGATATTTGTTGAATAATTTGTTTGTTTGCTCGTTGATTGCATCCTAAATGAAAGGAAATGGTAAATGAAAAATTTAATCTAATTTCTCTTGCTTAATCTCGTTAAATGTATCCTCCACTACCAGTCATTTATTCATTCATTCATTCATTCATTCCTCTAACGAGGCATATATCCATTTATTCATTTATTCAACCTCCAACCAGTCATAACTAGCCTATCTATTCATTCATGTATTCATTCATTCATTTCTCTATTGAGGCAGGAATCAACCCAGAAAACACCTGGCTGACTCTCATGCCATCAACACTTCTTTTTAAGGTTAAAAATAAGAAAAGATGGAGCCAAATCATGTATATGTCTTTCATTTTGGATTTTCTCACCAAGGATGGTACGTATGTTTTTTAGAACTACATGTAGTTCTATAGCGACTAATATCGTCAGATACTCATCAGAATTCAATTTACTTAGTTTAGAAACTATGGTAAAAATTCAACTCTGAATACTGAATATATTATATGTTATGAAAGACACTTTGAAACACTGTAAAACCGCCAGCCTCCTTCTCCAGTATCCTCAGTGGAAATGCCACTGAACTCAATAAATGTATGCTTTACGTATAGTGAAGCAAACTATGGCATCATCTCAGACGTCACAGGCCAAATACACTTTATGCAGTGTACTGGGGGAGCTATATATCCCGTTTGGTACTGATGCTCCTTAATGCATTTCATTTGCAGTGTACTGGGGAAATGGCGTAAGCTATTTCAGGTGACTCATGGCTTTGTCAATCATTTCAATCTGGAATGAACCAGGGTGGCCTCTGAACTCAATTCAAATCTATCTCCTTTATTCTGTCGACCTGTTACTTTTCAATAATGTATGAGTTGCGATTCAGATAGGTACATATCATTTCCTCATGACAATTTATTTCGTTCCGTGTCTTTTCAGCCCCACATGAAGAATGTTATATTTTGACGACGGACGCTGACGTTAAATTTACCCCCAGTTCGGTGGAAGCCCTGTTAGATCTGATGATCAGAGATGACAGTGTAGGTGCGGTTTGTGCTCGAACTCATCCTATGGGAAACGGACCCTTGGCATGGTATCAAAACTTCGATTATGCCGTTGGTCATTGGTTTCAAAAGGTTAGATTTTCAAATTTACTTTTTCGGTTCATTTCCCATTTTGCATCCTTGAAACAGTTACTACTACTACGCTTTCTCATCTGATAGAACCTAACCTATTGAGAGTTATGCCTTTTCTGTACCAATTGTAGTTGCCTGCATTTTTCTTGCAAGGGGAACAGATTTATAGGCCCAGCACTTCAGAATGAACAAAGCATCTGTAAGCATCTCCTTTAGTCATCCTTACAATGTCAAGCTAATACGAACTTCGTCTTGTACCTTGACTGCGATAGCCACCTTTCTTGTATCAGGGAAAGCGAATTGATTGGATAGTAGGCCAGCGAATACAGCCAGGACAAAAATATCGTAATCATTATTGGTTACAGGCCTCTCCACAAATCACTGTATTTACTTCCATGATACTAGAATGGTGGCTATTGCAGTCAATGTATAAGACGCAGTTTGTAATAGCTTGACATTGTAAAGATAAAGTATAGTGGTTGAGATATTTTGAATAAAACTGCATTTTCAATGATTGTAGGCATCTGAACATGTGCTAGGATCTGTGCTATGTGCCCCTGGATGTTTCAGCGTATACCGATGTCAAGCTATACGAGATGTCCTACCAAAATATGCTACCAATGTAGAATGTGCTGAAGATTTTCTTATAAAGGACATGGGTGAAGATAGATGGCTTTGTACGCTTTTGGTAGGATTTTTTTGTTATTGTTGATGAATCAGATCATGTGAATTGCACATACACATTCTCACTGACCTAGATCTATTATTCGTTTATGAATATGAGCATGTGTGTCCTCTTGAGTGGGATGTATGTTTTAGAGGAAAAGTAGGACGAAGCGGTCATTCCGTTACATTTCTATTAAATATGCCTTTTGCTTTTAGATACAATGTGGCTGGAGAATCGAATATTGTGCTGCTGCAAAGAATAGCACTAATTGTCCAGACCAATTCGATGAATTTTTTAAACAGAGAAGAAGATGGATCGTTTCAACTCTTGCTAATATGATGTTGATTATTAACAAATGGTCTTTGATAAGAAAGTTTAATAACCAAATTTCAGTGCTGTTTTTATTATATCAGTGTTTCTTACTTCTTTCAACTTTAATTGGACCATGTACTGTGGCTTTACTGGTCTCCGGTAAGTAGATTTTGGGGAGGCGACTCACTTCAACTCTCGTCTTCTCGTAAAGAACCGGGCGAGAAAGTGCAGAAAAAAGCCAGAAAGCTAGATGACAGGAATGCGATAGAAAAGGTGAGAGAGTGAGAAGACGAAGAGGCGAGGCATTAGACTATATCGTCTTTTTTCCCTCTCTTTGTATCCATGAAAGGTGAAAACTGTGGAAGCCGGTTGTGGGCATATGCTGGTCTTGACCCCTTCCCTTCTGTCTTTTCGCATTCTAACATATTGGAGAAATTTGGAAGGTGTAGACAGAGTATGTTGATGAAAAGTTGGACAAATGTTAATACTTATTGATCAAAATTGTTTTTCAATGTTGGTTTTTCAGGTGGTTTGTCATACTCCTGGGGAATTAATTCCCTCGTATCTATTATAATACAACTACTGATTGCTTTATTCTATATATTAATTTGTTTGTATGCACCGCAGAATTATCAACTCAATGTAAGTACCTTATCATCTTTTTTTGTCGGAGGTGCTGACATGGATATGGCGTTCAGTCGTTTGAATCGGACCCCGTTATAAAGATCCCTCGAAAGAGTAGGCTTGTTCTGGCCAAATGTCCCTCATTGTACACTGCATGTCGTCTGTTTTCATTAGCCTGTCCCAGCCAAGATCGGTTAACTGTCTGGTCTGTTATGGTTTGCTTTGGAATTCAGGGTTAATATTTAGATATTTGGAGGTTGGGATATAATATATCCAGTCCTGTGTTTTGCAGATTGCCAAAATCCTGACGTTTTTCTATGCGGTTATAATGTGTGCGGTGGTTGTAGGGACTACTATACAGATCGCACAGGACTTGAATGGTGGCGCCGTAAAGCCAACTACAGAGCCACGTATGTACTGATAGAAAATTTATAAACTAAATAATAAGATAATAATGATTGAAAAATGTTTTTTTGTGTTCAAAATATTTGTTTTACCAATGATAAGAGCTTAATTTCATGACAATTCCTCGTTTTAACATTCAAACGCGGATAATTCTGGCCACACACAAAATGTCGACGGTGAGCGGTTAACACTATTACTGATTGACTAAGCTCAGAAAATCCTGTTTCTGAGACTAAAGTATGACCTGTCCCGTTAAGGAAATATGTCAGTTATTCCTTAAAATGTGCCGAAGTGCCTGAAAAAAAAACCATTTCATTCTGTCTTTCCAGCTACCTCTAACCTAGATATTAATATACCAGTATCAGTAACCACAATGTTTTTTGGGCTGCTGATCGGATTGTTCACCACAACGGCCTTACTTCACCCTACAGAATCGTTTTGTCTATTGAGTGGTTGTTGGTATTTATTGTGTTTACCGGCGGGGTTTATAGTCTTAATCCTTTACAGCATTTGTAACATTACAGACCGCAGCTGGGGTATGGATTCTTAAAGGGATTACAAACGAGCATTTTAACCATTGTCTGTATACCCAGGAATAGTGTGAAAAGAGACTCTAATGAGATATGGAAACCAGTTTGTTTAAATTAGAAGTTTTCAACATGGGGGTAATTTTGAAATAGTTTGGGGGTAATAAAGCTCTTTGTAATCTCTTTGGACAATTATAACTTAAGTTGTTCTTTTCAGTATGAATATATTATCCAACGTGAAAAAGACAATTCGGGGAGAAAGGGGGAAATGCAATCGACTAACGATCCTGAATTAGATAATAGAGAAAAAAAGGTTGAAAACTTCTGGTCTATATGATCACCTACTGGCTGTCCGATATATATGGTTCCAAATGTGTCCAGATTGCTTAAAAATCGCTTTTGATTATGTTTGTTTGAGGGGGGTGTGGTATGTGGTCGACACAGCTTTGGGTAGATTATTTGGTTCTCTTCAAACACGGATTTGAGACTTACTGTCTAATTCTGTAAAATTCCAGGAACAAGAGAAGAGAAAGTTTTCACCACACCGAAACCACAAGTACCTTGGATTGTTTCTTTTTCCAAATTCTGGAAAATATTATGTTTGTAAGTATGATAAAGGAACCCTTATTTCTGTCAAAACTACTTATGTTACATCGCCATCTCTCAAGGCCCCAATATAAACCTATTACGAACTTCGTCTAATACCTTGGCTACAATAAATGCAGTGATTGTATCAAGTCAAGGTGTTACAAGCAGTTCGTAATAGCTTGATATTGTCAAGATGTCAAGGATCCGACATTAAGTTATTTTGACTGATATATTGTCAATCAAGAAATATGATATATGGCAGAGGAAAATAAATGGTAAATTCTATATTCCACTTCTTGTTCAATAAGGAGTGATGGGGGGTTTTGAACAATTAAAAAATCCACCATTGCTATACGATGCCGTTTCTTAGCGAAGCAAATTGGACATAACAAATTATCTGAAAATCGGTCTGATAACTTGAAGGCGTATTTGAAAGTTGAAGATTTACTTTTCAAGATGTCATTGAAGTGGCTACGAATTGATGTGCACTATCTGCGAATCGGAACAACACGGCAGTGGCGGAGCCCCCTCCTCGGACGTAAACCTGGCTCCGCCACTGCAACACGGTGGTTAACACGGTTCATTAGCAATGTTTTATCCACTGCGTATATCAGCGCAAAAAGGAAAATATTTAGACGACTTTACACCTTTTTCTTTGCTTCCAGTTGCTGTTTCAAAACCAAACTTGGTGTTGATAAAACCGACGACATGACGACAAATACGGTTACTTCCGGTTTAGATAAAATTATTGAGGAAACTTTAAACGTCTCACAACCTTCGACCAGTCAGCAAACGCCAACAGGTAAAGGATGTGCAGTGCGGCCTGCTTTGCTGCGTTAGAAAATAGTATATTCTTCAGCAATTCAAGACTACCTTAGTTGCCAAATATGTTTTGAGTGGTTATGTAGCGCAGTCGGTTAGAGCGTCGAAAACTTTATATGACGTCATTGTCTAGGTACAAAATTAATGGTGGTCGTGGTTCTAAGCTCGATCGTGTGAAAGTTTTTTTCCTCATTATTCCAGTCGACCCAGTTGTAAATGGGTATGGATAATCAATGGATTGTCAATGACCAAGGGCAAGCTTGATGTTATAAGGAACCTCGTGAACCTAAGTTGTGAAATCATTGTTTTTTTCTTTCTTCGTAAAGATGTCGTGATTTTTTTTTTTACCAAGATTTCCAGTCGCTAACTGATAGAAAAGGTTATTATGTCAAATACCAGGCAGGTGTTTTCTATTTTTAAAGGTTTTATAACCTTATGAAGTTTTAATTGGGTTTCCTGTTCGATTTCGTTGTTTTTATATAATTATCCCAGAAATATCTTCACAAGTTTACGCTGGCTTTCAATGGTTTTGCGAAAATATTTTCATTATCTGTTCAAGTAATTACATTGTACAATAAAATTATGATTTTGGAAATTGCTAGAAACTTTGTCTTGTCCTCTATTGTAGATCCTTAGAGTTTTTCAAAAGAAAATTGATTCCATCTTATTGATCTGTGTTTGAAAGTTGATTATTATTTTGTGGCAAATGTCGTCCAGCATAAGCATTAAAACTAGATGTACAGTCTATTGTATGTCAGCTGATTTATCTTTTAACATATTGATATTAAATGAAACATTAATTTTTATAATTTTGGTAAAGAATCTCTGCGAGCAGCAGATCTGAAACCGGAAGTGATGAAGTCGAAAGACGAGTCATGTGGCAAAACTCTTCCGGTTCCCGTTGAAGAGTGGCTTCCTGAAGAATTAAGGGTAAGTATCTCCCCACGTTCTTTAATACCTGCGAAATGTAGGCCAATATCAAAATATTCAAAATACGCAAAATAACTCCAAAAAGTTAAATTTTAATGCCTCGCGACCACCAATATTCCTCCCAAACAAGTCCATTTTATTTGCTCACTTGTCACTACCTATATCAATATCGATATTTTATAATCTACGCTTGCCTTCGAGTTGATACAAATGTCATTCCGTTTTCAGAGTACATATTTACGGACATTTAAAGAAAATGGCTTCGACAACACTATGTTCATTTTTGCCATGAATAAAAAAGATTTGAAAAATATGGGATTGGAGAATAAATCACATATTCAGTATATATTAGATAAGATTAAACTGCTGCCAACGTTCGAGGTGGAGTATCATGTACCGGTAAGTAGCATTGAGAAAGAATATGTATTTTATTAAGGTTATACCAAGGTTACATTAGTAGGGATCGGGTCAACTTCTCCAGAATGATCATTTCGAATAAAACGCGCCAGGTTGAAAAAACGCAGTTGCCGTCAATATTCAACAGTTGGTCGGGTATCTGTCTAAAACACTGATATTTTCCGGGACCAGATTGAAGTGATGCAAATCGAAACTATAAGTGCTCTAGATAGACTCCAGATATATATAACGTTTAGAAAACCTCTATACTATTTTAATGGAGACCCATTGTTTTGTGTTTTACTCCAGGACAGTGTTAATGACTGGCTAGATGGTATTGGTTTAGAAATGTACAAAACAAACTTTGAAAGCAGTGTTATTATAGAAGTCTCTAATTTGAAAATACTGAAATCCTACAGTGAACAAGACGTTATAGAACAACTTGGTATCACGAAGAAAGGTAGGTCACGGTTTTGTAATCGGAGGTGGGGGTGGCTCTGAAGATTTGGGTGTTGATCTGTGACGAATATGTTGATCAACCATGAGCAGTAATATCTTATGTTGAACTCCATTCTTCAATCAGTCAAACCGCATTTCATCTTATTTTTCTGTGATTTATGGTTCTAAAAGATCAAAGGTTCTCAGAGATTTATAATTATAGTTCTCAGAGATTATAGTTCTCAGAGATTATAGTTCTCAGAGATTATGGTTCTCATAGATTATGGTTTTCAGAGATTTATGGTTCTTAGAGATTTATGGTTCTCGGTTGGGTGACTTCACTTACTAAGCTTTTGAATGTGTTGCAAGTATAATCCTCATTTGCAACTGGCCGATTGTCAGATTTTGCAGTGACTGTATAATGTTCCGCGGTCCATCTTAATGATCATCCGAAATGTATGCTTTTGTAATTGTTGCGCACTTGCTTACTTCGATTGCCTTCAGATACAAACCCTAAGAGGAGATATACTCAATTCAAGAAGCAAACCAAGGTAGAAACTCGGCTTAACGCAAGATTATCTTTGATGTTGTCTGAGAAAGTGCGCTGTATATTTTCTAGGTCATATTAAGAGATTACTGTATGCTATTCCAAGGTTACGGAACCCAACAGAAGGTACTAGTAAAATTTAACATTTTAATCTTTAATCAATTTACACCATTATGGTCTATACCTGTCATGAAAGTTATCTATGGTAGCTTATTCAACCAGTGTGTGGATGTCCTGCTTCGTGGGAGTGAATCTGAAAAGGACATTCCATTTATCACTTAAAGATATACTTAGCACTACAGTTAGCATTTTACACTCTAATGTGATTAACCGAAAGGAGCAGTTTCTAAAAAACCATAAACTTTAGTAATAGTTATGCAAGTTACATTGAGAAATACAATACTTAAGACAAGGGTTGATTTTAAGACTTCTTTTAAGAAGTGAGTTGGCCTACCAAAATCCAGCATATATGGTCACTGAAAACGACACAATTTAGAAAGGGGTGTAAGGTTTGAAATACTCAAAGATGGCTTTACTTACACTTGACCAGAATTTCTTGAATTCATCAGCGGTGGCTTTTCCATTCCCTGAAATAATAATATCATTCTAATATTTAGAACAATTATGGAACCAAATAGTACATCAAAGGGCATCGTATCACGAATATGGGTTTTGACGAATGGGGGTGTGGTTTGGACACGATGTTCAAAGGGTAAATTAGAAGCCACTTGGAAAATCTATTCATATCACTAACAATTCGAATACAATTCGTACAATCTGTTATATTGAATTCTTGACACCTCGTTTTCAGTTTAAGATAGAGATGTCTAGAGTGTAAGAGATAGATTTACAATTTTGTTAGCTTGGAAAAGTCCAAACTCTATATCACGTTAGGGGAACTGGGTAAGGCCAGATATGTCATGCTAGGCTACTAGGCTACAAGGTACCAGGCCCTCGTTCCACAAAAAAATTTACGATAAGAATTTGTCGTAAGTGTAGATATTTTGTGGAGATTACAAGGTTGTGAGCTTTGGCTTAATGTGAGCTATTCATTTCTAACTTACCATCGTAGTCAAAGGCAGAGAAAATACTTTTTAATTCGGGGATTGTTAGAGAGCCGTCGTTATCGTGGTCACCCTTTGTGAAAATGTTATGTCCTGCTTTATCTGTTGCTGCTTGATGGTGGTTACCTCCCGTGGCTTGATGGAACACCATTAGGAATTCTGCTTCCGGTACTTTACCATCCCCTGAAATAACATCATTGGAATGATAAACAGATTATTTCTTGCTGGCTTTAGTTTTTTAAGAATCCAATAATATGAAATATGACAGTGAGGCTCAATAGCCGGGTCAGCTTCAATTTTGATTGTGCGGGTGGTGGGGGAGGTCTAGGGCATGTCACTATACCTAGCCACTGATCACATTTTCTTAAATCTGAATTTTTCTATCTATATTTCTGAAAACAAAAAAACAAAAAACGATGTCTCATCTCGTCGTAACTTGGCGTATTGAATTTTAGCTGTATGAGTTTGGAACGATCATCACCCAAAAATGTGATAGCCAGTGCTCCCGAAAGTCGGTCAGATGTGAGTTCTAAACCCCTATCACTTCAACTCACCGTTGACGTCAACCGATACAATAACAGTATCGAACTCAGCTTGTGTAACAATCTGGTCTTGATCACCATCCATACTATTGAAGACATTGTGCCATATTTGGGTATCACTACAATGTAATCTATATTATAGAGTATATATCGTAACTAGATGAGTGGTAGGGGTAGGGTAGGAGGGCGTGGACTTAAATAGCTTGGGATCCTTCCTCCGGGAAATTTTGTTTTAACACATGCTCTACTGCACTCTGAGACCCTTATGTAAATCAATTTAATGCCTATTGGTGAACGATTTTTGGCACGTGAACTAGGGTTCAACCAGTCCCTATGGTAGCTGATCCACTATATATATCCATCAGTAGTCTTAATTGGTGTCACAAATCCATAAATAATCCGTTAATCGCCTATAGTGGTCCTAAATTATACTAACCAAATTGCTAAATGGAGGAAAACAGCGAAAACCACAAATCGGATCATTCTGTAACAAAGATATTAATAACAAAATTTATAACGACACTTTGTTAGGCAGCAACGGTTGTCGATTCTTAACTCTTAAATGTGATAGGATTAGCTGAATTTAAAGTTAATAAACTATCCATGATAGGGTTATATGGATTGCACATGACAAACTTGTCGTCTGATTTTAATCATGAAAAGTTATACGGGTAGCTGAAGTTAATACCTTATGCTGGTAAACTGAAAACGCTATCCCTATACTTACATTATTTGTACTCAATAATTCTGAAAAAAAAATATCCAGGTTCTGAAAGTTAAGACTATGCTGAGAACTGAAACTATAAGTAAAAGCTACTAACTTGTTTCGAATGATGACAATCCACTTGAAGAATAACCTAGCTTTCAGTCTGCCTATATAGATATTTTTACATGATAAGATAAGGAGAGAGTTCACTGCTGATAAGTTGTGTCATGCCACGTTATTCTGACAGTTCGCCAAGTGCTTGGTTATGACACGATGACAATGACAGTACTACGTTACATTTTTTTCCTTTGGATTCCATTCTTTCTGTAGTTGATTTGGCTTCTTACAGACGATCTAGCCACTCTGAAACGGGTGCATTGCAACTAATAAACAGATAAAACACAGAACAAACAACAAAACTATCATTTTCAGCCCGACGGTTATGTTGCTCTGTAACAACATGTACTAAATTGATTTGTAGAACCAATTTGGCAAAAACCCCACTTGTTTAAGTGAAAACCTTGTCTGGCTATGGGTCTGTACATACTATCAAATATTTTAGACTATACACGTTTATCGACAGTTGGGATAAAGAAAAAACGAGTGGGCTAATACTTACTGACAAAATTTCACTTAGTGCACACTTCATGCAATAGCGCAATCTAGAGCAAAAAGGTAGGACTGAGTCCTTCATTCCGATTCAATAATTTGATCTTTTCAGTCGAGAGGCGTGCCAAAGATGTGAAAGAACTAATAGAAGATACGTATACCCATCATTTAGGACAAGCCAATGCTGAGGAAATCACTTTCTGGAATGAGCTTATAGACCATTGTTTAACACCAGATTCTGGCGCTTTCAGTATAGAATCTGAATTAAAAGGTAAAAATTCGCTGACTTTGCTGATACGTTCAGCATCTTGATGTCCCACATCTTCACAATATCAAGCTATTACGACCATCGCCTTATACCTTGACTCCAATATGAATTCATCAGAGATATTAGACACAGTTCGTCATAGCTTGACATTATGAAGATGAATGTCCTATGGCCTCATTGAGTTAATGTGAAATATTCCCTCACCATTGTAGTTATACGATCAAGCTTATACCCTTTACCAAATCTTGCTGTCATGACTGGGGTATACGCCTATTCGAAAGACATTTCGGCAGCAGGAGATGAGCTCAATTGAATTCTAGATTGTTATGTTTTTATTTCAGATAACCTGAACAATTTACGGTTGTATTGGTTGATGATTATGGCTATATCGAATACATTATGGTTAATAACGATCACAACCCTAGCATCACAGGCAGAATTAACCGTCTTTGGAGCCAATCCACTTAGTAAGTTATCAGTGTCGGTAACACTATGGCCCATTTTGCTTAAAAGCTACAAGTGCCGGCACACCAAACAATTACCAGTTACGTTTGGTTGCGAATAATGAAAGTGGCCATCACAACTCAGTTGCATGGGAGTTGCGTTCGAAAGTAAAGACCACTATTTTTTATTCACAACCATACGCAACTGGGTATGGCTATTGAGTGACTCATTGTGCTATAAAACTACATGATAATTAATATCACAGAATCTCTCGCATATTGTTAGGAGCAGAGCATTGGATTGGTTTATCGTTTATGCATAGGCATTTCGTCAGATCATGAATAGCAAATGACACGAAATATTTGAGAGCATTTGACTGGTTGATTATGAAATCACCTTTGATATGAGAGACAGAACAATTTCTTCAGATCATTGATGGCAACTGGAAATAAAACATCAAGAAACATTTTATTGTACATCATTGATTGAATATGAAATGCTCTTGAACTTAAGGTACAGACAATTGTGTCAGATCATGGATGGCATGGAGTCAACCGCCAAAAGAGAAAAGGAAATGATGATATTGTATCTAAGGTTTGTAATATTACATGCATTGATATACGTTCTGTTTCAGGTTTGGTAATCCTTGTAATATTCAGCGTAATCTTTGTCATACAATTCCTGTGTGTATTCGTACACCGTTTTCAAACATTCACTCATTTCTTGGCTAGAGCCCCGTATCGTTGTAACAAGGATTATAAATCCAGTGTATGGTATAAAGGAATAGATTTACAAGATCCTGAAGACGTTGCTGCGATCAGCAGTGTTCGGGATGCTTCAAGACGAGCGCAGATCTCTCAGCAACAAAGACTCTTACAAAAGAAATTCAATAAAGGATTAAACGACGAAAGACAGAGATTATTGTCTTGATGATATTGATTGAAGGAAGGTGTGTTTCAGCTTTATAAAAGCAGGAATTGTAACTAAAGCTTCCCCCTGTTTAACAATATATCATATTTTGTATATATATATATGTCTATTGGCCGAGAACTCCTTAATCTACGAACTTCAAGTTTATATATTTTTTTCAACAATAGTCTGATTTTCAAGATATTTTGTCATTAGCTATACCTCAAACCTTTCAATATAAAGGTATATTAAACTGTATCATGGACATTTGCGATCCAAAGTAAAAAAAGCTTGGTAAAACAGGCAAGGCGAGCTTTATTATAAGGCAGTTGTTAATTCAAGTACGAATAGGCAAAGTGGGGGCTAGATAGATTTATAAAAACGTAATAGAAAAGAAAAACAATTCCAATGTTTCTTCGCTGTTTCAAAGTGACATGTCATTTGCCATCATTACGTTATGGCCGTGTATCAGCAATGATTGTATCTTTATTAAAATCAGAATATTAAACAAAAACAAAGCTCACTGAGATTTTTATATTCATTCGGATGATTACAATTACATAATTAAAAAAGCATTTATTGAATGTCAGCATCATAATCATGGTATGTCGTTCAGATATCAAAGGCATGTCTTTTTACCAGCTTATCATTATCAGCAGAATCATCATCATCACCATCATCAAGAGAAGCATGTCTTTTTACCAGCTTATCATCGTCATCATCATCATCATCACCATCATCAAGAGAAGCGTGTCTTTTTACCAGCTTATCATCGTCATCATCATCATCATCATCACCATCATCAAGAGAAGCGTGTCTTTTTACCAGCTTATCATTATCAGCAGAATCATCATCATCACCATCATCAAGAGAAGCATGTCTTTTTACCAGCTTATCATTATCATCATCATCATCATCACCATCATCAAGAGAAGCGTGTCTTTTTACCAGCTTATCATCGTCATCATCATCATCATCATCACCATCATCAAGAGAAGCGTGTCTTTTTACCAGCTTATCATTATCAGCAGAATCATCATCATCACCATCATCAAGAGAAGCATGTCTTTTTACCAGCTTATCATCGTCATCATCATCATCATCACCATCATCAAGAGAAGCGTGTCATTTCATCAACTTATCATTATCAGCAGAATCATAATCATCACCGTCATCAAGAGAAGCGTGTCATTTCATCATCTTATCATTATCAGCAGAATCATCATCATCACCATCATCACCATCATCAAGAGTGGCGTGTCTTTTTACCAGCTTATCATTATCAGCAGAATCATTATCACCACCATCAAGAGAAGCGTGTCATTTCATCAGCTTATCATTATCAGCAGAATCATAATCATCACCGTCATCAAGAGAAGCATGTCTTTTCATCATCTTATCATTACCAGCAGAATCACCATCATCACCACCATCAAGAGTGGCGTGTCTTTTTACCAGAGTATCAACTTTAACCTCATCAAACAAGGCATGTCGATTAAGAGGACCTGAAAATTGATTTAATATCATCAGTATCACACATTAAACCAAAGAAGTTACACTAAGGTATTTAAACTCTGCGAAAGTGGCGATATCTACACAATCTTAAAACAAAATACATGGACGTATGTTATATTAGCATTTAATATACACTGAAAAAACTATGGAAGGGTTTTTGGGTCAAAATAAGATGCTCTGTTAAATTGTCTAATACTTATTATGATACCGTCAACTTTGTCATATTGCTTTAGTAGATTGTGATAAAACAAATGTGTTTTGTCATTTCCTCACTAATTACACGTTTACATATCATTTTGGTATTATCATTTCAAACATAACATTTTCTACATATCATTTTGGTATTATCATTTTAAACATATCATTTTCAACATTTCTCGTCGCAATGTGCAAATGAGGTCAAGAAAAAAAGGTTTTCACACACGCTAATACCTCCCAAGGAAAGATAACTAGGAATAACCGCTCATAGTCATACATTTTCAGCAAAGAAAAAACAAACAACAGTAAAGCTCTGCTCTATGGAAGGGTTTTTTGGTCTAAATGTATGACGATGAGCGGAAATTTTCATGGTCATCATATATTGAATTTTTTAGGAGACATTGAGGATTGGCCAGGCTTACATTCGACATATTGGAAAGCTTTCAACGATATTTCTGGAAAAAGTTGTAGAAGGTTGAATTTCGTGTTTTAACATGGGAAGAGACGGTAAATGAATTAGTGGAGTTAGTCCACAGTGAATGAAAAACTATTTTCACCAGTTACCTCCCTTGAACCTTTGAAATTGGTCAGTCTAGTCTCTGTGTTTTCATTTTTGCCTTTCTGTTTGTTGTGCATGTTGAGCAGCATTGACGATTGAGTCGCCAGGCAGGATATTCTTACTCTAGACACCTGATACAACTTTTCATTATAAAATACTCATTTATGATTGATATACTTCCTCATGTGAAGTCTTAGTTTCTCCGATAGCCTCAGACAGTCTCCGACTGCTCCGACACTCCGACAAGTCATTTTGAATTGGAAAACACGTTTCATGCTGAAAAAGGACAAGATTATTTAAATTAGAAAAAAAAAGATAAAACGTAAAACTCTGCCTCATTTCGTTTACGTCTTGGCAGTGTTTTTACACAATTCTTTTACTAATTGGACTAATAAAGAAAGGCAACTTAAAATAGCGTCATTGTTGAATATCCAATAATCAACAGACAAAGCCTACTGAAATATGCATATCCATATATCAAAAGCTACGGTGGCTCACATACGACATTTTCCACTTTTTAGTTTGATAATTATTATCACCTAGGTGAAAATTAGGTGATAATTCCTGTAATTTTGAATTAAAAAAATTTTTTTCGCCGTTCTTTACAAGATTCATTGAATTATCGTTGAAACTATGTTTTTATTTAAAAATTACACGAATTATCACCTAGGTGAAAATTAATGCTTTTAATTCAAAATTAAAAGTGAAATATGTCGTAAAAATAGCCACCATAAAAAACGTATAGTTATATAATAGATATTTGTCTACAATCTGGAAGAGCTTATCTTTAGTATCTGAATCGGTAAAGTGGAAGGGTCAGTGGTGACTCAGTGAGTTACTAAATTTAGACGCTTGCCGGTTGATTTAAAGGTTCAATCTCAGCATAAATCTTCATATGCCTAATCACGTGCAGAAAAGAAGGACGTAAAACCCCATTTCATTACAGTTTCTCCGCTTACATTTGAGTATTGTCAAATAATATTAAACTGTATATTAAACACCATTATAATGAGCACAAAGAACAGGTTTTGAAAAAGGTATTAATATATAAACAATATAAAGGATATGAATGGTCACAAACAACCAATCACACCTGTATAACAGTTGTATCAAGAGATGGGTAGAGATTAAATAAATTACATTTAAATAAAAAAAAATTAAAAAAAAAATTGAAATGTGTATCAGCATCGTTATCATCGGAAGAGGAATGTCGTTCAGATATCCGAGACATGTCTTTATACCAGCTTATCATTATCATCCTCGTCATCATCACCATCATCAAGAGAAGCATGTCTTTTTACCAGCTTATCATCATCATCATCATTATCATCACCATCATCAAGAGAGGCTTGTCTTTTTACCAACTTATTATTATCATCATCATCGCCATCATCACCATCATCAAGAGAGGCATGTCTTTTTACCAGCTTATCATTATCAGCAGAATCATCATCATCACCATCATCAAGAAAGGCATGTCTTTTTACCAACTTATCATCATCATTATCATCACCATCATCACCATCATCAAGAGAGGCATGTCTTTTTACCAGCTTATCATCATCATCATCATTATCATCATCATCATCACCATCATCAAGAGAGGCATGTCTTTTTACCAACTTATCATCATCATCATCATTATCATCACCATCATCACCATCATCAAGAGAGGCATGTCTTTTTACCAGCTTATCATCATCATCATCATTATCATCATCATCATCACCATCATCAAGAAAGGCATGTCTTTTTACCAACTTATCATCATCATCATCATTATCATCATCATCATCACCATCATCAAGAGAGGCATGTCTTTTTACCAGCTTATCATCATCATCATCATTATCATCACCATCATCAAGAGAGGCATGCCTCTTTACCAACTCTTTATTAACTTTAACTTCACCAGTCAACTCATGTCGATTAAGAGGACCTGAAAACCATTCATATGTCTTCAATATCAAACCAAAGTCTTACAGTTACACTAAGGCCTATTCCTACACCCCCCCCCCCCCCCTCACCTCCTCTAAAATATGGATTGATCTCCCTGAAAGAATTTCTGGAACTCTAGAAATTATTGCAACTAAACACCGATCGTGTCCAAACCATACCCCCATTCGCCATACTTTCTATGTCAAAACCCATATAAAACCCGTATTCGATACGATACTAGCATCATATACACCAGGATATAACTTTTTTTTATACCTACCTGCTTGCACCAAGTCACACAAAAGGAGACAAGTCATGGTTGCCATGACAACCAGTATCGAAATATTCTTCATTTTAAACTTTATTAGTTGCTACAAAGAAATTAGTAGAATTGTTTAGACAATCAAATTCAATTTGCGGGTTGTTCGCTGCCTGGATATCAAGGAAAAAACAAGTCAGGGCAATCACCATTGCAATCATTACTTCAGAACAAACGTTGATTTAATATCAACTGGCTATTTAAGTCTCAAATTTACTTGAAGTGAGAAAGAGGAATAATGCAGTATTTGTCCAGCAAAAAAAATAAAATTGGCTCCTTAATAATTACTCTTCCTAGAACATACGGATCTCCGCGCTTGACCACGTTTTCCAAAATCTTTTATTTCTATGTAAGAACGACACGTAGTTACGTATATTTCTGTAGGTGTAGTGAAAAAGCGGATTCAAAAATTTTATGTTAATACGTCATTAAACAAGTAAGATACACACTATATAATGCTACATATTTTTGTGCTTAATGGCTACTTCAAAAGCACATTTCAGAGTTAGATGGATGGAAAAACACAGCCCATTTTTCTGAACGCGAAATAACATTCTGTTCTCAATCAATCTAAATATAATGCGATTACAATAGTTGTATTTATGTTATGTTTCGCCTCCGTTATAATCTAACAAGTTTTCGAACACAGTTCCGTTCTAATGACGTTGTTTTTCACCGACAAGAGCATCTCAAGTAGGATCTATTTCTTGATTTCAATGGAGAATTGTATATCTTGGTAAACTATACCCACAGTTGATGTAGAATTTGATGTTTTATTAGCACTTACCTCTCGAGAATTCAGATTTAATATGAAAACTGAACAACAAATTCTGTATTTATACATAAATATAAGATTGAGATAAGAATTAAAAAGTTCAACCCCCAAAAATAGCAGCGCGTCAGATTTGTTTTTCATCAACGATTCACTGTCCATTCAGAGTTCAATTCCCTAGGCGTTTACGATAACAATTGTAATCGGAGTGGGGATCTAGTATAGGATAAACAAATATTTCTTTTATTTTGCCTTGAATTTTAATGCCAAATGAAATGAAATGAATGGAGTTTTACGTCCATCTTTTCTGCACCATGTGGGCTAATGAAGACGGTTTGATTCCAAAGATCATCACTACTAGGTAGGCCAATAAGTGAGAGAGTGGGGCACTGCCCATACTACCAGTATTGATGAAAAAATCGAAAAAAAGCGACCCTTAAACAACCATCTAACGTTTTTGTGGAAAACATTGTCGAACTTATAACCCTTAGGTATCTATACAATAAAACTAGGGGTATACGTGTGGATGTGAATATCATATTGAACTATAAACCATAGATTACAATCGCCAAAAAAAGGTTAAATCAAAACGATGGTTCCGCTGAATGAACAGAGTTTAATATTAATATTTTCTAAATGTCTTTTATCTTATGGCAATGAACAAGTTGTTAGAATTGTCGAAACTTCATGATTAACAAATGGACATATGAAAATCTTCTTTGTGGTAGGTACACACACTCTCTTTCTCTCTGTCTCTTAAAGGCACAATCCAAATATTTCGTTTTAGTAAAAATTGTTGTAGATAAATTGATGTTTACAGCAAAAGTGTACTTTTATTTGACTGGCACAGGACATCCCGAAACAACAAAAACAGGTTTAATGGATCTAGATTTGAGATTTGTATCAGACCAGCTAAGCAAATATTGGACATATTGAGGATAGAGGTTGTCAGTAGCGGTGTTGCCTATTGGTGCTCTCAAGGACATCACACCTATACTCACAATGCTTAAAATGCAAAATTCGAAACCTATACACAATGCTCGGGTTACAGTAGCTAAGCCACTGTTGCCCATATCGAGTGGGTGTAAGTAGCGGTGTGTTGTTGTTATAGGTAACAGAATGATTCTAATTGACTGGTTTACAGTAGCTCAGACAAAGTAGCAGGCAAATAGATTTGATTTAAAAGAACAGAATGGTAATGGTTGAATGAATGAGCTGTCCAGTGATGTCTCTATTGTGTAGGAGACTAGGCTGACCCAACCACCAGTTTAAAATTTATCATTGGGTTCTTATATGCCTGATTCTGTTGGCATCCATGTAGGCTTGCTCCGTCCTGACACAAATTCTCCTCATTATGTCGTCCTCTTTTAATGTAGACTTGATAACTGATAGTGCTCGTCTTCATTAGCCCAATTAAATGGAGGGACGCGGGTGCAAATACGCCCATTGATCAGCTCATTAAAAAGCGAAATACGCAGCCCATCTGAGCTGATCTGGGCCCATGGGATTTAAAACTCCGATTCATCGTTTAATACAATATTAATAACAATAACAAGACAACAATAACAAAATATAACAATGAAATAAATACACTATGGATAACCCAGAATAATATTCAAAAATAAAAAAGTAAGCCTAGACTAGGGATATTGATATTTTAAGGCCTCAACTGACTGTCGTCAAATTTTCTCTCATTAGACACTTCTGCATTCTTCATTACAACTGCCCTAATCAGGATAAGTGAGATTAGAATCTGAGAACAATTCTTGCCCTTTCATTCAAGTCGTTAAAGAAAACATTCCGCTAAGACCTTGCCTTCGTGAACACCGCTTCAACGTTTTTTTTTTTTTAATGTTGGTGTGGGGGATTTTTACATTTATCCGTTGCACGTCTGTTTTAAGTAAAACAAAACTTTGGTATAGACATTTCATGCCAAGGAATATGAAGAATCTAAAACCTAAGAATACAATACTAATTGGACGGATTGTGATAAAGACTAAAGATTCAATGTTGTTGTTTTTTTCGTTGTCACTATGTAAGTAGATGTATTGACAAGGAACGAAACAAATGTAACACAAACAAATATATAGAATATGTACAAATTTGTGTCTTCTAATACTGTCCAGTGGCGGCTTTAGAACAACGGATGGCTGGGGGATTATTTGGAATCCCGTCTCAGGGGTAACAATTTTGAAAATAAAGAGGTTCTATCCTTAATTATATGCAACCCCCCCCCCCCCCCTTTGTGGCTGTATTATTACATTATTACAATAAATTATGCATATGCCCCCTGCCTCCCCAACCCCAACTCAGCCGCTAATCTTGTCTTTCTTGATAAATGACAGACGACTGTCTAGCACTGGTCTGAATGTAATTATGATTGAGGAGGGAAGAGCATAGAAGGGAGATATGGAGGAAAGGTAAAACCCGGAGGCATTCTTTCAAATCCCATATATGGAAAACCATTGTAGCTCAAATAAGGTGGAATAAAAGGATCGTGTGGACGATTCGGAGATTCTGAAAATATAATAAAAAATTCTACTTTAAAGAAAAATGAAGATTAACAAAGTTACCTAACGGAATGCCTACAATAGCAATTTTAAACGTCTGACAGAAGCCCAAAATATAATCTACTGTCAACCGCTTGAACTATTTTTTGGAACGGAGGACATTATGAAAGAGACATGAAATGATGTTTGGCATTCAATACCTTTCATACATCTGTTATAATTCCCGAGACTCCTTCTCCTCACTAATCTAGGTCGTGTGGTCAATTTGCCAGGTATCCGATTAAGGCTATACTCGTTTCCAGTGACAATTGTTGATGTCATTTTCAAACTGTGATATGGTCGCGATAATCGCACAATGCTATAATAAGATTACAATTTCGTTATCTGTTTTTCTGAGTTTTCATCTGCACTGTAATCTAACGAGCTTTCGACCACAGCCCTTTTCTCATGATGATTATTTCGTCCAATCAAATCTGTAGATACAGTAGCAATAAATATTTACCTGACAGCACGCTAGTAAAAGATAAGATAGATGGAGGTGATTTCTGGACATAGTTTAACTTTTTCGACTTATCCAAATGTTCATATCGTTTTCTTTTATTCTGTACATCTCCTCCTTCGTTAAGTTTCATTTTCACTTCTGGAAAAAAAAAATTACTGTAAGTTGTATGTTATTTAAACAAAAACTCAAGTTCAAATGATCTGAACCTCAAAACGGAACCAGAAATCCAAGTAATACTTTGACAATACACGGTATCAGCAAATCAAATTGATGACTGTATTCATATAAGGAAGTATATCCCCACCCATATATTGTTCGTAGCTCAACAACTCCGACCCCTTGAAGTCAGTCTGGCCCCTATTTGTACCAGTCATTTGATCGTTGCCTAGGTGTCTGCCTATCAAGATATTAATACTCACTTGAAATTTCTGTTAGATTCTTTCCAGCATGTCTTGATCTTGACCTAAAAAAATACAACAATCCTTCAATAATTCTTAAATTTGAATATTGGTTATCGATTAAAGATATACGCCCTTTCTGATTGGGTTGACAAAAATCTTTGATTCCTTCGCGGTACCTTCCTACTCCATACCCAATAATCCACTGCATACACATTTCGTAAAAGAAATGCATAATACGTAACAAGCCTAATACAAGCATTAGATGTTATGACAGACACTTACGGTTGGCCAATTCGATGATCTCTAAAAGCCTTAGCAAATGGATTATTATGTATCTTCAGTTGTATGATAGTCTCGTTCTGATAGGCTGTAACAGCAAAGAATGCTGTCTCTTCTAGTGGTATCACTATTTCATTCTGCAGGCCCTTTCCGTCACTTCCGGCCGGTTGTATGATCACCTTTATCATATATTTATGCATGGACTGTAATACAATCTGGAAAAATATGAGATAGTAACCATTAGGTAATACATTTCTGTAATAGTGAATTCTGATGCTACAGGCTAGCTGCAATGTTATCGACCACTAACGTAGCAGCTCCTGGATCATTCTGGAAATAGCAAACCGTTATTTCCTTCGCGATAGTAAGAAACTATTTGCTCCCTCCAAGATATGGAATGTACATCCCAGCAAATGAAAAGAAATGCTCTCTGTTGACGACCAAGCACCATGTAGAGTTCTGTCTCATTCCGCTGAACAAGTTACCGTTTCTGTTGGCTTTGCAAGAGATGTAACTCAATGAACTTAAATATCAATTGGACTTTCATCCACTTTCGTTTTAAATAAGGAAATGATAAATGTCAGATATAAAGTCTTTGAATGGTATTTAGCAATTGTGAGTACGATATATAGGCACAGCTTTATGGAACGTCAGATATAGTTGCTAACGTCCATGTAATTATGTGTCGAATCTTACCATTCCGTCATTAGAATCTTTGTGATTGGTGATCTTTATTTTAGCAAATGACAGTTTTCCCATCCAAAATGAACCAATATTGGGTGAATCGTGATGAAGCACTGGTGGATTGGGTAGCATTGGATCCGCCATTCCCACTGGGGTCCACTTATTGTTGATGAACTTGTATCGTTTGCCATCTGCTGGGCATACTTCCAGTAGAATGTTATAAAGTCGTGTTGGGTTTAAACCTTGTAGGGATAGGTCTAAATGTGGAAACATGCGCCTGAAAGAAGACAAGAAAACAATAAGTTCAAGGTTATTCTGCTATCCAATCCATGTCCACAACAACAATTTAGGTTTATATAAGGATATTTCATTGCTATTCTTAAATGAAAATATAAACAATTGGTGAAGGCTATTGAAGTAAAATAGAGTTTTACGGCCTTCATTTGAACACCGTATATTTATTACGAAGACGGTCAACGTCGCACAGTGTGTAATAGAGAGTGGCAAACTCCTGGTCACCGTAATTGCTTTTTACACCCTTGGATTAACAAAGAAAAATTGCTGAAATATCTGAATATTCGAAACTATACACCTGTCATCACATCTGTATAGCTGTCAATTGCTTATCATGTAATCATAAGCTACCCTCATTTTTTCTACTGGTAACAACAGATCTCTTATATTACATTTACGACATTTGAGGCATCTCAAAATTTATTACATCATCATTGTTCTGCAAATTTATAAAAATTTTCAGGAATATAAAACAGATATATCATATATATATTTTTAAATATGTTAAAACCACTTTTGGGTTTTCTTCAGAGTCAATGAAGGGGAGCCTACTCGTGTTTATAAAATTTGAATTTGTTGATATAACCTTTGTAAGTCTAGATTTCTTTTTTTTTTCGATTTAAAGGAGCACCTGCACTATCCGTTCGACCAAACATACCTTACTTTCAGAAACAGGATTTTTTTAGCTTACATAATCAGTAATAGTGTTAATTGGTCATCGTCGAAATTTGAGCCTCATAACTATTCACGTTTGAAAGTTAAAAATTCGACTCGAATCTTAGTGAGACTGTCATATATAGAAAACACATATATAGGAATAAACAGTGAAATTTCCAGTTTGAGGTTTATTTGAAGGGATTGTACTATTTTCGTGCGTTTTAGTACTTCTGACTATTAAAGCATATTCCAGACTCAAATCAAACCCTTTAAAATTCATTTTTTATTTTTATATATTCAGTAAATCATAACAAACTCTCACTTAATTAATGAATTTAGGTGTGCTGGTTTTGTCGACGTCTTGGCGTTGCAGTTTGAAAGGTGTGCCCGATTTCTTGAAGGTTAGGGTCAAAAATATTTTGAAAAGTGTTAAGTAGGAAAGAGATAAGTTTATGAAAAACAACCAGCTATAAAGGGAAAGTGTAAATGAATTTTTGTCACCTCTTCAAGTTTTTAACACCTTTTACAAACTTTCTTTTGACATTGGCAATGAAAACGCAGATATAAAAACGAACTTGAGAAGACAAAGTTTTTATTATCCAATCAGATTACTGTATTTCTTAAAATCTGGATTTATCTGGTTCAGATTTGGATTAATCTGGTTCAGATTTCGAAACCGAGGCCCTGAGGTCAAAGGCAATATCCATTTTATTTTCAATAGATATCTACGAGGAAAACGAGATCCAACTGTATTATATATTATGTTTACATCCTGTGGAGATAGGCACTGGTCATTTTTCAGATTTAAAATCCATGAGTATTGCAAAGTATAAATTATATATTATATTCGCGTCACAAAAGCATAAATTATATATTCGCGTCACAAAAGCATAAATTATGTATTCGCGTCACAAAAGCATAACTTATATATTCGCGTCACAAAAGTATGATCGCAAAAGCATAAATTATATATTTGCGTCACAAAAACATAAATTATATATTAGCGTCACAAAAACATAAATTATGTATTCGCGTCACACAAGCATAAATTATGTATTCGCGTCACAAAAGTATGATCAGAAAAGCATAAACTATATATTTGCGTCACAAAAACATAAATTATGCATTCGCGTCACAAAAGCATAAATTATATATTCGCGTCACAAAAGCTTAAATTATATATTCGCGTCACAAAAACATAAATTATGTATTCGCGTCACACAAGCATAAATTATGTATTCCCGTCACAAAAGTATGATCACAAAAGCATAAACTATATATTTGCGTCACAAAAACATAAATTATGCATTCGCGTCACAAAAGCATAAATTATATATTCGCGTCACAAAAACATAAATTATGTATTCGCGTCACAAAAGCATAAATTATATATTCGCGTCACAAAAGCATAAACTATATATTTGCGTCACAAAAGCATAAATTATATATTCGCGTCACAAAAGCATAAATTATATTTTAGATTCTCGGAGTCGAGGCACGAAGGGTCGGGCCCCCAACGGATGATAGAGGGCCCGAAATGAACTTTGAGCATTTCGAAGGCTTAATTTTCACTTTGAAATCAGACCTTTCACAGAGTGAGTGAGCTAGGGTTAAATGAAATATTCTTACCTTCCATTTCTGTTGATAATCATCTCGGTGCCATGCTTTCTAAATGTGTTCCAAAGATTCGAGTCGTGGAGGGTGACTGTTATACCGTCGACCTTCTTGCTAATAGTGGGCTCTAAATCTGGGGAGGGCGATGGGTGGTTAGGTGGTGAAGGTGATGCTTGTTCTTCCTTCATTGAAGCCTCTATCTTCCCCGCTTTTTCAGCTGATTGATATACACAGGGCATATGACCGAGTCCCATTTTACTCTTGTTAACTAATGGGGTTGTTCGTAATTCTGGAGCCGAGTTTGTGAAACCTCTGTTTAGTGAAACTTCTACTTTCTTTGAAGAACTGGACAGATCTAATGCTGAGTTGTACATGAATGGTCGTGCATCTGTTTGCTCTGGGGATCGACCCATCTTGGAATCGTAGGTGAACTGCTCAAAATTGTAGATTGATTCGTGGAAATTTTCCTGCGATTGCTGGATCCATTTTAATGTACCATATCTTTGAAATGGACTCTCGGTTACTTCGTACCCCTGTGATGACATTTTCATGGGAGAGTACTGATAATTTCTAAATATAGATTTATCGTCTGGTACTCTGTCGTCATGAATTACTTCCGGTGGTGATGTGTCCAATCCGTCATCAGACTGTCCTGACCAATCTGTACGACTCTTCACTCGTGTCGGAAGTCGCATTGAGCTGCAGTGTCGAATATATTGCTGGGATGGACATCTTTCATTGTCGAGGGGGCTTGAGCTGCGACTCGAATCTGAGTCTGAAAAGTCGTCGAAATTTGATTTGTTGCTATTCGCTCTCTTTCTAGATGGTACACTTAGATCTAAAACCTGGAATTGAAATGGAATTATAATTAAATGAATTTGTAATGACATGAAATGAATTTGTAATGAAATGAACTTGAACTTCAAATGAATTCGAATATGAAATGAACTTCAAGTGAACTTGAATATGAAATGAACTTGAACTTCAAATGAATTCGAATATGACATGAACTTGAATATGAACTTGAATTTGAACTTCAAATGAATTCGAATATGACATGAACTTGAATATGAAATGAACTTGAACTTCAAATGAATTCGAATATGACATGAACTTGAAATGAACTTGAATTTGAAATGAATTTAGAATGAAATTAAATGGATTATAAATTAAATGAGTTTGAACTTGAAATAAAATAATTTTATGAAATGAGAATTACATTTTAAAAAAATGTCAGTTATATAAGAATGGTAAAATTTAGCAGTTTGTCAAATTCTGTTTATAAGGAAATGTATTTTGGTTCAATACCCTGTAGAAAACTTGTGTTCATTAAACCGAATTTGAATATAAATTTTCTTGTTTAATCAAAAGCCGACAATCCTTAACTCGAGATTTAAAGATTTAAAGTGTGCTTGGTTTTGTGAGTTATTGATGACTCGAATTAGACTTTCTTCCTAGTGACCGCACACACTTTAAACCAAATAAGTAACGGTAAGGCGAAATGAATCGGACAGTTTTTTTGAAAAATCAATATCCAAATGAAGTTCTTAAAGCAAAGATCATTTCACGATAAAATCAAAAACCAAAATGGTAAAAGGGTAAAGTCACTAATCCTGTTCTAAGAATGTAGCTAGCCTACAAACTTTCTTTTAAATTAAATCTTTATCTCAAAACTTACCTGTGATTCCATTGTGTAGTCTTAGTTCAATTAATATGTCGATAACCAATCCTTACGTTACTAAAGAAAATAATTCTTTCAATAATTGTCGAGTTACTAATATTTCAAGTATGTCTTGCGATCTCATTATTAGAAATGCGGACAATATCTGCCGGCTATGTTATAAGATGAAACTTTTCGTTCACACTTCAGAAAGGTGTGAACATCATAACAATGATCTGAGCCCAGTTCACTAAAGGGTTATTAACACTACAGACTAATGAGATAATATGTGAACGAGTCGGTGACACATTTGGGAATAAGTCAACCCTGGATTGGTCCTTATTGAAGATAATCCGGTTTAAATATTAGACAATGAAGTGTAATCATTTTCCTTGATTATGACACAAATGTGAAAAAATATATTATATTAAAGATATAGATATTGAAAATCTCATAGATAAAATTTTGGTAATATGCTAGCAATTGACATACAGAAAAACCTACCACATACCCAAAAATCTGCACAAATTTGCACCAAATAAAGACACATCACCATTAATCAATATTTATTAACATTTTCAGAGTTAAATAATAATAATAATGTGTATACACAAAAATGTGCTCATAGCGCGAACAAAAAAGGTATAAAGACTTACAAGAGTCGAATAAAACAGTTTTCACTTTGTTCTAAAAACCAAACCCCTTATCAATAAATGAATGAAGTTTTACGTCCTAATTGTGGGAACCTACTGGGCTAAAGAAGACGGTCGACGTCATGCAGTGAACAATGAGGTAAAGATGTCTAGTATAACGGCACTGTCGAGAGTTCTTTAACGTGCACAACCTATGGCACATGGGACTTATTGTCACATTCGAAGGACTGGACTCTTACAATGGTAATATGTAATAGTTTGAGAAGTGTTGAAAAGGCGATAAATCATATGAGATTATTCTAATTATATATAAACTCTGAGTAATCGTGG